TCTAATTGCAATGTTTCTAAAGAAATTTCAACGAAACCTCCTGTTTTTTGACATTTTTAGTCAAGATAATGTTTTTTTTCCCAAGATAAATATTTTTTCTCTATTATTTTGCAAATTAATCACATTTTCAGATTTATTTAGGAAAAAAAACAATGTTCTCTACAAAAATATCTTCAAAATTGCAATTTTTTGACGTGATAACGTCTTTAAAATCGTTTTAGTCGGGTGACATGTTCAGAAACTGTGTCACGAGGCCTCTCGAGGCCGATCGCAGGTATACCCCCCTCTCGTTATAACGAGAGAGAGACGGACCGATCTCCCTTCTCATCTCGAGCGCTGCCAGTCATTCCGTGAAATCCACACGAGCGGAGGCAGGCATAGCGTTCGAGTGACTGGACCGATCTTCCGTCTCTCTCACTCTAGCGGCATACAAACGAATGGAGATTTTCTCGTGCGGTTAAGTTTTCGTTGAATGTTTAACAGTAAAACAAAATGTGAAGTGCAAGTGAAGTGTTACAACAATTGCAACAAACAAAACTTATATCACCAATAAGACGTTATCACGTAAACATCTCGATCGTAAACCTACTTTACAAACAACCATTTTTTCAAATAAAAATTCTACTAAATTGAATTTTAAACAAAATAATAATTTTTCACATTTTTCTCTTGGCAAAAACATATTTTCTGTCCAAAATATTCTATAAACTGCAATATTTCGAGACCAATTGTATTAAAAATAGTTTTTTCAGATCCTTCGACACCATAATCACTTTTCGAACTCTTTTTGGCCGAAAAATAAGGAAAAACTCGCAAAATTATTCTCTTAATGGCTTTATTTGCAAACAAATTTCCACCAAAACATATTTTTTTGCATACTTGGACAAAATAACGACGTTTTAATGCCTTTTTTGCCAAAACAAATTATTTTTCCCTAAAATATGCCCCAAACTGCAATTTCTACAACCAAAAGTAAAATTTACACCAAAACTTAAATAACTATGTGTAATCCGCAACTAAAATAATCAGATTATAACCAGCGTAGCAACTAGAATATAAGTCAAAATTTATGAATTTCATTCCGCAACTGGGCCTTAGTTTTCGACTTTAGACGATACTTGAGACCCATTTGTAGATCCTCTTAAACAAGAACAACGATTATGCTACTCGGCGACTGTTTGCCAACAAAATGCGTTCCCAAGTCCTCTCCACTTTCTCAACAGCCAACTGCGAACTGTACACGCAGTGAAGTTAATATCTGAGGGTCCGAAGATCCCAAGTCTAAACTCTCGCTGGCAGGAGGAGAAGCAAGCAAGCAAGCAAGCAAGCAAGGAAGGAACTAAGTAGTGAGCGCAACATCTGCGCGGCGCAGATGATAAGAAGTGCCGAAGGAACCAAGTGTTCTCCGACTGATAATCTCGAGCGCAAATATACATGGCAAAGCTTCAACTCCAGGAGAGTTAGAAGTTGCTATATGTATGAGTATATCCAGCAACTCCAACTGAAATGCTGTGAAAAGCACTGTAAAACACCGAGTTTATTATCATAATTTGGCATATGAAATAAATAAATATTCAGAAGTATATTAAACCTCAAAAACAAATTTTTCTTCCTTTTTTTTGCTTATTTTCTTATAAATCAAAAAGTTTTTGCCTCCAAACTGAATTTTTATGACCACATTAAACATTTCCTATTTCACTTCGCATTCTTCATCATTCGACAGTTGAAATGTTTGTTGGGCTTTAAACCTCGTTCACTTTTTTCCATCTTTTTGTCCGCTTTGTTCCCACATGTGTATTCACTCTTCACATGTAGAGTGAATGTATGTGTGTATGTGTGGGGAGTCTGTTTAAATATTCATAATTTTATTCGGCGATTCGCGGCTATCGCAAAACGCACGCCGGGAAAAACTCGACAATATCAGCGCGCGCCGGCCGCACACTCCCGCTTCCCTCGGCGCCACCCCCGCTTTGGTCGACAGTTGCGTCGAAGCCTAAGCAAACACTACACCAGCCGGCACACGCACGCGCGCGCGCGCTCGCTCACCACCCCCGTGCTTGTCCAAACAATGTACTCATCAATCAAATACCATCCCTCTGATATTCCCTCATACTCTTCGGTTATCCTCTCACGAAAAAATACGAAAAATACAAAATATCAATACACTTTCATTTCTACACATTAAAAAACCGCGTTTTAATTATTTGCATTCGGTGAAATTGTTTTTTTGAAAGATATTCTGTGAAATGCAAATATTTTGCTAAGAAATTTCTAGGAATCATTTTGTTTTTTGACATTTTTGGACAAAATAATGCCTTTTTAACAAGAAAACCAATCTTTCTCTTGAATATTTTATAAATTCCAATATCTCCAAACAAAATTTTAAGCAAAAATGTATCTTTACCTCGTTCTTTTGCTAATTAATCACATTTTTTAATTTTTTATTCCACAAAAAATTGTATTTCTGCTCAAATATCCGCGGAATTGCAATTTTTCCAAACAAATAGGTACGAAAAACACATAAATATCAATGCACTTTAATTTCTACACATTAAAACAATCCGTATTTTAATTATTTTCATTCGGATGATTTTCTATAAATCGAATCACCGAATTAAAATTGCGTTTTCTTTCAAGCCGTAAATTTTCTTCCAAACCATTTCCTGTTATTGGATTCCTACACATTGTTGATGGTAATGAACCCCCGCGTAATTTCGATGTGAAAAATGCCATTGCGTCTTCTTTCGTTATAATCGCCCTCATAAACTTTAATTCATTCAAAGATAATATTTCTTCATCATTTTCAATTTGTTTACCATCGAGATTTTGAATAACTTCCAAAATATATTCATAATCACTCAAGTCAGGCTGTGATTTTCTTACAGATAACCGATATTTATGACTGGATTGACTGGAATTTATATTATCACTATTGCGAGTATTATTATTGACTTGACTCTGATTCGATTCGCGTTGAAGTCGTATAGCCTTGCGATTTCTGTGCACCTTCGATAAAATATTCATGGCTCGCTCCTGCTCGTCGTAGGAGAGCCGCTCGCGCCTTTTCGCATTGCGATTGATTGCGTCCAGATCGACGATTTTGTTATTGCCCATGCATCCCGGAGGGAACACGTCGCTGTATTGGAAGTCGCGATGGCGCAACAGTCGGGAGGGGACGTTGCCTTTCACGGAGAAGAGGCGCTCCTTGGAGGAGGTGTCTTCCGTTTGGGAGGAGAGGCAGTAAATGTCACTCACGGTTAAATTTCGCATTTTATATCCAATTTTAGCTTCAAAATGTAAAATTATTGAGGAATTTTGTGTAAAAAAACGTTAAAAAACCCCCCAGATAATAAATTTAATTTTAAATAATCATTAAATTGATATTTCTAGACGTCATAAGAAAGATTACTTGACATTGTCATAATTTTTAATGACAAAATTATGTTTAAAACCCAGAAACGCAGAGTTATTTGAAAAAAAGCTCAAAAATTAGGTTAGGTTAAGTTAGGTTATGTATTTAATTGTTAAAAATTGGGTTATGAGACCCCCAGCACGCATTTATCTTTTATTTACGGCAAAGTTGATGTTTGTTGGCATAAAAATCAACTAAAAAATGCAAAAAAACGTAAAAAAACTGCCAAATTAAAAAATCTAAGCAAATAACTCAACACTCACGTCACTTTTCTTATCAATTCTAAATTAAAAATGACAAAAACAAAGAAAAAATCAAAATTTATCGATTTTCCTATAAAACAAGTCCTGATAACTGCAAATTTTGTCTTATTTGAAGAAAAATTAACCTCCTAACCTAATTTTCAATATTTTTGAGGTTATGATGACCATTGACATATTTACTTGTCAATATTATGAAATTTATATAATTTTTTTAACTGAAAAAAGTTGAATTTCCATGCGTTCACGAAAAGTTTCCCTGTTCCACCCTTTGTGGTCGTGCGTTGCGCCGAAGAAAAGGAAGTATTCCGCGCTCGTCGGAGGTCAATATTTGCCGACAGTTATACATTTTCCTCGTGCGCTAAATAAATTATTTTAGTAAACGATGAAAGCGCTCAAACGTCGACGATACGGCCGCAAACCGCACTTAATAAACGCGCGTCCTCTCCGAGCCCCGAAAATTCAAGAGTTAAAAGCCTCCGCGAAAGCAAACTCCACCGCCGGCAAACGCGCTTCTTTGCGCTGTGAAACGAAACGAAAACACACAAACGAAACAACGGAAAACACTCGGCGGGCCTCACTTCGTGCGTCCTCCTCATGATCACGCTCATGATCACACCAATGATAATAATCGCGATGATTACGCCTTGCGAGGCGAACACGCAGAGAAGCAGAGAGAAGCAAAACGAAAAGCAAAGCAAATGTTTGAGATGTACACCGAAGCCGGAATACTCCTCACTCACACGACATGCGAGCAGCAAAAGCACCCACCGAGGAGAATATTTCAGGCATTTCAGGCCCAGCACGAATGTTTGCACAATGCCCGTGTGGCGCGCGCAATGGAGAGAAGCGAAAAAAAATGGTTTAAATGAAATTATTTTTTGACCGGCTCGGAACACGAAAATCGTTCGTTCAAACACCATCTCCACACCGCGCGCGCCGGCGAGAGTTAAGAGTTCGACACACAGATTTAAAATAAAGCGCGTGTACACACTCATTCACTCACATTCGTACATATCACGTAGTTACATCGAAGTTAAACACAAGATTTTTTCACGCGGCTGCATAATTTCCATCATTGGCTGTAAAGTGATATGCCACTTTTCTTTTCGCGACAATACCAATGCTGCTTACTATATCTACGCTTATTTCCTGATTGGTTTATCGGTTCACATGCAATTCATCATCAATTATGCATGGGGAATCATAGAAAGACATAAATTATGTTTATAACCTACATTTTTACAATGCGGTGTGATTTGCACGCGGCTTTCACGCTGATTTTGAGTTCCAGGTCAATCAACACAATGTAAAAATTTTGCACTAACCTGAGACGCTGAGTGTTGCAAAACTCGTTGATGAGTGTGTTAAGGCGATTTCACGGTGATTTCCGGTCGGAATTAGAGTTTATATTCACTAAAACTCGGCACACACATTTCGCGAACGCGTTACTATCGAAAAAGACAGTCAGCAGGCCGGTAAAAAGTCTATTTAACCTTTTACCCTCTAAAAAACATCTTACGCAGTGTTAAGCAGAGTTTAAAGGCAAGCAACCAGTTATACACATTTTTAAATGTGGTAATGGGTATTTCGTAACCTATAAATTGATTTATTTCATATATAAGATTAGTTAAGTGTAAATTTGATTAATTTTAACTTAAATTCTCAGTAAAATAACTTTACAGATTGTTATAATACATTTATGCGTTGCGATGAGATCACAATTCTTGGTACGGCAAATAACCGTTGGCGCAGTGTTTACCGATTGATAAGAAATGCGTTCCCTAATCTTATCTGCGCCGTCGCCGAGTTTAGCGCGTTTACGGCGTTGTAAGAAAGAAACACGGCAATAATATTCACTGCAGTCGCTTCGATACACATTATTATTTTCGACATAATTAAAATTTCACATATATGCAACCCATCATACACATAACATTAAAATATTAAAATTAAAACTTTTTTAGGTTAAAATGAGTCTTCTTCAGGGATTTAACACTTACACGCCTATTTTTAACAATATATTATGCAAGCCAAGACACGAGTAGCAAACATTTACGTTTATTAGCTCATAAATAGTGCGACACACACAATTTCCGTTCTATCCTAACATTTCACAATACCAAAAGAAAACAGCAATATGAAAAGATGAAACTCGAACAGAAATCAAACAAATCGAAAGGCAAATACAAAACTATGCAAACCTAACCTAACTTAACTCATACAAATCTTGTATCTACACATATTTGATTGTGCGTTGTTGCCGGAAGAAGAAACAGCTATTAATAACAACAACAACACCCGAAACTGTTAGGTTTTATTTTCATTCCACATTTGAAGGTGTCGCAGGGAGTTGCGCCTTTTGTCGTAGGACAATGGCGTCCCGCCGTCGCTACACGTGTAGGACGGGCGGCGTAACAATGGCGCAAGAGGCACATTCCACCTCTGCCCAAGCTGGCGACAATCGCCGGCGCATAATGCGCTTATAAATGTTTGCGTCGTTTTGTTTATTATGTTATATTGTGTCCGGCGCGCATTGTGGGGGTGTCGCGGCAATTATGCAGTTTGCCTTTTCGCTTTTCGCCTCATTGGAAGTAATGTTTGCCGCTCGCTTCGCAAAATAAACATTTCTCACGCACGCCAACACTGAAACATCCGGTATTAATCACAAAATCATAAAAATTAATTCAATACAACTTTTATACTTATCTAATTTTAACCTCATATAATATGTTGTGTTGTTAGGCAACCCAATATACACCATAAAACATTCATTATATTCATAATACTTACTTATTACCCTTGACAACCACCTCAATTACACTCTACTGTATCACATATCACAGCATTTCGTTTAAATGCACCCCATAAATGCATGGGCATGACCAGGTGTCAGTTGAACAAAGCCAGCGTGAAATCGGCGTTCGTACCCCCGAAACGCCCCGACATAACTCATCTCGCTGCTTCTGTAACTCTGCATCAGCACATTCATCCCCCTGTCATCCCTTTGCAAAAGCGGCACAACGTAAAAAGCTTCCCGCTTCCGTCCGAAGAGTCAAAACGTCAGCCCGGCCAGGATATGAAACTAAATGCAAGCACTAAATAGAATCGAAAAAAGGCATTAGTTGCTAGTTTAACACGGTTTAAGGTGGGTACAATGACACAATACACACGAGTATAATGGATGTGTTCATATGTTTTGTGTCATTAAGCAGCGGGACAAATTGACGACGATTGTGGTGATATGATGGAATTCCGAAGCCAAAAACATGAAAAATGACCTGAAAAACGAGCGTAACATGAATGCAAAATGTCATTTAAGGTTAATATACGATGATAAATTACCCGGTAATGATTATTAACAAAAATTTCGTCCAAAGTTCGACGGAATGTATTATTACACTACACTTGTGTTTGATTTGTTATCAGGTTGGAAAATTACTAATTGTATCGTACAAAGCAACAAGCGACGATACCAATGCAGCGCGGAATCGAAGGCGTAAACAAATAGCCTTTTGTGACGATAATCTGTCGATGACCGAATGTTCGAAATTTCGAATGATAAATTGCGTCCCGGACACGCTTTCAGCGTGTTTCCGTGTGTGCCGGCGGAAAATTCGTGCCTTTTGCCCTTTTAGGCGTGCAGGCACGCAGGAAACGCAGGAATCATCGGATTTACGATACAAGGTATTGATTTATACCGTTTCAGACTAAAAAATAATCAGAAATCAAGCTCAAAACGCAAAAATAATCACTTTTTAGACCGAAATGAATTTACTACTTTTACTACAATGGTTAAAACAAAATGGCGTGTTGCGTTTTTATATCAAAAGCCATTATCAACATATTAAACCATAATAACTACGTAAAAACACATTATACATTGAAATATCTTTCAACTTTCTTTTTTTTGTGTGTTATTTGACCGTAATATAAGTATGTGTGTGTGTTGAATGTGTGTCAATTGGACGCGCATTGTATTACGATTCTTTTTCGTACGTTTATACCTTCATACACTTTATGGCTTCGACGCAACACGCCGAAAAGAATGCGAATGCGAAAGAGGGTGCGACACATGTAATAATGAGCGGTGCGCGCCCGCGTTGTTTGCACACCGCAGTGTGTGACGTCACTGTTTAAACAATACTCGCCGCGCCGTGTTTTTTACGTGCCGGAGCGCACTGCACACCAGCGCACACACCCTAATGTCGTTTTTCTTATTGGAAAGGCAATAATATTGTGATATCGTGACGTTTTCACTGCCTTACGACCCTAGAATAACAATAAAGTATAGAATTTATGTGCGTTTCCTGTACAACAGCGCCATCTGTGTGATATGCGTTGTTAGGCAGCCATTTTGTAATTATAACCTCAACATGATGGAATAATCTCAAAGAGACGCTCATCAAACAGAGATTTTTAAGCCGTGGTGCCTTTTAAGGTCAAAACAGCACGGATGAGCGCAAATAAAATCGTTTTCAGTCAACAATCTCATCCCTCGGATGCCGAAAATACCCTCGAGGCAAAGAAAGGGTAATTTTTAATAAGTGCCTCCTCATCCCTCGTGCTACACGTGCCTCAAAACAAGCAATAAACCGGCTTTCATCTGCTTCCTGACTCAAAACAATTGCCGCGCCGAATTTTCGCATCCGACATCTTCCGCGAATATATAAACTGAATATTTAATTGATAAATACATAATTAATTTAGTCGCTGAGCGTTGCCGCTAACTTTTCCGCTCCGCTTCGCAACTCTTTGAGACAACTCTTGGAGCGAATGTCCAAAACGCCATTCGCTCGCGGGGGTGGCACAAGGCGGCGCGCGGAGATGACGCAACGCAAACATCGCCCAGCCGAAGACGCTTCCTTAATTAATAAACTTCTGCGCTAATGAAAGAAATAATTAATTTCGCTCAGGCGGCGGCATCGCGAGCGGCCTGGCGCGGAAATTTGCGTGCTCCGACATGCATAGTGGGCGCGCAAGTTTCTTATCAACCCTTTCGCAGGCGCGCGCAAACGATCCACGGCTCGCGCGATCTCTGAGCGCGCACAACTTTGTTTTACTTTTGTGCGCTTTTTATTTTGCGAAAATGCGAGGGGAATGTAATTCGTTATGCTGCTCATATTTTTCTAATTCACGCACAAAGATTAAACATTTCAAATCATAAATATTTACTTAGCGAAATTAATTTTTTTTTGAAGTTTTGTGCGTGAAAAAACCGTGGAAACTTACAATTTCACGTAAATATGGAGTTCTTTTTTATTCCAATCACAAATATTACAAATAAATCAGGACGATGATGACGTTTGTTGAGGTGGCTGTTGATGATGTGCAACTCTATTAGCTTTAATTTGTTTTTACACCTCTGCACATTATTCGATGAGTTTTTTGGCTTTAAAGTATCGCCGCAAATACAATACTTGCCATGTCGCCAGGCCCAGCAAACAAAACATGGAGAACACTGAGAAATACAATACCCTAGTGTTTGTTGACTCTGAAAATAAATAAATAACATTTTAATAGTATTTAAAAGAATTTAATCAGTTTTAAGAGTAATTTACCATTTGTGTCACGCATTTCTTCTTCACGTTTACGCATTATTGAAAAATCTTGCACGATATCATTGGATAAATCTTCTAGTCGTCTTAATTCGACTTCAATAGGTTTCAACTTCGCTGCTTCTCCAATTCCTTCGTAGTTTTTCGCTTCAACTCCGTGTTTTGTGTTTAGGGACACTTCGTGAGACATACCTCTTTGACCTAAAAGCATAAATAAAACAAATTGTAACAAAGAAAGAATTCGTAGTGTTTTAAATCTAATTTTGTATAAATATTTAATATTTTTCAAAGAATTAGCGTTTTATAACTAAAATTGCAAGTCAGTTAGACCTGATGTGAACACTCCTACAAACTTTGTTTTGATGTTTTATGGTAGGCAACCAACGTTACATCAAAAATCCTCCAACTCGCAACTTTCTCATGTTAAATATTATAAAAAAAAATATTCTTACGTTCTGGCACTCTTGAAATGAAGCAAATCTCGTAGCTATCATAAGTCTCTGTCACAAATGAGAACTTTCCCTTCACAATGTCATCTTTTTGAGCCAAGACATGGCCCTTTGAGTCTCTAACCTGAAAAATAAAACTTTCTTTAACTGTTCATATTATAGACGTTTCACTATATAAGTAATGCTATTCGAATTGAAGAAACTTACAACATAGTCGACTTTCTGTCCGGGAACTTCCGAAACTTCATACTCGCCGGTAACAGGAACATTTTGATGCAACTCCTCCTTCAAACATTTGTGCGTGTTTGGCTCGAGTTTCCACATAATAGCGTTCGCGGTGGCCGCAAAGGCGACCAGCACGATGAAGGCAGAAAACAAATTCGTCATTGTTACCACTGATTTAAACTAAATTATTAAATAGCAAGCCGAACTGCCATGAAATCACGGCGAGAATGCTCCCGAAATGTTTGAAACGTACACACCGATGAGCTGGCCAAAGAGTGCAAAACTGTCAATCGGCTGTCAGAATTGACACTGTCAATGTCAATGCTAGGAGAAACTATTGGAACTGTCGCATTGACATTTTTTCAAATAAAAAATCTTTTAATCATAAATTAAACAAATTCAACCATTGAATCATTAAATCAATTATCTTATTCGAACATTCAACTCTTTCGTTGCAGTATTCTCAATTTCTTTATGAACAACTGAAACTTCTTCCTGTGTTAAAGTCTTCTCCATGTGTCTGTACACAATTCTATAGCAATGACTAGTATTCTTCGTTTTTGGATGTACGAAATTATCAACCAACGTTACTTGTTCAATTATATCACCTCCTATAGAGCGGACTAAGTCATAGAAATCATTACTATTATACAAACCATGATCAGGCAGCCAAAAACTGATGTCATTTGTACATTGAGGAAACTGACTGATTGGTTTGTAAATAATATTAGACTGAGGACTTGCATCTTTGAACTGATTCAAAAATCCACTGTCAGTAGACCAAAAAAGTCGTATATCAGGTATTTGATAGACTTTCATCGCGATTCTTTCGAGTCCTATACCGAAAGCCCACCCAACTTGATCATAAACACCAGCTTCTGTTAGGATTTGTTGTTTCATGATGCCACAACCAAGTAATTCCAACCAATCACCTTTGTGCTTTACTTCTAATTCCCAGGAAGGTGTAGTGAATGGAAATTGTGTTTCAACCCATCTACTTTCTGCTTCGGGACCGAAAATACTCTGGGCGAGACCTCCAAGTGATGATTTTAGACTGTGTTCAAGGACTTTCATTGCCTCCAATGTATGACACTCTTGTTTTCCACCTTCACAACTTGAACCTTTCAAAAGTAGAGAAATCAATCATTTTATTATCAAAAAAACATCAAATTTAGTAAGAAAAGCAACTACCTTTCTCAAATAGTTCCAACTCTTGGTTCTTAGGAAACAACTGATCCTTTGTATACAATTTCACAGCATCAATCTGATGAAATACTGGATAATGGGTGCTGTCAATCTCATCTCTTCGATAAACATCTCCAGCAACCAGAAATGAGTCTAATCCACTTCTAATCAAGTCACTCTGATGGCTGGTAGTGTGAGCTCTCAATAAATACTCTCTATTGATGTAATAGCAATCACTCTTTGCTCTTGTAGGATGATCCTGTGGGATCAACAGTGAGTCAAAGTTCTGACCAACACTGACTATGGGACTGAGATTATCATAGACAGAAAACGTTGGATTGCCTCTTGCGTTTTTGAAAGTTTTGTAGAAATAGTCAACGATGCGTTGTTTTACCAAACAGAGTGGATGCTGTGGCTGTGTATGCAGTTTTCTCTCTAATAAATTAAGTATTTTTGGTGTTATGTTGGTGTAGTCATCTTTCTGGAAAGATTTTCCTTCAATTTGAAGATCTGTTGTTTGATTCGGTACCGGATTTGTTGATAATAATCTTAGAAAGGTGCGCCGAGGGCGTACAACACGCGTTAAATGTAAAATAATCATTATTTTGCGGAGAATTTAGACATTGAAGATTTAAAAACAAATTGATTGTTAGGTTAAATGGTTTGTGTTTGGTATCAGTTTAGAATTGACACTAAAATGATAAAACAAAATAAAAACTGTTCAAATATTGAAGAAAAACTAAAGAATATAATGTTTAATAGCTATTAATTAATTATTAATTAATACAATCAATTAATAATATGTTAAATGTATTTAAAACTCCTAAAAAATCATTCTTATTAAAATTACAACAAAATATAACACAGAAACAAAATGTCGCCATGTTTTTTATGCGTTTTTAGTTATTCTAAACCAAAACAGATTGTTTTTGTAACATAGATGATCATTTTTCATCAAATCATCACTTTAGCTTCCTGTTAATGTTTGTTACCATGTTTACCACAGTTTGTTAAGTCAATAAAAGTGTAATGTAATGATTAGAAATTGTAATCGCGTTACTACAGTGTCAGCGCGATAACACTGCAAATCTATTCGATATATCCCCAATCACAGCAATTATGTCACGTTTGCTAACCTCGGCCGACTTCAACCCGCAAAAATTATTTGAGAAACTCGAGAAATCAATCGAAGCTGATAAATTATACTGGGTGCGCAATGATGCAAAGATTCGCGCGTCAATGACGTCGCAGAATTACGACGAATTCAGGTGAAATTATCAATGTCAAAGAATTTCAACTATTTTACATACAAAAATATTCCATAAACAAATTTAAAAAACAGTTATTTTACTCGTGCCACAAAAACTGATAAGCACGTGCATATTTTCATAACTTTCGGTTATAAATACACCGCCAGACGTGTTATCGGCGGTTTGTTGTGACGCGACAATGTTACACCGTTTAAGAACATAATAAACATATTATTATATACATTTTAGGGACATCGTGGCGGCTGCCCACTTGAAGCCGTTAGATAAAGGTGATAAGAGCTCGAAAGCAAACATTGGCTGGAATAAATGCGTGACACAAAACGTAAAAAACGACGAATCTGATTAATTTACAGTACTAAATATTCGTCTAAATCGTCTTTCATAGTAGATTGTATATTCAATATGCAATAAACTATTTATAAACATGTAAATAATTACTCATTAATTAACTTTACCCTTTCACCAGATGCAAACGCTTCACAAAAACGACTTGCGCCTTGACTTTAAATTCCCAATAATATAATATGCATATTCAAAATATTCTCATTCATATTTCCGCTTATATAAGTGAAGTATAATAAAAATTGAATCAATTTTAGACTATATACTCCACCGATAACAAAGAATCTATGCAATTATCACTTAGAAAATAGACATTAAGAAAAATAACAAAAGAAACTTTTATACTTAATAGTATCGAATGTACCTCTGACTTGTAAAAATGACCTGTCCATTAATAAATCTGTAAATATTCCTAGTATTTAAATGCTTATCATTACTTTGCTTTGTAGTTTTAAGTATGTATATTGTAAGTTGTAGTTTGTTGCTTGAATAGAGTGTAAATGGTTATTCCCTGACTACTTCCTGGGTTGTTGGATGTTCACCTGTGGCTTCATGCACACATTCACTGGCGGCTTCTCCTTGTGGAAGCTCTGCACAGCCTCCGATGGAAAATCGGCGTTGCCTTTGATAGGAGCGCCCGAAATCACAGTGGTTTTCGGTGGACTTGCGGACACCTTCAACGTAGTGGTTTCTTCACCGAGACCGGATGGCTCACGATGGTTCTTGTGCTGTGTAATTCTCATACCACCAGCTTTCACTAAACAATGAATATTTGTTTGTTTTAAATTGGTTTTATAGTGAAAAAATTACAAAAACAATTGAAAGTTGTTGCCACAGCTGACAAAACATGATGTAATAATTTCTTATCAATGTTTTTAATGTGAATTCTGATTAAATATATTATGAAATTTTTCATTTTACCTGCTGGTGGATGTCCTGCCTTCAGCTCACACTCGGTTTTGCCTGGAGACGACATATTCGCACCTGATTTAACCTTGTTATTGAAATTTCGCAGCGTTTCGTAGGTTTTGCGTACCGGCTTCGCACGGTTCTGCACGTTCAATGTTTCAATATGGAACGGGTCGTGGGAGCGTGGTGTGGCTCTGCCGAAATGTGCAGCGGTAAACAAAAAACACGTAGGCAGTAGGCACGCTAGCTAGCCACCTACCAGGCGCAGCAGGATTGTGTGAGTCGAGAGCGCGATTGTGATTGGCAGCCGTTTTATACGTGATGACCTTACTCAAAGCAAAGCCGCGTACGGCGCAAAAAGCCTCTGCATGTAATTTTAATGACAAGCAACAGAGATAGATTTTTCGGAGGGTTTGTACGACGTGTTTTATTATTGTTTCGATCCGCAAGGCGTAATATGCGCAATATTGCGTAAAACAAATGCGACAATACTAATATGTCGTAACTTGTGCAACTTGTAAGAACTTGAAACGATCTCTCAACAAGTTTGCGTGCTATGATGAAATATTGTGTTTAATTATAAAATTCCGGTTTCTTGGGTGATCTTGTCTCAATTGGTATGCAAACGCCATGCATAACATACCTTACAACAAGAACAAGAATAAAAAAGAAATAAATTTTAATTAATATTCAGTTTGCGATTTTTGTTCGCTCTTTGAATATACAGAGCCATCTAGCCCGAGTTTACTGAACTAAAGTAAATATTTCTATTTTCGAAGGAAATTTTGATAAGCATTAACTTTCATGATTCACACAAATTTAAATAATGATGAAATAAATTTTTGTCTTCTAAACAAACTAGTTTCTATTGTAATCTTGTATGAAACAAAGAATTGTAACAAATTCACGTCCAACTTTGTCATTTACGTCATGTAACCACAAAATTCGACTCAAACTGACGTCAAGCAGCGCAAACATCTGCTTCCTGACATAAATAAGCAAGTTTTCTTAATTAAACACATCAATTACGTACTAAACAAATTAATAATTTGCTTTGTTCATTTTTAGGCATGTTGTCTTATTAAAGGAAAGTTTTCTCACGCGTTTAAGGAGTAAAAAGTGTATAAAACTACATAATCGAAAGAAATACTACAAGAGAATGAAAAAACTTACTGGATCCTTTAGATATCATCAATGGGACCCATGGCTCATCATTGGACAGATCTTATCAATACAGATGATACTCTACACTACTTTAGGTGTTTTGCTGACTGTCCTTGGTGGAATGGTTGGTGAAACTAGATCATTAGATCACATATTTGAATATCATGTAAGTTTCAAGCATACTATCCTTAAAAACTCAAAACTCATGCATTAAATTAGTATAATACTAAAAGAAAACTGCTGTAATGCATGAATTTAGTTGTTTTGTCAAGTTTGGTTAAGTTTTAAGGTTATGTTGGATTAATTTTGATGAAATTTGACAGGAAATTCACGTAAGAGACTTTGGCGGTAAGATAATCATAGCTTCCTTCGTAATAAACGCCCTCATCGGATCGCTGGCGCTGTGGAAGATCGTGGAGCGAACCAAACTATGCCTGGACTTCAGCTGGACGTGGCACTTCGTCCATTTATTCGCCTGCTGGATGTACAACGGCTCCTTCCCGACGACATTCTCTTGGTGGGCTTTGAATGTAGCCTGCGGCGCCTTAATGTGTGTTTGCGGTGAGTTTCTCTGCCTGCGTACTGAACTACAGGCTATTCCTTTATCGCTTGGTCCAAAGACTGATCTCTGATTGGACGCCACCGGCGAAGAGGAGGAACTAATCGAAGTGTGAAACATGTGAGACTACTCGTGGGACTTGTGATAACCGCAGTTGAGTGCCAACACGCATGGACTTAACACTAGAGTTTTTAGACTAAAACATTTTTTAGATATAAAATATTTATAATTCTATTTGTAATGCGATACAGTTTCGTGTAGGCACACCTATTGATCTATTTTATAGAAGGGCGCTATTTACATCGATCAGTTTCGGTTCTTACTTCACCTGTTGATATTGTATGAGTATTTGTTTCCTACGTCCTGCGTCCAGTCACCGTTTTGTGTTCCCCTCTCCCATTCGACCAATCCAATCGCGCGTTTCGGGGCGACCGAAGTGGGCGTAACAGTTGTAACTTAAAACTAAAACGTTTAGCGATCGAGTTGATCGTGTCGTGCGGAGCGTCGGCTTGTGATGCGAGTTGCGAGCAAATCATTAATTGGCACAAAATAAAATCACATTGTTTTCAAAGGGGGAGAAATGGTGCGCGACTCGGTTCAAGATGGCGATGCGTCGTTCATCCGTCGACGCCTGCGCTTATCACGTGCACCTGCTGGCCTTTACTCGCGTTGTATACTTGCCCGGCGTTGAAGCGGATTAATCTTGGATGTTGATCTGATTTATCTAAAAATTTATTTATTTATAATGCAATCATATTAATATTTTATGTTTGTTTACCTGTATTACCAAAATCAGCAGGAATGTACTTCGATAGTCTGATGAGAGGCAGCGGCAGATACCCACTGTTGAGCGGCATGACGTCTAGGACGACAGTCTGCGCATCGCTGTCTGCGTCGAACGAGATAACACCCGCGGTCCGGCCGCATACCGCCCACATGCTTTGCTCGGCGAGCACTTCGTACATGAGCGAACCACAGTTCGCCTGCAGCTGACGACCTGCCGGCCGTACTTGCAGCTGCAGATGGCACACAGCGCCGACGCGACAAAACTCACTACCCTTCGTCGGCTCGACGCGCGCGTGCACTTGAAACAACGTCTGAAAACATCATAATCCACATTTAAATCAACCACCGCGTAAGAAAGCAGCAAAAGCTGAAAGTGTACAAGTCAGTTAAACATGCAATAGACAGTGTGGAATAAAATCATGCGCACTGTACCTGATAGTTGGTTAGTTTGAAATTGTAACTGTAGAGGCGCGTCTTTTCATCACCACCTCCGGAAAGTTTGTAGCGCAAGTTGAAGATACCTCTCGTCGCGTCGAACTCTTCGTTTGTTAAATTCCCCGAGTGGAGCATTTCGTATGTGAACACTAAACTCAGGCCATTTGTTACCTCCTGAAACAAAGAGAACACAAAATATTCACTGTAAACACCGCCATTTTGTATTTTTTAACTTTTCACTTACTTGACTAGAAAAATCATTAAATCCCGTCACATTAACATTATTATTAAACAAAAGTTCATCCCCGACGACCGTGAAAGCCCTCTCACACTGACTCGTCAGCGTAATCTGAATAAACTTCCTATGCTGAACGGTAAACAACCGCCAGGTGGCGCTCATAGGCGATGAGAAATCAAACACAAGCGGAATGGCTCTCGTCGACCATGGACACGAAATTGTTACTTGATGTTCCTTCGACGGCGTGTCTGCCAACACACGAATCGCAGTCGAACTTGTCGTAAACGGTTCACTGTGCGTCAGTGGTACTTCTATCGAGGTAACAAACTCATTCTCATCGCCACCGTATTGTAGTGTCAAACCTAACGAAGCGGCCATCTTGATGGTGCAGTTCTCCGCTACTTTATAACTACCAATCGTCACAATCAACTGCATCGTTTGTTCAATTCCCGACAACAATGCGCTTTGATCTTCGAGCTTAACAGTCGGTTCAACTCTACACACCTCAAAGAATAACTTTGGAGTTAAAGATATTGAAATTAACTCCATAAGTTTAACATGTATCGCGACTTGACCCAAGTAATACTTTCCTACTTTATCGGCAGTTTTCCTCAGTCGCATGATGTTCAAACCAGGTGAAAGTTTAGTCTTAGCAATCTCTAAATAGTCATTAAACTCGCTGTGATAAATCGGCGCAGCAGTACTATCAGCACGTTTCAACGGTGTTTTACCACAAACAACACTAGCACTTGACAGGGTTTTATCCTGTTGATAATCAAGATGGCGTTGGATATTCAGTCGCTGCAGTGAGGTATCCTGCTGTTTGAGGTCTTTACTTGTTAAAACATTACTCGATCTTCGACCTTTCTTCTCCTTTTTATCATGGAATTCTGTTTCGATTGAAATTTTCACACTATCGCATAGTAATTCTTTGGGAAAATTCGAGAATAAGGTAAGTTCAATGACGATTTCATTGTCCTGCATGACTGGTTCGTCGACGAGCCCCGTCTGGACGCACACACTGACGATTTTGATCATTTCTTTGAAAGGCACTATCAGCGTACGGTCGATTTGTGAGCCGTTTAACGCTTTAATCATTTCGTCATGGTACGACCAGCGGATCAGGTTGTCCATTTCGGGGGCGGCAGCGGTCGCGGCGCATGCGCGCACGAATTTACGTATATCGTTGCATTTCTTGTAGCATTCGGCCAGCTCGATTTGTGTTTGCGCTGCCAATTCTCGCCAGTTATCCTCCTCGAATTGTTTGAGCGCATCATTCAAAAATGCAGCAGATTTTTGTAATTCACCTAAAAAATATTTTTTTAATTAAAATTAATTTTTAAAAACTAAAATCTTAATTTTTTTACGCACCAAGTAACAGATAAAATGAAGCGACTTCTTTTCCAATGATACGCGCTAATCTTCTTCTTCCGATATGCTTGTACGTCCCCATCGCAAGTTCGGCTAGTTCAAGGTACGTCTTGTTGAATGAATTTTGTGAACACAACGCCTGCTTTAGTTTGTCAGTTGGTGATGGACAAGCAGGCCGTCCCGGATTATCACCCATTCCTGCAGAGAGATAAACCACCATGTGAAGTTGATCCGATGACGGTGAATCGCCCGGCATTAAACCGCACAGCTCGCCAAGAAACCGTAACTGTAAATAATTTACGTTTTTTTTATTCATTTCGAAAAGATAGTATTGTTAGTTTTACTTTTTGACTTGCGTACGCCCACAAACTGGCAGTGTGCGTGGAATACGCCTCGATTTGCTCGGCCTGGTTGTGTTTCTCGCAAGCGTGCAACACTTCCATACAGGCGAGGAATAACCAACAGGCAACTGCACCCTGCGGTGCCGTTATTTCTAAAATTACAAGTTCCCGTGTGCAGGAGTGTAAAAATGGCAGACATCTTGACGCAACCTGAAATATTTCAAATATTGAGGTTAAAAACTATTTTTTACACTTATTATAACCAAAATTACCTCCCAAATTTTATTCCCCAATAATAACATATGCGCTTGTTTCGCATAGAGGTAAGCCCTCAACTCCAGCAGTGAAGGATCATCAGGAAGAACACACGGACCTAATTTCAACGAATGCCAACGCTGCAGCGGCATCTGGAAGTCCTTCAACCAATTAACATTCTCCCCAACTGGTCCATTGACAACAAATTGCGAAAAAAGCGCGTCCAATTCATCGTATTGCACTAATGCCTCATCATACAAGCCTAACATTTCCAAAACCTGCGCCAATTCCTCTTGGAGTTTAAAATATTCCATAAACTGCCATCCGTGCTCGTTGCGTTTTTCTCTTTGCTGCCGTACATGATCTTCCAATTTCGCAATTGCCTTCGCATAACTGATTAACACCAACTGACGAATTCGCACGACCAATCCACGCCATGAATCCGCTGTGCGCACCTCGACTTTTCCGGGATTTATGACTGAAATACATCGATCGCCATGTTTGGTCGCAAAATCACTTCGTATTTTGTCTAGGACTGTTGTTCTTGGTAGGAGTTTATTTGCCCTCTTGCCATCGAAATTTTCTACTACAACTATCAACCAATCAGGAATGTCTTTGTTGGTTAACTCTTTTAGCCAGTCATCAATGTCTTCTTTTACATTAACTTTGTATAAATCAACATCCTAAAATATTTTACAATTAAATTTAATTAATATTTACTATTTTTGTGTTTAAATAAACTTACACTGCATTCAGTCCAATAAATATGAAAAAGTGGTTGTCTTATAAGATCCCATTGAGTGTTCTTAGGCAAACCTTTAGGACTAAATGGTGCAAAATTAGCACCAATATGGACATCCCGAATACTTCTTCCTAAAGACCTCCGAAATTCACAGGTGTCCTCTGGTAAAGCCGCAGTGAGCGCATCTTCAATGCCAGCAAACACCTCCAATTCCCCAGCACCTTAAAACATATTCATGAATAAATCCCAATTGCAAACTTGTTACCAGCCCAAACATGGTGTCTGATAAAGATGCAATCTGTACTCACAGGTAATGATAGGCTTTCTATCGATAACAGTTGTTTCATGGGGAGTAACACCGTTCATCGCTGCGATTCTCGCCCAACTAGGACCAGGTCAACATGTTGTTAGTGATTAATTAACGCGCACTGCACCACGGCGGCGATAAAACTGTTTGATTGTTTATCATTGCGCCAGTAGTGCCGACGATAGTCAAAAAATCGGTTTGTTGCAAGTGATTACAGCGGTTTGCAAGTGTAAATCGAATGGTAATCGAGCACGAAACTCACGCGAATACGAATGATACGAGTGAACTGAATTCCAGTTGCCAGACCGTGCGTCAAATGTCAATTATGTTGGTTAGCTTACAAGGTCACCAATGTCAAATTATAGAAAATAAACCGAGTGTTGTCGAAACATTTTGAACTATTTTTCATATTTTTTACTTTTAGGCAGTAAAAACTCCAAAAAAGGTTACAAAAATGATTTGTTTATATTATTTCTATAATTTAAACAGTATAAAATCATTCTTTTTGCTCATTTAGCAAAATAAAGTAAACAATTACATAAAATCAATACTGTAGTTTTCTGCGGCTTCATCAATCACTTCTTCAAGATGTAATTTCCGCACTTCCGGTGGCAATTCGACGTAGTCATTTGTCTCCCACGCGTCCTCGCCATTAGTGTGGAATGTCCCCGGCGTAAGCGCCGTTTTCAACGGTTTGCCATTTTCATCCAATGACAAATACTTCTCTAAATCATTGGGTATACCTTCTCCCGGATGAGCGTTTTGAGGAATGGGGATATCCTCGTCTAATTTATTCAAGAATGTTTTGGTAAACTGGAAATGTTCAGGTAAACAATGATGCTGAAGGCAGTAATACTCTCCGGTGGAATCACTATGACACCAGGTACCATCCGGGAAATATGGTGAGACTCCAAGGTCATTCAATTCGATTCTTGGCGTGTAATAACTTCCGGAATTTGCACGACGGCAGAAAATTGCACAACCCATCCATAAACGATCTTAAAAAGGTAAAAATGGTTATTTAGTGATTAATTTTAAGGTTATATTCTTACTTTCTTCATGAGGTGCTTGTAACCCTGCTCCTTTTGCATCTAACTGTGGTAACAACTTAGAAAACTCTTTACATTTACCAGATGCAAATTCACTTGATGATGACCTCTTTTTCTTTGCGCAAATTTTCTCATCTTTACATAACCCCACTTCAAAACTACTACCATCACATCCTGAGTCAGTATTAACAGGAAGTGGTTTATTACAAACTCGACGTTTTTCTTGGTACCCTTTACTTTTAAACGTACAACCGGAAGTGCAAGCTCCCAAATTCCACGGGCCCCAACCCCCGGGGATAACTTCAACTACTTTTGGAGGTTCTTTATTGACACATTCTCCTCCAAAGCAATATTTCTTAGGGCCACATTCTGTACCTTCCAAAGCAGGACCAGAATGGTAATATCCACTTCTATGAGGTGTCTTACATTGTAGGTTATAACAAATGGTGGATAATTGTTGACTTGGCGATGCAAACGCATCACGGTCAGTTAACAAAACTTCACATTGTTTTTTCGCTGTGTAAACTTGTCCTGGTGTATCTGCAAACTTTTTCTGGTCTAAATCAGGTTTGGGCCAGCCGCCATCAAGCAGACATTTTGCCCAGGAAAGACGTGACATTACATCACGACTACATGTGGACCATTGTGTCTCACCATTTGTACCACGTGAAGGGGACATGATAAAACCTTCTTTCGTACAGGAATTACCACTACTGTCATGGTGCATACCCAAACTACAAGAAACAAAACATAAATTAATATAAAGGTTATAATACAAAATGTTAGGTTAGTTTTACTTATGTCCAATTTCATGTGCCAAAATATAAACACTTGTAAAGCCTGCGCTAGGGTAAGGTTTTCCAAAAACATTGGTAGTTCCCAATTCAGCTATCACGCATGCGTACTTTCCTAAACAAACTCCGCCTACAGTAGCTAAACCCATGGTAACCCCACTTTTTCGGCCGTTTTCATAAGCAAAGAAATCAAGCCTAAAATACGAATATTTTATGAATAAATTATCATTAATGCAAAAATAAAATTTACCCGGAAACATAAACAGCCATATCCCAATGACTAACATCCGAATCATCGCCTGGATTAATCGAATCTTGATACGAACAGAAGGAATCTAATAATCTGCTTCGTTCGCCATCATAATGTGGCATGGCCGCAGGTTGTTGTTTCATAATATCTAATCTTACAATAACAATTTCCAGCGTTTGTCCAAGACTTGGATGATGATATAATGCTTGGACGCCATTTAAATATGCCATTATCATGTCTTTTAGCTTAACATCGTCGTAGGACATGTAAGGAGCGAAAATGCGATATGCTGCTGCATCAAAAAACACTGCTAACTCCAAAGTATAACCACCTACTGGTTTGTTTCGTGCACGTTTGGAAAATCCGGATTTTATTATGTTTTTGTCTAGATCTGAGTTTAATAGTAGGGCGTCATTGAGGTTAGGTGTGTCTTCTGGGTTAATTTTTCGAATTATGTGTGGGAATTTGTCTTGCAGAGGTGAATTAAGTTGTTTTTTATGCAATGGAAGTATTTCAAGTGTTTTGTTTTTGTAAAATAGCAAACCATTCTGTAATGATTTAATTTTTGTTATTATTTTATAATATTTTTGTGTTTTTGAATAAATATTTATACTTACAAATTCTTTAGGAGTGCAAGCACTAAAAGCACCAACGTTTTCGCCGTCACGATGAAGATATAAGCAATTTTGGTTGTCTACATCACGTTTTTGTAATATTTTGACGCCATCTTGATCATGCACATAAGTTTTTAAATGTGGACTTATTAATTTGTTATTCTTCTTTAATTTCAAATCAATAGGTCTTAAAATAAATTGGTTTTTACATTAATATTAAAACAATTATGACTTTTTTTTACAAAACTTACTCTCCAAAAGCAGTAAATGAATAATCAACAACAGAATCGTCACTTCCGTCAGTTCCTGCTGCTTCGCGTTCCAACAATACTGGCATATAAACAATCTCGTATTCTTTTGTTTCATCTTCGTTGATTGGTTCGACGCCATCTTCTTTGTCAAATTGATGTTTTAAAGTTTTGTCTCTGATGTTGTCAAAATCAAAACTTCTTTCAGAATCATCATCAACGTAATGTTTCAACGAATTGTGACCCAAAATCTCTTCCAAAGTATGAACACTTAAACTCACAACAATTCCTATGTTATAAAACAGTAATAACTTAATAAAAATGTTCTCAAACGCCATTTTGGTTTCTACTATGTTAATTCACCGAATGATGTTATTTATTTGCGATGTTTTGGTTTTATAGAAAAAGTTCAGAGATTATTGTTTGTTTTGCGTAAAAAAATTAAATCATGCTGGTAGTAATTTATAATATTAAATTGAATTAAGTTTAAAATTAATGCAAAAATTGGCAAGCTGAACGTGTGAACGTGGCAATGAACTTTAAATTATTATGAATAAGAATTTTTGGTTCGGAACTTTTTAACAATCACTACCTGCATAAAAACAACATAACATGTCTTTCAGGGAATGACTACACTGATTACAGTTATAATCATCGTATCAAGGTGTAGTTATATATAATTAACAATTGTTTGTATTGAAATTTATCTGTTTTCGTTACAAACAAAGCAATATAACTGTATTTTTCGTACATCTCTCTGTATAGTGCACCTAAATGTAGGCAACATCACATACACCACATGATTCGTTCAAGGTTTTTAATGTTTGAAGGATCAAGGTGATTGATTGTGGAGAATTACGTTTTCCAGTATATTCCATAAGATTTTTGCATAATCACTAGTTACATTCAGTCTCAAACTAAGTTTAGAAGTGGAATAAACTTCAATATCAAGATGACGAGTACGAAAATTGAATTCGCTGTGCAAATGACATGCGAATCGTGTGTGAAAACAGTCAGAAAAGCACTGGAAAACGTGCCAGGCATCCAAAACTTTGATATAAACCTCACAACAGGCAGTGTTACAGTTGAATCTACTCTTCCAGCTCAAGAAATATTAAAAACACTACAAAGCACAGGCAAGAAAGCAGTTGTTAGAGGTTTGGGAGGCACCACAGCAGGAGTTGCTATTCTGGACACTGGTTCTGATTCAATAAAAGGTGTAGTGAGATTTGTACAAGAAGCAGAAGATGTATGCATTATTGATGGAACTGTTGATGGTCTTAATGCAGGAAAACATCAATTAAGTGTGCATGAATGTGGTGACACATCACAAGGTAAGATAAATTATAAAAAAAAGTTGATTTTTTGTCTTTAAAGTAGTAAATATTTTTGAATTTTGCAGGATGTGCAAGTGTGGGTGACTTTTTCAATCCAAAGAAATCTAATGGAAGAATTTATGGGGATCTAGGCTTTGTAAAAGCTGAAAAAGATGGAAGATCAGCATTTAGATTTGATGATTCAGTAATTAAACTGTCTGATATCATTGGGAGAGCATTGGTGATATCAGAAGCAACTACTGGCAAGAGATTAGCATGTGGAATTATTGCAAGATCTGCAGGACTCTTCCAAAATCCAAAAACAATCTGTGCTTGTGATGGAGTTACAATTTGGAATGAAAAAGTTGCACCTAATCCAACCTCATCATTGTAAATGTATGTTAATATTAATTCCAAAGGGTAAACATGTGATTTTTATGTAGATTTACGCTGGTTACGAAGGGAAACAATGAAGAAACAATGTAAAACATTTTTTGGTAATAAATATTTGTTGAATACTTAGGCAACCTAATATACTTCTCACTTGTGGGTTATTCAAGGTCGTCCTGCTGCGTTTGCTCTCGGCTCTGGTCTGCTGCCGCCTGCAGCGTCCGCGCCAGTCCGCAGCCTCCACCGAAGCGCGCTGAATCTGTTTAAAGGTCCCATTATGTATCCAGCTAATACGGTCACGCTGCGGCGCGTTGCATAGTCGTCCGTCGAAGTGGTCAGCGTTCAACAACGCGTAGCGCTCGCCACGATGCCTTATTAGCAAAACAAACACGCAGAAGAACGAGCACCAGGTGCGCGCGCGAGATGTCCAGCCGAAATCCGACCACGCTGATGACGATACCTGCGGAGGAGGCGTTCGACTTCTTGTTTAAGATTGTGCTTATCGGAGACTGCGGCACAGGGAAGACGTGCGTTGTGCAGCGCTTCAAAAACGGCACGTTTATTGAGCGTCACGGGAATACTATCGGTGTGGACTTTTCTATGAAGACCGTCGTTGTAGATGGCAAGAAAGTTAAAGTAAGCATAAAATTTCTTCTTAAATATTACAATTTTTAACTCATTTAATAAAATTTAAGCCTAATTCAACTGCAACTTTCAAAAATGAGATAAATTTCTTTTAAAAAAGTTAATTTTTGTGATTTTAAGCGAAAAGATGACTAAATTTCTATGAAATTTCCTTTAAAAACACCTAATTTTAATTTGTAGCTGCAAATTTGGGACACAGCAGGCCAAGAAAGATTCCGCACCATAACGCAAAGTTATTACCGCTCCGCAAACGGTGTTATCATAGTGTATGACATCACAAAACGTTCGTCCTTCCTGTCCGTCACCAAGTGGATGGAGGAAGTCCGACGGTACTCAGGCAGCGCTGTGATTGTCGCGCTCATCGGAAATAAAGCGGACGCCGAATCTCTGCGCGAAGTCGAATTTGAAGAGGCCGAAGCGATGTGCCAGTACATGCCCGAGGTGCTCTTCGTGTTAGAAACCAGTGCTAAAGAGAATTGCAACATTGAGGATGCTTTTCTGTGTTTGGCCACTGAACTAAAGGTAAGGCGGATACGCGCCTCTTGTTTGCTAATCTAAACTGTTAATTACCTATTCTCCAATGAGATAAAGTTGATTGTCTCTGGGTATTTTTTTCTCACACCCATCAAATTTCATTCAGCAGGAAGTCAGACAGGAAATAAACAGTTTTAGAATTTTGATGCTGCTATAACGCATTCGTTTGTCTTAGAAGATTTTTGTTTAAATTTAATTAGTGAAATTTCAGTCGAATATTATAATTAATTAGTATTATTACTGTTTAAATTAGTAATTTAGTGAAAATCTCTGCGGCGGCCATTATTTTTTTGTTCTGTTGCCATAGAAACAAATTCATCGTGCGTACGTCAAGTGTCAGTAATTATATCATTACAAATGCAATTTTTTACTGATTTAACGGAGATAAATGTAGTTTCAATGCTATTAGCTTGCACCGTGAACTAATTTTTAATTTGTTTGTGTTTTGTTTTATTTATAGAGGCGGCACGAAGCTGGCCATCTGCTGATGGACGATGAAGATACAGTGCGTCTGGGTGAAAGCCGCTCGATATCAAAATGCACAATGTGTTCAACTAACACATAGCGAAAATTAGCATCGTACATAATTCATTTGCTTTTATCTTCAACTTTGTTTTGTTTTTTATGTTGTTTTTGCAAGCGTTTGCATCCAAAGATTCTCATTATTTATTTACCCAAGTCTTCAAATGCAGCCAAATGTACTGACTGCGGACGAATGTGCCTTGAAAATTTCAACTGTAACTAAACGCATGAATCATACATACACACGAATATGACAATCTCACCCACGCCCCACTAACAAGCCAACAAACCGACTCATCTCGAACGCTTTAATTAATTTAATTATAACTTAGTTAGCATAGCAATATACCAGCAATAAACGCGTCGTTGATTAAGTAATCAACAACCAAATGGCAATAAGGCAATGCAATACTCACGATTAGTTATTTATTAATTAAATGTTTATTTTTACGCGTATCGTACTTGCCGGCCATGCCAATGTTTATCACGGAGTGTACTTGATTTAGTATTAATAGCTTATTAAAAAAAAGAGAAGTTTAATTATTTAATAATTAATTTACATTTAACGCAAATTTCGATGTGTGGAAAGTGTCGGGGAAATTATTTTTGTAGCCGATTACACTTACTTGTAAGACAATTATTTTCGTACAATGGAAAACATGAAGAGTCACGACACAGATATATGAAAATATCGCAAGGGTGTAAAATTAATTCTTAATTACTCATCAAGTCGATAATTGTATTCTCCATAAACCACCGCATCTGTAAAAATCGAATAATAAAACAATTTAACTGCCTAGAAGATAAGAATTGCAATATTTACTGGCAGGATTTTATCCAGCGTTGATCCCACGCACGAATTGCGGCTGTTCTCGTCACTGGAATTGTTCCGGCGGAGTTTCCACATCTGACACATTGCTTAACGCAACCGGGAGTTTTACCCAAGTATAAATGTCGCACTGCGTCTACTGTTTGGCCATTATTCGAGTCATACACACTTAGGGCATCCGGCTCTACCATAAACTCCAATAACAAAGGTATATGTTGTGCTAGTTGATGTGAGGCGAGCACAACTCGGTTTTGTTGATGTTGCAGGTGTTGGATTTGAACTTGGCTTGGTAATAATAAACATTCATCTAAAAATTAGAAATTAAACGTTATAAAAATACAAAAAAAAAACCAATATCTAAGTATTGATAAAATATACCTATTAGATTATCATCAGGTTCAGCGACATTCTGCACCAGGCGACTTAAAAGTCTAAAAACCAACGCTAATACATCCAAATTGGCATCGGATTTGGTGAAAACAGGAAGACACGCGGGTCGCAATAATCCCCAAATACGAATCAAAACCAACATCTCTCGCAGAGTGTTGAGAGCCTTTACATCACGCAACAACTCGTATTGTTTGTTCACTGATGGTCTGCAATCGGCGAGTTTAACGAGCAGATTTAACGCAAGATCTGAAATCCATTGAATCAACTGCTGAAGACTTTGAAGCGTAGATGGTTCAACAGTGAACTCTTTAGCTTCCAGATGCATGAGAACTTTGTCTACATCACTTTGTCCCTCAGCTATCACACCTAACAAACAAAAAGATAAAATTTTTAAGATTTAAACACAAATAATTTAAAAAAATATTATTCACTTACTTGAAAGTGAATCAGCAGGACTCTTATCATGACTACTAATCTCACTAGGTCTCAAAAGACTCTTAAACGCAGTGGAAATACTGTGCAACATGAGAAACTGCGATAAATCATGCGCTTTCATTTGTCCTTGCGCACTCAATCTAAACAATTCAATTACAAACATAAAAAACTTACAAAAAATACAAAAATACAACAAAATCATTACCTATAAAGTGAAGTCTTGATACACAAATACTGTACATAATAAAATTGCTGGATTGCTGACGTTTGCCGATTGAAACTCTCTGTGAATCGATCGCATAATGGATCAATCATCCCTGGACGCAGCACAAGTAATAAATCCAACCAATCCAAACCTGTCATAAGACAATATTCCAACATTGTAGTGGCATACGGGACACTCAACGGTGTAGAACTATCAATCTGCGGTGGAAGTTTAATAATGTGCAGATGACTGTCCACATCAATCACAACCAGGATATTCCCCAGCCACGACATGTCTATTTGTACAATCTCGGGTGTTATCCGTGCGAATTTATGCGCATCTTCATGCGCGATGGACAAAGTTGTGTTACAGATTGGTTTAAGAGAATCACGGAACAAACAGTGGATAGAACTGTCTGAAAATGCAGCTACGATATAACTGCTTGATAGATTGTTGAGGAACGTGAGTTTCCCGGTGGCCAGTGAGAGGATTTTGTGTTTATATTGAAAACTTGATTGATATTGCCATAACTAAACAAAAAATGCGAAATTTTAGTTTTAACTTTTGAAAATTTTTCATGTTTCTTACCACAGTGTTGAATGTTTTAAGTTCTGATGATCCTGCAAGTGCTTCATGTACAGGCAGAGCTTTTTCTCTAAGTTCCCATACTTGTAGACAACTCCCGAGGTCGTTACCAACTGCTACGACTAAAGAATCGGCGTCTTCACGCATCACCCAGTTGAGGAAACGCACTTGACCGCCTTGTTTGTCGTTTAGAAGCTCATCCACTGAATAAAAATGATTAACAAAACATAAAAATAAAGTATTTCATAACTTCATACTCATTCCATCTTTATTTCCCTCGAAAATGAAGAACGATGGCAATGCTTCGCTGGAAATTACGCATTTATCATCTCCTTTGCGAACTGAAACTTTGTAGCATTGCACAGGCATCGTCAGGTCGCCATTACTCACGGCCAATAAAAAGTGTCCATCTGAAATCATCATGATTGTAATATAAAATGGCCGCCATGTTTATTTCGAAAATCACTGTGAAACTCACTTTTTCCATAACAAATGTCGGCGGTTTTGATAAATAATCTGGTTGGTCCTAAACTTTCAGTTACAACAACTGGTGTAATAGGTAATTGTTGTCCTTGTGACTGCATTGCATTAGGAATAATTACAGCCGCGAGTAAACCAGTTGATGTTAATATCAATGCGCCGCTTGCAGGACGTCCGCCGAATTGTTTGACAGAACATGCAAACTTTACATGTTGGAACTTCTCCATGTAGGAGAGACTGTCTTTCTTTTCTTGATTTAGGCATATCTAAATAAGTATAAACATACAAATGAGTAATTTATGTTGAAAAAATGTCTTTGATGTTTACCTTTCGACCTAAATGAAAAAATGCCGTCGCTAAAATTGGTTCTCCCTTTAAAACAGTCTGTAATGTGAGAACCCATTCATTTAACAAGTGATCCTTGGCTTGGTAAATCCTAACTGTGCCTGAATCATCAGCCACTAGTAAATATTCACCAGAAAAGTCCCATTGCAGGACTTTTACTAGGAAAGCACTGGATAATATTCTACAATATTAATTTATAAATTAATTATGAATAATTATTTGTGTTAAAATGTAATATTACTTATGTGCAGTCCATGGTGTGTTCAAATCAGAAACATAAACATGTGAACCATAAGTTCTGATGGTGTTATCTTCAACATCTGTTTTTGTGGTGAAAGCAATAACATTGTTGCTTGAAATTGAGGAAGTCACAACATTATTTAAACTAAAACACATGATAAATATCTCATAATGATTGTACAATAATAAATTATGTTGATATACCTATGTTAACAGTGATTTAGCATTGTTTTTGTTTAATTTATGAGGATAATATAATTATTCAACTTACGAATAGAACGCTTCGATTCCTTTTGTTGGTTTGCGGCGAACAGAGAACAAATGATCCATTTCTTACGAGTAAATTGGAAAATACACTAACAACTTTAACAATTAAACATAAAAGTAAAGTTGTTTGGAAATTTAATATCAATTTATAATCATTTATTGCGTGTTTTGTGAGGAGCTTGGTAAATATCGAATAACAAACTGTTGAGGTTATGATTGGATATCTTGAAGCAGGGTTTCCCAACTGTTTGCATTCTTTTATTTGAATGAACACCTCAGCCAACTTCATATGAAGTAGAAACTTATTCTTTCAATTATTTGTTGATTCCAAGGAGACCTCGATAAAATTAGGCTCCAAATTGAATAAAGTACAAAAAATTAAAAACTTTGGATACATTTGGCAATTTACTAGAAAATTCATAGAGTATTATAGACAAGTAATATCAGTTTATCTTATGTTTTTTTATATAATTTTTATTACAAATTTAAATAAACATTGTATAACAACAACTAATCACTCTCCATCTCCTGTTCAACTTCCATTTGCGTCTCCTCCTCATCCTCACCCTCCATGGGCTTGTTCCAATCCTTCATCTTATTGCTCTTCATCATAAAATCATTCGTCAACACTTTCCAAGTAGAAACATCGCTATTTTTAACCTGGGAATTTGATTGTGTTTGAGCTTGACTTCCAACTTCAATTGATTTGCTCTTGTCGCCCATAAGATTGTCCAAAAACGAACATTTATCGATGCTCTTAAACACTTTGTCTCGCTTAACTTCCAAAGGTCCAGCCTTATCCAATTTTGTCTGGATGTCTTTCTGCTGTTGTTTAACGGCGTTGAACAGTTGCACGACGCCTTTTGTTGCTATTTTCGCTAGTAAGCGCTCGCGATCCTTCTCGAGAACATTTGGTTTCACGCGCAGACATTGAATATCACGTTTCTAGATCAAAAATATATACATTTTAATCAATTGTATATGTTTACAATAATTACTTGTTTGTATTAGGCATATATTATGCAATATAGTAATTTGTATTATCTCTAGTTTAAATTAAATTGATAAGGCAATATTAGTTTCAACTGTTTAAAATATAAATTCTACATAGGCAACCAACATAACACTTTAAAATAACTAGGCTACAACTAAACAAGTCTTCTACATAAAATACACTCAGTGTAAGCAAAACTTCCAAACAAAACTCAAAAAATCAAATATTATATATTAAGATATTAGTATGTTTCATTATTTCAAATCAACACATACTTTTTTACGTGGCGGTCCTTCGGGAACATCTTTTTTGTCTGTATCTTCCTCTGGCAGGATCTGCTCTTCCGCAATCACACCATCTTCCTTCTCCACTTGGAAACCAACTGGCTTTGGTTTAGCTTTAACTGGATCATTCAGTTTCTTTGCTTTGGACAGTACAAGAGTCTTCTTTTTCTTAGGTTTATTTGTTTTCAAAATCTTGGCTATTGAGTCAGCCCAGCCTATGTTGGTATCATCACCTTCCTCTGCATCTTCATCACCTTCATCATCCCCATCGTCATCAGATTCATTCTGTTCTTGATCATCAACTGACTCTTCCTCAATATTTTCATCATCTTCTTCTTCATCCTCGTCGTCTTGTTCATTAGAATTCACTTCTATGTTATGTGTCTGTGGGCTTTCTGCTGGTGAATCTTCAACGGCATGTGCAAGTTCTTCTTCCTGCGACGAGAATTCTTCATCGCTACTGTCCGAGTATGTTTCGGTGACCACAGCACGCGGAGTTACAGCCATCTTCACCGTCATTTTTCTATGCAATGCTATTAACTAATTATAAATTAATGATTATATATCATTGACTCGTGTTGTTTCAATCGAACAGTTTGTGTGAACTCGTCAGCGTGATGTGATTGCACATGTGAAACTTTTTGGTTATTTTCCATTATTTTGCAGCAAGCGTTTTGTGACATGATTGACAAAGATAGAATATACACCTGAATATAAATTTAAAATTCATGTTTTTATTATAAACAATCATAAAATAAAGAAAAGCTTTACATTTAACTAAAATAATGCTTTAATCTATATCCTGTGCTTAATTTTTCCATCTGAAATGTTTATTGTTACACTTGAAGTTTAAAACAGTCTGTAGATGAATTTAGAGGTCACACTGTTCTTTGCCAGTGATTTCCAGCAAGTCCATCAAAACTTTATGGTGTTTAGGCTATAAGAGCCTCATTAAATACATAAAAATATATATTTGACTCATCTTCGTCATCGCCAACGGTGTAACGCATACGTCGCTCATTTTCCCCCGTTTTTTTACCAATATTGACGATGGTATCGCTTTCTTTACATGCGTTACTTTCGCTTGATTTACATAAGAATTCCAAAAGTATAATACATTCGTATTGATGACCGACTCGTCAATGGTTGTACAACTGAATATTCCAGTAAGTTTATTTATACATTTGTTTATATTTAGATGTACTTTATGTTTACACTATTATATGTGCTGTTTTGTAGAAGATTTATCTCGAAAAGCTCTCTATTGGTCAAGGATACTTGCAAATATTGGTAAAAATAAGTAATTCCTTCCAAAAATGATTGGAAACTGTGTCAGACGTTGTTTGAGCTTGGGTAAAGCAAGCAGAATGTGCAGTACTGGAGCAAAAGAGTTGCAATTGCAAGCATTGAATGAGAAATGCTTCTTGGTGACACCAGAGGATAAAATCATTGGGACTGCAAGCAAGAAGGAATGTCATTTGGTGCAGAAAGATGGAAATATACCTTTGCATAGGGCATTCAGTGTGTTTTTATTCAATACACAAGGACAACTGTTACTTCAGAAGAGAACACCAGAGAAAGTCATTATTTTACATTTAATTAATACAATGTGTATAATTTCGTCTTCTTTTTTTGTTATAGATAACTTATCCTAGTCATTTTACAAATTCCTGCTGCAGTCACCCAATTGCCGACGTACCTGGCGAAGATGAAGAAGAAAATAACATGGGAATATTGCGAGCGGCGCAAAGAAGACTTAATTATGAGCTTGGAATCTCAGTTGATCAAATACCCATACAAAACTTTAATTACCTGACGCGAATTCATTACAAAGACCCTGGAAACGGTCTTTGGGGCGAGCATGAAATTGACTATGTTCTATTTCTGCAAGCGGATGTTAAAATGGTGCCGAATCCAAGCGAAATTTCGCAAATTAGTTTTGTCCCAAGAGACAGTATCGATGAACATGTAAAGGTCCTGGAACCATTAACACCTTGGTTTAGGTTGATATACCAAACACGTTTGAAATTATGGTGGGACAACTTGGACAACCTTGAGAAATTTAAAGATCATGAGAATATATTAAAGTTGTGAAGTAAATTATACAAGAAAACAAGTATTATATTTAATTTTACTTATTAATTCATCACCAGGGAGTTAAAGTTAAATGTTGGATGTGTTTTATAGCAAATAAAAGTTTAATTCACCAACTAGATATGTATGTATATCTTATGGTTTATTTCAGATAGTATTGTTTGTTGATGTTGCATTTTTTATTTGAAAATTTAGGCAACTTTTTAAACTTGTTCAAAATTTAAAGGTCGTTTGATTTTCCCGCTACAAACAAGCATGCTGGCATAACCTGTATGAAAAGCAACAAAGCCGCATTATCAAGGTAAAAACGTGCGGTGAATGCGCAAATAACGTGGGTTTCATAAATAATTACCCCAGTTTAGAATCAAGTGAGCGCTTATTTTTACTAGCAAAGCGGTTATTGGTTAATAAACAAAAAAATTGTTTTACAAGTACGACTCGTACCAACCTGACAAACAATAAATTTATAAAATAATTCAAACAAAAAACCAATATATTAATATAAAAACCGAGTTGATATTACATCAAAAATTAAATTTAATATTTAAAAATAAGTATAAATTATATAAGCCTACTTTATATTGAATTATTAATATTTTAAACTAAATTTGAAAGTAAATCTAGTGTTCCAGTGCGATGTTCGGTTGGCAGCGCTGCGCCGATCATAAAAACCTGAATGACATTTGTCAAACATCAAACAATTAACAGCACACAATAAACACGGAGATTTTTCACGAATTAACAAATAAATCGATCGAGGAATTGTCGCCGAAACGCAATCCATCGCCGGATCAAAGTCTGCAACACATCTGCGGTGCTGGGACGGCCGCAGCGACGGCGGACTCTCGCTGGCATAACCTTACATGACCTGTCAAGTGAAACTAATTGTCCTGTGAGGCAAATTGTTGTTACAAAACAACGACGAGTCTTGAAAACGCGTTGTGTAACTGCGGCCGGAGCTGCTGGGGCCCACAATGTGCGCGCTGTCATCGGTGGCAACAGTGCTGTTTTGGGTGTGAGATGTAAACAAGTGACTCTGAGGAGTGAGCACTGGGCATCAATGAAGAACTTACACACAGCCAACATGATCAGGAATCCCAGGCTGAATGGCTTTACAAAGACAACATCTAAGGTGGAGAAGGCACTGCATGTTAAGAGCAAGCCTGATGTGTTGACTGACACAAGTTTGATGAGTTTGGTCAGTGAGAAGGCACAGATTATTGAACAAATCCACAAGCAAAATGATGAGACTAAACAACAGCTACCTTTGCACAGTATTATAGGTAAATTTTACTTTTCTTCATATTTATCAATTAAAACTTATAGTTGAAGTTGATTTTTGTTTAAAATATTTTGTTGTTGTTTTCTAGGAATAAGTACCGACGAGAAATTGTTGATAAAAGCGGCAAAGAAACCGCGCACGAAGAAAGTGAACAAATTCGGCCCGCACCATGAAACCCTCCAGCGGATAGAATGTATCAATGAGGATCAGTACAATCATTACCAGAAGCACTGGTTCAGCGCCGGTCTGGAGCGATTGAAGATCGAAGACAGATCGCGCGAGGAGCGATTGGAAATCACCCGCTATGAGCTCAAACGCCACCTTAAGCAGCTGATGCGCGCCAATGTTGGCCGAGAAGCGCCCTTACCGCAGCTTTTTGACTGGCGAGAAGTGGTTCAGCGTCATCAGCGCGAGCGACGGAGTCGTGCAAGCAGCACGCGCTTAGTTCGACCGGTAAATTGCGATGCCGATGGCTGCAAGAAACCGGCGCTGCCGTGCGCTCGCCAATGTCCTTTACATATTATGCGCAATCCCGATCAGGTGCTATTCAACGCGTGCACCGCCAAATTCGCCGACAATACCCAGTGTTCCGTTCCAGTGTTCGACGTTTTGCACGAACTACCTCTATGTATCGAGCATGCTCGAAAACGAGTAAGTATTTTCTTATTTCTTTCTCAATATTTTTATTAATTTAATTTAAAAAATATTTTAGGACAATTATAAATTGTACCAAGATGCGAAACCAAAGAAAATCCGAAAAAAATCAAAACCCAGCGCGATGATTCGACCCCAAAAGCGGACCAAGAAGAAAAAGAAGCCGCCGACAACACCGCCAGGCGCCACACTACCGCCTCCCGCATTAAATTCCGTTTCCACCTCAGTGGACGCTGTCGGAATCAACGCCAGCGCTCACAGACAACCCCGCCGCTTACATGAGCGACACGATAGAGACCATCGAGACGATTGAAGTTCCTAACCCGAGTAATATCCTCGACGCGACGGAGATCGCCGATGATCTCATGACGGACGTGCCCGAAGATGTCACCGAGGATCTCGTCAATGACGAGATGGTGAATCAAGTGCTCGCGATGCAGGAGCCGGACGCGTTGGGTCAGGTGCTCGCCAACCAGGCGTCGCATCTTCTCGAAGAAACCGACATCTCGAACGTGCTCAGCACGATACAAGCGGACGAATTCAACGATTTCTTCACGGTGAATCGCAACGGCGACTATGAGCCGACACGCGAGGAAACCGAAGAATTGGAGCGTGCGCTTGCTGCGGTTGACAATGACGTCAAATCCCTGGAGAAACTCAGCCAGACGCAGGGACTGCTCGATAACTTCCTGGACGATCACATGGTGGAGTCGTTTGTGCAATCGAGTATCGTCTCCGACGTGTTTCACAACGGATTCAACACCTGCGGCGAGAATATTATGGTTGGGCAAACGTCGCGGTTGCTCTCCGTGCAGCAGAACTCTCATTCGTAATCCACGCTCTTTTTTTCAAAGTGGATGTTTAACGAGAAAACATTTGGGAGTTGGAGGGTGTGCAAGTGTGCGTGTTGAAAAACATAAGTGTAGCGATGTCAGTCAGGCATAAATTTAACTCGTAACTAAAGAAACAAAAAAAAAATTACTAAAAAATTAGAACAAAAATGCATCCAGTGCATTGTAGGCAAATTCAGGGCGTGATTTTTCAATGTTAAGCTAAGGAACTACTAGGAATTAGACGATTATATTCGCGATGTGTGTCGAAATTGTTATTTTTTTAAACTGGCAACGACACAAATTGATTTTAGAAGTCCCTATCAGACGAGTTGGGTTCATTTTTTTGGGGATACGAGGTGGGTCAAGGCACAAAATTGATGAAATTGTTGTGTTGACGTGGATTTGGTTAATTTTAGACTGCAGCAGTGAAGATAAAATACGCTTTGTACATTTTTTTAAACCGAATCAATTTTAGTGATTAGTTTTTTGCACCCAGCGCGCGCGTATCACACAATCGAATATTTTATTTTGGTAATACAAATTCATAAATAAAACAAAACGAATGAAAATTGTGGATATTTGTTGTTCAGCTTGAAGATATCTTCTGGGAAAGGTTGATGGAAACGCTTTTGTGGATATAACTTTAAATGCACCGCCAAAATTTAATATTTTTTTAAATTTTAGTTTCTACATCACACCTCAAACACTCCTTTTTGGTTTGGATAGAATTACTGAACTTGTAGCGCCGTTCGCAAACAAAATTATTTAGATTGTGATTATTTTCTTTAATATTTTGAAGGAAAACTAATGTACACTTTATTTTTGTAAGCAAATCGCATCAAAATCGGTGCTGGAATCTCAACATGTTGAAAAAATTATACTTAGGCAAATTGGTGTGCACGAATCGGTAAATTAGGTTATAAAATTGTCCGACATTGTTTCTCACTACGATGTGCAGCTTTAAAACTTATAACAAAACACGTAGAACTCAAACATTGTGATCGCAACCTCCACGATTACGACACTCACAAGATGGCCGTCAATAGATGATGGCCATCTTGAAAGTACGAGAAACTCTTGGAAACTAATGGGATAACAAAAAACGGAGACAAATGAATAAAACGCATTTGATTAGTTTGTAATGTCTGTAACGAAATACGCTTCTCTCTATTTATTTTTAAATTTAATTTTACCGTCGCTAGGGCGTCAGGAGCGGAATTATTGCATCAATAATTCATCTCGCAACAATTCGTCAGTGTTTGCATTCTGCAAAATAAACAAAACACAGATGAATCATGTAAAATATTGTATAGATACCAGGATGTGACGAGATAATACTTTTAGTTGAGGTTTGTAGTTTGATTCAATTGTTTTCCGCCATCAACACAACAACTAAAAACAGGAATAACATTTCGTCCATTTTGAAATATCGTCATGACTTGTTAGAAACACCTCTCGGGAAAACAGTGAATCGAAAACAATTGAACAAACGCAACTTCAACTGCTTATTGTACGAATTTACGTTTTATGTTTCTGTTCGTTATAATTCACGACTTCACTGATTAGCATTTCTGTAAGCACCACCAAAGCAGTGCAGAGAACAAGAGCAGATTTAAACTACAAACAGGGCTAAATGTTTTTGATATCGTCTATGTTGTCTCTGTATTTAATGTAAACATGCAACACACATTTCACTTATAAATCCGGATTTGATATTTGGTAGAGATTTTGTTGTGCGTGAAACAAATGAATGTGAGCAAGCGTCGAGAGTGCGCAGTGGGTGAAACTTTAGAAATTAGCGTAATTAATGATATCAAGAAGACGAAATGACTATAGATTACCATTAAGTGCGACGGTTAAAAATTGGAAAAAATGGTGAAACGTGTAAACAAACAAAAAAAAACAGGATAAAACTAAAAATGAACATTTTACGATACGTGTACATATATACTGATCATGATCAATTAAACTTTAAGTTGTAGAATGTCTATGTTCATTTTTAAACGTCACAAGTCGCCTACCACGCATAACCTCAATTTTAATCTATTTTTTGTGGAAAACTTACTTGTTTTAAGTTTTATTTTCAGTCATTCGTCACTTTGGAGACCAATTCTTAGATATTCTTCAAAATATTCAAAATCTACAAGTGAACAACATTAATTACTCTTTAATTTACATTTGTACGTCAAAAAGTATTTATTTTGTAACATTTCAACTTACTTATTGAATTTTCACAGCCGCTCGCATCTTAGCCGACCTACTCCTTGGATTATCTTCAACTTCTTGAAATTCCGGAAGAATAACATGCTTATGCAGCATTTTCCAGTTGCTATCCATGGCTTCCTGCACCACTTCATCATCAATCTGCAACGTGCTGCTCATATACTTCAACGGTAGCGGATTAGCAGTATTCGCGACAACATTTCCGGAAATATGCCGCTTTACAATTGTATCTTCCAAGGAATGAAAGGTAATTGTAACCAATCTCCCAGCAATCTTTAAATAATGCGCCGCCATTATCATTCCATAGTTAATTTCATTCAATTCGTTATTTACGAATATCCGTAATGCTTGAAATGTTTTTGTAGCAACGTGTGAAGGCCTCTGAAGTTTATCTTTAAGGTAAACATCTTCAGCATAACAAGATTGTACTAAATCAGCTAATTCTTCAGTGGTTGTTAATCTTTTAAAAAGATATCTTGCTTCAATAATGCCGCGGGCTATTTTGCGTGCGTGTTTTTCTTCTCCGTAATATTTTAAGATCTTGTACAAGTCTTCCTCGGTGACTGATGCGAGAACATCGGCTGCTGTAGGTTCTCCAGGTGTTGGTGTCATGCGCATATCAAGCGGTCCGTTTTTCGAGATGGAAAAACCTCTGTCCGCTGTGTCGAATTGCATTGATGAGCATCCAAAGTCAAATAAAACGCCATCGAGTGAATTACGTTTTATATTATGTTGTTGAAAAAGAACTGGAAGGTCCGAAAACTTTCCTTGTAAAGGAATAACACGTCCCGGAAATTCTTTGCTTAGTTCTTCAGCGTATTGTATTCCAATTGGATCTCTATCCAATGCTAGGATTTTACAAGTTGGTGATGATTCTAGTATTGCTCGACTGTGGCCACCAGCGCCGAAAGTTCCATCGAGGATTAAACCGGTTGGTTTTAAGTATGATAATACTTCATCTTTCATTACAGGGATGTGTGGTTTATCAACTTCTAGCTTTTCTACTGATTCTAATGCAAAATTTCGCAATGATTGCGAAAATTGCGCTAATGGTCTATGAATATTCTTAAATCTATACATTTTGTTTGTTTCTTTGATGTGTTTATTCTTTTTCTTTAGTTTTCTCACTAGAACTAAACAGTTTTTTATAAACTGGTTTGTCTTCCTGTTCTAGGTGCTCAAGAAATTCGTTTGATAGCGCGACTGTACACTGATCTAATGTGAGGCCTGTTGCACTTGATGTATTGATTCTTGGGTATTTGTTGCCGTGCTCGTTGTTGATCAAGCGTTGAAGAGCAAGGAATTGTTTGTCCCAATGTTGAGGGTTTTCTTGGAGTTTTCCGGTTTTATAAGAGTGCTGGACAAAATCTCTTAGAAATTGTCCAATGTCCCTGCATAATTATTCAATGAGAATATGATATTATTAGGTGTTTATCATTTGAAAACTAACTATTCACTATTTTTAGATGCTTGTGAATATTATTTTGCTTTTACATAAGAGTTATTCATATTTATTTCGAGAAATTTCGAAGTTTTAAAGCAGGATGGAATGACATACAACCAGAAATAACTTCTAAATTAAATAGATTAGTTACTTTACCTTCCAGCTTTGTTGTGATCCAAGGGCCAACGTTCCAGAAGAGCTGTAATTCTTTTAAAATTCGCAGCCATTTCTCTTCAAAACAAACGGAGACGGTGTACGTTTCTGAGGTTAGGAATTCACCTCAACACATGCTTCTGACATATCTGTTATTATTTTTAAATTATTAATGATTTATCTAGAAATTATTTGAACTAATTATTCCTAGTAAGATTTTTTAATACCTATTATGTATTAAATAATGTTTATGTCTTTCATATAGTTTACTATAGTATTGTGGCAAACTTTTTTATATTTTATAAGCACAGAGTAATAAATAACAAACTATTTCCTGCGTAGATATTATAAGATTCTTTACTTTATAAATGACTCTAGGATAGGATTTAAAACTTTAATTTGTGAAGACTGTAAAGTTACCTATGCATTGTAAGTAAAAAAATATAGTTTAAAAAAACTAAAAAACACAAGCTTTTATGAGAAATCTAAATAAACTTACATACATAATTATTTTATGAATAATTTATTTTGTACCCTGTATCTCCTGAAGTAATTGATTTTTTTGGAGTTTCTCACCGCCATGTCAGAGGTCGAGAGTCCCTCTACGTAACGCATGCCTATCAAACCTTGTAGCCCTTCCACAAGTACTTTGTAATGCCCTTTAAAAATTAGCATTTTTCAAAGAAAAAAATTAAAACATAGTGCGGAAAACACCCTGTATCTCGTGAACTAATTGACTTTATTGATATTTCTCACTGCTATGTCAAAGTTGGAGAGTTTTTCTACACGACGCATATTTTTTCAACTCCCTAACCCTTTCGGAAGTGCGCTAAAATGCCCTTTAAAAATAAGGATTTTTCAAAAAAATTAAAAACATGGTGTCAAAAACACCCTGTATCTTGTGAACTATTTGACTTATTTGATGTTTCTCACTGCTATGTCAGAGTTCGAGAGTTTTTCTATACGACGTATATCTTTTCAACTCCCTAGCCCTTTTACAAGTGCCCTAAAATACCCTTCAAAAGTTGGCAATTTTATGAAAAATTTAAAACATGATGTGGAAATCACCCTGTTTCTCGTGAACTAACTAATTTTTTAGAAGTTTCTCAACTTCATGTTAAAGTTCGAGAGTCCCTCTACACTATGCATACATTTTTAACTTTATTTACCCTGCGGAAGTGTCTTAAAACACCCTTAGAATATCGCTGTTTCGTCCAATAAATTTGTGTTTTGGTCGAATAACAGAGTCAAATTTTTTGTTTAAAATTTTTTTCGGTCGAAGAACAGGGTCAAACTTACTTTCTGAAAATATTTTCGGTCGAACAACAGGGTCGAACTTTTTTGGTTAAATTATTTTTGGTCGAAAGACAGGGCCGAACTTTTTTGGTTAAAATATTTTTGGTCGAAAGACAGGGTCGAACTTTTTTGGTTAAATTATTTTTGGTCGAAAGACAGGGTCGAACTTTTTTGGTTAAATTATTTTTGGTCGAAAGACAGAGTCGAACTTTTTTGAATAAATTATTTCAGGTCGAAACATCTATGAAAAGATTTTGTCATAAAAAAGTCAAATCTTTTCTCTTTTTTATGTTTAAAATTAAAAGTTGGAATTTTCAACTTCTGTTTTCAGAATCTAAACAAACGATTAATTCGTATCAATATATCTAAGTAAGATTTCAAGTGATCTCTCTTGGTTTAGGCCCTACGATGAATTTAATTATTTCATTTAAGGTAAATTTATGCAGTTTGAATTTAGCGTATATGTTTTTAATCTCAATTCAAATTACAAATATTTATTAAAATATTTTATCAATAAAGATATTTTCTTTAATACTAAGCAATAAAAAGTATGCATTTTTTAATTTTCTAGAAAAATTTAATTAATTATTCCAAATTTGGCGGAGGTGCCTGACATTTTAATTAGTGTAAAAATGATTAAAAACTAATTAGACCATTGTGTAGAACAGCTTATAATTACGTTATTTACACAACTTCTTGATTAATAGCGCAAAGGGTTTGCCCTACAAACGCATTTACTTGTAACATGTACTTGCCGCAATACTTAAAAACTAATTATCTCGGGAACTAATGAAGATAATCGAAAACGGAAAACGGGATAGCGTTCAGCATGTAATTATACATAAGATGAGATTAAAAACAAATATTTTTCAGTGTCGGAAAAATGATTTTCCGATGCGATTTTCTCGAGAACCATAAATGTTACAACGAAACTTTTTACACTTTTTCATGTCATAACAAGGTTCTACAAAATGGCAGATTCAATTTTTTGATTCTATAAAGTTGACAAAAACCGGCTAAAAATAGTCAAGAGGTTACACTTACCTACTTTTTGGTCCAAAAATTCAAAATGAACCTAGAAGAAAATGGAAAACGTTAATTGATTGAGTTTTCGAATGGGATGAAAGATATGAAGTCAGTTTTCCGATAACATCAATATTTCGGAAAATGGGTGGTAAATTCAAAACTGATCAAATAAAACTACCTCACCAATTTTCCCCAAACTTTCCAAACTGATGGAAAACAATGCTTGGAATCCATTAATCCAAGTTTGGTTGCGCTATCTTAATTATTTTTTATGTTACTGACCATTTTTAATTATTACATAAGTATGGATAACTGTAAATTTTAACATGTTATATAATGTAAAATGTAATTCTACTTACAAATATGAAAACCGTTTTTCTCTATCTCTAATGGTTTTCAAGATAAGTGCAAAAAACTGGTTTATTCAATTTGTCCAGCATTTCTTAAGCAAAAAATAAAAATTGAAAATTACAACTTTTTATTACCAAATATAGAAGAACATGTGATTCTACATACTTTATCTTAATAAAATTTTGTTCTAATATAAAGCTTTTTGATAATAATAACCCTTTGTTGCTATTCCAATTACATACATTTTTTAATTAAAATTGCCATTAGAGCCTAAACGGTAAATGCTTGCCAAAAAAGTTACTAAAATAATCGATATAGAATTAAATTATCAATCAGAAACTGAAAACAAAATTTAAAAATTCCAACTTTTAATTTCAAACATAAAAAGAGAAATCTTTTGGCTTTTTTATAACAAAATCTTTTCATTAAATTTTTTATGCATTTTTTGTAGTTTTTTAAGAAGGGCGCTATCTTGTAGAGAATTTTTTAAGGATCAAGAATATGAAGTCCTTTTTTCCGTAGCCCTTTTAGTTCTCGAGATAATCCCGATTTTATCTGGCCACTTTCACGGCAAAAAAGATAAAAGTTCGACCCTGTTCTTCGACCAAAAAATTTTTAAGAAAGTAAGTTCGACCCTGTTCTTCAGCCGAAAAAAATTTTAACAAAAAAGTTCGACCCTGTTGTTCGACCGAAAATATTTTATGAAAGTAAGTTCGACCCTGTTCTTCGAGCAAAAAATTTTAACAAAAAAGTTCGACCCTGTTGTTCGACCGAAATTTTTTTATGAAATTAAGTTCGACCCTGTTCTTCGACGGAAAAAATTTTAAACAAAAAAGTTCGACTCTGTTATTCGACCAAAAATGAAATTTATTGGACGAAACAACAATATTCTAAGCGTATTTTAAAACACTTCCCCAGGGTTAATAAAGTTAAAAAAGTATGCATAGTGTAGAGGAACTCTCGAACTTTAACATGACGTTAAGAAACTTCTAGAAAATCACTTAGTTCACGAGAAACAGGGCAATTTCCACATCATGTTTTCAAATTTTTATAAAATTGACAACTTTTGAAGGGTATTTTAGGGCACTTGCAAAAGGGCTAGAAAGTTGAAAAAGTATTCATCACGTAGTGAAACTCTCCAACTTTTACATAGCAGTAAGAAACTATGATAAAGTCAATTAGTTTATGAGATACAGGGTGTTTTCCACACAATGTTTTTAAATTTTTTGAAAATTGCTTATTTTTAAAGGACATTTTAGCGCACTTCCGAAAGGTTTAGGGATTTGAAAAGATGTGCATCGTGTAGAAGGACTCTTCAACTCTGACATAGCTGTGAGAAACATCAATAAAATCAATTAGTTTACAAGATACAGGGTGTTTTCCACACCATGTTCTTAATTTATTTGAAAAATGCTTATTTTTAAAGGGCATTCTAGCGCACTTCTAAAACGGCTAAGAAGTTCAAAAAGTATTCATTGCATAGTAGAACTTACCAACTCTGACATAGCAGTGAGAAACTTTGATAAAGTCAATTAGTTTACGAGATACAGGGTGTTGTCCATACCGTGTTTTAAATTGCTTTGGAAAAATGCTAACTTTTAAAGGGCATTTAAAGATACTTGTGGATAGGCTAGAAGGTTTGAAAGGCATGCGTTATTTAGAGGAACTGTTGAGCTCTGACATGACGGTGAGAGACTTCAGAAAAAATCAAATAGTTTAGGAAATACAGGGCGTTTTACACATAATGTTTACAAATTTTTATAAAACACCCTTCTCATTGCTAACTGATGATGTAAAATAATTTGCCCGCTATACGCATACAATATTTTTGTTTTTATATTTTTCTATGCTGTTATCTTCCTGCTGCTGGTAAAAACAAGTAATTAATTTGTATCCAATAATAGAAGATAACCTTATTTCAAGATAAGTACGAATAAACTATCTAACTGGTTCAAATAAATAAAATTCCTGTCATAGTTATTTACTTGTCTTCATTGTCTTCGCTTATAATCAACAAATTGATAAGTTTAACAGTACATTAAAGAAAAAGCAAGAAATGATTACTGTTAACTGATAAGAAATGTATGTATGTATGAACGACTTTGAAACACATTTGTAAATATTATGATGAAATACTTTCCATAGGGCTCAATTTAGATCAATTAAAGTTAATCAGCGTCAGTGCGCTCACAATGAAAGAAAACAAGTGAATGCATCGCTTACACGTCGGCCAATATCAAATAACTTGTATAAGTTTATATGTATGTAGTTATTTGATAGTGTTTTACATGTTTAAACAAGTAAACATTTTGTTTCTCAACGTGCGTTCTCCGTTTGTGTCATGTGCGAAATTTTACTCTCAACACTGTCAGCACATTGGTAAGAAAACACAATTACACAATTTTAATTTAAATATAACTAAATTGTTTATTTAAGTAATTTTAGAAGATTATGTCTTACTCAACTTGTTACCAAACTGGTATTAACAGTATATTTATTAGATGTCAATCAAATATTTCAGCAGGGTCAACAAAACTGCTTTTTTGTTTGTTTTGGTAATACGTATTCTCGAATCTACCAAATTTGGTAATGGTATTATTACCGGAGCATGATTAAGTGATTAATAGCACGCCAAGGTTGTACCCGTTATGGAATTGTCAGAATTTAACAAATTAATCACGCAATTTTGTGCGTTTTTAGGTTTAGAACAAAATATTAACCAAAAATATTACATCTAAATGAATTACTTTAAGTATACCTACTTAGTGGTTAAGTATTCAAAGTGAAAATGTAAATGTTGTTAATACTGCTAATATTACTAATGCATTTCGGAGTTAATTTGAGTATTTATGAAGTGATAAGCGATAGCAGCACAATTGTCGGCGTCGTATGTCCATTTGCGTCTAAATGTGCGTCGATGGTCGTTTGGAAAATGATTCTAATTTATTTACCAGAGACATTATCTCGTCGATAACATCCGACGACCTTTTCGAGTCCGGTCGTTTCTTAACGCTCGGTTACGCAGCTTTGCGCAAATTATATAATAGCGCGCGACGGGGGCCGTTTTTATTTGGTTGGAGCAGTCCGCAGCTGGCAACCGGGTGCAGTGCGTCGCTGAAATCTATTGTGTTCGGTTTTGTTGACTTTTGCAGATTTTTTTGCCAAGATGGCCGCCACAGACGTAAGGGGACAGGTGTTGTCAGGGACGCAGATCGCAAAGTAAGTAACTGGATATGAAATAAAAGTGTTTTGGTTTAAATAAAGTAAAACTACAAATGATTCTAAACATTGAGGAAACCGTAATAGATTTACATTCTGGGATAGATTACTTGTAGATATTTACATTTTAGCCAATGTTATTAATGCAAATGGGTGTTGGTTTGTTTGTTTCTTTTTTTACGCAAAAATTATTGAACAGATTTGGATAAAACTTTACAATTTAATAGTATATTCATTAAAATAAAAGATAGGTTATTTTTTGTCGTAGAAATAGAGCTTGAAAAGTATAAAATTTAAGATAAAAGTTCTAACGGATATGCTTTTTTAGTTATAGTAATAGAAATTTAATCCAGGTGGCGCTAAAGTGCATTTTAGCATTACACATGTTTTAAACTAAAATGAAAAATCTTATTGACAGATTCGGCAGATAATAATTCCAAGAAATAAAGAAATAAATAGTTAGTTAGTCATTACAATTTACTTAAAAAGTGGCAAGCAAAAGCTAGTCTTTAATTAAACCGAAAAAATGTAAATATTTATCTTTTCACATGCTATGGTAATAAAAAAGTTCCTAAAGTATTACTTAAAAAGCTAAAACCACAAAAATTTTAATTGAATTTTAATTATTAGGGAAATGCGTGAGCAATTGGCCATAGACGTAGAAAAGATGAAGAAACTGCTTCCTGGTTTCCGTCCTGGTTTGGCCATTGTCCAGGTAGGCGGCCGCGAAGATTCCAACGTCTACATCCGCATGAAGATCAAAGCCGCGAGCGAGATCGGCATTGAAGCCCAACACGTTCAATTACCAAATACCACAACCGAGACGGAACTCCTCAGCAAACTGAAGAAACTCAATGAAGATCCCAATGTTCACGGAATCATTGTTCAAATGCCCCTTGATTCGGTCAACAAAATCGATTCCCATTTGATTACTGATACTGTGTCCCCGGATAAGGATGTTGACGGGTAAGCCTCACACAAAAACAAACATGAAATAGATCCCGATGACGTCTGCAAAGGTCACCGATTAAAAACAAGAGTAGTGTGACGTTTAACTTGATTATTATTATGCAACAATAGAGATAATAACATTTGTTTTTGTTTTTGTTTAGTTTGAACACAATCAATGAAGGACGCGTTGCTGTTGGTGACATGGGTGGTTTCCTGCCCTGCACCCCTAATGGCTGCATCGAGTTGGCGAAGCGTTCCGGAATTCCGCTTTCCGGTGCCGAGGCAGTTGTTTTAGGTCGCAGTAAAATCGTAGGCACGCCTGCTTCCGAGCTGTTGAAGTGGAACCATGCTACTGTTACTGTCTGTCACAGCAGGACGAAGGATATTGCTGCCAAGGTAAGCAAACATAACCTTTATGCTTCCATTAGAAGTAATAATTGTGTATTTTGGCGCTAGTGTCGCAAAGCGGACATTTTGGTAGTCGCCATTGGTCAACCGGAGTTTGTCAAGGGTGATTGGGTTAAACCAGGCGCAGTCGTCATTGATTGTGGCATTAATGCTATTCCAGGTATATAAACATTTATCAATACTTGACATAACCTAATAAAATTTGGATAACCTTTGATAACCTAAGTTTATTGCTGTAATTTTTAGATGCTACTAAAAAATCCGGACAAAGGCTGGTTGGTGATGTGGCTTATGCCGAGGCAGCGAAAAATGCTTCTTATATCACTCCAGTCCCGGGTGGTGTTGGTCCCATGACAGTCGCCATGTTAATGAAGAATACTGTACTATCCGCTGAACGCGCTTGCAAAAAACTTGTGGAAAACAAGTGGAATGTTCGTCTTTTAGATTTGAAGCTACAAAGACCAGTTCCTAGGTATAATTTAATGCGATATTATTGTGAATTTTAATGTTTTAATAAATGTATTTTGTTTGTTGACGTGATAACGTCTTTAACACGTTAAGGACGGCGTGTACCACCGGTGGTACACACGCGTCTGGTCTGTGGGACGGCGTGTACCACCGGTGGTACACGGCTCATTTGAAACGAGACTTATTCATTTTTGACTACACCACTGGTTAGGTTATATCTTCTCCTCGTTTCACCTATACAATCAGGGCCTTGCATCTTTGTCATCAAATGTGTGACTCAGATTACATATTATAATAAATAGTGACCGACAAAAGTTTCAGTTTTGGCTTCAAATTTGGTTTCGGCGAAAATTGGCTGAAACTTTTGGCAGAACCGAAACTCAGTGTTCGTGAATTATCGTGCGTCGTTCGGCTAACTCGCGGCTAAGTCATGGTGGTCACTTGCCATCTCAGTTTGCACATAGTTTCGGTCGGACTCTAAAGATAAAGGCATTCATTACAAAGAAAATAAATAAATGGCGACGCAACTGCAAAACAATCGCTTTTGATACAGCAATGCATAACCACCAGTGGCGCACAGCTGAATTAATTAGACGGAGTTGAAAATGCTCAAACGCCGCCCGAGCGACAGACACCCAAAACCGCGCCGTCCTCAACGTGTTAAAATCGTTTTAGTCGGGTGACATGTTCAGAAACTTGTGTCAACCTCACGAGGCCGATCGCTATAACGAGAGAGAGACGGACCGATCTCCCGTCTCATCTCGAGCGCTGCCAGTCTTTCCGTGAAACTTGTCACGCGGAATCCACACGAGCGGAGGCAGGCATAGCGTTCGAGTGAGTGGACCGATCTTCCGTCTCTCTCACTCTAGCGGCATACCAACGAATGGAGATTTTCTCGTGCGGTTAAGTTTTCGTTGAATGTTTAACAGTGAAACAAAATGTGAAGTGCAAGTGAAGTGTTACAACAATTGCAACAAAAAACTTATATCACCAATAAGACGTTATCACGTAAACATCTCGATCGTAAACCTACTTTACAAACAACCATTTTTTGTTTGTGTAGTGATATTGCAATCGCCAGAAGTCAAGAACCAAAGGACATCAGTCAATTGGCTGAGGAAATTGGTATCTACAAGAGCGAATTGTCGCAGTATGGCAATAAGAAAGCTAAGGTTTCATTAAGCATCATCGATCGATTGAAAAATGTCAAACCGGGGAAGTACATTGTTGTCGCAGGGTAAGATAACCTAAAAAAACTTGTTTTAAAACCTAATTTTTGTTATGTTTTGTTTAGTATCACTCCTACACCTCTCGGTGAAGGCAAATCCACAACATCTTTAGGTCTTACTCAAGCTCTCTGCGCGCACAAACATAAAAACACATTTGTCTGCCTCCGTCAACCCTCGCAAGGACCCACTTTTGGTATCAAAGGTGGCGCTGCAGGCGGTGGCTATTCCCAAGTCATCCCTATGGACGATTTCAACCTTCATCTCACCGGAGACATCCACGCTGTCTCCGCTGCGAATAATTTACTCGCCGCACAAATGGACGCACGTATCTTCCATGAAGCCACACAAACTGATGAAGCTCTCTACAACCGCCTGGTACCCAAGATAAAAGGTGTCCGTAAATTCTCAAACATTCAAATTCGTCGTCTCGAGCGTCTGGGTATCACTAAACGTGATCCCGATAGTCTAACACCTGAAGAATTCGGGAAATTCTCACGTTTAAACATTGATACTAATCAAATCGTCTGGAAACGTGTTATTGACTTGAATGACAGGTACCTGAGACAAGTCACGATTGGTCAAAGCCCCACAGAGAAGGGAATATCCAGAGAAACATCTTTTGCTATTTCTGTAGCCTCAGAAATCATGGCAATCTTAGCATTGGCTAAAGATATCAGTGATTTTAAAGAACGTTTGGCGAATATGGTTGTTGCTTTTGATAAAGCAGGTAAACCTGTGTTAGCTGATGATTTGGGTGTCACTGGTGCGTTGATGGTGTTGTTAAAGGACACTGTTGAACCCACTTTGATGCAGACCTTGGAAGGTACTCCTGTTTTGGTCCACGCTGGACCTTTTGCTAATATCGCGCATGGATGTTTAATCAACAATTCGTTAGTAAGTAGCTATCTCTTTTAGTTTAAGAGATATGAATTTTGAAAATCGTCGAAAAAGTATCAAGCACTCCCCTTGGCAATTTTTTTTCTTAAGACTTAAAATTTCATCTCTCAGATTTCCACTTTTAAATAGCCTATCTGATAGAGATTGGTCTGTAGATTAAAACGCTGCGATCAGATCTTTTACCTATTCTTTTAGTTTACGAGATATTCGCGATTGAATAAAAATGGGCAAAATTGCAAAATGTCACTTTTTAGCACTTTCTTTAGTCGCGTTTTCGACCTTTTACTGTGGTGGAAATAATTATTGTATATTTTATCTGATTGAGAATCTTCCAATCTTTCATAATCAACAATTCGTTGGTATTATCTCTTTTAGTTTAAGAGATATGAATTTTGAAAATCGTCAAAAAAGTATCGAGCACCCCTCTTGGCAATTTTTTTTCTTAAGATTGAAAAATTTCATCTCACAGATTTCCGTTTTAACTATTCTTATCTGATAGAGATTGGTCCGTGTGATTAAAACGTGCTGCAATCAGATCTTAATTATCTCTTTAGTTTATGAGATACCGCGATTGAATAAAATGGGCAAAAAATTGCAAAATGTCACTTACACTTTTAGTCGCGTTTTTCGACCTTTACTGTAGGAAATATAATTATTTTATAATTTTGTCTGATAGAATCTCCAATCTTTCATAATCAATACCCGTTAGTAGCTACTTTTTAGTTTAAGTGAGATAGCGAATTTCTTGAAAATCGTCGAAAAGTATCAAGACCCCTGGAAATTTTTTTCTAAGACTTAAAATTTCATCTCTCAGATTTCCACTTTTAAATAGCCTATCTGATAGAGATTGGTCTGTAGATTAAGACGCTGCGATCAGATCTTAATTATCTCTTTTAGTTTACGAGATATTCGCGATTGAATAAAATGGGCAAAAATTGCAAAATGTCACTTTTAGCACTTTTAGTCGCGTTTTTCGACCTTTCACCGTGGTGGAAATATAATTATTGTATATATTTTGTCTGATTGAGAATCTTTCAACTTTCATAATCAATAATTCGTTGGTAGCCATTCTTTTTTAGCGAGATGAATTTTGAAAATCGTCGAAAAAAAGTATCGCTAACCCCTTGGCAATTTTTTCTTAAGACTTAAAATTTCATCTCTCAGATTTCCACTTTAAATAGCCTATCTGATAGAGATTGGTCTGTAGATTAAGACGCTGCGATCAGATCTTTTTACCATTCTTTTAGTTTACGATATTCGCGATTGAATAAAATGGGCAAAAAATTGCAAAATGTCACTTTTAGCACTTTTAGTCGCGTTTTTCGACCCTTAACTGTAAGAAATATATATATTTTAAATTTTTACGCCATTTTATAGTTTAAGAGACGCTCTACACAATACATGCCATTTTAATGCGCTAAACATTCTGGAAGTGCTTTAAAATGCCCTTCAAACATCGGCTTTTTTGGAAATTTTGAAAATATGCTGTGGAAAACACCCTGTATCTTGCAAACTATTACACTTTCTCCTAGTTTTTCACGGCCATTTTATAGTTTGGCAGACGCGCTCTACACAATCATCCCATTTTAGTCCGCTAAACATTCTGGAAGTGCCCTAAAAATGCCTCTTCAAACATCGGTTTTTTGAAATTTTGAAAAACATGCTGTGGAAAAACACCCTGTATCTCGCAAACTATTACATCTTTTCCTAAAGTGCCATCACATTTTATATTTATGATGCCTATTAATAATACATCCTTATTTTAGTTCAAGTTAAATATTTAAAGTGCCTGAAATGCCCTTCAAAACATCGGCCTTTTTGAAATTTTTGAAAACATGCTGTGGAAAACACCCTCTGTATCTCGCAAACTAATACACTTTTTTTGAGTTTTCACCGCCATTTTATAGTTTAAGAGACGCTCTACACAATGCATGCCATTTTAATGTGCTAAATATTCTTGGAAGTGCCCTAAAATGCCCATCAAACATCGGCTTTTTTGAAATTTTGAAAACATGCTGTGAAAACACTCCTGTATCTCGCAAACTATTACACTTTTTCCGAGTTTTCACCGCCATTTTAGGCTCTAAGAGACGTTTCTATTAAATGCATGCCATTTTAACTGGCTAAACATTCTGGAAGTGCCCAAATGCCCTTCAAAAATTCATTGTTATTTTTACGTTTTAATTTTGGGTCGTGAAGCAGGGACAAATTTTATTTTCAACACTTTTTATTCTGCAAAAACTTGAAATAATTTATACATTTTTGTCTGAAGAACAGGGTCGAACTTTTTAAGGTAAAATATTTTGGCCGAAGAACAGGGCCGAACTTTTTGTATTAAAATTTTTGGGTCGAAGAACAGGGCCGAACTTTTCAGTTAAAATTTTTTCGGCCGAAGAACAGGGCCGAACTTTTTAAGTTAAAATTTTTTGGCCGCAATTAAAAACTTTAAACGCTAATAACTCGAGAACTAAAAGGGCTAGAACAAATCGGACTTCAGGCCCTTAATCCTTAAAGGGTTCTTTACAGGATAGCGTGTTTAGTTTGATTTTTTCAAAAATCAAAAAACCTATAAGAGGTACCTCTTTGCACTTTTTCAGTTTTGAGGCGAAATAAAAGGGCTGTTTTTAATAGCCTATCTTGTAGAGAATCCTTCAAGGGTCAAGAATCTGCCGTCCTTTCCCTTCTAGCCCTTTTAGTTCAGGAGTTATTAGCGTTTAAAATTTTATTTTGATTTCGCAGGAAAAAGTGATCTTCGGCCAAAAAATTTTAACTTAAAAAGTTCGGCCCTGTTCTTCGTCCGAAAAAATTTTAACTGAAAAGTTCGGCCCTGTTCTTCGACCCAAAAATTTTAATACAAAAAGTTCGGCCCTGTTCTTCGGCCAAAATATTTTACCTTAAAAAGTTCGACCCTGTTCTTCAGACAAAAATGTATAAATTATTTCAAGTTTTGCGGAATAAAGAATGTTGAAATAAAAATTTGTCCCTGCTTCACGACCCAAAAATTTAAAAAAACGTAAAAAAATAACCATTTTTGAAGGGCATTTTAGGGTACTTCCAGAATGTTTAGCGGATTAAAATGGCATGCATTGTGTAGAGCGTCTCTTAAACTATAAAATGGCGATGAAAAACTCGGAAAAAGTGTAATAGTTTGCGAGATACAGGGTGGTTTCCACAGCATGTTTTCAAATTTTCCAAAAAAAGCCGATGTTTTAAGGGCATTTTAGGGCATTTCCAGAATGTTTAGCGCATTAAAATGGCATGTATTGTGTAGAGCGTCTCTTAAACTATAAAATGGCGGTGAAAAACTCAAGAAGAGTGTATTAGTTTGCGAGATACAGGGTGTTTTCCACCGCATGTTTTCAAAATTTCCAAAAAAAGGCGATGTTTGAAGGGCATTTTAGGGCACTTCCAGAATGTTTAGCGCATTAAAATGGCATGTATTGTGTAGAGCGTCTCTTAAACTATAAAATGGCGGTGAAAAACTCAAAAAAATGTATTAGTTTGCGAGATACAGGGTGTTTTCCACAGCATGTTTTCAAAATTTCCAAAAAAGGCCGATGTTTGAAGGGCATTTTAGGGCACTTCCAGAATGTTTAGCGGACTAAAATGGCATGTATTGTGTAGAGCGTCTCTTAAACTATAAAATGGCGTTGAAAAACTCAAAAAAAGTGTATTAGTTTGCGAGATACAGGGTGTTTTCCACAGCATGTTTTCAAAATTTCCAAAAAAGGCCGATGTGTGAAGGGCATTTTAGGGCACTTCCAGAATGTTTAGCGCATTTAAATGGCATGTATTGTGTAGAGCGTCTCTTAAACTATAAAATGGCGGTGAAAAACTCAAGAAAAGTGTATTAGTTTGCGAGATACAGGGTGTTTTCCACAGCATGTTTTCAAATTTTTCAAAAAGGGCGTTGTTTGAAGGGCATTTTAGGGCACTTCCAGAATGTTTAGCGGATTAAAATAGCGTGCATTGTGTAGAGCATCTCTTGAACTATAAATTGGCGGTGAAAAACTCAAAAAAAAAACAGAATGGTTGTTTGTAAAGTAGGTTTACGATCGAGATGTTTACGTGATAACGTCTTATTGGTGATATAAGTTTCTTCTGTTGCAATTGTTGTAACACTTCACTTGCACTTCACATTTTGTTTCACTGTTAAACATTCAACGAAAACTTAACCGCACGAGAAAATCTCCATTCGTTTGTATGCCGCTAGAGTGAGAGAGACGGAAGATCGGTCCACTCACTCGAAGGCTATGCCTGCCTCCGCTCGTGTGGATTCCGCGTGACAAGTTTCACGGAATGACTGGCAGCGCTCGAGATGAGACGGGAGATCGGTCCGTCTCTCTCTCGTTATAGCGATCGGCCTCGTGAGGCCTCGTGACACAAGTTTCTGAACATGTCACCCGACTAAAACGATTTTAAAGACGTTATCACGTCAAAATCGCGTGCATCGCCCAAAAAATACAAACATTTCACGATAAAGGGTGAGAAAATCACCCATTTATGCAAATTTTCGCGGGTTGTAGGTCGAATTCATATTCGAATTAATTAAAAAACAAAATGTACTCGCCGGAATAATCCGGGTTAAACCTACATCGTCGCGCCATCTGAGGACGCGTTACGGTACCTCGAAAAATAAAGAGTGTTTTTTAAATAGTGTGGCGTCTTAAATGGTAGCGGCCGTGTGACACACGTACACGAAAGTGTGCATGCACCACCCAAGCGTACACAACAGAAGAAACTCCTCGCAGCGAACTGGTGTGTACTCAGTTTTCCACAAGACGGGTACCCTACTTCCGAGGGTGTGTTAACAGCTGTTTGCATACACAGCAGATGGCGTTTTTACCAACAAAACTAAAGCTATATGTACACTTACATTCTAATTTAAAATTTTATTATGAGTTATATTACCAAATGGAGCATAAATAAACTCAGAAATATAATGTTATAACATGATTGTTATAGTTGCAATGAATATATATATTGATATTCATATATAAATATAAAAAAATATATAAAGTCACTTGGTATATAAACTTTCCAGCTGTTCTGTTGACCTCAAATGCCATAAACTTCAGTTCAGATCACACCGATGTTTGCGGTTTATGAATTTCATGTCTATGAGAGCCGAAACTCCGTGCAGTCGTTAATCAAGAACAGTTATTCGATGTTCGTATCGCCGCAGCCGCCGATTGCCACGAAGTGTGCTGCGACGAACGTCTGATCCAACGTTATCTTCGCGAACGCAGCAGTTGCCCCACTCGTCGCCGTTGAACCCGCGCCGATATTTGCGTTATCAATCAGCGAGTGGAGGCAATTATGTAAAGTAAACAACGACAAACTCAACGACGCCAGCAGCAGTCACGTTTCCACGCCGCTATCACCCCACGCCGCCTCGTCAATTCAACGCATAAAAACGGTAAGACAGCCATCGTTATTCATCAATTGTCTTTCAAGTGCTCAGGAGCTCATATCGATATTGTTCCATTCCATTGTGTAATTAAAAACGGTGCTTAAAATGTTGTGCATAGTCACTCCAATTCTAAAGTACATCACATCACCTAGCGCGCTCATGATGGACGACCGGCATGCATACGAAAAACTCTCGATTCGGGATTCAGCAAGGTCTTCCAAAAAGTACGGATCTACCAGCAATCGCAACAATACACGAAATGAGTCCTACATCAAACACTTTGTAACCAAAGCAGATACTTTACAAGGCATAGCGCTCAAATATGGAGTTACTGTAAGTAGTGTTTTAAAGCACATTCAAAAGATGTAAAAATGCAATTGTAGATGGAACAAATACGACGTGCAAATCGTTTGTTTGCAAGCGATAGCTTATTTCTTCGCGAACACCTGCTGATACCAGTCACTGAAACGACATCGACCACGGATATTACGATTGTTTCGCCAGCGTCTTCTTCACATGAGCATGATAGTGAACTGGGTGCAAACTCGCGTGTTACTTCGCCGAGTTACGACGAGGATGAAGACGTGAATGATTTTCTCGGAAAGATTGATGCCGCCATTGCGAGCACGAAAGCGGACGTAAAGAAGATTCACAAGAAGAGTGAGTTTGTGGACGTCGAAGGCACCGAGAGGCGGAAACCGGCCGTGAGTCGAATGCGGCAGATGGTGAACAACAACGGCACTGCTGATGTGGTGAAAATGCCGCAAACTGTCGTAATGACACAGGGGAATAAAATCAAAACTTCCATGCAAAGGTAACCATCAAAAAGAATCAATTTTACATTCGTGGTATTCATTTTTTTTCGTTATTCTAGGTTTCAACAACAGCAAGACGAGTTGTTTGAATTGTAGCAGAAGGCCACGATCGTGTACGTGAATCGCTCCCGAGGAGTCCGTGTTTGATAGCATTACCAATTTCTTGTCATTCTCACATCACTATAAGTGTCAGCACGGAAGCGCAGATAAGCGCGAAAGAACCAAAGGCTATAATGTCATTGAATCGTAGGTAGGAGTTGCAATACATTCGCTCGAAATTCGTCCCCTAGAGAGAGTTTAGACAATAACAAGACGCATTCGTCTTCCGCAAACGATGGAAGTCGCTTTGCTCTTGACGTAGCCAACAAGCACAATTACTTATTATCGCACTGATTGTATAAATTAGAAAAGAAACTACAGCTTTACCACACAACACAATATTCCAACGAAAAACCTAGGCAAATTAAACAATGCCAGCATTGGCAACAAGCTAATCTCCGAGTGCAAATATTTAAGCGCGGGGAAAACGCGTAGATAGTAAGAATAAACTAGTGTACAGGTGAAGGATTGCGTGTGAATAGCGTGTACATAATGTATATATTTGTGTAAGACCAAACTGGGAGTGACTATTTCACATTGGTTTAAATCCAGCTAAATGTCGTTAAAGGCCCGAAGAGTATACAAATTTAATTTGAACATCGATGTCAACGAGATCATTGTTGCACGGACTGGACTTTGAGCGTAGAATGACGCATGACGAGCGTTAAAATCGTGACTGAGTGTAAAAGCTTAAGCGAAAATTAATACTAATCAAATGCGACGAGGCGCTAAGTACTCAACTTCAGACAACCAGCGGAAATAGTGCATCTTATTGTTGACTGCAACCACACATAGGCAGATACAGCAAAAAGAACTTTCCAATTCACACAATTTGATTTTTCTCGCTATTGCCCATGAGTAATGCCAGTTAAACAGGCCGAATGTAAAGTTCACGGCTTTCATAACGGACTTTCTTATGCTGCAATAACTGAATATTCGAAATAATACTCGAGTGTCATGGGTCGCAATAAAATTTACGTAACTCGCTGTGATTAGCTCTCGCAACATTTCAGTTAACTTATTGCTAAACCAGAATTAGAATTATAACGCATTGAAATTATTGTTTACAACATTAACAATCATACACTTAACGCTAAGTCTAAAATAATTTGTAATTGGAATTTGTAAACTTGAGTGGAACTTGAGCGATTTCAATTACTTTGATGACGTGTTTCGATGATATAACAAGCACGTCTGTCTGATAACGATGAAACGATGTGCAATGCTATTTGTGACATATCTATAAATTTATTTAAAACAACAATAGTGGAGAATTTGAGATGTGTTGAATGATAAGCTTGGTGTTTGTTAATAAGTAATAAGTTTTTGTTGATTTTTTAATCTCTAAACCAAATGAAATGTACGTATATCCAAAACATAAATTTGCACCGAACAAAGACAACTTGTAAGGTATGATTGGTGGCTTAGATTTAAGAAATGAGAAAATTTGATGAAAATTTCCGTAAGTGTCTAAATTCCTCTCAGCTGAGCTGCGACGGAAGCAAATGTCTCTCGTAATCAGATTTCAAGTTTCAATTTAACGCGCATTCATTGAAATGTGAAACTTTAATTACCTAACTCAACTATGCTATAAATTATACATATTATATTATTATATGAATTATATTTTATAAAATAACTGTTAAAAATTGCGTTTGTTAGTCGATTGCAATTTGCTTGCTGACCAATTGTCGAATGTGCTCCTCATTGCGCAAGATGTTGAATTTTATTGTGGCGATCTCCTCGCGCTCGTGTTTTATACTCTCTTCCAGATTGCGCAGTTGCTGCAGTAATGGCTGATTACTTTCGTTGTTTACACTGGAATCAGGGAATCGGAATATTTTTCATTCATGACTTAATATTTACCGTTGAGTCAGTGTTTGCATGCGAGGTGTTAAGTCGTTGTGTCAATAAGATAAAACAATTTGTAATGGATAGGAAAAATTATGCCACTGACCGTTTTGTTTGGTGATTTCGGTTGTGTACTGTCGCTTCATGTTCAACCAAGTTTCCAGCTCTGAATGCATCGCCTCGACATCTTCATGGAGATAACTCGCTAGTTTTCCCAATGGATTTGCAGTTTTGGTTAATGCTTGAATCGAGGCACGCAATGCAGTTATTTCCTTAGTTGTGGCATCTTTACTTCTGGATCCTAAACGTTCAACAAAACGTTGTTTTTGTGTGTTGCATCGTGTTTACTTTACCTTCATGTTCCCATTCCAGTTGTGCTTTTTCTCCCTGGCCGCCATCTTGCATTTGCTCCAAAATCTGCTCAACAAGATGACCCTTATCGGCTGGTATATCTAGATTCAAACTCTTCTCGGTGAAGTTGCTTTCAACGGTGTTTTCTTCAGGCATAGATTGAATTACAACCGTGTCGTCTTCATCTTCGTCCGGATTTGTGTCCTTTGCATCAAAGTTTTCGACAATTACGTTGATTTTCCCTAAAGGTACAATTTCCTTCATTGGAATTGAGGATTCAGGTCGCAGGCGAGGTGCACCAGGTCGTGCACTGCTTGGACGTACGCTTGGTGGCCTCAACATGGAACTTTTGGTCTAACTATGAACAATAAATTAAATTAAATAATCGATTATTACTTTTTTATCTTTATTACATGGTGTTGTTCGCTTAATTTCCGTTTCTTCCGTTTCTCCGAGTGTTGCCAATTCAGAATTAGTATCTTCTTTGTTTCTTGAAATACTTGATTGTTCTCTGTGTTCTTTGTTTGCATTCTTCATAGAAAAATCTCGAATCGCCATGACGGGTTTGCTTTCAGGTGCTTTTTGCACCTCCGGTTTTGATTCTGGTTTTGCTTCGATTTTTATTTGGGCAGAAGGTGCACGTTGGTCAGAACTTCCACTTCTAGGTCGTGCAGATTTAGGACGTGCAGATGGTTGTCTAATGGGCGGCATTTCCTCTACAGCACGTCCTATATTATCATCAACTGGTTTTGATTTCGGCAAAACACTTGAGTCAACTACATCTTTACTTAATTCACTTTCTTGATAACTTGGAGGTTTATCTACAACTTCTTCTAAATCGTCATTGAGGACTTGGGGTTTCCATGAATCATCACGTGGACTAACACCAGTTTCATCCTGCTTTGGTTTTTCCAAAATTTCTTGTGGTTCAGTAAATTCAACTTCAACTTCTGCTTTGTTTTTAGGTGAATCTTCTTTTTCTTTTGCTTTGTCCCTCGGAGATGTAATACTTGTAGTTTTTGGTGTTGAAGTGTCTTCAACTGTCGGTGATATCTTTTCTTTCGTGTTTGATTTTGAAACATTGTTCTTCAAAGTTTTGTTTAATTTAATATCTGTACTCACAACAGAGGTTCTAGATGATGTTTTCTCGGTTTTGCCCAGTTTCGAAGGCTTTTTCTTTGAATCTGTTTTACTTTTTGATGTTAGAGAATCTTTTATTTTAGGCGATGCGTCATCACTGCCTTTTCTTGTTACTTTCTTTTCAATTTTCTTACGATTTGAATCTAGTTTCTCGTTAGCTTTCGTAACACTAGTCTTTGAAGTAGTTTTCTTCAAATTGGAGCCATCCCTGGAACTTTCCAGCGCTTCGTTGGGTTTCTTTGCATCTTTTGATGACTTTTTTAAGTTTTTTACGTAGTCCTTGGTATCGACCTTGTCGTCAATAAGTTTTGCAATTGTTTGAAGCAATCGATTTGTTTCACCAGCGTCTAAACCGGCGATAATCTTGCTTGATTTAACTTGAAGATCTTTTCCGCTTAAACTCTCTACATGGGACGATTAAAGTTGTAAATAATTACTTAATAACAATTAATTATTTAGATACTTACTGACTGCAGCGATCAACTTGTTTAAAAACGCAATTTTTGCATCACGGTCTTTGACGTTATCAGAGTTGAGTTCGGCGTCGGTGTAGAGTCCTTTAAGAAAACCATTGCGAACTGTTGCAACAATGATGTCGTGCAGGAAACGAAATGGTGGCTTTCTCAGGAGTTTCTCGGTTAATTGTGGTTTGGTGACATGCTTACCCAGAAGTTTTTGCGTGCTTTGTATAACTTCTGAACTTACTTCATCCGCCATATCTTTAAACACACACAATGAATAAAAGTTGAAAAAAAATGGTACGAATTTTCGACTAGATTGATAACATAAATGTCAGATAATTGTTAACTCAAGTCAATGTTTGTAGAGCTGTACAGAATTTGTAGACGTGGTTTCAATGAGAATACAATTCTATGATTGTTTACATTTGTTGGCAAATTGTCATGGCAACACAAAACTATACAAACAACAGGTATACATTTAATAAATGGCTGATAAAATAAATTATTTGCAAAGAACTCGATCATTGGGGAATTGATATTTAATTTGTTTGTTTTATTCAACTCACAATTGAAACAATAATAAATAATTTCCTCTTAAATACATGCATCAGGTGCATTTTCGAATGATGTTCTTGTGTTCAAAATAGCGGACTCGTTTAAATCGAATTGCATACAGGCACCGTTTATCAAAAACAAACTCTTTTAAAATAACTTAAAATACCTATTCACTCATTGATTAGGTAACCGCAATCAAATACTAGTTGAGCTAATACTAGTTAAGAGGACACTTTGATATTTAAATAATATATATGTACAAGTACATCATAAAACTGACTGTTAACATAGGATAAACACTAACAGCAAGCATCGACAATTAAGAGATACGTCATTTAGTGGCATCCATCCTGTTACCAACACGGTGCACGATTTATGTATTTCGCTATTGAATTTGGGTATTTAAGAAGTCGACGTGGGACGCCTGTCTCGGGGATTGGGTGTGGGTGGTTGTGTGGTGCCCTACAGGCCAGCGAGCACAATACGTGGATCCTCCACGGCGCCCTTAATCTTGCGCAGGAACATCACAGCCTCACGACCATCAATCAACCGATGATCGTAAGTCAAGGCAATGTACATCATTGGCCTAATCACAACCTGAAAACCAAATCAAATTAAATCATGTCGCATTTTTATCTTGAAATATTTACCTGTCCTTTAATAGCAACGGGTCGTTCAAAAGTGCCATGCATTCCGAGAATGGCAGACTGCGGTGGATTAATGATAGGTGTGCCCAGCAAAGAGCCAAAGACGCCACCATTACTGATGGTGAAGGTGCCTCCGTCCATATCCTCGACGGCCAATTTGCCGGTGCGCGCTTTTTCGCCCATGGCAGCAATCGCCATTTCGATTTCAGCGTAGTTCATGCGTTCAACATTACGAATGACGGGCACAACTAGACCTTTGGGAGTCGCCACCGCCACCGAAATGTCAACAAAGTCCCGATAAATAATATCGGTGCCGTCAATCACTGCATTCACAACGGGCTGGTCTTGCAGCGCGTACGCCGCCGCCTTCGCAAAAGCGGACATGAAGCCTAGTTTCATGCCATACTTCTTCTGGAAAGCTTCGAGGTTCGCTTTTCGGAATTCCATGATTTGACTACAAAAATGTATATTATTTCCGGGTAATTTAGCCTAGAAAATATTAAGTTAATCACCTCATGTCGATTTCGTTGAAGGTAGTTAACATGGCGTTTTCATTTTGGGCGCTCTTCAAACGTTCGGCAATCTTCAAACGCATGCGGTTCATTTTCACACGGTGTTCGGTACGCGTGCCAGAGATTTCCTTGGTGGGATCTGCTGGAGGCAGCTGTAATTGTGGTAAAAACAATCCAGTAAAAATGAAATGAGATAAGAATGAGACAAGTTTAAAAAGTAGCCTACCTTAACAGTGGCAGAATCAATAGCTTGGGCATGTCGGATAGCTGCGACCGGAATACTAGCAGCCGGCGCTGGACGTGGGGCAGGAGGCGGCGGTGCACCACCAGCAGGCGGTGTGGGTTTGGGTGGTGGAGGCGGGGCAGCTGTTGAAACATTTCCTATCAATAAATGTCTGATCAGATATCAAGTATTACCTGCTGCAGGTGCTGCAGGTGCCGCAGGTGTAGGTGCAGGTGCAGCTGGAGCCGGTGCTGGTTTAGCTGCGCCAGCCGCCGGTGGCTGACCAGTGATGTCGATTTTGAACAGCGGCTGACCGGCTTTAACCGTGTCGCCGTCTTTCACCAGCAACTCCTTGATGATTCCGTGTCCGGGCGACGGCACCGGTACCGATGTCTTGTCAGTTTCAATTTCCAAGATGACCTCGTCTTCAGCGACATGGTCACCGACCTTTTTCTGCCACCTAAAAATCAAATATAAAAGGTCAAACAGTAATAAATGTTTTTATACAACTTGATAAGTTATCACTGACCTGACATCTCCTTCAGAGACAGAGTCGGCGAATGGTGGCACATTGACGGTTTTCTCATCGAAAAGGGTCGCACTGGTGCGCAAATAGCGAACTTCGCTGAACCAACTCTTAGACCTAGAAGAAACAAATGAAAATCAGCATGACACAACAATGCAAGAGAGTTTTACCTCACATCTAACATACTTATTCAAAAAAGCGTTTTGTTCCTTGAATGCCAAGCTGAATGAGTTGGCCAGAGCACTAGCCTGGTGTAGACCCCTTTGATTTAGTAGATTTACCTAAAATTTATAATCATGTGATATTAGGTTGGCAAACAAACACACAATTACATAAACAATTGCTACATAGTGGTACTGTTGCAAGTGTTACATAATCTTTTTATAGGTTACGCGTACGCTCGGTCGTGAAATGATATTTATATTATATAATCACGGGGAAATTCATGAATCAGAATTAAGGACTGCTCCAGAATCTGAATTTTAAGTGTAAATGTGGCGCTTTTGCTTACCTCACTTAAATTTCGGTCCAGATTCTTTTTGAAGGCACGCAGCACCGGCCGCGGCAAATTTCTAGTTGCCACCGTTAGTATCCCGGACATGGTGAACGACGCCCGGACACAACGAGAATGTGAAGTTGCGTGGAGTCTGGGATTTGCTGGTGTGTATGGAGCGAGGAGGCCTCGCCGTGCTCAGAAAGTCCCTCGTTTACGAAGCCGAACGCACACATGCGCACGAGTGGCACACTGGGAATGATTTGCGAATGTGGTTGGTTGTCTGAACTGTTGAGAAATTGAACAGAGAAGGATCGAAAGTAAAAGGTACGTGAATTTATCGTTAAGCTGCGGAGGTTGACAGAGTGCGCGAACCGAGAGAGTTGAACTGTCATTGGTAACGTTATTTTACAACTACAGTAACTGAAGTACAAATAGCTAGGCAACTTAATACACATTCAATATATATTTTGCCCATATTACAACTTTTGTATAAAAGTTTATATGTTAATCTGAGATACATAAAGCCCAAGCCAAACGTATTTTTTATATATCCATTTTATTTCACCAAGAAATGTTTTACATTCATGTAAAAGTCAATGGTGGCACATATTTAAATTTACTTATGTCATTACCTACTATTTTGGTTTGTTCATAGGGCACTAGTGTAGTATTGACCAATTCTTCAATGAATTCGATTGGTCTAACTGACCCAAAAAAGTCCGTAATAGGAACTTTGTAAGGATTGCGACGAAACAAATCATTTCTAACACCAACAGTAGAAATACATACTCGTTTCGGACAAACCTGCAGCTATAATTTCAATGCAATTATTTAATTATCTCACGTTTCATATAAACAAAATAAAAACACTTACAAATTCTCCCATGCTCTTTGTTGAATCAAGACTAACGCTTTCCAAAAACTCTAAAGCGTAATACGTATATCTGTCAATGATGTATACACCTATCGCCGGATCAACATGATGCTACAAGTATCAAATCATGAGCGCAAGTAATGCCAATAAATAAAACACTTACAGAAAGGGAATCTTCACCAACCAAACTACTCCCAACTGCAAGAATATTCGGCGAGTAAAATCTCTCATACATTGAAGCAGCTTGACAAGTGTCAATCATGAAGAATATCTCATGATATCTTTGCTTCTGCCACATTTGTTCCAATGCATCCGCCATTTCCTGGCTGGTGATTTCTTCAGAATCTTGAAATTTTAAGAAACCATCACCACCATGTCCAGTCAAGTAAATTAGAATGTTGCTTCCCTCATCAGTTAAGAGCTGTTTGGATCTTGGTGTGCTTGGTAATAGTCTACCTGTGAGCAGTCTTACAAAATTTTCCACTGTAACCTAGTAGATGAGAACATATTGCATAGAATTAGAACTTCTTTTTAAACTAAACCAGTTTAATTTATTTAAAATTGTACATTTTTTTACCTCATATCCTCTGTAATCCACTTCAACATCATCTCCATATACATTAATGTGTTGATTAGCATTGTTGAAAACAGTTGCAGGCCTGGGATTCCTTGGATTGCATGCCATATCATCAGCAATCATGAGAATAATTTGACTGTCTGGAATACCCAATCTTTTTACACTTCTATAGATTGACAAAACATTGGCTACATGTCTATAATTGAACCAAAAACGAGAGGTATCCACCAAAACTGCCCAATTGTTTGTGTGGCCCTTTGATCTGTTTGCAAACTCATTGAATTGCTAAAAATTATTTTAATTGGTTGCTAAATCTAGAATTTATTTCATACAAATATAAAAGTTTGAGCTTACCTGTGATGCAAATTCTGCGGACACAACCGAAAGCAGACTCAAAGCTGCAAAAATTCCAATTTTCAACATGATAAGCAATTATGAAGGTAAGTTATTGAATTTTTGTCATAATTATTTCAGGGGCCGGTTTGCATCAAAGTCGGCCGAATTCATAAGTAATATGGGTTATGTTTATTTAATAGATAACTGCGCTAGTTCCAAAACTGGTTGTGAGTGTGCTGCTGTCGCATATTTTCATGTATTCAATGATTTAAGGCGGTGCTACTTATGCTTAATTTAATATGAAAACAAAACCTAATTAGCTTAATTTTGAGTATAATAAATGTTATCAGAAATACAATGTTTGAATTACATATCAACTTCGTATATAACCACACTTGTTAAGCAAATTGACATTTGCCAATGGCCTTGGTATAATTACTAAGGTCATATTTGACACATCTCGTGCACCTATGCTCACTAATCGCTACTCTTCAGTTTGCGAGGTCGTCGAAGTCAGCCAGAACATCATAAGATTAACACTATTTGATTGCACTGTGAGTAATTAACACTAATGGAAAGTTTAGAAACCCCGTCTTACAAATCATTGTATAGTCGCAATGTGCAAAGGCTAAGACTTCCCCTTCAGGCGACTTGTGACGACTTGATTTGTGAGACGGGGTTTCTAAACCTTCCATTATCATAAGATTAGTTGATATGTATACGAACAGTTGTAGCCGCAGGAGACGGACGACACGAAAGTGTTAAACACTTGTCGTGGCGATCGTGTAACGTCCCTAGAGGGTCTGAAAAGGTGTCTGCGCGTCGCACACCGTCATCACTCCCCGCGACTTACGCGCGATGGCTTCCGTGTCAACGTGATGTGAACTCATTGCGCTGATTCCTATCGCGTACATCTAGTCGAAATGTGCATGATCGTCCACTGAATGCGCAGGGGAGTCATCTTTCAGCAACAAGCATTATTCCCGACACACGGTGAGCACGAATTCCACCTCCACTCCTTCTAATTAAATTATTACATTACACAATTATGATGAATTGTTTGGTTTGAAGATGCCCGGTAACAGCCTCGTCGTGCCCGTTGTGCTGTGGGGCAAACACGCGCCCACGCATTGCATTTCCTGCATCTACCTCTCCAGCGACCAGCGCACGCTCGCCACCGGCTGCAATGATGGCCAGATTTGTCTCTGGCAGGTTGATCCCAATACCCTGAAGATGATACCGCGATGTCTGCTCGTCGGACACACGGCGCCTATCCTCTGCATCAGCAAGGCATCTATAGTTCAGGACAATAACTACATTGTGTCAAGCTCAGAGAGTGGAGAGATGTGCACATGGGATTTGGTTGATGGCAAGTGTTGTGAGTGTGTCAAACTACCACAGGTACACACCAATATGCAAGTGAGTTTGATTTACATAACATTTATTTACTTAGCTGATCATATGCTGTAAATAAATGAATAAATATTTATTTTAGGCCTACCAGATGAGTAACTGTGAAGATGTGCGCCTCTTTTGCAACGGCTACTACCCGGAGATTATGATAATGGATCCGTTCAGCTTGGAGGTGGTGCTTGTGCTGTCGTCCAAGGTGAATCCTGACTGGATTAGCGCGTTACATGTCCTGCATCCGGCCAAGTGCAAAAACGACGTGGTACTTGCACTCACAACAACTGGGATGTTTAAAGTGTGGACGCTGCTAGGACACGAGAATAAGCACTCGGAGCCAATCTATGAGAACGAGAGTAAGCACACGCGATGTCTGAACGCCATTTGCCTGCAATGCTGCGCGTATAATCAGCGCACAGTCCTGATTGTCTGCTCCAAGTACTGGCAGATTTATGATGCAGGTATGCAAATACTTTATTTATGATTGTGGATGATGTTATTGTTGCTGTGTAAAATTTTCAGGTGATTTCAGCGTCCTGTGTTCCTACGATGCACCGCGTGGGGAGCGTTGGATGTCTGGCGATTTCCTCGCCGTCGACCGCATTTTAGTGTGGTCCGATGCGGGCACCGGATACATGTACAAGTTGCCCACCAAGTAAGTCACTAATCCGTACGCCTCCTTTCTCTATCCACTTCTCCAGGAATCGAAATCATACAAATGCAGATCTCTCATCGTTAACGATTTGTTGATTGATGCAATTTATGCACTTTTTGTTTAAATTTGGTTGAAATCGATATTACTAATGAACACACATTCTCTGTTTTTGCTCCGAAATGTCAATCATGGTGGCTTCTTTGGCTCTCTCTGAATTGTAGAAAGCTGCGAGGAAAGAACGTCAATAGGTAGTGATTACGCAAATGCACATTTTCTGTTGAGTTTAGCTTTTGTTTCAAAACTACCTCTTTCTGAAATATGTTCGTTGTTTGTCCCGTATATTGTAAACGTATATGTTTTGCTGTAGTGTTATTCGTATCTAACATTCCTACTTTGACTCTTTAGTGCTACTGAACTACTTTTTCAGGATATCTTCCAATTATGTATATAATATTTGTGGCATGTGCGCTGCTTATTTTTTTTTCTATTTGGCGGTAGCCGGCATCATGCTCTAATTGTTCTTACGATTTTAGCTGCATCCCCGACAACAAAGACTTCCACAAGCAGCTTGAGGGAGACAGTCCGTATCTGTATTGCGTACTCAGTCAACCTGACTCAAAGGTGAACGTTTTTAAATATCCGAATGGTTAACTTTAACTAAATTAACTTTGATTTCGTATTTTAGCCGTTGTCATGCCCGCCAGCGATGCATTATGTAAAAACACAACGTGAAGGGAATACGAATCGCTATCTGTTGCGTGGTGATTCTGAGGGTATTGTCTTGCTGTGGAACATCCCCAATGTGCCGATGGATCGCATCTACGAGATGCAACACACGAAACAGCCGCTACAGATGGCCGCGACATTGAACACGAGCCTCACGCACGCGTGGGCGGCGATGCATCCTAGCCCTGTTGGAGTGCTGGACCAGGTTGAGAAGCACGAGTCTGCGCCAGTTCGGCTAACTGCCAGTATTTATCTCCCATCCCAGTGCAAGCTTGTGCTCGGCCGGGAAGACGGCACGATCATAATTGTGCCTGCATCGCAGACGATCATGCTGCAGATGTTGCATGGGAACCACCAACAGTATGATAATTGGCCGCAGCATCAAGTATTAACCGGACATGGCGGCCGCGTCAATTGTTTACTCTATCCGCATCGAGAACACTCGCGGTACGACAAGAATCATCTGGTTTCCGGTGGGGTGGACTTCGCCGTGTGTCTCTGGGATTTGTCGAATTGTAGCTTATTGTATAGGTTTTGCGTTCATGCCGGTGAGATCACACAGCTTTTGGTACCACCAAATAATTGCAGTACAAGAATACAAAAGTGTATCTGCTCGGTGGCGTCTGATCATTCAGTGACGCTGGTAAGCCTTGCTGAATTAAAGTGCGTGTGCCTTGCGTCTCGCCATCTCTTTCCGGTGACGTTGATTAAATGGCGGCCGTTGGATGATTTCATGATCATTGGTTGTTCTGATGGTACAGTTTATGTCTGGCAGATGGAGACGGGGCATTTGGATCGTGTTCTGCAGGGTATACCTGCTGAAGAGGTGTTGTACGCTTGCGAAGAACACGAATCACCTAATAGTATTTCCTCCGATGGGCTAGCCAACCCTGCTGTGCACTTCTTCCGTGGTTTACGACATCGTAACCTCTCCGCCATTCGGCACGCCACGCAACGAGGCCTTCATCAGTTGCAGGAGCTGCGCCCGCACAACAACATCGACGACCCTCACATGCAACGCTCGCATAACTCACCACTCATCATACAGGGCCTGCGTACCAATCCTAAGGATCCCGAGAGTCATATATTATTCTTTGACATCGAAGCGCTTATCGTTGATTTGCTCAGCGATGAATATTCGGCAATGTCACCGAAGACTTTGGAAGCGGCGGGTTTGATCTCACAGTCTGAGTATTTGAAAGTTGCTGCATTGACGCAAAGTGCAAGTCCTGATGCGCACAAGAAACTAGTCGGTGAGTTTTGCTTAAATTGGTCCGTGCTGCTTCTAATATGTTTCACGTAGCCAAGTTTAATTTTCTAATCTTCTAATCTTTGTGCTTGCGAAGACTTTTTCGGCAAAGTCAAAGACAAAGCCGAAAATGTCGAAAGGATCATCAAGGAGAAGGATAAGCATGGTAAAACTTATGGTCAATGTTTAATGTGTCTGGGTACATGTATTCCACAACTCAATTATTGTTTTAATCTGTAGGAATCCTAGCGAAAATGAAGGAAGGGGCGGAAAACGTGCACACCAAGATTCAAGCAAAAGCCGAGCAGGTTTTGAAAGGCGACACGCATCGTAATTCCGAAAGCAAGCCCAACAAACCGTCTCTTAATTTGGATAACGTCAGCCATGGAATGGAGATTGCCCAGCTGCTCTTGTCATTATTGCATGCCTGGGGTATGGACGGTGATCTCGATCGTGTGTGTCAAGTAAAACTGGGTTTGTTGCGTCCGATGGTTCCGTTGTCATTTGGTGTATTATCGAAGGGCAACTATATGTCGCTCTTTTTGCCAACGTGGCATAATACAATACCGGTCGACGAACAGACTGTTACCGACATGGGCGTTCCGAACAAGCACATCCCCCCGGAGTTGATCCGCCGGGAGCAGATTACTCGCGTGTTCACGTCGCGCACACACTGGGAGCTGAGCACAATGCTCACCAGCAATCATCTGCTCGCCATCATTGCGCTTAGTCATACACTCATGTCCATGTCGAATGCAACCTTCGTTCCTGAGCAGGAGCGTAATCGTAAGTTGCATAGACAAACAACACGCGTCGATTGGAGTAAAACCGATGAAGAGCATGAGGAAATGTACACACAACAACAGGCGCAGATTAAACAAGGATGGTCACTGCTTGCCACGCTGCACTGTGTCCTTTTGCCTGATAAAGTAGTGCAGAATGGCGCGAAGCAGTTCAAGCGCCCGCAGGTCGAGATGATGGCGAAGCGTTGGCAGCATCACTGCGTTGAAGTGCGCGAAGCAGCACAAGCATTACTCCTAGCTGAGTTAGGTAGACTGGGACCCAAAGGTCGGAAAGCGTTGGTTGATTCCTGGGCACAGTATTTGCCCTCTTACACACAGACGGAACCGATTAACCAACAGGGAATGAATAATATCCAGCCAGGAACACCGGAAGCAATGGAGGAGGAGTACGACGAGGAAGAGGAGGAGCAGATTCGAAAGCCGGCGAGTCTCGCTGAGCTTAAACGCAAACAAACTACAGCCGTGGTATTATTAGGGGTGATTGGGGCTGAATTTGGGCAAGATATTACGACGGATAGTAATAAGCGGCGGCAGAGTAACGATCGTCGCGGGTCGTTTGTTGATGGGTTTGGTATCGGTAATAACAACTTGGCAAGATTGACATCGCTGGCATTGTCACATTTGCTGCTAGCTCCACCAAGCACCAAGTTTCCGGCGCATATTCCTTTGAGGCGCGCTGCCATTGACCTCATTGGCCGGGGTTTACTGTTTGGGAGCCTTATCTCGACATTAGCAAGGTGCTGCTGGGCTTGTTGGAGCTGTGTGCGGACGCGGACCGCCTAGTGCCTAGCATGACGTACGGCTTACCGCTTACACCTGCGGCGGATTCCTGCCGTACTGCCAGACATGCGTTGACGCTAATTGCCACCGCCAGGTAAGAGTGCATTTTATTAATTATGCACAAATTTAATTGGTTTTGTGTGTAATCAGGCCTGCTGCATTTATAATTACGATGGCAAAAGAAGTAGCACGTTACAACGCATTGCAGCAGAACCCTCAGACCCTAAATGTCAATGTGAATAACTCAGTGCTACACCGGTCGAAGCCGGAGATTTTGCGCAGCGTCGAACTGCTTATCGAAAAGATGCCCAACGAGATGTCCGAGCTGCTGGTTGAGCTTATGGACATTATTCTACACTGTGTCGACCCCGGACATTTGAAAACCAAAGGCTTGCAGGACGTGTTTCCGGCTGTCTGTCGATTTAATCAGGTGTCGCACTGTCCTTCTACTAGAAGAATTGCAGGTAATTATTGTTTGAACCACATGAATACGAGCTGGTGGCTGAATTTGAAGTGTTTTTTAGTTGGTGCAAATAATGGTAGTTTAACATTATATGAGCTGCGACAAGGAAAGAATACGGCCATCCACGCCCACACGACGGCGATCACGGCCGCTGCCTTCAGCCCCGATGGAAAGTATCTAGTCAGCTATTCGAGTGGTGATAATAAATTATCATTCTGGCAAACAAGCACAGGTATGAACCCTTATTAGAGCTGTTGGTCTGGCAGAAATAATCATTTTATTTGTGACACTAGGAATGTTCGGTTTGGGCCAGTCGCAAACACGTTGTGTCAAGTCGTACTCAACAGCGCCGATTGCAGACGTCAGTCGCTTGAATCCGATGCGGTTGGCGCGCCTCGTCTGGATTAACAATCGCACTGTCACTCTGATGCTCGCCGATGGGTCCGAAACGCGCTTCAACGTTTAGAGAACAACCCTAGCGCCTAAGTAAATAAAACCGTTGCCTTTTAATTCCACGAATGGAGATGAACCGGCGGAAGCGATCGAGAAGCAAAAATCCAAAGCAAATCTCTGCACATAATGTTGATATAATATTACAATCTCCTTATTACCTATTAACCACCGTAGTGGATGTAAGATATTTTGATTGGTTACTTGCGTTACTTGACGATTGGCCACTGGTAGCGAGGTGTGTTATTGAAATTGTGTTTTCAATGCGACAATAACGAATCGTAGGCAAACGACGAGGAAGTCCTTGGAATCTAGAGAAAAATCAGCATACTTATGATATATAAATTATAAATAACGAAGTAACTAACCGTGCGAGGATGCGATTTTAATCGTTTTATAGTTGTTAGATACCATTTGATGGATGTCGTTCTATTGTATGTAAACATAAAGCTGTCCCTGTCTGTTTCATCCGCATCGTTCATTAAGCCACGCCATGTTATTACGCAGCTGATATACATTCCTATAAATACACGTACACACATCCACACGAATACACCGACCGTATAAAGTATGAATTTATTTTTTGCTGGGAATGAAGCAGCATAGAAACAAAGATTTATTTATTCGCTGTAATTAATTGTGATCTGTATGCATATTAGGTATATTTTAGTACTTGTAGCGAATTTTAAAACTATTTTTGTTTAAGATATTATTTGATGACGTTAGTGAGCAGGCTATAATTCACTATGATATCGACTTGCTTTGTATATTATCTTGTTAACTATTATTACTATTATTAATATGATTATGATGTTATCTAATCTTATGCGAACGCTTTCGATGGAATTCGATAGATTGTTATCATTTCGATCAGTCACCGCATCAGTCATACGCGCTACCCTCTAAACGTAACGATTTCCTCTCGTTGTTGTTGATTCTATTCCGTAAGTTTTCCTGTGCTCTTATTGTTGTGCCGTTCGACCGAGATACTCTTGCACGAAATTTACGTTCAAAGCGCAAATTAAACAGAGATTTCGAAAAGGAAATCAATTTAATCGATGTGTGTGTATGTGCAAAACTTATATTAAACGTATGTTGTAAGGTATACAAACAGAAGTAAATTGAAAACCACGTTTAGATTATACTCGGTGGAATGCAATCAATCACACTGACTAAGAACAAACCAAATATCCTATGTTACGTTGAGATTGAGATTGAGATGCAATGCAATGAAAACTGATAATATATTAACATGTTAACTTAGTTTCTAGTTTTATTGTGTTTGCTATAGAACATTCACATGCAAAGATGGCGCCCATTCCGTTTGTTATCATCGTTACCATTATATTCAGTGCTGGAACAATGGCTGCCGATTCAGTCGTTGCAACCAAAGAATATCCTGCTAGATGTACGTCGAGTTATTGCGAGGACATTGAAGAGGACATTTGTCGGGCATTACCACCAAATTGCACTGCCAGTCAATCGGATTTTTTCGGCTGGGAAGCTTTATCACCTGATCCTTGCAATTGTTGCCCTTATTGCTTTGCGTACTTAGGTGTGGATGATATCTGTCCAATTGGACAAGCGACTGGAATTGTACCCACGCATATATGTGGTCCAGGACTTTATTGTATCATGAATACGGAAACCGCAGAATCAAGATGCAAGACAAGTAATAATTGCACTACAAATGTTGCGTTTTATCTTAATAGTTTTATGTTTTTCTAGTGGTGGATGTTGTAAAGAATTTACCTGCAGATACACCACGTAAGACGTTTAAAATAAGTAGTTTTGTGCACTTTTATCGCAATATGCTTTATTGATTTACAGAGTTTAATATGGATTGTACTAAAGAACAAGTTGCATACGATCAGGCAGTGGAAAGCGGTACTCTGGGAAATTTACAACTGCGACCTGCTTGTGACAGAAATGGTTTCTATGCGCCATATAAATGTATTCCTGGTGAAATGTAGGTAAGCAATTCAAACCAATTTTCATGATGGTTCTTTATGCAATTTTAGTTGCTATTGTCAAGATGAATACGGAAATCGTATTTTTGGTGAAATTCCATTCACCCCGCTGGCTTCCAAAACAATGCATTGCGGTTGTTCGCGTCATAATGCGAAAATATCGCGTCAACTTAACGACTTCGACAATACATGGTCCCAGATGCGCTGCATGCCCGATGGTAGTTTTGATCCCATTCAATGTTTGGACGATGCCTGTCTATGCGTGGACACAACAGATGGTGTGCCCACTTATCCAGATAACGATTTGGTTAACATAACTGCTTTAGACGCAGACACGATGCCTTGTTGTAAGTAAATATGTTCGCATCTGAAACCAACTTCTTTATTGTGTCGTATTTTCTATGCAGTTGATAACAAATCTCACACCGAGTATGATTATTACCGTGTTTGCGAAGATACCTTCAATCGTAATTATAACGACGATTTGAAGTTCAGATTGGACGGTTACGAGACTTATGGAGCGACTTATGTTAAGTGCCAGATGGATGGTAATTTTGCGCTAATTCAGAGCAACGATAAAGAGTAAGCCATCATTATTGTCTGTTAATTAATCTAGAATTTAATCAATTTTAATGTAGAGTATTCTGTGCTGATCCGAATGGCGTCAAGATCGAAGAATACAGTGTACCAATCGACGACGCGGCTATTTCTGAAATGGATTGTAAATGCGCACGCGCGAATCTACTCATTTCCGGTCTGGAGCGACCGGAATGTTCACCAAACGGAAACTACAAACGTATGCAATGTCGACGTGGTGAGTGCAGGTGCGTGGACGAAAATGGGAATCAAATCGAGAAGGAAGTTCCAAAGGAGATTGCGGAAAGTTTGAGTTGTTGGGAGGTGGATAATACTCCATCAGCTGTAATAATTAGTTAATCGATATTTAATATTTAATTTATTGTACCCTCAGTTACGCACGAAAGCATAAAAAAACTATGATACATCTGTACAAACAACGTTCGGCGGCATGCTGCATGGCTTGTTAACCTCGCTGAAGAAGTAGCCTTCCTTGCATGTCGCCAGGATAGCTTTGAACCACTTGTACAGTGGGGCGCATTCGTAGTATTCGTTGCATTTGCCAGCGGGAAAATATCCTGGTCCATTGCAGGTTATGTCGCCCAAAAATGCTATAAAATGTGACGGAAAATTGGTTATGTTCTAACGATTGAGGTTAGTATTGTACTTGCGGAGGCTTCTGTTGACATAACAGTGAGATTTGTTGAATCTGTCGTGGTTGTTGGCCGGGTTGTGGTTGGAGTTGTGGTTGAGGTAATCGTAGGCGCAACATAGTTTGGATGGCAGCTGAGAGTAAGAAATTTTAACATCACATCGTATAAGTTTCGAATTTCGTAAGTTTTGCGAATTTATTTTATTAGCTTATTGTTTATTGCGAAATCGTTTGCCAGAAGGTGTGTAAAGTAACACTTTTGCGTACGTTGCCAATGGCAACCATCGCACCATGTTGGTTCGTGAATGTGTTGTTTACATTTGGTAATTAACCTCAAAATTCACTTACGTCAAAACGATCGGCACCAATGCAACGTGTAGGATTATTATAATGCGGAGAACATTTCTAACATTAAACATCTATCGTGGAAAAAAAAGTATGAGTATTACGCGTTAAAATGGCTTCCTGATACTCGGAGTGTTCGTGCGTTGCCCGTGCGCAATAGATCACTCCGCGTGCCAGAAAGTGTCGTATGCCGCACTGATTTTGAATTTTTAAAAATAACAACGAATAATATGTACTTTAGTAATATTTTCGACGTTTCGTTTGAAATGATTAGAGGTGTAGACCTTGTGGGTACCGTTTATCACTGCGTTCGTGACGCTCCGTACAAATTATCGCCACAACAAATGAGTATTTCCGCGCGCGTTAAATGTTATCACTTACGGCGATTCCGATTGACTAACACAATGATGTCCCTTCGGGCAGTAGAGACGCACACCGATGTCCACCGGACTGTTGAAAACTTCGGCAATGATTGTGAAGGCGATGTCGGAGACGCATTGCACTCCCTTGACGGGCATGCTGCTGCCACTCGGCGACACCTTGACCAACCACGCGACCGCGACGATCCACTAGAAACACAAACTTTTCCTAATCACTAACGACTGCGGACGTTCATCGTTTGCGATGACCTTACAAAAAGTTTCGAAAACATGGTCGCCGCAATGCGCGAACGCAAGCTTTTGGCCTTTGGGATATTTCAGCACGCCAATTTTATGTGTTTTGCGTTTTGGAATTGTTGGCGTTTATTTTTTCCGTTGCACACTTGGGACCAGCTCCGTAAATCCTTCCGAAAGATGATAACAAATCGAATGTGATTAGCGCAACAAGAGCACGCACTCATCTACCATGATCGGAACTGCTCAAAACTGTTATCAGTAAGTAAACAAATTGATATTTATGTTAGAATAATAATTGGGTAAGTGTGCATTTATCTGAATTTTATTAACATAGTATTAAGCAACTTCTTAACTGTTTGGATTTTTTGAAAATAACATGCATCAATTATTTATACAATAAATAGTAAATTGTATATAGCATTTAGAACGTAGATTAATTTTAATATTCGTCTATCTTTTCTTTAGTATATTTCGAATTCTATAAATAATTTTGAATTACATGACGACGATGACCGAAGATACCCGATGTTAGGTGTTAACCTCAGTCAGTTTGCTGATTCTTCATCATCATTTCACAACAATATATAAAATGAATATTAATTATACCGCCAAATCTATAGGATATCCAAAGGATATAACTACTAATGGTAAAGGCTGCGCCACCTGTGAATATCTGATAAGAAATTATTGTTTCAGATAATTCGCAATATGCTGATTTAGTGTACTGGTTGGAAACCAGTGTTCTGAAAAAGAAGAATTCATCTGAAAGAGAATTTTTAAGAGATGGCATAGCTAAAGATTGGCCAGAGCATTTACACAAATATGCTGTTGGTCTCAATTGTCCTAAAAGTGTATCTAACATTGAAGGCCAAGTTGATTTTATTTTAAATTGTGCAACAAAGGTAAAATACTTGGAGAAAGGTATGTTTTCACTTTTATGGAAGTTATTTTGATTAGTATGTTGCATCTGCAGTACTTTCCAAGTATTTACAGACTGTGTGTTTATGCTCAACCTCTTTTCTTTTTTTAGAAGATGTTTATAATAAATATTCAATTGGAAATTTGAAAACATCAAATGTACCAAATGTGGAAGTAGATAATATTTTGGATCATGTGGATTGTAAGTCAGCACAAGAGTTATGCTGCCATTGATTTATCCATGAATTTTTTCAGATACAAGCAAGGATTTTCAAATAGGAATTAATAAAATGGCAAAGTTATTAAATATCCCTCAGCACCCTGATCCAAAAGTGGTATTACGAGCATGCGCAACAGTGACGTCGAATCGTCTGCACAAGAATGCATTGGAAAAACCAGAAAACTACATTGTAGCAGGCATGCCTTTTCCCTACAAAGAAGCAGATCCTGGTTTTACAATCAGTAATGAAGCTGTTATGGAAGCCGCGAAAGTATTGCGACTACTGTATATTAGTGATTTGCGCGCTTTGCAAACCAAAGTAAATGAATGCATTGTTGCTGTACAGTCAGTGACTGCAAACCCCAAAACAGACACAAAGCTTGGTCAGGTTGGAAAATAAGTGTATATCTAAAAAAATACATTTATTTTGAATTTACATAATACTTTCTGTGCTGTTTTCATTTTAAGTTTGTCTGAAGGGTGATTTGTCAAAAACTTCTCCAATGCCCAATCCTCCTGAAACTGTTTAAAACATCAACTTAATTTGTTGATTGGAATTCTTTGTTGTAAACTCATTACCTGTCCCTAGTGTGTACAAAACATGTTTGGATTTTGGTTGGTGTTTGCCCAAGTAGAAAAGGTACCCGCCAATGGCAAGTAAGCAACTCACGGAAACCACTTTGCATGACAAGCATGCTTCATCCGCTTTCATTTTCATTTTATGTTTTGCTATATAAAAACGTACATTCAATTAATTATGTTGATTTACTTGTATAAAAATACTGCATACATACTTGTAAATAGCGAGTATTAAATGGCTGTTGTGGGCAATTGCAACGTGCCCAGTGTTGGCTGCTGCAACTATAAATTACAATACATGTAAAGACGTCAGAATCCGCACAGAAATAGGTTAGGTTTTTGAAAGTCAACTGCGATTTGCTGCGGCCGTCGTCTGCGAAGTGTTCGATACGGCCAGCGCGACTCTCAACGACGATGTGGTCGTTCTTTTCGCGTGATCCGTCGAAGGACTTCAACTTCGAGATCGGCGAGCAGGTGGGCGGATTGCAGGAGAAGAGCGTCTGGACACTGCACAAGGGCAAGAAAAAGGTGACTCCGTTTGCAAATTTATTGACACATCGCACGCCACATTACATTTGCTGCTAGCGTGAAAGATGACATTCGTCGACGCGTAAACAAACATGCATTGTTTATGTACAACTATTGTTGTGATTTATTGCAGGGGAGCAATGAAGATGTCTCAGTGTTTGTGTTTGACATTAAGACTGCCAGTGAGACACAACTGGAGGTTGCCAAGTCCGCTGTGAAAAGACTCAAAACTTTAAGGCATCCAAGTGTACTCATTTACTTAGATAGCTTAGAATCGGATAAGGTTTTATATCTGGCCACAGAGTATGTGGAACCACTATCTCAGCATATTGATAAGCTGAAGATGGAAGGACCACAGAAGGATCTTTATATTGCTTGGGGTATCTTCCAAATTACTGTAAGTAATTAAAGGTATGTTTTAAAGATTATGCTGATGTAAGTTGTATTTTTGCAGCGTGCGTTATCGTTTTTAAACAATGACGGTAATCTACGTCATAATAACGTCAACATTTGGTCAGTATTTGTAAACACATCAGGGGAGTGGAAACTGGGAGGTGTGGAATATGTGGCAACTGCTCAAGACAACAATGCCATGCCCATTAAGATTATTCCAACTTTAGAAATCTATAATCCTCCTGAACGGAGTGATAATGGCAAATTACGGCAGATAACAAAATGGTAAATTTCATTCTTACAGAGTAATGTAAATTATTCATTTGTTTTTAGTTCAACTGATATGTGGGGTCTTGGTTGTTTAATTTGGGAAGCATTTAATGGTCCATTGCATCAGCAAAGTTCACTGAAACAATTAGACAAAGTGAGTTTGTTTTAAAATGTTTTCATTTATCACTTTTGAAGCAATTTGTATGTGTGTGAACAGATTCCCAAGCAGTTGGGCCCATTGTATTGTGAATTAGTGGGAGCCAATCCTGCCTCCAGACCAAACCCTGCTGATATAATCACACGGTGTCGCAAGTTGGGCGGATATTTCAAGAACGATCTGGTCGACTCACTACTCTTTCTGGAGGAGATTCAAATCAAGGATAAAAACGAAAAGAATCGTTTCTTTTCAAATCTCACTCCACACCTAGACAATTTTCCTGACAATGTGTGTAAGCACAAAATACTTCCACAGCTCATTACTGCGTTTGAATTCGGTGATGCTGGATCAGCTGTTTTAGCGCCGATGTTCAAAGTAAGCGAATGTAATTCAATTTTAATTATACACACAAATTAATGCATTTTGTTTAGCTCGGTAGATTGTTAGATGAAGCTGAATATCAAAAGAAAATCGTTCCGTGTGTAGTGAAACTGTTCAGTAGCAACGACCGCGCGACACGTTCTCGCCTTCTGCAACAATTGGAGCACTTTATCGGACACCTTCAAGCCGGCACGGTAAATGATCAAATTTTCCCGCAGATTGCTCATGGTTTTATGGATACCAATCCGACTATTCGCGAACAGACTGTCAAAGTAAGTCACCCGTAGCAAATTATAACTCAAATATACGCTTGGCATTCTTTGATTCTAGTCTGTGATACACCTTGCACCAAAACTGAATTACAATAATCTAAACGTGGAAGTGCTGCGACACTTTGCGCGCCTGCAAGCCAAAGATGATCAGGGTGGAATTCGCACCAACACGACGGTTTGCCTCGGAAAGGTCGCTCAGCACCTGCATCCACAGATCAGACAGAAGGTGCTGATTTCGGCGTTTATTCGGGCGATGCGTGACCCTTTTCCACCGGCGCGAAACGCGGGCATTTTGGCTCTGGCAGCCACGCAGCAGTATTACTTGTTGGCAGAGGTGTCAGCCCGAATTTTGCCTGCATTGTGTCAATTAACGATGGACGGGGAGAAGAGTGTACGCGACTCAGCATTCCGCACCATCAAGGGCTTTCTCGGTAAACTGGAGAAAGTGTCGGAGGATCCCAGTCTTCGCGAGAGCATGGGTATGCAGATATTTGTGTTCTGTATGGTTTATTTTATGTTGCTATTTTTGTGATTTTTGATTTCAGAGGCAGATGTAAATACTGCAACACCGAGCTTGAGCAATGCTGCCGCGACGTGGGCAGGATGGGCGGTAACGGCAGTTACAGCGAAATTCTACCGCAGCCAGTCAGATACGGTCAAGTCGATGAATCCGATGGCTAGCCGCATGCTCACCAAGCCGGCGTCGCTGGAACAGCCATCCAGCAGCAGTATATCCACTACGACTTCGAGCGTCACGTCTATGACTTCCCTCGAACACGAGGATGCTAGCAGGGGCAACGAATCTGTCTCAGACTATGATTATGATAATTGGGGCGACAACGAGAACTGGGGTGACATGGAGGTAGGGCAATATTCTAGTTGTCAAATTATACCGAATGCAAAATGTACATTTGGTTTCAGACTGGAGGTCAAATGGCGAGCAGTAGTGGCAGTGGTGGTGGTGGTGGTACCAGCGACCCCATATCACCACCATCGGGTTCCACCACTCATAAGGTCACAGATGGTTGGGATAATGAAGAATGGGGCAGCTTGGAGGAAGAGCCAGTAAGTTATAAAACGAATACTTTTGTTTTGGGCATTATGTGAATATTCCCCACTTTCACAGGAAGCTGAAGGTGAAGCTGATTTAACATCACCATCGGAACCATGGTCCCCTAGCGATAACACGCACGACACCTCGCACAACTGGAGCTCGGATGGCGTGAGCAATCGCAATAAGGCGAACCAGAATGCATGGGAGGACAGCGAATTTGAACCGTTAGACGATCAAGTCATCAACCCCAAGCTAGAGGAAGCGAAAAAGAAGCGCGAGGAGCGGAAGCTCATGCGCCAGAAGGAGCTGGAGGCAAGACGCGCTAGCAGGCCGGCTACGGGCGGCCCCATGAAACTCGGTTCCAAGAAGTTTTAGGCTGCGGAATTTTTTACCGATTTTTGACTTTTTACCAGCGGCGAAGCGATGAGCATTAAAATAATTAATTAATTACGGTAACTACCAAAAAGGAAACAGATAAAAAGCATTCGTAATCTCTGATGCTGAATATTCGGTAAGCTTTTGTTTTTTCATCTTGGCGATTCTATCTGAAAACTATTTTTAAACTTCGAAGCGAGGCCTGTAAAAAAAGCATATTTGCCCATGCATGTAAATGTAAATAAGTGTATAATAATTGTATTTTATTGCGCCATATTATGAATAAGTGTGAACCACTGTAATCTATTTTACAATCTAATTGAATTGGGCAACATTTATTTTAAAATGCCCTACTCCTTTTTAAGTTTTCTAGTGACTATTAAATCACAATTCCACCGAAACATGTTTTAAGGGTTTCAAATAATCTGTATGAGGAATGTTTACGAATAATTAGGATTTAGGATTAGCATTTGAACATGTAGGCAGGTTGTGATCTGGGGGAATTTATTTTCTCCAATATGGCAACCTGGGTGACGTATATATTTGACAAGTCGACTTTCACACTTGCGAAACTTGTGAAGTTAACTGTTTACATCGCCATTTATAAAAAACACAGATTGTTATTATTGATCGTTATTAATTAGAATGGTAAACAATCGCCGACAGGAGCATTTGTTTTTTCATGAATTTAATCGGCTGTTTTCTGTTTCCATGCGGTTGTGGTCCAGGCCGTCGCCGAGTTTCTGAAGGGATTGCCTTCATTTGATGAGAACAACTTCACCAAGTTTCATGTGGATGCCAATAATAGGTCACCGCTGAAAAGGCCTTCCGTATACGTGCCTACGAAAGACTTTCCCTCGGAACAAGGTATTCTTTTGAACAAGTTTCAAGTGTCAAATGTTTATGTTTGGTTCAGTTATAGTTACAGAAAAGACTAATATATTGCTCAGGTACCTGCATCATCACTGGGAGAAAAAGGTGTGTATTTGTAAATTAGAGAGGGGTGTGGAACCATTTGCATTTAATCAAGAGCCCAGATTGAAAGATGGGTTTCTAGTGAAGCATTAACTAGGATTCTTTAGTAATGATTAATTCTTGTAAAGAATTTACAGAAAAAGCGTGATCACACTGCAGCAGAAATTGAGGAACAAATCCAAGTGAGAAAACGAGCGCGAATTGACTACAACACACCATGAAGCACAGAAATTAGAGCAGCTAATTGCAAATGTGGTTTATCATACTATTCTGTAACCATTTATTTCTACTGATTAGAAGGTGTAAAATAATGTAATGAATTTTAAGGTTGATTGATGAAAGTCAGCATTTCTTTTTTTTAGTATATGGGGTGATGTAATGAGGATGATGCATGTTGTGTTTAAAGAATTTATGAAATTATTTTCTGATGTATAAAGTGGGAAATTCTTGTGTAAAATCTTTGATTCTGCAAAGACTTTGCACAAGATACAATAAAATATCATTTTAACTTTTATAATTCCCGTGGTTTCATATTGCAACTGTAGTATTTTCGAAGGAATCAAGATAAGGCGCGTCCACCATTAGAAATACAATAAAATGGCGCTCGGTAGATCGGCAAAAAACCAAAACAACCAAAATCCGATCCTGATATTATTATAGTACACACTTGGGAGACGGACGTCAAAATATCATGTATCGCGAGTCCATTCGACGTGGAAAGATATAAATACTAAAGCTATCGACAGAAAAGGTCAACTGATCAAATTTGTACAAACAATTAAAGAAACGATTTCATTATACATGTAATAAAGATTGAGTGGACGTAGCTCGACTGTCAACTCGATTAAGTGAGTAGGAGTGATCGTTGCAAGCAAATGTGTGACAAAGAAGCAACTAAACCTGCCGACCACGCACGTGTACGTACATGACAACATTGATTTCATATATTGTGTCAAACTGTTTGTATTTAGGTGGATCCGGTAAGTACTTAATTTATTATTAGTACTGTAAAAAGATTAAAATGTTGTTATCACTTTAACTCTAGCTTAATGTAGTAACTATAATAAAATATATTTTTAGAAGCAGATGATAAAGTATCGCCACGATGTGTGGTGTGGTCGGCGGCGTAATCATTCGTTCTTATCTGCACAAAATCAAAAGGGCTAGACCATGGTAGTAACACAGGAAGTGAGTAATCATTCCATAAAATTATTTGTGCCATGTGTTTCTCTGCAAGAATGACACAGGATACCAAACATCTGATGTGGCCACAAGTAAGTCATTAAATTAATATAATAAAAACATTTGTTTGTTGAAATACGCTTTTTTATAGGCAAAAATGCAATATTTGCTACTTTTGCTGCAATTATTTGACAGCACTTTAGTGACAACAGCCAAAGAATGGACTCAACTTTCACTCTCCCGCAGCACTTATTTGGAAACCTATAAGAATTATATTGATGCAGTGATGATGCACTTTGACATTCCTGAAAACACAATCAATGCCGCCTTTAAATTTCGCGGACGAAATAGCATGAGTATTTTTGGTTGTCCCGCCCAAGATGCAGAGCTGTATCTTCAGTATGGTGCACCACCAGTGATAAATCCAGACAAGTCAACTTTTCCTCAAGGTTTTTTATTGTCTCGACGCGAGAGCATTTATAATATTAGCTTTAAAACCGACCAGGTGTATACGTACATTAATATTAGTTCACCAACTCCAGGATCTTACTATGCTGTGGTCTTTTTTCCTTATGTAAATCCCAAGGAACAAGGCATCACACAAGATGGTAAATATTTAATTGATAAACAGACAAATGTGCAAAACTAAGTTAATTTTTTAGGTTTGTTACCTGTATGCAACAGTTTTGTAGATGCTGCAATACTTGTGCAGCAATTAAACATCACTCCGATAGTTTCGGAGCAATCTATAACCGTGAATCTCCAGCCAGACGACGCTAAACTCTTCAAAATCTACATTCCATGGAACGTCTACAAAGTGATACTAGTCATAAGCGAGTTTGCATGTTCGGACTGCGACAAAATCACGGTTCAAGCGCAAGTGTTCTCATCGACTGCTTCAATACCGCGACAAATCGTTACTATAAAAAGTAACACGGCTCATTCCTTCACAGTTTTAGGTGAAAGCAATTACTTCATTAAAATATCATCTGTTTTGACCGAAAGCGATGAAAACGTAACAAGCAGCATGGATTTTCGTTTCAATAGCAAGTTTATTGAAACACCTGAACATAACGAAAAAGATTTAAAACATTTGCCGAAAAACTGGGCCGAAGTTGCAGACAAGCTCACCAAAGATGAACAAAACAAATTAGTGGAAAGTCACAAAGAAATGTTCAATTTGAATTCATCACATCTGTACTTCACCACGTCGTACTCCCCGGTCGCAACGCAATACGATGAATACGTACTGTATAAGACAATTAGTAGCGAAAGTTTTCAATTCGGTTATGAATTGAAGCCCATTGAAGGTGGCTACGTTCCGATCAGCATCAATATCAGCAGCGTGGGCTTCACAGTGTTGAAGTTCAACATTCGCGACGTGCTCGACGTCGGCGGGACATTAAACGTCGCATTGGCGTTTCGCCCACGCATCCGGAAAGAGGCTAGATGGATTTATGTCGACAAAGAACCACAGAATCACACCGTAATCGCATGTATTCACCGCGCTGGAATAGAGACTCCTATCTGGGAGAACAAATGTCAATTTCTCACCAGGCTATCATCAAGTCCCTTGATTCTAAATGACACAGTCACCAACGCGACCTTTATGATTCCGTTCCCGGAGCCAGGTAATTGGTATCTTAGTTTCAAGTTGTTTTGCGGTCATTGCGAACCGTGTAATTGTCCCAAAGAGTGCCGACATTTAATAGAGCAATGTTTATCAAGTTGCGAGGAAAATTGTGCTGACGATTGCCATATTTGTCAAGATAAATGCGAGAAAATCGTCGTAAGTGGTAAAGCCGAATGTAAGACTTGCGATTGTGATGGCAATTGTTTGAAGTCTCAGACCAGGGACGAAATTTGTAATTCTTCCGTTCTGTATGACATTTCATCTTATCCATGCGTGGTGAACAAATGCGGAAGAAATGGCAAGTGTACATTTGGACTCTCTGAAGGTTTCGTGTACTCGACTTGTGTTTGTTTTAATAATTACAGAGGTGAGTATTGATTTTTACATAACTAACAAGTTAACTCAATGTTTTTGTTCTTTTCTCTTTAGGCTGGGACTGTGAAGATGACACAAATGCAAACTCGTTGTTTATGATTTGGCTGGAACTGATACTTCTAGTGTTTAGTAATTTTGCCTTCATGATTACCGTCTATGTCGCGTACAAACGCGCTTGCTACGTCGAAGCTCTCACGTATGCTTCAATTCTAATCGCCTCTACGTTTTACCACGCCTGTGATGCGGGAGAGAATCGCATTAATTTCTGCCTCGTCAACTTATACGTCCTGCAATTCTGTGATTTTTACTGTGCTATTCTCTCCATCTGGGTGACGCTCGTATTAATGGCTCATCTACCGCCCCCATTTCCGCACCTTTTACATGTTTTCGGTGCGATCTTTTTGGGCGCTGGTGTTACAATGGACAAGAAATCCATCTGGGTTTTTATAGTACCTGTTAGTACAGCGGCTTTGCTTGTTGTGTTCAGCTGGGCAATTAAAAATTACCGGATTCGTAAAGGCAACAGTGAATATTCGGTGAAAATCTTTCCTAGCAAAAGATATTTAATGATTTTTTTACCACTGGGATTACTTGTTGCTCTGATTGCACTGGCGGCCTTTGCACTGTTTGAAACAAAGAGTAATTATAAATATGTGCACTCTTTCTGGCATTTAATGATGGCTATTGCAGTGGTCATCTTGTTGACAAAAGATCAGGATTTTAATACAAAGCTAGACAATGGTAATGCTGCCGAATGAAAGTGTTAATGACGTTGTTCGCATTTCGTATAAAGAGTTATGTGATTTCTGAGATATAGTGTTTTATTATAATATAGAGTTTTATATTTGGTTTTTATTGAGTTAACATAATCACTGATATTATTAAAGCTAGTTTTTGTTTAAAGTTCATTATCAAAGTTGTCCAAAAATCATTTGTCTCTCCAAGTCTTCAGCTTTAACAGTGCCATGAATACTTTGGCAGTTCTTGTTAAACACTGAGTATGCACTTATTTCACCCTTAAGTTTTCTGCCTGTTCTTGTGTTCAAATACATCATCACTAATGCAGATATTCCAAAGTAAACCATTCCAAACTCCCATAGGATAAAAATATAAAACCAGTTGCCCAAATAATAAAAATTAGCAAGTATTTTATCACAATTGTGGTGGAGCAACAGTTTAAGGTGTCAATCTCAGCATCTGAGGGGACTCTGTGTTCAATGACTTCATCATCTTCAGAATCTGACTGTTTCCTATCAGATGACTTGTTTAAGAGCATTGGTTCAGTATCATCTTCAATCTATAAATAATATTCCCATTGGACGGTGAAAAAATTGATTAAATGGATGCTTGTACATTACTGTTATTTTGGTGTTTGTTGGAAGTTCGGGCAAAAATACCATCGTAAAGGCGATGCCCAAAATCAGCGACAGCGTTTTTTGATGTAGTTATAAACTCCTCTCGTTGTTTTCGCGTGCGGTATTCTTTTAACTTTGCGTCCATTACGTATTTATTGGAATCGGTAGAAGTAGAGGCTGTAAGCAACGTACAAAGTGTAGAAAGTGCCGTTAAACGTAGTCATTTCAGTCATATGTTACTCATCTGGGTGCCAAGCTGCCAAGTTCGCAGGAATTAGCAGGAACAGATATAATATAGGCAACTTTAATATCAAACCGTGTATGCACAAACACCCACTGCCAACACGTCGCCGGCCCACACCAATCAGCACACGCAACCGCTAACACATTGCTAACCTAAACGATCGGAGTGCGTTTAGAGTGTCGTGTCACCTCTTGTCAGTCAATTGTCATGTTTGTTGTGTCGTGTTAGCGTGCGGGTGCAACGTAAATACAATGCAGCAAGTCGGCACGAAGAAGTCTGCGTCGTCGACGACGTCCGCGATGACCACCGCTTCAAATACGCCGCCGACTCCGCGTAAAGTCGCCTCCGTGAACAAGAGAGCCGGCATCACCAGCCTCATCATTTTTCTTATCTTGTTGCTTGCGTGGATTGCCGGCTTTTCGTCGCGCCTTTTTGCAGTTATTCGTTTCGAAAGTATCATCCATGAATTCGATCCTTGGTAATATTATTAAGGGTTGCACTGAAATTTTCCAGTATATATTTATTTACATGCATTTTGTAGGTTTAATTACCGCGCTACGGCATACATGGTGAAGCATGGTTTTTACAATTTTCTCAACTGGTTCGACGAACGCGCGTGGTATCCACTGGGTAGGATCGTCGGTGGTACTGTGTACCCCGGGCTGATGATCACATCAGGCAGCATTCACTACCTCCTGCATCTACTGCACATCAACGTTCACATTCGCGATATTTGCGTGTTCCTTGCACCCGTTTTCAGTGGCCTTACAGCAATCTCAACGTACTTCCTCACCAAGGAATTGTGGTCTGCCGGCGCGGGCTTATTCGCTGCTTGCTTTATCGCAATCGTTCCCGGGTATATCAGCCGATCCGTGGCAGGCAGCTACGATAACGAGGGCATCGCCATTTTTGCCTTGCAGTTCACCTACTACCTCTGGATCAAGTCCGTTAAGACCGGCTCGGTCTTCTGGGCGGTGATGGCGTCGCTGTCCTACTTTTACATGGTAATAAGTCTAAGTAATAAGTGTTGAGGAAAGCCAGTAACTTTTATTTTTCATTTTAGGTGTCAGCATGGGGCGGTTACGTATTTATTATAAATTTAATTCCACTACATGTGTTTGTTCTGTTGCTGATGAACCGCTTCTCGCACCGGCTGTTCACATCGTATACGACGTTCTATATCCTCGGGTTGTTGCTGTCGATGCAGATCCCGTTCGTCGGGTTCCAGCCAATCCGGACCAGCGAGCACATGGCGGCTTCTGGAGTATTCGCGCTGATGATTGCGGTCGCAACACTAAAATATCTACAAAGCGTGCTTTCAAAGGCTGAATTTAAGAGTTTGTTTATTTTCGGCGGTCTTACCGCTGCCGGTGTTGTTTTCTTGACTGTCGTGGGATTGACTTATGCGGGTTACATTGCACCATGGTCCGGGCGTTTCTACTCCCTGTGGGATACCGGTTATGCTAAGATTCACATTCCTATCATCGCGTCCGTATCGGAACATCAGCCGACCACGTGGTTTTCTTTCTTTTTCGACTTGCACGTTTTGATTACTACCTTCCCGGCTGGCCTCTGGTATTGCATCAAGAATATTAACGACGAACGTGTTTTTGGTAAGTCCGCGTCTATCTAGACAAATACTAGAAATTAATTAATTGATTCTTTAGTTGTTTTGTATGCACTGAGTGCTGTGTACTTTGCCGGTGTGATGGTCCGTCTGATGCTGACGCTTACGCCAGTTGTATGCATGCTCAGCGGGGTGGCATTCTCTGGTTTACTGGACCACTTTTTGCGTGAAGATGATTTACGTTCCGATGAAAATGACAAGGATGACGAGGGTGCTAACAGCAAGCGGTACTACGACAAAGCTGGACCTGGCAAAGTAGCGAAACCACATCACGAGAAAACCAAGGAGGTTGACGCAATTGGACCAAATCTACGCAGTATTGTCTTAGTTGTAATGTTGCTGCTACTCATGCTGTTTGCTGTGCATTGCACCTGGGTGACAAGTAACGCCTACTCCAGCCCTTCGATTGTGTTGGCATCGTACAGCGGTGATGGCACAAGGCAAATTCTGGATGATTTCCGCGAGGCATACTTCTGGTTGTCGCAGAACACCGCCGATGATGCGAACGTGATGAGTTGGTGGGATTACGGTTACCAGATAGCCGGTATGGCAAATCGAACGACATTAGTTGATAACAATACTTGGAATAATAGTCATATTGCCTTGGTTGGTAAGGCAATGTCATCGAACGAGAGCGCTTCGTATGAGATTATGACTAATCTTGGTGTGGATTACGTTTTGGTTATATTCGGCGGGGTGATTGGTTACTCAGGCGATGATATTAACAAGTTCTTGTGGATGGTACGCATTGCTGAGGGAGAACATCCAAAGGACATTCGCGTATGAATATTATATATGATATTATTGATGGTTTGTTATAGTGAATTGTTTATAGGAGAGTGATTATTTCACGGAACAAGGTGAATTCCGCGTTGATGCTGAGGGTTCACCGACACTGCTCAACTGCCTTATGTACAAATTGAGTTATTATCGGTTTGGCGAGATGAAGATGGACTATCGCAGCCCGGCGGGATTCGATCGTACGCGCAACGCAGTCATTGGCAATAAGGATTTCACACTTACGTACCTAGAGGAGGCTTATACCACCGAACATTGGTTAGTTCGGATCTACAGAGTGAAGAAGCCGGACGAATTCAACAGGCCTAGGATACCGTTTGCTAACCGTGTTGTAAAGAGCAAGTTCGCGTCGAAAAAGGTACTAATATCTAATTTGGTTCATTTTTTTCTAGAGTTATTTATCTCAAATTTTGTATTTTCAGAGTTCAAAGAAAGGTAAAGGCACGATACGCAACAAGCCCGTGATAGTGAAAGGCAAGCGACTCGTGAAGAAGACATAGAATGGCCAATGGCCACGTAGTTAATTTGCAAATTTTAAGTATGAAAAAAGAATCAAACAAATTAAACGCGCTATTAATTGTTGGCATCAACATTAATAGCTGGTGAACAATAACATTTTTATACCTTCAACTTTACGAGAATGCCATCGCCCAACAGTTCATTGATATTCGAGCGGACACTATCGCAAGCACTTTTCTTAACAAACAAAATTCACTCGTCCAAGGGTTCGCATTTACTCTTTTTCGATTATGTTTCAGTTGTGTGATTTAGATATGATTTTCAACATGAGTGTTTATGTGTTTGGGGATGTCTGTAAGCGACCAGCACTGAACATAAAATATCAGGTGTCTGCAATAATAAAAATACATTTTTGTTTTGTTGAAACAATTTGTTCGCCTATTTCAAAGCAATTTTTATTAACTATTACTCGGATCATGCGGTACAAAGGCTCTATTATAAGATAAAGTATTATAATTAGAAAAATTAAAGGTTCATTTAATTAATTGTTCACACACAGCAAAGGAACATGGAAAACAAACATGGGAAACTTGCAAAACGCTGCTTTAAATTTGAACATCACGTGTCATCTAGGTATGACTTATTGCCTTTCTGTATAAAATTGCTATTCATTTAGACAGTGTGTTGTATGCACACTTTTGTGTACGTGTGTCACACGGACGCTGCCATCTAAGTGCGTGACCACTCACTACCTCATAGACAATTCCGCACTGACTCACATGCGTGCCACACTGTTTGAAACACCATGTATTTTATTGAGGTACCATAAAGCGTCCTCAGATGGCGCAACGATGCTGGTTCAACTCAAAATATTCCAACGATTGCATTTTGTTTTGTTCCATCGATGCGGTAACAACTAGCACATTCCACACTTTCGGCTTGAATTATTGTTCGATGTAAATTCAGTAAATATAGCGTTATATTTTCTGATCGCCGGTGATAATATTATTAATATTAATATCAATAAACGTGTTTGGCTTTCCACTAGTTATTTGTCGCGTGTGTAAACTTCGTAATTGTTATTTTTGCGTGTTTTGTTTATTCACGTGTTTGTGAGTTCGTTGCCGTCGGACGACGGCCGGTGACATTTTGTGAACGCCAATAATGAATTGACTTGTGCAAAAGACTTTTTTCATCAAGAGATGCTCATGGATTAATATGCTACCAGGTAAATATAGTCATTTTTACAATTATTTGCGAATAACAAGAATTTTAACTAAAAACTGGGTTCCGACGGAATGCAGATTCTTTTCAACATGCTACGTAGGTACTAACTAAAGAACTATTTTCGGCCTTGTAAATAAAAATTAAGAATGAAAATTTGAAGTTTAATTTTTATATTTAATCTAAATTCCGTGACTACTATCTGTGACATTCATAGGTGGCACTAGCATGGACGAAAAATCATAAAATAGACTTTTATTGTTTATTTCTCTATTTAGAATTGTGTTTGTTTTACTTTCTTATCGCTTCTGCCGGGTGGAATGCAACGCATAAGACTCCCGAGTGTCGTGTTTCAATCACCTCACGCCGCATGCAGCATATTCTAGTTTAGTTTGAATCGCGGGCATCTTGCCTATTGCAACTCGCACACAAGGTCACGTGTCATCGACGCGCCGGTTTTGCGCATCTCTTGATTTCTGATCGGAAACTGTCGCGTCGTTTCGTGCTCGGCTGCGGCATGCGCTATCGATAGTTTGCAGCCAGTTTTGTGCGGATCGCTAGTTAATCTAGGCGTGATTTGACTGACTCGTATTGTTTGTTCAGACTTCTGCTTTCAAAATTTACAAAATATTTGATCATCAATCGACTATTTAATTGTAACTACTATAGTAATGTTATTTATTATTTGCGCGTTTAATTTACAAAAGTGGTTGATATCGCGTTTCGTGTGCATACTTGTCGGTCGCCAAATGAAGTGGATACAAAATGGCTCCCATGCAGATTAATTAATTATTATCCTTGTGTAAGTTACTTTAAACTTAATAACACATATTTTATTTGTTCTATGTTATGTGAATATGTTATTCTTAAATCTTGTGAAATGTTTCAACTTCTTTTCTTCTAATTACAGCACTTGCTGTGCCTTGGTGACTGATGCGCACAACAATTGGTAAGTTTATAATCCAATTATATTTTTCATTCTAATTTATGCGACCAACGTGATGCGTAATAGGTACCTCATTACGTATTTGCATTGGTATACATTGTCATATATTTATCGTTTGTTTATTATAATAAACATAATTTATTTGGCGTATGCGCCAATACTTACGGTATTTCTTTGATTTTGCATTATATTACAATTAGTATCATCGCGAGCGAGCACGCAATGCGCAATATACAATGTGACAATATCTATGGTATATCGGTCATTTCACTTTAGTTAGCAATGTGGATAGTGAAGCAGCTGCCTGCTGTGCGTGGATAGATATAAGATATATTGTGCTAAAGTAGGACAAAAAAATGTTCGCTATCAATGTTTTAAATATGATCCTAGTGATTTTTGCTGATTGTCTTGAATCTTTTTATTGCGATTCTTAGGCGGAATTCTGCTATTGCTAATCAGTATTTGTGTATAAACAAGTTTTCGAGTCGCATTTATATCATGTTTTACACTTCGCCGAGAAGTTTTATTGCATGTTTTGTCTCTGCCTTATTTTATCAATACTTGCACGTAATGTTCTAACTATCGTTCTCTTCTCTGTTTTAGCAATTACTTTCGAGTTGCGATGCCCGAGTCCCGAGCTAAATTAGAATTCGAATATGATTCTCTTCGTCGGTCGACTCCCGATTTAAAATAAAATAAATATTGACACCCCTTCCCGCATTTCCCCTTAACAATGTAATTTATTTCACAGATTTTATCATCTTCAACAATAGTCCTGAGTGTTGCAACGAGTAAAATACTGGTATGTAGTATGTGTAACTAAGTGTTTGTTTTGTACTTATCCCCACGTGCTGGTAATATGTACGGCTTTTTAATCATTGAACGCGAGCTAGGCGTCTAGAGTTGTAGAAATAAATTCTCCGTCGGGTTGTATTTGTTAGCGGTAGAAGTGACTCGGTTCAGGGTACCTTACAAGGCCAGCGGTAAACGTGACTCGTGTTCAGGGCACCGTATGAACCCGGCGATAATTTGCATGAAAAAAATCACCCTTTTTCACGAAATGTTATTTTTTCGTGTTTGCGCGCGATCTAGGCGGCTCACTAATTTCAACGTGGCGTCTATAGATGCGGAATTAAATTCTCCGTCGGGATGTATTTGTTTGTTGCAGGAATTCGACCTGCAACCCGCGAAAATTTGCATAAAAGTGTGATTTTTGTCACCCTTTCTCGTGAAATGTTTGTATTTTTTCGTGTTTGCGCGCGATCTAGGCGGCTCACTATTGTCAGCGCGGCGTCTAGAGATGCGGAATTAAATTCTTCGTCGGGTGGTATTTGCTTGTTGCTGGAATTCGTCCTGCCACTCGCAAAAATTAGCATAAAAGGGTGATTCTTGTCACCCTTTCTCGTGAAATGTTTGTATTTTTTCGTGTTTGCGCGCGATCTAGGCGGCTCACTATCGTCAGCGCGGCGTCTGCAGATGCGGAATTAAATTCTCCGTCGTTTTGTATTTGTTTGTAGCAGGAATTCGGCCTTCAACCCGCGAAAATTTGCATATAAGGGTGATTTTTGTCACTCTTTCTCGTGAAATGTTTGTATTTTTTCATGTTTGCGCGCGATCTAGGCGGCTCACAATCATCAGCGCGGCGTCTATAGATGCGGAGTTAAATTCTTCGTCGGATGGTATTCGTTTGTTGCAGAAATTCGGCCTGCAACCCGCAAAAATTTGCATATAAGGGTGATTTTTGTCACCCATTCTCGTGAAATGTTTGTATTTTTTCGTGTTTGCGCGCGATCTAGGCGGCTCACTATCGTCAGCGCGGCGTCTACAGATGCGGAATTAAATTCTTCGTCTGGTGGTATTCGTTTGTTTCAGAAATTCGGCCTGCAACCCGCGAAAGTTTGCATAAAAGGGTGATTTTTGTCACTCTTTCTCGTGAAATGTTTGTATTTTTCGTGTTTGCGCGCGATCTAGGCGGCTCACAATCGTCAGCGCGGCGTCTATAGATGCGGAATTAAATTCTTCGTCGGATGGTATTCGTTTGTTGCAGAAATTCGGCCTGCAACCCGCAAAAATTTGCATATAAGGGTGATTTTTGTCACCCATTCTCGTGAAATGTTTGTATTTTTTCGTGTTTGCGCGCGATCTAGGCGGCTCACTATAGTCAGCGCGGCGTCTACAGATGCGGAATTAAATTCTTCGTCTGGTGGTATTCGTTTGTTGCAGAAATTCGGCCTGCAACCCGCGAAAATTTGCATATAAGGGTGATTTTTGTCACCCTTTCTCGTGAAATGTTTGTATTTTTTCGTGTTTGCGCGCGATCTAGGCGGCTCACTAATTTTAACGTGGCGTCTACAGATGCGGAATTAAATTCTCCGTCGTTTTGTATTTGTTTGTTGCAGGAATTCGGCCTGCAACCCGCGAAAATTTTCATAAAAGGGTGATTTTTGTCACCCTTTCTCGTGAAATGTTTGTATTTTTTCGTGTTTGCGCGCGATCTAGGCGGCTCACTATCGTGAGCGCGGCGTCTACAGATGCGGAATTAAATTCTTCGTCGGGTGGTATTTGTTTGTTGCTGGAATTCGACCTGCAACCCGCGATAATTTGCATAAAAGGGTGATTTTTGTCACCCTTTCTCGTGAAATGTTTGTATTTTTTCGTGTTTGCGTGCGATCTACGCGGCTCACTATCGTCAGCGCGGCGTCTACAGATGCGGAATTAAATTCTCCGTCGTTTTGTATTTGTTTGTTGCAGGAATTCGACCTGCAACACCTTGTATAGTTGTTTCCATTTTCCATCAGCTAGAAAATGAGCTGTTTGCTTATTTCTGTATCCCGGTAGGACATTATTACGTGGTATTTGCTTACATATGCGTGGCTATGCATGTCGTAAGTCAACATGGCGGCACGTATTTGGTTGACTTATAAAATCTTAACATGTATTCTATTGTTAATAAAGAAACAGTAAAATATATTGACTTGTTTGGTTTGCATACCCCTTCTATGATTACAGGTACAGTTCCCTCTCCCAGGGGATGATCCCCCTATCAACATTGTTAACGTATTATGTGCCATCATAATTAATTCATAAATCCCTTAAACTTTAGTGGAAATGTCATTGCAAGATATGGAAAATAGTTTTGATCAATATTAATTTAAAAAAGGTATCGCTAGTGCCATCTGTCTATCAGTAACTAAACTACGCCGCTATGAGAGATTACTGGAAATTCAGCCTACTGCACTTTCAGAATTCGAAAACAGAATTCAAAAATTCCAACTTTTTATTTTCAACATAAAAAAGAGAAATCTTTTGCCTTTTTTATAACAAAATCTTTTCTTTAAAATTTTTTTGTGCCATTTTCAAGATTTTTCAATAATGATACCACCTGGTAGAGAATTTTTCAAGGATTAATATTATGTAGTTCTTAATTTTCTAGCCCTCTTAGTTGTCGAGATCCTTCAGAATTCGAAAACCGAATTTGCGGAATAGAGATTTTTAAACATTCATTTTACCCGCCATTAATTTTTACCGCCTCTTTTATTTACTTACCTCCTCGCCCTTCCTGTGATCCTAATACCAAAACCTGAGTTTCGACTGTTTCGAGTCCAAATTTTGTGTCATTTTGCTCTCAGAGTCGACAAAATAAAGATTGAATATTAGGATCGCAGAAAGTTGAGGAGGCTGATAAAGTTTTCGCGGTAACTAGTAAGGTGCTGCCTCTGGTGGCGACGGCTCGAAGCTCAAAATTTTTGGTTGTTGTAGTCTCTAATGGATAGATGGCACTAGCATGCACTTTTCAAAATAAATGTTTTAAGGAATCGTTAAATATGTGGTCGGGTAGAAATAACAGAAATAATTTTAATTAGAAAAACTTAAAAATATTCTTTATTAAAGAAAACACACAAACATACATTTTGGGAGTCAATTTGTGTAATAATTACAAAAGTTATTTAAGATAATGAAATTTAATAATAACAATCTGATGCAAGAATGGTCCTTCCACGATGTCAGACTCAGGTGCAAAATCCCTAAATCAAGCAAAAATTAGTTTTTTGAACATAAAAATGCAATTTTAAGGGTTAATTTGTGAGATAATCACAAAAGTTATTTAGGAAAATGATAAAGAAATGAATTACTTACAATCTGATGCAAGAATGGTCCTTCTATGATGTCAGACTCAGGTGCAAAATCTCTAAAACAAGCAAAAATTAGTCCTTCGAACATAAAAATGCAATTTTGGGGGCCAATTTGTGCGATAATCACAAAAGTTATTTAGGAAAATGATAAAGAAATGAATTACTTACAATCTGATACCAGAATGGTCCTTCTACGATGTCAGACTCAGGTGCAAAATCCCTAAAACAAGCAAAAATTAGTTTTTTGAACATAAAAATGCAATTTTAAGGGTTAATTTGTGAGATAATCACAAAAGTTATTTAGGAAAATGATAAAGAAATGAATTACTTACAATCTGATGCAAGAATGGTCCTTCCACGATGTCAGACTCATGTGCAAAATCCCTAAAACAAGCAAAAATTAGTCCTTCGAACATAAAAATGCAATTTTGGGGGTCAATTTGTGCGATAATCACAAAAGTTATTTAAGAAAATGATAAAGGAATTAATTACTTACAATTTGATACCAGAATGCTTCTTCTATGATGTCAGACTCAGGTGCAAAATCCATAAAACAAGCAACATTTTCTTTCATGCAAATTATCATACGGTGCCCTGAACACCAGTCATTTTTACCCCTAGTCTCGTAAGGTACTCTGAATCGAGTCACTTCTACCGCTAACAAATACAACCCGACGGAGAATTTAATTCCGCATATCTAGACGCCGTGCTAACGATAATGAGCCGCCTAGATCGCGCGCAAACCCGAAAAAATACAAACATTTCACGAGAAAGGGTGACAAAAATCACCCTTTTATGCTAATTTTCGCGAGTTGCAGGTCGAATTCCAGCAACAAACAAATACCACCCGACGAAGAATTTAATTCCACATCTATAGACGTTGCGCTGAAGTTAGTGAGCTGCCTAAATCACGCGCAAACACGAAAACATACAAACATTTCACGAGGAAATGTGACAAACCTCACCCTTTTATGCAAATTTTCGCGGGTTGCAGGTCGAATTCCTGCAACAAACAAATACAACCCGACGAAGAATTTAATTCCGCATCTCTAGACGCCGCGCCGACGATACTGAGCTGCCGAAATCGCGCGCAAATACGAAAACATGCAAACATTTCACGAGAAAGGGTGACAAAAATCACACTTTTATGCAAATTTTCGCGGGTTGCAGGTCGAATTCCTGCAACAAACAAATACATCCCGACGGAGAATTTAATTCCGCATCACTTGTCGCCGCGTTGACGATAGTGAGCCGCCTAGATCGCGCGCAAATACGAAAACATACAAATATTTCACGAGATAGGGTGACAAAAATCACCCTTTTATGCAAGTTTTCGCGGGTTGCAGGTCGAATTCCTGCAACAAACAAATACATCCCGACGGAGAATTTAATTCCGCATCTATAGACGCCACGTTGAAATTAGTGAGCCGCCTAGATCGCGCGCAAACACGAAAAAATAACATTTCGTGAAAAAGGGTGATTTTTTCATGCAAATTATCGCCGGGTTCATACGGTGCCCTGAACACGAGTCACGTTTACCGCTGGCCTCGTAAGATACCCTGAATCGAGTCACTTCTACCGCTAACAAATGCATTGTTAGCGAAATGCGTAACGTAGGCAACCAACAACACAACATACATTACATTATTTTTCAAATACCGCGCGTAAAGACCGGCGCACTGCGTGCGCCCGGTGCAGTAGCTAAGTACAAGCAGAGCGCAGCAGACGCAGATTAAGAGACGCCTTATTCAATAAACGCTATTCAACATTCTTTTACAATTACAAGTGCTCATTGTTTCATGCTTATCTTTTATCACCTGCCCTCACAAGTGCCACACCTAACATCTCAGAAGTGGGATGAACAGGTAAGACGTGAGACTTGAGCATTATTGAGAGCATCCTGCGCGAGGCAGCCTAGTTTTTTTTCCGCGCCAACGGAAATCTTGGAGGTTAGAACACGTGCCGAAGGGGGCACAACGGAACGCACGAGTAACGGCCAACGTCCCGGCCAACGACGATTCGCGCGAGTATCCCCGAGAAGCCGAAAGACGTTCTACATCCACGATGGGCGATGATGGAAACGAAGCTGGTGCGTCGCAACAACCGATGCCACCACAACCTGGCACGGACGCCGCCACCCTGGCCGGCGTGATGCAAATGTTCAATACGTTAATGCAGTCGATGGCAATGGCGCAGCGCCCATCGCCACCGGCCACCACCTACCATAGTGCACCGGGTGCACAGTCCGGACTTACGACGTTCGACGCGAAGAAGAGTGCCTCAGAGTGGTTGGCATCGCTACGCCGCCAATGCCAACTACATCAGTGGAACGACGCGTACGCGCTAGAGGTTGTGCGAACGCATCTCGCTGGAGGACCCGCCGTATGGTTCCAGGATCTGCAGGGCGTGCACACGTTAGTCGATTTTGAAGCCGCCTTCACCAACACCTTCATCCAACAAGACAGTTTTGCTACTCGTTGGAAGCGGATGGAAAGTTATGTACAATCCAAAGACCTTGATATTACTGATTACTTTTACAACAAACTTCATTTATGTGCAGGGTTGGAATTGAGCCTGGAGGAGAAGAAGGAACAACTGCTTATTGGGTTGTATGATAAGCAGCTGTGCACAGCCATGATGGCACAACGTCACGCCGACACCAACAGCCTGTACCATGACTTGCTGAATTATTTGCGTGTGCACAAGGCTCGTGAGGAGCGCTTGTTTCCTTCTCCCAGGAGTCAATCAACCCATGCACCACGTGTGATGGATTCCTATGGTGCGCCCATGAAGAAACCATCAGAAGTAGGGCGGTCCGCAACCCCAGCACCGCCACAGCCGACTACAAGTCGAGTCATGAAATGCTTCAACTGCAACAAGGAGGGACACCTCGCCAGAGATTGCCCTATCCCACCAAAACCACGCGGACTATCCAAGCCCGAAACCCGTCCAGCGGAGACAGCCGCAAAGAGTAATGGACAAGTAAAGATCATTACTTCGCAAGACAATGATGGTGTGCTCAAATACTTGAAGCCAATCACATGCAACGGAATGGCGTTCCAGAGCTTGATTGATCCAGGAAGTTCGGAGTGCACCCTGAAGGCGTCGCAAGCCATCGCCGCAGGCTTTACCATTCAGCGCAAGGAGACCTTGCTGAAGGCATTTGGTCCCGCAAACCATGTTGTCAAATCTCCCGGATTTGTCACGGCGGATGTTGCCATCGATGGTGTGGTTCTCTCAGAAATAGTCTTTAGCATCGTTCCGGACGACGTTCAGAGCGTGGACGCCATCATCGGTCGACCATTCACCGAGAACCCGTCTATCGTCTACATGCGCATTGATGACGACCTGATATTTACGTACCGTAGTGATGATCCGTTCTCTGCTTTGGAAGTCGAGGCGAAGAAGCGCGCGTCAAATCGAGTGACGACGGAAGCGAACATTCCACCACGTTCCGTAAACCTGGTAGAGGTTGTCTCAGGTACGGAAACGCATGCTTTTCCACTGATCAATTGGGCGGTTGAGCCCACTCATGTATCTCAGAACACGAGTCTGTTTCGGGGTGAGGTACTGAATTTGGAGCAAGCTGAGCCCCGCCAGCAACCCATTCCACTCGAGGTCATCAACGTGGACGACAATTTGGATACGGACACAGTGAACGAGCTGCATGGCCTCCTCAACGAGTTCCGCGATACCATTGCGATCGATTCCTCCGAGTTAGGATGCACAACGGTCCTACAAATGGACATCACCGAGGTGCCGGGCAGTCAACCCGTGCGCCAGAAGCCTTACAGATGTAGTGCCGATGAGCGCGAGGCGCTCAACACCATCATCAACGAATACAGAGATGCAGGTCTAGTCACCGACACGACCTCACCATACGCCAGCCCTGTACTGCTGGTGAAGAAGAAGACTGGGGAGTACCGAATGGTTGTCGACTATCGACGGTTGAACAACCAGACCGAACCATTGCCATTTCCGCTGCCCGACATGGATGAACATCTGACACAGATTCGCGATGCAAGGTACTTCACGACACTTGATTTGGCTCATGGTTACCTCCAGGTACCATTGTCGGAAGAAGCACGCAGAAAGACAGCTTTTATTACTCCGGACCAAACGGGTGAGTTTACCAGAATGGTATTTGGCTTGACCAATGCCCCCTCGTACTTCTCAAAACTAATGCAAAAGGTTTTGGGACCTCTCCGTAATGACACGGTGATGTACTACCTTGACGACATCCTCATACCTGCGCGTGATTGGAAGGACATGCGAGTCAGGTTAACCAAGACCCTGATGGCGTTGAGAGGTGCCGGATTAACGCTGAGGATCGAAAAATGCTACTTCATGCAGGAGCGTGTGGAGTATTTGGGGTTCATTCTGAGTGCCGATGGCATAGAGCCTGGCCCCGCAAAACTACGAGCGATCTCGGAGTATCCTGCGCCTACAGATATCCACCAGCTACGGCGTTTCCTGGGAATGGCTAGTTTCTTTCGCCGTTTTATAGCCAATTTTGGTTCCAGGGCCGCCATTTTGAACAAATTACGACGTTGCAGGAGAAGAAGTTCCGGCAAGTGGAAGCGCCACTGCCGAGGTGAAAACGTAAGGAAGAGCTCACGAGTCACAAAGGTTCCAGCCCGCTTCGCAGCATACACACTCGAGGACGAGTGAGAGTCAGGACGGTCGAGTGTTAGCGAAATGCGTAACGTAGGCAACCAACAACACAACATACATTACATTATTTTTCCCGCGCAAGACCGGCGCACTGCGTGCGCCCGGTGCAGTAGCTAAGTACAAGCAGAGCGCAGCAGACGCAGATTAAGAGACGCCTTATTCAATAAACGCTATTCAACATTCTTTTACAATTACAAGTGCTCATTGTTTCATGCTTATCTTTTATCACCTGCCCTCACAAGTGCCACACCTAACAAGCAGAATTCCGCCTAGGAATCGCATTAAAAAGTTTCAAGACAATCAGCAAAAATCACTAGGATCATCTATATATATAAAATTTGCGTGCCACAGTGTTTGTTTCCATACTCCTCCGAAACGGCTTTACCGATTTTTACCAAATTTTATATGCGTATTCAGTAGGTCTGAGAATCGGCTAACATCTATTTTTCATACCCCTAAGTGATAAGGGTTGTTCACCCTTAACTTTTTTTTAAATTTTTGGACAAATTCTTTTGTTTTTATTTTTTTTATAATGTGCAATAAAAAAATACATACAACCCTAAATTTTTAGTTTTTTATTTCCTACCCTATTTCTTTATAGCCATTTTAGTAATTTAATCATTTTCACATGCGTATTCAGTAGGTCTGAGAATCGGTAACTTCAAATCTCTAAGTGATAAGGGTTGTTCACCCTTAATTTTTTTTAAATTTTGGTCGAAATTTTTTGTTTTTATTTTTTTAATGTGGCATTAAAATATACATACAACCCTAAATTTTTGGTTTCTTATCACCAACCCCTATTTCTTATAATAAGTAAGTTACTTTTTGTCTACACTAAAATTTATCTAGAAACTAGAAATAATTTATATGGCAAAACAACGTTTGCCCGGTTAACTAGTATATATATATAAAACATTGATAGGAAACATATTTTTGTCCTACTCTAGCACAATATATCTTATACACATTGCTAACTAAAGTTAAATGACGGATATAGGTACCATAGATATTGTCACATTGTATATTGCGCATTGCGCGCTCGTTCGCGACGATACTAAATGTATTATAATACAAAATCAAAGAAATACCGTAAGGCTCCCCGCACACTACAAACTTTTTATCGGCCGATAGTTTGGTCGGGCTTATAATCAGTATGAAGATGTATGCAAGTCCGCACACTACAAAATCGTTGTAGTAGTCGTTGTAGTGTGCGGACTTGCATACATCTTCATACTGATTATAAGCCCGACCAAACTATCGGCCGATAAAAAGTTTGTAGTGTGCGGGGAGCCTAAGTATTGGCGCATACGTCAATTGAAGTCATTAGACCACGTGCCCCAATACGAATTATATGCAAATAAATTATGTTTATTATAATAAACAAACGATAAATATATGACAAATACGTAATGAGGTAGTACGTATCGCGTTGGTCGCATAAATTAGAATGAAAAATATAATTGGATTATAAACTTACCAATTGTTGTGCGCATCAGTCACCAAGGCACAGCAAGTGCTGTAATTAGAAGAAAAGAAGTTGAAACATTTCATAAGATTTAAGAATAACATATTCACATAACATAGAACAAATAAAATATGTGTTATTAAGTTTAAAGTAACTTACACAAGGATAATAATGAATAAATCTGCATGGGAGCCATTTTGTATCCGCTTCATTTGGCGACCGACAAGTATGCACACGAAACACGATCAAATATCAACCACTTTTGTAAATTAAACGCGCAAATAATAAATAACATTATTATAGTAGTTACAATTAAATAGTCGATTGATGATCAAATATTTTGTAAATTTTGAAAGCAGAAGTCTAACAAACAATACGAGTCAGTCAAAACACGCCTAGATTAACTAGCGATCCGCACAAAACTGACTGCAAACCATCGATAGTGCATGCCGCAGCCGAGCACGAAACGACGCGACAGTATACGATAAGAAATCAAGAGATGCGCAAAACCGGCGCGTCGATGACACGTGACCTTGTGTGCGAGTTGCAATAGGCAAGATGCCCGCGATCCAAACTAAACTACTCGTAGAATATCCTGCATGTGGCGTGAGGTGATTGGAACACGACACTCGGGAGTCTCATGCGTTGCATTCCACCCGGCGGAAGCGATAAGAAAGTAAATTGTGTTCAAAACAAGCACAATTCTAAATACAGAAATAAACAATAAAAGTCTATTTTATGATTTTTCGTCCATGCTAGTGCCACCTATGAATGTCACAGTAGTAGTCACGGAATTTAGATTAAATATAAAAATTAAACTTCAAATTTTCATTCTTAATTTTTATGTACCTACAAGGCCGAAAATAGTTCTTTAGTTAGTTCGCAGCATGTTGAAATGAATCTGCATTCCGTCGGAACCCAGTTTTTAGTTAATATTCTTGTTATTCGCAATAATTATAGAAATGACAATATTTACCTGGTAGCACATTAATCCACGAGTATCTCCTGATGAAAAAAGTCTTTTGCACAAGTCAATTCATTATTGGCGTTCACAAAATGTCACCGGCCGTCGTCCGACGGCAACGAACTCACAAACACGTGAATAAACAAAACACGCAAAAATAAGAATTACGAAGATTACACACGCGATAAATAACTAGTAGAGGTCCAAACACGTTTATTAACATTAATTATCACCGGCGATCAGAAAATATAACGCGATTTACTGAATTTACATCGAACAATAACTCAAGCCGAAAGTGTGGAATGTGCTAGTTGTTATCGCACCGATGGAACAACACAAAATGCAATCGTTGGAATATTTCGAGTTGAACCAGCATCGTTGCGCCATCTGAGGACGCTTTATGATACTTCAATAAAACACACACTTAGATGGCCGCGTCCGTGTGACACAGGTACATAAAAATGTGCACACAACACACTATCTAAATTGAAATACAGTGGTAGTACGAGAGGGTGAGTATAAGCTTTACTTACACTATCTAAATGAATAGCAATTTTATACAGAAAGGCAATAAGTCATACCTAGACGACGCGTGATGGTCAAATTTAAAGCAGCGTTTTACAAGTTTCCCATGTTTTTTTGCAGTGTGTGAACAGTTAATTAAATAAACCTTTAATTTTTCTAATTATAATACTTTATCTTATTATACTTTATTGTATGCAAATTTGCGCGGGTATGCAACTGCAATTCCATTTGTAAATAGAATAAATGTTTATATTTTCATGTTATCACACTCATTTTTATCGTATAGCACATCCTCCAAAGCTTCTCACTTAAAGGAAATATGATAGAAATTATCACAACCGATTTTCAAGGTTTTCAGTCTTTTAACATTCCCTGAATGCCATAACAATTAAATTTTAGTTGTTATTCATCATTGTGATGGTCAGGCTGAAGATGTGCTCCCAAATTAAGAGTTTATTTCTTTTTATTTGTGTAATAGAAGTTAATGGCAAATTCTACAAAGAAAATGTGACAAGTAAAAAACCGAAACATAATTAAGATTCACTAATACAACATAAGTGTTTATGTTTAGATTACAACGATTGTAAAATTTACTACACACGCTTCGAGGGTGGATACAACACATTTTTCGATCTGGCCGAATCGGAAGATCCGGAATTGCTGGTCGATTTGCATATTGCCGTGTTGGCCGTCAGCGAAGCTCATATTTTGCTCGCCACTTCTGCTGATGTAAAGGCGAATGATCCAGCATATGAAATCGTTATCGGCGCTGGCGGTAACACATTCTCGGATATTCGCCGAAAACAAAAAGCCAGTGTGAGAGTTTCGTATAGAAAGAAAGGACTTTTATCGGCTGTAGATATTACCGGGTTCTGGATACACATTTATCGAAGTAAAACATCAAATCCTACAATATATTGACAATAAATTAAATTTAAATTTTAGATGGATTAATTGACGTTGGGAAAGATGGTGAAGAAGTTGCTTTCATGTCCTGGCAAGATACAGAATTGTTACCGGTTACCGTGTTCACTTTAGCTGGATGGAGAAATGTAGAAATCAAATGGTTTTACGATTGCCCTCGACCGAATGCGAATGTTACTGATACGAAAGTAAAGATTGCACATATTTAACTAAAATGCAGCTATGACGCTATGCAACTTCTCATACAACGCTTGCAATTTTACAGAAACGCTTTTCAACAGAAATCGACAGATTAAGGGAGGATGTTTTGAATATAAAAGAATCACATAACGACAATGTCAAAGTAAACATACAGTTAACATCACAGTATGTTTCATTGGTACTTCAGTACATAAAAATTAATTTAGAATATTCGTTAACACGCGTATTTTTTAGGATGAGAAACAATCAATTCTCAATTTGAAAGGGCGAGCTAACTTTGTAAGTTATTAATATTTGGTTAACCACACACACACAGCTTTGTTATTTTACAATTATTAATATTCTAGTCATGGAATTTTAATCCCATCAGATGGAATCCGGAAAACTACAGCAATATAAAGACAGTTCTACTGCAACATAACGAAATATGGAAACCGGAAATCACTGTCAGCAAGTAATCAAATTTAAACCAAATTGAACTTAAAAGTTTTTAATATTATTATTTCAGTGGAATTGATTTAGATCATCTCCAGCCATTCATAGGCAACACATTAATTGCAAATCACGATGGGCAAATATTGTGGCAGCCATCTTTCGATATCTCAACGTTTTGCAGCCTAAACGGCATAGAAAACTGGCCAAATGATGTCCATGAATGCGAGATTTATCTTAGCACACCATTCTGGCAAAATAATTACGTACGGTTTGCTATAACAGCGCCCAGTGATACTATACAATTAGTAAGTAACACAACTTACAACGTACACATTAAATTTTAACTCTTAAAATCAATTATGTCCTTTTAGACTGCAAATAACTACGATTCCGAGTGGTATATTGAAGAAGGACCAAATATCCACATATATCAATTATCCAATCCAAAGAATTCGCCTGATATTTACATAAGAATGCCACAATCGTTAAAATTACGGATTACAATCAAACGGAGAACAAGTCTGTATGAAACGGCATTCAAAACACCATTATTGAGTAAACTATTTAAATACATACAAAATTAAGTGGTGTATTGTTTTTATTATTTTAGTTATCACAGTTATGATGTTGATGAATTTCTGGTGTTCGCCGTTTGATTACATGAAAGTATCCATTATTGCAGCGCAGTTTCTATTAACAAGTATGGCGTCCATTGGGCTGGCTATTGTTTTACCAGGGCATCGAGAAATTATTCCTATTATCGGTAAAGTACTTTACTTAACTCCAAACAAACAACTCTAATAATTTTTAATTGTTTTAGTCTATCGATACAGTGCTGTTATGCTCGCAAATATCCTCAACTTGATAATCAGTGTGATTGTTATCAATTTGTCAAGAAACAAGCAATTGTTTGAACCAGCACATATAATCGGGCGTATTGTGAAGAGTAAACTCGTCGAAAAGCTACTGTTATTACCAGAATTAGCACCGGTAAGTTAAAATTAAACTAAATTAAAATAAATATTATAAAACTAGCTGTTGCCCGCGACTTCGTTCCGGCCGTGTTTAATAAAAATGTAATTCGTTTTTACTCTCTTGTTCTAGACATACTCGTAGCAAGAGTCAATTCTATCAATAAAATTAGCAATTTTAATTTAAAGAAATTAATTATATAAAGTTTTGTCAATAATGCACTTCAGTGCGCCATCTGGAATTCAACTATTTAACTATAACTATGATTGAATCTCAATGTCAAATTTTATTCTATAGAAAAGAGCTGTTTTGAGGATTTTCCCGGCAATTATTCGAATTTTTCTCACCTTTTAAACCATCCCTAGACCTCCACAAATAATTCAAGACCAAGATAAGATAAATCCGTTCAGCCGTTCTCGAGTTTTAGCGAGACTAACGAACAGCAATTCATTTTTATATATGAAGATATATTTTTTTTCATTTTGACAGCAAGTGTCATGCGCATATCCAGCCGCAATGGAAACAACCCGACGCAGGACACGTGTGCAGGACGTCTGGATCAGGCTGGGAATGTGCATCGATCGCCTCGCATTCATCATTTACCTCATGCTGACAATCACATCATTCTTCACTAAATAACACTAGAAATGCATTACTTTTTGCTTGATTAATCAATTAGTAATATAATATATGCATTATAAATATTTCTATGTATAAACAAGTAACTACATCGGATACAATAAGGAATTATTGCGTTTCTCAACCAAATGTACCGAATTATTATATCGAACACAAAACGTTCGCGAGTATTAATTATCTCCTCATTTTTACTCCTGTTTATATATTATTAGTATTATTATACATATGAATTAAATTGTTAAAGGACGAATTACTTGCATTTCAAAATTGACAACAGTTTCCTTCCCATTTCCGCTAGCGTTCTTTACGTAAATTGATTTCTCTAGTCAGTTCACATCATATTAAATGAATCCTCCGATTGCACAACGCACCAAAAACTTAAGATAGTAGTTCCGATAGCAAAAATAACTACGTTTCTATATGCTTCTGATATCTAGCTTCATGCACTTTGATTGATTATTGCTGCTATGCTAATTATTGGTTTTGTTGCTACAAATTGGCATCAGATTAAGTAAGGTTAAGTCGAGTTACGTCAGAGTCGACTTAACCTAACTCAACAGCTCGCAATGTTATAACATAATTGATTAAAGTTAGGCTCTAGTACACTTCTGATCAAACGCTATAAATACAATTATAATTAGTACGTTCTCGATTGTGTAAATAAATATTATAGAAATTGACATCTAATACAGCTAGTCACCAACAATACTAAACAACCTATTAAAAACAAACATTCATTGTTATCATTGTACTAAGATAAATAGAAATTTCGTTAGAATCATATGAACAGCGAATAAAATTAGTTCCGTGCGCAAATAACCAATGTTTAACTGTCAATTAAAACTCTGCCCCAAAAACCCAATAAACTTACGGTTAACAATTCATAAGAGCACCCGGCCAAGTAATCAACTTAATAGTAGTTGTTAATTCTGTGTGAACATTCAACAAATGATTTATTTTTAAGATCCGTAATTTCTTAAGAAATAGTGCAATTGCTCTCGGGGATGGCGCACGCCGCAGTGCCTCGCGCTGAGGTAAAGACTCATCGTGACTATTCGCGGACAATTGGCTCATATCCGGTTCTTCCTTGACGCTGGTAACACTCAGACGGTCTTTAGAGTTGGTTTCGGATTGATTCGCGCTTGATTTCCGAGAGCGTGGGATGGGAGCAACGGAGACTTTACTCAAAGTCGCGGAGATCACGCGCTGATGCTCGAGGATCTGCTCGTGCTGGATTTTCGTCGCCAATATCGTCGACAGGACGGAGATTTGATTCTGGATTGCTAACATGAAAGGCTTATAACCCAAACTGCAAATAATATAAAATAATAATCATTTAGTAGCTGTTGATTTCTAAATACTATTGTATTTTATTACCATTGGGTGTCTGTCCAATAATGAAGAATTTGCAGACCTTGTTTGAGTCGTTTGACGGACTCGATTGATTGATCCGGCGATTTCGCTGCGTTCACTGTTCGTAAAACAGCCAAGGCATCACGGAGCAGTACTGAAATCAGTAAGGACCACTCCAGGCAACTTGCTTCCATAAATAACTGCAATAAATATCTAAAAACACAAACAATTTATTTAAAAAAGTAAAATTAAAGCGTAAAAATATGAATATACCTTAATTGTACTTCCGAACGTTGTGATCCTTTACTTCCCGCATTTGACAATTGTTCCAGCACCTGCGTGGAAGGCACCTCCCAATTCTCACTGCTACAACTCGTCCCAATGTACTCCCTGTCCTCACCCCAAACCGAACTGATACTACTCATTGTATCATCAGCATTCGCCCGAATTTGCGTTTCCATCATCCTGTATCCACCAATACTACTTCTCGGTGGATCATACAAAAACACACGCTTTTCGCCGCCATTACTGCGCAATGACTCGTAATTTTTCGAATGTGTTCGTATCATTCCGTTAAACGAATTCCTCTCAATCGCGGTATTAGGACTATCCGGTTCCGGCTCACTAGGTGTTTCAGTCACCTGCGATGACAACTCCAGAGTGTTCTGAGGAGTGTACAAACCCGTATACAAGCCTTGATAACTAATGTAACCAGAATCCCCGACTCTGGACGACGTGTGATTGTTACAATCCATATGCAACTGTTTGAATTTTTCGTCGATATTGGGACTCTCGGGTGGTGATCTACTCAGTGGTATACTGAGTGATCCATGTGGAACGGGATATGGCCATGAAAAATCATCGTGCAGTTGTTTCAAACCGCAAACAAAATCGTCAATCCGCGCGGCGCGTTCGCGTTCTTTACCTAGCCATGCGACAAGATGGAAATCAAGATGCGCGGCGAAGTATCCCATATCGGTGAGTTTATGATGCGCCAACAGTCGGCGCGCATGTCGTTGCAGTATAACATCAATGAAGAACTCTTCGGCTGTGTTGCTATTAGTTGAGTCACGATTTTCACTTCGACTGGAGCTGTTTGGCATGCTCTTTTTTCTTCGTTGAACTAGCGGTGATTCAGCAATGGAGTTCGCATTCAGCGGTGTGATTTGATTCTTCTCGTTGATTTTTGGTGTGACGGATGTGCTGTAACTGCGCACGCGCTGCACATTACCGAGGACCAATGAAATGTCTTCGGCGTTAGGTGAAACCGGAGTTGCTGGCTGTGAAAGATTGAGTTTGTTTGGAATGATCATCGAATTTCGCGGGGATTCCACGTCGTTGGGATCAATGGCGCGCAGGAAACGGACCAGATCCTTGGCGAGTTCCCATTTTGATTGGTTTAGCGCTGTGTCTAAGAGTAAAGTTGCATATTGTCGACTTACTGATGAGGTTTCAAGGTTCTAAACAAATTTAAAACACATTTTTATACGTTGATTACATTTTACCGGTGAAAATCTTACTTGTAAAATAATTAAATATGTAGCAGCAGTGTCCAAATGTCCTTTAGCCATGCACTCTTGAAATAAATCCTTTGGTTTGCCAGCAGCTGAAAACAAATATGGCCACAGAGCAATTTCCGTTTTGCGAGCACATTGTACCACTGTCTGCAGATACACCGGAAACTCCATAATAAACTCAATCACACTCGGCAGTTGCGCGTCTGGAATAGGCTCCTTACTCGTCGCTTCCTCCTCCAACACTTCATGCAGCAACAACTCCAACGAGTGCGGAAAATACGGCAAACTTGTACAACTTCTCGCGATTTCCCAAGCGTGATAACCAAGATTACGTCGAATTAATTGTCGAAGGATTTGATGCAGATAGACTTGACTCTACACACAAAAACAAAACGGGTTGCATAACTTAAAATACAACCATGCTTAAAAACTACTTACAGTTCTCTGTAGGACACTGAACGGCAGCGAAAATGGCGAATTGGAATCCGTCGTGTACAAAACCGTATCATTTTCAGCGCCGAGAATGATTGCATCTTCAAATAGAATCGCCAACGGATAGATTCGCAAATGAAACGGCAGCATAATACGCTTCGACATAAACGTGTGGCTTTTATCACCGTCACGTGGAAACAGCGGCAACCAAACACGCATGCCATGCGCACCACAAAACAACCACAACGCTTCAGTGAGATGCACCTTGTCAGCTTTCCGCCTTCCGGGACCCAAACATTCTCCACACATCCAGCCAACACAGTGGGCATTGAACACGTAAACTTGCCGCCATTTCGCGTCTCTCTTTGCACCAACAATAAACGTCCGCTGACGTTAAGCACCAAACTTTCGGAGTTTTGATTCTGCCCGCGTCCGGATTCAGCTCGTAAAGTTGTCAGAGTTATTGAGACTATACAAGCTGGATGAACACAAAGCGCGGAGATATCAACAACTTGTAATTTTGACACATCAACATTACCAGCTGCATCAATCTGTTTAATATTCCAGATGGCAACTTGTCCATCCGAACCGAAAGTCACCAAAGTGTCCTGCAGGCTATTCATAAGCAGAATCGGTGATGCGACGCGTACAATCCGCGCGAATTTGTTATCCAGCTTACAATCCTTCGGATAAAAACGCAGCTCATCACCATTATCGATGATACTATAACAGGCGAGTACAACATAATCGCGCCACCATAACAAACCGCCTGAGACAATAAAATCCTTCTCTTGGCTCTCATTACCGAAGAGTTTCCATCTGCGCGTGAGCATGGAATAATGCGCAATACCCGTACGGCCTGCAATCGCCATGTTTTGACCATCGTGATCAATCGCCGAATACTATAATCAAAAAATGCATAAATATATTATATTTCAAGATGGCGGATGAATATTTTACTCGTATCGGCCAGTTGGTTGCTGAATACGTGGACGGAACAGGAATCACAAGCCATTGTCGACCTTCAGCGAGTGGTTTCGTTGACGCCGGCGACGCATCGCCACCAAACACACCTTCATCTTTATTATTCGCAGTGCGATCGGAGAATATCTTGATGAGCGTGTCCGCTGAATTGATGAAGAGTTTATCTTCCCCTTGTAAGTATAAATGACTTTGATGACTCTATAATTTCGATACAGTGGTTTCACACTAACGTCCTTGAGTTCTCTCCGCGCACAAAAATTCAAATTTAAATGTGTAGCTTCTACTCAAATAAAAACGCTTACCATGCATGGATTTATCGTCAGCGCGCTCTTTGCAAAGTCGAGCTGAATTAAACTCGTCGTAAAATTGTCATCGTCGTTATCACCGTTGACTTCCTCCGGCGTCACCGGATTCGCATTCGGATCTTGAATGTTATCACATGTGTCTTTTGTAAACTGCTTACGGATCATCCACAGTTGATAACCTTCCGTGCCCCATTCCTAGTTGAATAAAAATGTGATATTTTATTGGTATTACAAGTTTTTGTTGTTTTTACCATCGATGCAACATGTAATGGATTATCCCTTTGTAAATCCACATGCAAACCGTAATCCCAACCCAATGAACACATTAATAAAGCGCCGAATGTTGACCACATCGCAATGCCGCCATTCTTCCACGTGGCTACCATTGCGCAGCCGTCGGGCGTCCATTTTAGTTCCGTAACGGCGCCCGGACATCCCGGATAGTCTTTACTGCTTAATACGCAGTGATGCGAGACTGCTAAGCCACCGGTACTTTCATCGATGTGATAAACTACACACTCGGAACTAAAAATTCATTCACATCAATCAAATTGTACATTAATATTGGTAATAAATGCTAATTTAACACATACTTTGCACGTCCGAATGTTATCAACCGGTATTTGTGATTGACACTCGCACAAGTCGCGTCTTCGATGCCTTGTGCCCAAATTCCTTGTACTTGCTATAAAATAAAACAAACAGCATGAATGGTTTTCGTGTATGCAGCATGCATAAATCATGTAGGTATTTACATTAGGATCGAAGCGTAGAGACGATGCCGTTAGAAATGCAGCCCGGCCGTCGTTCAGCACGATTGCGAAGCCTCCCACTAGCGGAGAATATTCTATGGTTATTATATAAGTGTTCTCTTCGACAATTGGCACAGCTGTAATTAACATATAAATTAATTCTTAATTTACAATCAATAAAAATATTTTTCGATGCAACACAAAAAAATTAATATTAGGCAACCAGTTGTACACGTTTGGGTGTTACAGGAAGGCTACATTGAAAAATATTTGTAAATTTACCTTTGGATACTTGTTGATTAATACAAAATGGAATCCGTCTTAAATCTAAGTTATAGTCGCGGTTTTGCGTCCCATCCCAGCGGTATCTCAACACATGTGAATTACTAGTGGCAACCATCACCTCCGTCATTGTAATACACACAATGCTCGTGATTTTCCCATCCCATACCATCGCCTCTTCGCTCTGTGAACGCACAGCGAACAATACAATTAGCACTTAACAATTGAACAAACCACACAATATTTGCTTTTAAAAACTTACCAATGATAATTGTAAAGGTGGAATGATCTCTTTAATGAACAGCTCTGCACTGTCCCTTCGCAGATTTGCATGTGGTGAATCAGTTTGGACATAAAGTCCCTTTTGATCAGAGATGACATTGAGACTATAAAATAGTAAATGTCCTTCTGATGTCTAAAACATATATCAAGTATTAAATCAGTTTGAATAATTTGTGTTACACAACTTACAACAATCACCAGTTTACTGGAATCTGGTTTCCATTCAACTAAAAGATTTGTTCCTAGATTTTCTATCGAGTCTCTTGATCTTCGGTGCACCACAATTGGCACACATGGCTGCAACCCACACAACAAAACAAATTAACAAACAAATGAACGACGGTAATGGAATAATTAAATAAGGGATGTTTGTGGTGTGTTTACCTTACAAAACCAAATCGCTAGCGCGTCGTCTGTGAGGATGGCAAATAAAATTCGATCTCTATTGGACGTGACCTGTTTCAGGCGCGTGTCGCCCAAATCAGGCAGTTTTAAAACTTTAGGCCAACCGATCGGGAAATACATTGCGAACGGTTGCGAGGGGCCTACATCCGATCACGTCGTCGCACGTTGATGTGCGGGCATCGTCTTCGGTGGGATGTGGATCCCAAAGATTGCGTTGCACGGGACTCTGGCCTGCGACGCGAAATGTAAAAGTTCACCAAACACAACACGGAATAACAAATAGCTACGCACGAAACGCTCGCTTTTCTTACATATTTTGACGTTTCTACGAGCGGAATGAGTGTGGATTGAGTGGAATGACAGATAACACAAACCGTTTATGCTGGTTTACTCGCTGTGCTTCTCTACGATCTCCACACACTTGAACTACGCTCGTGTGTACACATCCCTTCCAGAGAGTGGGCTACAACGTGTTGAGTCTATAGTTGCGTACTAAACAATTTAATAAATAATTATGGCTTTGTTTTGTGTTATTTACGTGTTTCTTTTAAGTTTAGATTGATTTAGTGGTTTATTTAACGAATAATATGATTTAATTCTGGTTAAATATCATGAAAAATGCTTTTTAAAAATTTTTGCGTGTAAAAGAAGTTGCCTAACTTGAATTATGAGTTTACTTCCATTATGGATTTTACTGTGATCTTAAATTTATAAAATTGATATTTAGTAGCTTTTTCAGTGATAAATTAAGAATAATTATTGTTAAATTATTCAAGAGGTTTATTATAAGTTCTATTGAGGTAATTAAAATGTTTTTGAAGACTTATTCTGCTTTTAAATTCACTTTTTTGCTTTTTTTTAACGAAAAAAGTAAAAATTATTAAATTAAATAAAAGTACACAATAAAACTATTTGCAAATTAGGTTACTTCTCATTTAATTAATCTAATTGTCTCATTTTCAGAAGTAAACGTTTATAATATACGACTGTGCGTGTAATAGCCGTAATAAAATTAGCAAATGCGACAAGAAAAAAAAACGGGTGCAATTCTTGTGTGGGAAACACAGAAACGCAGAGAATGCCGGATAATTATACTGATGCAGGATGCACCCGTTGCACCCATCTGCATATCGCATGCCGCGACGACCTTCAACTTGCAGTTTCGAGCGCACTTGAGCGCATGCATTATTATCGTAATTATTGTCATAAAAAAAAACGAAAGACACGCACGCTCTACGCACACTCGGCACGCAAAGCTTCCTTTTAACCTTCCCCGACTTGCTACCGATTCTGCTAACTTGTTTCTTTTTCAATACCGACCACGGTTAACGACGTCTAATTATGCAATGTGATATTCAGGAAAATGCAACAAGTTTACATTCAATATACAGTGTGTTATAGGATAAAATCATTGGTATTACACCCAAAATGTGTATAACTGGTTGCCTAATATACATTTTTCTGTGTAACGATGGGAAATATTTGCATTTCTAGCTGTTTCTAGCAATCATTGCTTTGAAGACATGACATCGACGGTGACATTTGACATATTGTTGTAGGTATGCAACCCAACATACGTAAAAATTACAATGCAACTTTTATAACTTCAGCACGTATTTTCAGAGTATTTGAGTTGATAATCAGCTAATAAAAGATTAAACAAATGCCAATTTGTTTATTTTTTGTTCAACACCTCGCAATATCGTAATTCCCAACTACACTGTACCTAGTACCACGATAAGCTGTGTTCCTTTCAGTCCGAGATGCTATTGAGACCATTTGCGACGGCAGCTGCACAGCAGACGAAGAAGTGATGAAGAAGTGAAGTGGTGGGGCAGCCGCATTCCATCGTCCGATACGTTTGCCTCCAAGCCAGCGCCAAGCAAACCCAAGGTTCACGGAAAGAGCGCGCTTCGCCGCGTCGAAGAAAAAGCTCAAACGGGCCCAAGTCATCGCCTGCTTCGCGCGTCTCTTCACCAACGCTTTGCGGCGTGCAATGCCCGGTTTGTACCGTTCCACACTGACCGTTGAAGCACCCACAGCGGCCATCGGAGGATTTCACGCGTAAATCCACCTTAAAACTTTATTCACTGTGAAATAAACGCACAAAAACATGCTGTGAAAGTGTGACTGATAATATCCATTGTGATACAGTGTTGAAATGTAGTAAAAGTGAAGAAATCCGCAGAAAACAAGGATTTTCGAGTAAAATTTATGAAAATTGTAAGTTTCTATGACCTATGAGTATGTATTTGTTGATTCCTATTCACCGGCTCACCTTTCTTTGGTTTACTTGTAATGTATTTACTTGTTGCTACGCTCCTCAATCTCTTTCGCTCTTTGCGCGTCCGGCCGCTCATTCGCATTTCCTTTTATCGTTCTCTTCATCTCAGCGTCTTCGTCTGCTGCTTTCAACTGCGTGTACTTTGACTTCTTCTTACCTCTGCGGGACGTGCGTGTATGAATTTTGTATTCGGTGTGGAATCAAAGGCGGCGCCGCAGCATCATCATCACACGAAAACCAATAATTACAAAACGTGCGTCGCTCGGTTCACCGTTTAGTTTTTGGGCTGTTTTGAGTCTTCAAGCAGTCGAAAATATTTCGGAAAGTCAAGTGGTTGAGAGCATTATGTGTGTTTAAGTCCCACAGCACTTAAAATTTTTATTTTTGTGTAAAATCTGTTAGAAAATTAAGATTTTAGGGAAAATTTTCTGAATTTTTGGTCACACGCCTGTCGTAGATATAAGAATTTATTGCACACCTGCGTGAAATGTGCCCTTATTGTCAGAAATCATTCAAATCCCTTTCAATACAAATTTCCGCAACGATGCGTGATGCAACAATGCGTTGATGTATCAAAAGTGGTTGAATGGCTTCCAAACACAATGATTTCTATGACATTACTCCTGAAAATGCGAATTCCCACGTTTGTAGGTAGTAAATATACCAAAATCACAAAAACACCATGAATTTCTGTAATGGATACCCATAGCTTTGAATTTAGGTTATGTGAGACGCACGCAGGTAGATCACGCACAGGTCCGACTACCTGCGCACCGAAATCCTCACAAAAACGCTTTGAAACGCCGAAAAGGTGTGATTATCATTGGTGTGAACGCCAACGTTGAGGAATTCACCTCGTCCCCACCCAGATATTCCAAGAACAACCCCTGGAAATGGAAATAAATCTGTTAATTTATATTTAGTGTACTTCAAACCACCACACCATCAGCACACACTTTAACCTTTAACTTAAACCCTGGTTTATTTTACCATTAGATGTGAATCAAATCAAAATGGCGTCCCCGTCACCATCGGATCTCAAGCCGCTGCCCCTGGAGCACGCCTACCAGTCGAGCGACACCATCAGCTGCCATTGCGGCGTTGATAAACTCGAAACCAATAAGACTGAACGCGACCGCGAGCGAATCTCGCCTGTATCAATACAGTATCAACATACGCACGCTCATCAACACTATCAACACACCGCTGCGCATGCGCTTAGTCAGGTGCATGTGCATGTGCATACACCAGCGCCACAAGCGCCGAAAACAATGGCGAACTGCACATGTCATTTGCAGAACGTCAACGATACGGAAAATGGCGGACAGGATCCGGAGAGGAAGATTGAGGCGGATGATCGGATAGAAATCAGTCCGTTACCGCCGGCATTACCACCAAGACCACCCCACGACCCAGATATGATGGTAGTTTGAGTGGACGGTATCGACAAAGAGACAGTGAGTATTTTAAACACATTGTATATATTTATACTCATTTAGGGGTGAGGGGAGGGTAGAATAGCCTGTTGCCCGCGCACAGGGGTAGAATATCGACTATCCGAGAGAAAGAGCTAAAGTTGTCATGGTAACAACACAGATCCGGACCTAGAACAATAAAAAACATAAGAAAATCATGATTTAAACACATCAAAAACAATAAAAACTTATTTTAATAATAATTTAAATAAAATATCACTTAACCAGGTTAAAAACATAAAAAATTACCAAAATAAATAAAATAAAACGAAAATTCCACAAATCCACTTCTGGATTGATGAAAATCCCGTGCGTGAAGATGCACTTGTCCTGCGCTCGACCAGTTTACCATCGCGTCGTCCCCGAAAAACATCGCGTTGATTCTCTGAACACACAAAAAACAAAATGCACGGCTATCCCGTGATGCAGGTGGTGCAGTACCACGTGCCGCACGTGGGGCACGTGCCCATACAACCATTACCCTACACGCTGCAACCCGGTATGCAATCAAACCTTCAACTTTTATGATTTTACGTCTGCTAATCTTTGTTTCGTTGTTTTTTATTACAGCAAGCCCCAACAGTGGACGAATACGCAAGTATGTCTTCTGGTGTTGTGCCTGTGGTGGCCTGGCCACCATCCTCGGCGCGCTTTTCCTTGCTGTGTACTTCCTGCTGCGATCATATACATCAACACTGGGCTATTTCGAAACAATACCGACTTTTGTTCCGGCCACAATGGTAACCTAAACATAATACGAGTAGAGTTATTTATTAATTAAAATTAAAAAATTATTTTGTTTTGTTTTATAGTTGATACTGACTGGATTATGCGTGATGAGTTTAGCTAGAAGAAAAATCGATATAGTTATCTTGTAAGTAACTTAACCTCAAATTATATCCATCACTGATTTTACTTACATTTTGATTTAGTTGAAGGTTTGTGGAGTTTGCTGCTTGGTCTGTGCGTTGACATGTGTGCTGGTGACAATTACAACAACTGTCATCCATATGAATCGCCTGCAAACCCTGCGTGAATGTGTTTACACCCAAAAACACGCACCTGTACCTGTTACTCTGTGCTGTTGGAAGCCCACCCGCAAACTGATGAAGGCATGCGCTTCGTGTTTGATTCCACGCCGGATTGTGAAGTCATCCATGGCGCCCTCTACACATGCCTACGCGCAATGTTTGGTCTTTCTGTCAGCGGTATTCTCGTCTGCATATTCTCCTGCATGTTGGTCTATCAACTTTTGAGGTTAGTTACACAACATCAACATAAAAACTGTGTATTAAGGTTATTTTTGTAGCCATGAACGTAAGAAGATGTACTGGGAGCAATTGGAGTTACGTTGTCGATCATTCTATCAACAACATGGAGCGCCACCTACAAGCGCTCCAAGTTCAATGCGGGGACCACCCATGCCCGCGCCGACATACTGCAGCTGTTGTGATGAATGCCGATATCCACAGATAGTACCCGCCCCACCACAGATGTATCCCTGGGATAATGGCGAACGTTTCTGGACGCCAGGTCGTGTAGGTAACTTCTACTCACCGAACCCTGGTGAAGATCTACCCAATGAAAACCGCATCGCAAGTGGATGGAACTGGCGCAGGTTACCATGGACTCGAAACCCTACCCAGGACTCACCCAGAGACAATTCATTAACTTACCAAGGCATCGCATCAAGCGCTGATAGTCAATATGGGTTCACCAATCGCGATGATGGTAATCCAGTGTCATCTACCGGCAGTTACAGTGTTTTGGACAGGAATCCGCCGGGGGTATATGTTTGGGGACCACCCCACCATATTCCAACCCTAATTCACCCGCACGGAGGGGTTTACATGCGTCCCCGGCGAGGTACCATCATGTACACCAGCTTGCGCATGCGCATCATCATCACGCGCATGAGAATCACTGTCAAATGAATGAAGAGTCCCTAAGGAATCTACAAGACTTCCAACGGGAGATCAGAGAGCGTAGGTCACGTCATAAAGATAACTATGAGAATACCGGTGAGGTGGAGTACCATCAACATGATGGTAATGATCATACGGATACGTCTAGCAATGGCGAGCGGATTTCTCACACGTTGCCCGTGCGTAAAGTGAAGAAACGCATGGATATGTCTTCTATGAAGAACGCAACGCCCACGCCTGCGTGTCGCACGAATGTCAAGCAGGTATTCCAAGAGGACACGCCTAAGGAAGAGGAGCATAAGTATCACGAGCCGAACTTACCTGCGTTGCAACCGAATGACACAAAAGAAGATAACTGTAGATTTCTGCCGAGACTGCAAGGTGTCGAGAATGCGGCGTTTCAGAAACAGGAAACCAGCCCGCAGAAGATGGAACCCACCGAATCCGAGGTGTATTTCGCGGATGTTTCAAGCTGTTGTAATATTTCAGTGAGAAATGACGGCCAGGATTCTTCTTTGTATGATGAAGCGACGGAGAAACGTGGAACTAATCAAGATGAGCAGGAAAGTCACGAGCGGCCATTAGAGTCATACACTGGTTCGTCCAATGGGAGTGTAGCTCATGCCATTCGGCTGTCAACGCGTTCGCGTCTACCCTTACCACTTCCACTTGACAGTTCACCGCAGGGTATACCCAAAGACATTTCCAGCAATAGTTTGGCTTCGTCTGTGCAAACGCCTATGACGGAAACAACCGATGATTGCGTCACGCCTACAACCGAATGTTGCACAGCCGATTATGACGATGAAAGTTTCTTAGCACCCGATGCACAATATGAAGTTATACAAGAACAAAGCCAAGGGTATCGTCCAAGCCCCGGACCATCATCTAATCTCACAACTACAATATCCGGCTTGACATATGCACAAAACTACTTCGCGCCGCAGATAGGCAACCAACAACGCCGCAATGTGTCAATTTCTAACCTGATGAAAAATCTAGGCACCAATCCAGCTGGATTGCTTTATAATGAAGCACACAGCGGTGGTGAAGACGAACCGCGTGGTCAGAGCAGTCATAGTGATGCCACGATCGACTCCGGATGGCAAAGCGGGTCGGAGAAACCCGAACAGCTCGAAATTCATAAACCTGTCAATGTGTAAGCATCTCTGTGCACTAGTATAGTTGTGATCGTGCCTAGCGCCTACATGTAGGCAACCCAGAGTACATTTATCCTACGTGTTAGATGTATACCGGCCTAAACTCGGCCATCTTGTACATACTGTCAGTAAATCTAAGCTTTAATGTAAATGTAAATTTAGACATCGATGTGTGTAAACAGTGTCTCCGTGTCTATCACATGGTTTTATATTTTTATAATAAAATTGTTAGTCAAAACTGCGCATGCGCATTGTTATGACACATTTATTTACGCATCGTGAATCGTTTAACCATCAAAAATCAAATGAACACAATCAAAATGTTAGTGATGAAAGTGAAAAGAAATTAAAATCATCGGAAGACTTGTTTCCAGTTACAATATTAATAGCTGCTTATGACGACGGCTATGATTACGATTAGTAATTGACAACAATATTCAATATTTTGTCTTTTCAATCATCATTTTGGCAGTGTGACCTTTACACCTCGGTGTTTTTCTTCAATTTCCACACCGGCCGCATAGAAAAATAGTAATCAGCCTAGTAAAATGTGAATAGTATACGTTACACATTAATATATATGTATATATATAATATAGATATATATTTATAAAAATAAAATTATTTGTTTTAAATTGGTGTTCGCCACGACTCGCTTTTCGCGCGTTTCGCTGCGTGATATTTTGGTGTTCTCTTATTTAAGTGCGTTTTGTTTTTGGCAATGGTTATTAAATGTTATAGCTGCGTGTGTGATGCATTAAAAACGTAGATTCGAAATTAAAATGGTTGCCGAAAGCGTGGAAACCGTGCGCATGCGCGCGCGCACGTCGTGTGTTTCCGCCGAATTCGATACACAATGTTACACTTAAAGCTCTCGAGGGTCCCGTCTGCGCATGCGCTGGTTTATATCAAACAGCACTTCTTTTTCTTGCTCTTGCTGTGCGAAGGTTTGGCTGGTGGGCGGTCATTAAGCTGAAATCGGCGGACAACGCGAATTAACTCGTAGAAAGCATTATCGACGTTGATGCGCTTCATTGCGCTGCATTCAATGTAGGGTATTCGAAGTTGTCGGGCGAGTGTTTGTGCTTCTTCAGTCCAGATAACTCTTTGATGTTCCAAATCCAACTAAATAGATTTATATTAATTTTTGTTTAGTTGCGTGTAGTGTGGGTTGCCTACCTTATTGCCAACCATTAACATAGGGAACTCTTCGCGATCTTTCACGCGTAGGATTTGTTTGTGAAATTTATACATTTCTTCGAAACTCGAGCGCTCTGTGACTGAAAACACTAACAAGAAACCTTCACCTGAACGCATGTATTGTTCGCGCATCGCGCTAAACTCCTCCTGGCCAGCTGTGTCCAAAACTATAAATTTAAATGTGGTTAGGCAACCATTCATACACGGGTGTTAACTTACTGTCTAGTTTAGCCGGTATATCATCGATGACGCATTGTTTAGTGTAGGAATCTTCTATGGTTGGATCATAATCCGGTGCAAAAAAGCTCTGTAATATAATATAATATTAAATATTTGGCATTTATGTTAATAATATATGTGTGTGATTTGTGTAGGCTCGACCGCAAGGCTGTCGCACGCAATTCCTCACCAAATAAAGACATCTGAAGGCCTTAATCATGTCACACATGTTGCTTCAATGGAATTTACCTGAATGAACTGCAGGGTGATGGCTGATTTACCAACGCCACCGCCCCCGACAATAACCAGCTTGTACGTGGGGATGTTCTGCGCCAATTTCGACATTGTCCGACACTGTTTTCCTGCGCTTTTGCTCCGGCGAAATGGGTTAAGGTCGTTGGCGTGCGGTACACTACTCTGTGGTGTGCTTCACATGCACATCAGACGCTTTGCGATGATACCGATCGGCGGATATAAATAGTTTCTTTCGTCGCCGACGGCGCGTCGATGATACCCACTCGCGTATTCTCAACACCACTGATGAGCGAACAGTTGCATAAACAGCACGCAAACAAATGCGAATCGATGAGTGTTGATTGAAGATTATATTGTTTAACCAATGAGAGAGAGATTTGAGAATGAACTGAATTCGAAGCGAGTTTGTTTGCGGATTGATCAAAACGCGAGCTGCGGACGCCCACCTCGCGCTACTCACTAAGCTAGACAAGTAGACAAGTTAGACGGGCTGCTCGCCAGCAGGCACAACAGAGATTAATCATACAAGTGGGGGTGTTGTACATACGTTGAATGACCTTGAAAGTACAAGAAAGTAACTGACAGGTTTGCCAAAGTTACAATGAAAGTAACTACATTTAAAACTTAAAAAATTAAACTATTATCTGTTAGTTATTGTTATTTTGCAGTAAATATGATTAATAATAATGTATTAAAATAGATATTTTATATTAAATTACCAACTGAAAAAAAATGACATCTTAATAGATTGGTAACTGTCAAATATAAAAGAAATGGCTGCGTGCTCATCCGGTAAACCAATCAAAGTTGTTATTTCAGCTTCACATTCAACAAAAATGTTGAGGACGTTTTTGTTCGTGTTCAGTGGAAGCTCTGTTATTTGCATTAAGCTTTTTGTACTTATAAGTGGGGAGGGTTAGTACTATTAGCATTTTGTTTCAAGAGAACATAGTTTATTAAAGTGATACACTAGCAAGAACAACAGCACGGCTCTTGAAACTGTAAAAAATTAAACAATATTCCATTTTTTAATAGTCAAGGTATGGTTGTGGCTGCAAAATGAAAATGTAAGTTAATTGCAAGAGTTTTTTACTGTTTTTATATAAAAATCTGTTTCTTTGTTAAACTAACTGTCAAAACTGTCAAATAGAAAAAATGGCCGTCTGTTCATCTGGTAAACCAATCAAAATTGTTATTTAATTGTTTTTATTATTTTGTTTCAGATTATATCAAAGTTTGGAATATTTTTGCTGTTGCTTTATATTTTCTTGCATTTTAAACGGTGGGATAACTCATGGACGTAAGTTTTATTAAATATATAACATATTTTGTCTAAAAACTAAATTTTTCACTAAATAATTCTAATTATTATCAAATTTATGGCTACCTTGTCCTCGTTTCATGATTTACTAAATGTTAACTGCGATTGTGATCGTCTTTTAATCGAAATAACAATAAATTTATTCCGGACAGCGTAATGCATGTGCATTTAGCACATGTGTGACCTTCTGGAATGCGTGTGCCTAATTAAAGTAACAGATGACTTTGATTATTCTGTTACCACAGAATACAGCGATGAAGACGAAGATGTTACCGGCCCCTGCGCCGATTTTAAACCTGGCGATGAAGATTTACAAACCTACGATTTCATACGGAAATTCCGCTTGGATCTACTCAACTCGACAAATTCAGGGATTGCGCGTGTTAGGGGTTCCAACCGCTTCCAAACAGCATACAGATTGAATGCGAATGCTGATCTTACACTTTCTACAAGGTAAAAGATGAAAAAAACTGGAAAACGAATCGCCCAACGTGGGGCTCGAACCCACGACCCTGAGATTAAGAGTCTCATGCTCTACCGACTGAGCTAGCCGGGCGCTTGTTACCATTGTACAATTTCACAGCATTTTAGACATGTTAGGCAACTTGTTAAACATTATGATGAATGTGTTTCAGAAATGTATTTCCACAAGGTTTACCCGAGCAGTTTTCGTTCATCTGTACTTTCCGCAATCGTCGTGTAATTAATTCAACGTGGCATTTGTTGCGTATCACTGACGTGGAGCAACGGCCGCAGTTTGTTATCGCGATGAATGCTGATCAAGCATCTATCGATTTTGTTATTACCAATTATGAAGGACGAATTCAAACTGTTCATTTCCCGCATGCGAATGTAAATATTTACTATACAAATGTTTACAATTCATAGTAATTATTTTCTCTTATTTACTAGGTGTTTGATAAAAACTGGCATAAAATCCACTTTGGTGTTACGCGTTTAAATGTAACACTTTTCGTGGATTGTAAGTTGATTGCTACGAAAACACTCGACCCACGTGGTCCTATTGATACAAATGGTGAGATATCCGTGGCAAAGTTAGCAAATAGTAAAATTACAAATCCGGTAAGTTTATTGTTTATTAACAATGAATATTATAATATAAATGTTATTATAATTAGGTAAAAATTGTTGGGTACCAGAAACATCATGTTGTAAGTTTTTACAGAAAGTAGTAGAGATTATATTAGAAGAATAGGTTAGACATAGCATAGGTTAGACTGTAGGCAACCCAAAATACACATAACACTTGTTTTGTTATGTTTTCTGATGCATGATATATTTTTAGATTGATTTGCAGTGGATGTTGATGAGTTGTGATCCTTCCAAACCACACAGAGAGAAATGTTCTGAGATACCCGTAAGTTTCATACTTCATATATAATTATATTTTAATTATAATTTTTACACTTTCTGTATGATTTATTGACAGTATATTGCACAAGCTGTGGCACCAGAGTTACACTTCGGTCTTCCACCAGTACCGGTAATAAATGTCCCACAAAAAGGCGAGAGGGGAATGCCAGGGTTGCCTGGATTATCAGGACAACCTGGTATACCCGGTGCGGAAGGTTATCCAGGCATGAAAGGAGAAAAGGGTGATCAAGGTGAACGTGGACTAAGAGGTGAACAGGGTGCCACTGGGTTTCCAGGTAAATTTATTGTTAAATTCAATTCTGCTTGTTTTCTACACGTTGTTTACTTGTTTTAGGAACTGATGGATCTGATGGACATCCTGGTCTAAGAGGACCACCTGTAAGTCTTCAAAATAATATTTTTAATGTAATTTTTAATATAAAAGTAAATATTTAGGGTGTTCCTGGATTGGCAGGCCCACCAGGTCCAGTTGTGACCACAAGTGGAGGGTCTGTATTGCAAGGACAAAAAGGAGAAGCAGGACAGGCGGGTAGAGATGGTTCCAGAGGAGAACCGGGATTACCTGGTCTCCCTGGTCTTAAAGGTGAAAGAGGTTTACAAGGTTTACCAGGTTTACCAGTAAGTTTGTTACATAAATATTATAACATATTATTAAATATTATTTGTTAGGGTGCTATTGGCCCGAGAGGATTCCCTGGTCAAGACGGTATACCAGGAACAGCAGGACGTGATGGCGCGCCAGGTCTACCAGGTACCCCAGGCGAGCCTGGAACGCAAAATTTAGTTGCGATAGATTCGGGAAGTTATGCACATGGTGTTCAAGGACCTAGGGGATATCCAGGCCCAACTGGATTGGTAATTATCTTATTATTTATATTTTGTGGTTATTTTTTATTTTTACAAATATTTGTGTTTAGTCAGGAGAAAGGGGACCAGCTGGAGAAATGGGTCCTCCCGGTCCATCGGGTTTTCCAGGTATGCCTGGAAAAGATGGCCCACAAGGTGTTCCAGGACCTCCGGGACAAAATGGTCAGCCTGGTTTACCAGGTCTTCCAGGACCATCTGTAAGTGATTATTACATAACAAATTTTATATTTTATTTAGTTATTTATTGTTTTATACATATATAGGGTCGATCTGTTGGTGATGCAGACATTAGAGAGATATGTCTGGTTGTTTTAAGAGGTAAATTGATAATATTTGGGTGTTGTATATGTAAAATTGAAATTGATGTAAATTTATGCCATTAGAACAACTAGGTGATATTGTGGCGACATTGCAGGGTCCGCCGGGTCCACCGGGCATATCAAAACCCGGCCGGCCCGGCCCACCCGGCGTCCAAGGTCCTCCAGGTAGCGAAAACCTAATTTCTTACTGTTTTTTCAACACATTTCAGCCATTTTGTCTGCACCGTTTAATCTAACATAGGCAACCACACCAACATGCTGCTTATACATCTGCACGTTCTGCAAGTCACCTTAGTTACTCTTTGTAGATGAATTGCCGTCACTAACAAAGCGGCTGAGAGGTCCGCGCGGGCCTCCCGGCGTGCACGCCGCTAGTAGCTTGGGCATGCCTGGTCCACCTGGCATACCAGGTAACACCAAACACTCTCACAAACAAAATTACAATACAAAACAACAAAATATATTTAATTATTATATAATTTTGTGTAGGTGCACCAGGACCAGTTGGTATACCCGGCGATCGTGGATTTGTAGGCATGCCGGGTGTGTCAGGACCAATGGGACCTCAAGGACCACCAGGAGAACGCGGTGACAAGGGTGAAAAAGGCACTGAGGGAGTAGGACGTGAAGGACCAATCGGCCCGAGGGGATATCAAGGACCACAGGGTCCACCTGGCGAAGGATTACCCGGAAGGGCAGGCGACAGGGGCGAAACAGGTAAACCAGGCCAACCTGGCATTCGCGGTGAACCAGGACCGGTTGGCCCGGCGGGTAGATGTGAGTTTTGCGATAGTTACGCGCAAAGCTACCAGATGGCGTACGCTAGAGCCGTGCAAGGTAACAATAAAGGTCCGCTAGCTGTCAGAAAGTAACCACAATTATATAATGACAATATTAGTCTATTAGAGTATCACGATATTAATAATAACAGTAGAAATGGCGCTTAAACACTTTCATAATAAAAATACAATATACAATAATCACGCTAGCACACAAATATATAAAATTAAAATACAAACTGGTTATGTTTGCGCAATCGCAGCGGTGAACGCCTTCAGCCTAGCGCTCCGCAACCCTGTATACAAAGCAATGCGCTGGTGCTTGTCTTGTGAGTACAACTTACGAACATACTGATGTTTCGAAGTCACTGCACGCTGCACCATTACCGCGAAACGCATCACTGTAGACGCAATGTCCGAATATTTATACCCCGAATAATACATTAAAATATTCGACCAGCTGTCAGCCGGCTTACCACCATCTTTTCAATCAACCAGTGAGCTAGGCAACACGCCGCAGCGGCATGCATGCTTGGTTTCACCGCGCATAAGTCATACTCCATCAACGCCAGTTCAATTAAATACTTGCCTAGCTCATGATGCCGCAACGACGCCAATATTACCTTATGATAACGTCGTAGGAAAGTAATCGATGTCGGTCTACCAACATAAAAGTCCATCCTGTGTAACATATCCTTCTCCATGCTGAGTATTTCGCTGTTTTTGTACGCATGGTCACAGCAGTACTCCCAATCCTCCATTGAGATGAAATTTGTTTCTTCGTATTTATGCGCGATAAGCATGGCGGCAATTCCGACCAGTTGTAAGTTTTGTGTTGTAATGCGATGATTTCGAGCTAGGTAGCGATCAATTAGGGATACACTCATGTGCAGTGTCTCTTTTGTGAACTTGAATGAATCACAGGCTTCAACAATCCAGTTGATGAGTGCCGCGCGATGCTTTTCTGTCAATTTATGACTTTTGAGATAATCTTTGGTTATCGGATACTTAATTTCTAGATGTTTTAAATGTCGCATGATGTCTTTGACGTATTCAGACACAAGTTGCGGGTCGGCTTCGCGATCCACGTCACGAATTCCGTTGGGGACGGGAATGATTTTGGGAACGCGTTCGATGATCTGCCCTGACTTGAAGGTCTTTGCGATGTCTAGATTAATGTTTTGAATAGTTGGTCTCAATTGCACATTGTGTGCCGGTTTGAGCTGAATTTCTTTTTCTTTCTTAACAGCGAAGACAGGCTGGGGTTTTGTAGGTTTTTCCAGGATGTTTGTCTTTGCGGCGAGTAGTGGTCGCGGTGCTTGCCCTTTTGTGGTTGGTACAGCTGCATTGGTAGCTCTAGGGGCTGGTGCTGGTTTTTTAAACGCTGGTTTAAGCAGTAATGCTTTTTCTTTCTTAACAGCGCCACAGACAGTGCTAGAGGCTAGAGGCGTGGGTGTTGTAGATGTCTTCAAGGCGTTTGCAACATTGCCAAGGGCTGTGCGAGTCACTGGTTTAAAGTTGTTTGGTAATTTCGCATTAGCGACTGCTGCTCGTGGATTGTTTTCTTGCACATTGCCGATGCCGATGCGCTTGCGACTCTTGATGCGTTCCATTTTTGTTACTTCCACACCTGGAGAACAATATGAATTGTCATAAAATACACAATTGCGCAGTAAACGCTTGCAATTATCGGAATAAAAGAGTAAAAAAAGACAAGAAAATCGTTAAAAGATATAACAACTGTCAAACACTTACCAAAAGTTGATGCAACGTGTGGCACGTTTAGTAAATATCTTGTAAAATTGTACGATCACAACGGGCAGTGTGGAGATAAAAAGACGTTGAAGATATTACCGCGTGGAACAAAACATGAACAAGGTATGAAACAACTTTTGACCGATAAAAAGTTTTAAATTCAAACTCGACGTTCTGATTAGTCCACTACAATATTGAAAACATCCATTTGTGGCGAACTTACCCGATTGTGCATGATACAGTTGGTACGCATGATTGTACATTTATGTGTTTAAAAATGTAAATTTCAAAGAAACAAACACTTTATAAACACTATAATTTATATTAATATTATATTTGTAATATTCCAAGAAAATTATTATAATTTTTCGTTTATTTTGCGATTGTCAACACTTCCAGATCTTCAACTAAAGAATTGCACAAGAGAGGGCAGCACGTGTCATGTTCTTGCTTTTTCTAGCCTCAACTTGCTTCAACTCCATTCCAATCGGTTTCTTTGGGGGTCGGTGTGCAGCCGCGGTAAATGCACAGGTGCGAAAAGAAAATGGCGTCCGGCCGATCGGGTCGTTCCTGTTTTCATTGCTAATTGTGTTTGTTTCCTCTCTAATTATACATCCATCGCTAAAATTCGCTTCGCAGTGAAGCGCCTAAACTGTAAGTACCACATTCACACACATATAACACCACATTCGTGTTAGAAATGCACTAAAAATCGAATTTTCCGAGCTCGGCAACCCCCTAAATTACAACACTCATATGAACGACTGTTGCGCTCGAAAAAATAAAGATTATTCATAATTAGCCGCATTTCTTCTATAATAAAACACATGCTTCACGTGCGCTAATAACGTGTCGACAAGTATTGATGATTATTAATGCGTTCAGGACTCGTAGACGCGTGCTATTTATAAACATCCGACGTCTAGTTTTCATTTGTTTCGCTTCAAACACAAAGTAGTTTCGCAATGAGTTTTCGATATTCTCAAACGCGTAAAATATAGTTTGGACTAGTTTATCAATTCGTTCGGTTCTATTTACACACAGTGCGTGTTTGTATTGTGATTATTGTGAGTTCATTGACTTGTTAATTGTTTATTAATTTGTCTAACTTTGTAGGAAACTCATACAGTAGCAGAACGCGCACAGGACAAGATGCAGGACGGCATGTCCGGCACGTCGGACTATCGGCTTGCGCTGGTGCATGAAATGAGCGCGCACAACTTCGACCTCATTCGTTTTGCATCTTACCGAACTGCGTCCAAGCTGCGGTTTATCCAGAAGAAAGTTAGCTGTGAGTAAACCACACAAATCGTATCAATATTTTTCTGATTATTTTATTCCCGGTGTTTTAGTACACGCGCTGGATATTTGGAATGTGATTGAAGCGTTTCGAGAGCAGGGACTGCATGCATTGGAGCCGTCCAGTGAATTAAGTGTAGCTAAACTGGAGACACTCCTTTGCTCACTTTATCATAGCTTGAACAAGCGTGCGCCGCCCACGCAGCAGGCGCATGTGGATGTATGTTCCAGTTTGTTGCTTAATTGGTTACTGGCGGCTTATGCTACAGTGTAAGTTAAAGAAATTAAAATTAATTAGAAATTTTGATGTTTTTATGGTGTTTTTTAGTGAAAATGTGGGGAAAATACGAGTTTTTTCAATAAAAGTTGCTTTGGCTACATTATGCGCTGGGAAACTAATGGATAAATTGCGATGTAAGTATAATTATTATTTATTTCAGAGAGATTGGGTTGTAATTGTTTGAATTTTGTATGTTTTAGACATTTTTTCGCAAATTTCTGACAGTAATGGGTTGCTGTTAATGTGGCGGTACAACGAATACTTGCAAGAAGTTTTGGCTTTGCCAGCCGCTGTCTACGAGTCGCCATCGTTCAACTATAGTGACCAATTGGCCCCAATATTTTTAATCCTGTAAGTTTATCTTTACAATTTAAAAACCTGTTAAAAATGTGTTTTTGGGTAATTATTATTTATCTGAATATTTTTTTGTTTAGAATGCGAAAGTAACAGTCAATGACTTTCTCGATACAATGATGTCTGACCCAGGACCAGCCCCATTGGTCTGGTTACCATTGTTGCATCGATTAGCAACAGTTGAGAGTAGTAAGTATACATTTTACATTTTAAAACTTACTTAATATGTACTAAAATTAAATAATTTTAGTTGCGCATCCAATTCAATGCGACGCATGTCAAAAAGAAAACTTTCCTGGCTTTCGATACCGCTGCCAGAAGTGTCCGCATTACAACATGTGTCAGGAGTGCTTCTGGCGTGGGCGTGTAACCGCCCCACACACACTGGATCACGCTGTCAAAGAATACTCATCGTATTCACCGACAAGGACAATTGGTCATTCACTACGCAAGTCGTTTCGTTGCGTTCCGGACAAACCGAAGAACAATATTCCACGGTTTCCCGAACAGCCGGAGAAACCACTCAATTTATCACATATTGTGTGAGTATACTATTAAATAATATGATAAGTACGCCATTTTGGGCTAAGCACAATTCTCGGACTTGTGGAATGCGCAGGCGCACGTTCAATGCTCGGAGCATGATCGTGCATTTCCGCGCGCACACGACTGAACGAAACTATATAGAATACAGGGCAAGTAATAAGGAAAATTTAGTAATGCAAAGTTTGGAAGCTTAGTGTATAAAACACTACCATTACATCCTGTATATAACCTTGAAAAAAAAGCCACACTACAAGTCCGACGGTTAAGTTTTGAATGTAAAAAATGTTTTTATTTTAGTCCGCCATCACCGCTGCCATCACACAACGGATTCCCAGATGGCAATAATTTCGGTCAGCATTACGATGGCATGGGTAGTTTGGACAGTCGTTCAACAGCAAGGAGTCTGGATAGTGCTCGAGATGATGAACATCGACTAATTGCAAGATATGCAGCCAAACTTGCACAGGAACAACGCTCCGGCATGGTAAATATAAATCATAATATTTCCAAGTTTATTTTTTACATTTCTCATAGTTTATTTAGGTTTTTTGGCATGTTTTATTTACATTTAACATTCCTCTAGACATAGATTTCTAGAACGTCTCAAAAGTCAATAGCAGTCGCAAAAAAATGAAAATAGAATAGACGGGAAGCCGTGCTAATGCTAGCCGTGCTTGTGACCTGCCCGGATCAATGTAATTGTAATCATTCTCTTTGTATGTACTTTACTCTTTGTGAACATTCTCCTCGCTTGTTTCGTTTCGCTTAAGTGTGCTTCTTGCCGTTGCTTGTTTCGCAGAGAGGCGGCGGCAGCCTGCGCAAAAACTCCCTATCTCCAGACGCAGTAAGTACGAAAAACTTAAATGTTTTATTTTTATTCAACAGCTATTAATTAATTAAATAAAAAAATGTGTTTTGTCCAGGGGAGAGTTCCATCTGAAACGTGTCTGGGTATGGACTCAACTCGCGCGCAACGCGAACTTATCGGTCAATTGGAAGCTAAAAACCGTGAGATAATGCGCGAAATCGCACGTTTACGCCGGCAACAAGAGCTGGAGAGTCACGGTGTTGAAAATCCAGCGTTGATGCATGAATTACGAGCGTTACGCATGCGTAAAGACGAATTAGAGACACATCTTACTACTCTGCAGGATTCCCGACGACAGCTGATGATCCAATTGGAAGGATTGATGAAAATGTTGAAGGTATTTCTAATAACTTCTACTCGTGACTCTGTGATAATCCGCCGACAAAACACTACTAACAAACAAACACGAAACATTTATCATTTTAACCGAAATTATCTTTCATTTATTTGTGGTTCATTTATTTACTTATTGAATTGCGATTAATTAGAGCATTTTGTTTGTTTGGTTTTGTCTCCGGGCGTAGCTAAAATCCACAATTACTGTACAGAACCATCAATCTTCGCCGCGTAGCACGCCCAATTCCTCCCCGCGTAGCACTAAGTCACCACCCTTACCCACCGGGTATGTTGTCTCTGCGCCACAGGGTGGACCGCGCAGCGCTCCTCAAACACCTCTAGGACACGCTCCAGGCCAACCAATCGGCGCTGATATGGTTGGAAATTCCGCTGGTGGTGGCGGCGGACGATCCGGCAGTGGTGATCGCGCTCATATGTCTGCAGCTCTCGGAGGGATCGGCAATACAAATTCATTGGATCGCAGTGAGCATCGTGGTGGACATCACAACAACGTCGATTCTTTGGTTGGAGTTGGCGGTGATGTGAGAAATGCATTTGGGGGATCCGGGAATATTCCAAGCGGTAAATAATACTAACAATAATTTACAGTTAGGTATAAGTTAAGTTACAGAAATCTGCATTGCAGTTTGTAGAGTATTTTGGGTTGCCTAATATTCAAGGTTATAATTGCAAGAAATTAACAATATAAAATTATCTGTTATACAACATAATTTATAAATGTTTTGAATATTTTAGGAATGTCAAAAAGTGGTGGCAGTAATGGTAACGGCACACCAGGTGGACCAGTCGGGCGTTCACTACGCAATGATTTACTCGTCGCCGCCGATTCGGTGACGAATGCCATGTCTACGTTAGTTAGAGAATTGAATTCAGGTATGAATACTTAAACAGTTCTTGTCTACGTACCACCCTGTCGTCTAAAACCGTCTAAAAATAGCGTCTAGAAACTGAATTGCTTGAAATTTATCGCGCGATAGTTGTATCATTCCAAAGAATAAGAAACAGTGTTAAATTAGCAACAAAACGAGCATATAAATGTATTAAATGCTTTACCCATAGTTGTTTAAATAGGTGTTAAAAGATGAATATGAAAAAATGGCGGCTAACATTAACACACGTACACTTTTTGAAACAGCCGCTGAACTAAAACAAAACCGAATGACGCTCTTGTAATTTATTGTTCTCTCTATCTCTGTTATTTTGACTCATTTACTCTATTCGAATATTTGTGAATATTTCTAGTTTAGTTTACTTTTAGAATTCAAGATGTTGTTAAACATTTGCATTTGATTGTTTAAAATTGTCTGAAACGAGTTCTTTTAGCATGATACGATACGATGTCGACAGTACAAACTGCACACATTTACGAATAATTTATTTTTGTATTCGATTATTATTGTTTTGTTAAATTTTACAAACGTATTGAAGCTTTACACACACAGACACAGTTCACACTGATTATGTGTTTATGTTATTTATTATCGATTATTGTTACATATTGTATTATATATTTTTTTAAACAAGTCTATTTCAAACATTACAAGCGAAGACTTCTTGCGGAGATACCTTCATACACGCACCCTGAAACCTGTGATGAATAATTTCTATAGTTTTAGATCAAAACTCGAGAATACATGAGCACATGCAATCACAAAACACATTTCATAACAGAACACTCGTAGAGACAACAAACACGCCACACCACGTCTGCGACACTGAGAATTGTAAGTTTTTTTTTATTTTTTGGTTGATTTTTTATTTTGTGTATGTATAATTTTATTCTGTGCTTTTTAGACTTACGAGGTGTTAAGAATACGTTCCACTCTGACACTACCAATACTCAAATATTCATTTTGTCTTAAATTATAATAATTTGAGTTTTGCTGGTGTTGTTTTGGAATTATCTCTTAATACCTGTCTTGAATGACGATTTCTCAACTCTTTTCTCAAGCTTGTTAAATGAATGAATGCTAGGAGTTTGAAGTATTGAAACAAATGACGAGTGCCGGGCTAGCGTAAATAGCAAGACATATATTTAGAGTATTCGTCCTCCCCCCTTGCAGAAGACACAACGTATCACCGAGGAGCGATGCCCTTCCGTAAATCAATGATCGGTGAGTTGCCTACACGAACTAACCAAACAAATGCGCAATGCCAGTGCGCAGATGAACTCAAACTCACTTTGTCACCGCCCACCGCCCATGTAACACACGAAATCACACAACTAACGCCATTCAACTCACCCCGAACACCACCAGAACGCTAAAACGTTCTCGAACGCTCTGCAATCAATGGAGAATTGTGTAAAAATTTACCAACCCTGCTGCATGTTAGCGTAGATTAGACGTGCATGCTGTATGTTTTCATTCTCGTCTTCAAAAACAAACAAAACGTAAAACTAGTGCTATTAATATAAACATTTAATAAAATAAAATAAAATATTTTATGTATATATTTTTATTCTTGTCTAGATTTTGAAGACGATGGAGATGAAGAGTCCGACGGTGGATGGCAGCAGGAATTACAGCGGCGTTATGCGCAAGAAGCGAATTTCATGGCGGAGTTACGCGCGCGTCAAGCGGCGTCAGCAACCAGTCCGCCGGAAATGGCGAATCATAACTACGGCAACTATCCACCGGCGCACATGCAGCAGGGTTATCATCCGCAACAGGGTAACTATTATCAAGAGTATAATGGCGGGCCACCACCAGCGAGGGATGCGCGTGAGGGACGTGAAGGTGGCGGGAGTCGGCGGTCTTCTGATTTTTCACAGCAACAGTTTCAAATGAATCATGGCGGACCACAGCCGGCCAATGCGCAGAACTACAACTACGGGCCATTTGCTTCGCAGGTATATAGATAGGGGACGCACACGAGACACCACGAAACATGAAACAAACTGCACTGCTTGTTAAGTTACTTTTTGTTGCTGTTTTCCACCGGTTAGTATAAACACAATTATAAATGCACACATTGTTTGGTATATTTTGTGTGTATTTTTAAGACTTACACAAGAAATTAATACATTTAATATTACAGATTAATGATAGACGCAATTCGAAAGAATTTACTGAATATGCAAATAGTTCAGTGGACCAGATTGGTAATCAGGACGATGGTGACCATCACGAGGGCGCAAATGGACCCACAAAGGAAACACTCGACTGGGAGGAAGCACTGAAAAACTGGGTAAATCGTTAAAATGTTTCCACGCAGGTAAAACCAGCACAAAGTTTACTTATTTCAACATTCGGCTTTCTTTGATACAAAACATTTTGGTCAGCAAAATATCAATTAATTCTTAGGTCAATACGCGTCTAGTTCCTTAATCGTTTGATATTGTTGTTGACGTTTGTGTAAAATTAACCGAAATAGACTGCATGCCTCAGCGCCCATTAAAAAATCATTGAACAGGACCAATGAAACAGGAATACGAGCGATGCATATTTACAGTGAAGCAAACAAATGAACCCCAAATAGTTTTACGAACTTTTATGCAGTTTACGCGCGTAAGATAAAAACGAACATGATGAGGTTTTTGGTACGTTTCATACCACATTTCTTAAATCGACTTTACTGACTTCCAAATGCAGAATTTTGCGATGAAGAAAGAGACTTGTAGTTGGAGAATTTAACTATTACGATTTGCACACATGTTTACCGTTCTTCCTTCGACGTTTTGCACCTTTCCGCAAAAATGCAAAAAAAAAATGAAAGAAAGGAAAGGAAGAACCAGTTACTCGGGCACTATTAATATTAACACATAGTCTGTAAGCTCCTTTTCGAACCTTGAAGCGGCTGAGGAATTTGGGTACGTTTCTACAATTTCTATGAGATAACACTCATCACGCAATCATTATTTTAAGAATCGTATCGATAAGAGAGAGAGAAACGTTTGTGCAGAAAATGATTTACGTTTCGTTGACAATTGCAGCATGAAATGCGACTAAGCGCACGATAAACAAAGACTTATACTCTTCCTAAACGTAAATTAATTGAAAATTATGCTAAGCATCAATTGATATCAGTGTCATATGCCTTTTTACATATAAAGTCTCAACCTCTTCACGTAAAACGCTCATTCATATCAAAAACTCGCTGTCAAACTGGAATCAATCAATCATGCGCTGAAATATAGCTTGATTCATTGATTCAAAGTTTGTTACAATAACACAATGAACAATAAGAACATAGTATTACATAAAGATAGCCCCCTTGAACTCCGCGCATCAATATTAAACACAATTTGTATATAATCATTAAAATTATGTCAGAATGTTGTGAAGCAACCCGCCACACATTGTATATGTATAGCCTGTGGTGGTCTTCACGCATTTGACACATAGATAAGGCGAATATTGTAATCATTGTAATTATACTATCATCACACACATACGTATATTAAGAGTGTGTGAAAGCTGTAAGAAATGTAAGACATGTAAGACCTAACCATAGATCATCATAAATAATCGATTGTGTTACACATTACAATGTTATACAAGATGCATGTTATTATTCGACTCATCGAGACAGGTTTGCTTTGGAAAAAATAACAGGTTAACACAAGCAAACTGTAAGTAATCATTGTATTTATGCTATGATATTATTGAAGGATATTGTTGAAGTTTTACATGGTATAAAATGAAGTGGTAGTTAAAATTAAATTAAATTGAATCAAATAATGGTGATGTTTAGATGTTATCAAGTAAGTCCTGTGTACTGTAGGTAATCACAGGCGTTTCATTTATTGGTGCGTCGTTTTTATCTTCTTTTTGTGTTTTATGTGCAATTTCTGTTATTTCAAGTGATGTTTCTTTATCATTTCTTTCATCAGGTACATCTGTACACACTTCTTCATCTTCAATATTGATTTCAACTCTTGGTGGCAATGCAGTACTGAATATCTCTTCATCTGTGGTGTCATCAGAGTCAAACATAGAAGTTAATTGCTTTTTAGATGATTTATTACTGGTGGTAGTTGTGCTATTGCTGGTACTAGGTGCGTCGTGATCATTTCTTAAGCGTTTTCTCGGCGGCACTAAAGTTTCGGCTTGTTTTTCCGAATCGGTATCGTAGTCATTTGAATCGGAGTCGGAGATTTGAGCTGGTTTACTTGGAGTTGTGTTATTTGTATGTTTAAACTGCTTGTTGTGGTTTTTCAACAGTTGAATGTACTTCTTTTTTTCATTTAGGACTTGAATGAAGCAGGCGTATAAATGATCTTCATGTTTATTAGCACTGTCGATAACATTTTCGTGTTTTTCTTGTAGGTTTTGTATTTCTGTAACCATAAGATGGATGGATAGTTAGTATAAAATCTAGGAAGTTTAGAAAAATTTGAATGCAAACAAAAATTTGTGTGCAACATGCTTTACTATATTTAACTCGAAGAATTGTATCTAGATGTCGCTACGATGCACTTATTTTTATTAAATTCTCATCGCACAAGTCTTGCACGAGTTTCGCGATGTTGTTTGTTTGGTGGTGTCTGTGTGCGGCCTCACCGATTGCAGATTGTATTCTTATCAATGTGTTGTTTTGATTGAATCCGTATACCTGTGCGACCATCGCACGCGCTTCGTTGAAGTTTAAATGTTAAACATCGTGTTTAAATGTTAAGAGTGTCAGTATAGTGCAGGTGCAATAAATAAATAAATAAATAAAGAATGAAGAATAATATCTACATGAATAAAGAGGTAAGCCGATGAAATAAGCACATAATCATATTTTTATAAGTATTACCTTCTTTTAATTCATCATTTAGTAAATTTAACTTCTTAATTGTTTCATTTTGTTCACAATTCTCCCTGAATAAATGATCACAGACTGTTTGGATTGTTTTAGCATATTTCACCTATAAAAACACAACAGTCAGTATTGTACTTTAAATAATTATGCTAGATTTGCTTACCTTTTCAGCTTTTTTAAAGAATAACTTGACATTTCTAGTTTTATGGAAAATGATTTCATCATTTTTAATATCAATAAAACTACCTCTTGTTTCCCCATTCACAATTTGAAAGAACATCTTGCTATACACTTCAAGTGTTTCATCTATTTGTCTCGCAAATTTCGTGACATCATCTACAGCCACCTGAAATAACAAATTAAAATCATATTCCATATGTAAATCTTTGTTTTGAATATTTACATGCAAAGTGTAGGATTCTTCATCGTCGATAATTGTGATGTCACATGGTATCACTTCACTCGTAATCAACACTTTATACTTTTTATTGTCTGATTTCCCGTTTATTTGTGTAATTTTCATGTTTTACGACGAAATGTAAAACACAACTGTGGAACCAATTTGCAGGTTATAAGAATGTAAACAGATTAGTACTATGTGAATACTATATATACCTACACATGTGTGTATTATGTACATGTACATATATAGGTTTTGTACATATGCGCAAGAGTTGCTTTTCGCGGGAGTCAATTCGCCGTAAGAATAAGTTTCAAAATAACTTTGACGCGGAAATAAATAAATTTATAGCATTAATACACTGATTTTGATAAGTTTAATACTGTATAAGATTAATCGACATTTCGATTACGGATATCTCGTAAACTAAAAGCGTTTGATAAGAACGGATTGAAAATTCAGATTTCTTGTTTATATGAGGTAAGACTTCACCGACCAACCCATATATTTCACTATTATAATTATTTAAAATTGTGTAAATAAAATTAGTAATTAACTATAATGTATTCTATGGATAATGAATGATTTTCCATTTATGGACACGTTTATCGTGTGGGGTTGCAAAATTAAATTTATTCTGGTTTTGTCTATGCTGCATTTGCCGCTATGTATGTATATTGTCCAACTTCGTTGCAGTCGTTCACGCGCCTAGTGCACTACGCATTTGCAAATCTGCGCACACTCGGCGCACTCTCGGCGCAAGCTATGCGGGTCTTAAGCCGAGTCAGGTAAGCCAGGTTGGTACGCAGTAGCCCGCAGTTCGCTGAGTGTGCGTGTTGGTTGTTGTCGCCGGTTTGTCCGATCCGCCGCCATGTTTCTGTGAATTAGTTTTTCGGGTTCGCGCATGAAATATAACGTTTATCATCCGAGTTATCGCATTGGACTTATTTTATTCAGTGAACCATTACATCCTATCCATCATGAAGGGCATGCAACAGCTACAAACTACATTGGACATCAATTAACATCAGTCGTCAATCCTCCAGTAAGTTTATAATTGAATTCCTTTTCTATTTTCGCCTTATTAAATTAAATATTTTTAATGCTTCTGGTCCTTTAATTTCGAGGTTCTAGAAAATAACGACATACATATGTATTACGTGACTTATTTCGATATTGCGCATTTTATCGGTGTAAATATTAGAATGGTTTTGTTATCATCTCGCCGCGGCTATCGGTGTCAATGTGTAACCATTGTTTTTGTGCCGTTCTGCTCTTGCACAGTCCGTGATCTGCTGCAGTGCCAAACACTCACTTAACTTTCGTTCCACTACATTGATTATTATAAATGATACTGAAACAAGATGTTAATTCGCTCGACTACCAACGCTTCTGAAAGTTACCACAAATAAATTGTAATAAATTTTGATAAACTTATCGGGGAAATTGGATAATGTCGCGGGAACAAGTTGTGCGTTTGTGCGACTATAATGATTGTTTAAAATTTAGATAGTTCGAGAGTAATTTTATTCGATCCTTGGCAATTTTTTTCTTAAGAATTAAAATTTCATTTTCTAGATTTCCGTTTTAACTATCCTATCTGATAGAGAATAGTCTGTAGATTAAGACGCTGCGATCGGATCTTAATTATCTCTTTTAGTTTACGAGATATTCGCGATTGAATAAAATGGGCAAAAATTGAAAAATGTCACTTTTTAGCACTTTTAGTCGCATTTTTTGACCTTTTCCTGTAGGAAATATAATTATTTTATATTTTTATCTGATAGAGAATTTTCCAATCTTTCATAATCAGTAATTTGTTGGTTGCTATCGCTTTTAGTTTAAGAGATATCAATTATCAAAAATCGTCGAAAAAAAGTATCAAGCACCCCCCCTTGGCAATTTTTTTCTTAAGAATTAAAATTTCATTTTCTAGATTTCCGTTTTAACTAGCTTGTTTTATAGAGATTAGTCCGTAGATTAAGACGCTGCGATCGGATCTTAATTATCTCTTTTAGTTTACGAGATATTCGCGATTGAATAAAATGGGCAAAAATTGCAAAATGTCACTTTTTAGCACTTTTAGTCGCATTTTTTGACATTTTCCTGTTGGAAATACAATTATTTTATATTTTTATCAGATAGAGAATTTTCCAATCTTTCATAATCAATAATTTGTTGGTAGCTATCGCTTTTGGTTTAAGAGATATCAATTATCAAAAATCGTCGAAAAAAAGTATTAAGCACCCCCTTGGCAATTTTTTTCTTAAGAATTAAAATTTCATCTCTCAGATTTCCGTTTTAACAATCCTATTTTATAGAGAATAGTGCGTATCAAATTGCTGCATGCAGCGAAGTTTAGTTTAGATCACAGGTAATGTGCCAACTGCAAATTCGCGCGCAAGGTGGCCTGCCTTCGACGCACCGTCTTTCCGCACCGCTTACTTTCTTATCATATACTGTCTGTCTCTCGTTGTTTACGCAGTTTCGGCATGCACTGTCGGTGGATTGCAGGCAGTTTCGTGTGGGTCGCTGGTTAATACAGTGGTGTTTTGAGAGACTTACTCGTATATCGTTTATTCAGACTTCAATATTCTAAATTTGTGTTATACTCGAAGATCAATCTAAATAGTCGATTTGTACTTTGCGACTAAAGTAATTTGTTTAATGTTTGGAAATGCCGGTTTTTGATCGTTTTGTTATGTATATTACAAGTCACGTGATAGTGGATTTGATAACATTCTTAACTCGGTGTTGTGTTTGGTGTCGGTTACTAAATTAATCGGATATATATCGGCCCCACGTTGTAAGTATTTTTTAACTAAACAGCACAGAATGTTTATTTTGTGTTGATTGTTAATTATATCATAAATCAATTGTATGAAATATTTTTGTTTCAATTTATGTTTTTGTTTAGTTACAGCACTCGTGCCTGGCAGTCCGATAAACTATACACTGGGGAGTTTATAATTCAATTATATTTTTAGGTTAAAGTAGTTTGTACGCCTTAGTACTCGTTGGGCTAGGAATTGTAGTTTTTTTGTTATAACACACGAACGCGGTGTCACAATAAATTCGAAATCATTCTACCCGATGCGGAATTTAATTCTGTATCACACTGTATCAAAATTTATTGCGAGAAAATTCCGTAACGCGAGTTATATTGAAATTTGTGTGTATGCGCTTTTGTACTCGTTTCGCTAGAAATTGTAGTTTTTTTGTTATTACACACGAACGCGGTGTCACAATAAATTCGGAATCATTTTCCCTGATGCGGAATTTAATTCTTTATCACCCTGTATTAAAATTTATTGCAAGAAAATTCCGTAACGCGAGTTATATTGAAATTTGTGTGTATGCGCTTTTGTACTCGTTTCGCTAGGAATTGTAGTTTTTTTGTTATTACACACGAACGCGGTGTCACAATAAATTCGAAATCATTTTCCCTGATGCGGAATTTAATTCTTTATCACCCTGTATTAAAATTTATTGTCAGAAAATTCCGTAGCGCGAGTTATATTGAAATGTGTGTGTATGCGCTTTTGTACTCGTTTCGCTAGGAATTGTAGTTTTTTTGTTATTACACACGAACGCGGTGTCACAATAATTTCGAAATCATTTTCCCTGATGCGGAATTTAATTCTTTATCACCCTGTATTAAAATTTATTGTCAGAAAATTCCGTAACGCGAGTTATATTGAAATTTGTGTGTATGCGCGGTTGTACTCGTTTCGCTAGGAATTGTAGTTTTTTTGTTATTACACACGAACGCGGTGTCACAATAAATTCGAAATCATTTTCCCTGATGCGGAATTTAATTCTGTAGCACCCTGTATTAAAATTTATTGCGAGAAAATTCCGTAACTCGAATATAATATTGAAAGTTGTGTGTGTGTGTGCCATAGTACTCGCTGCGTTAAAACAGCGGTCAAACGGTAAGTTCGAAAGAATTTTCTCGGATGCAGAAATTCATTCGATATCTCTCTGTTGATGACAATTCTAAATATGATTGAATGAATTTACAAAATTTTGAAGCTGTTATTGATATCATTTTTGTTTATTTTGTTAAAAGGTATTAAATGAGCATTATATAATCGCATATCATTATCCTGTTTTCTTGTTTGTATGTAGCTTTTAATGTTGCTAATAAAACATAATGTAATATTATATACTTCTTGATATTTTTTTTTTGGTTTCCCCTTTGCCGTTTGCAGGATTGATGTCTTTAATCATATGCCATATAAATCTGTTTGTGTTGTGTTGCTGTTTTTAAAAAGTTGAATAAAGTAGAATCATATATAGAAGAATCAAATAACAATGATAAAATCACTCGGTGGTCGAGTGGGTACGTGCACCTGCTGGCATGCTAGTAGACACGGATCGAATCTCAGGTATAGAAGGCATTTTTCTCAAATATAAAAATATGAGGTGTAATTTGGGTTGCATATGTGAATTGCAACGAAATTCAGAAAGTCAGAACAGAGAAACAGAGAAACGAAGAACTGAGAAATAGGAGAAGTAGAAGAAGGAATAGCAGAGAAGAGTAGAGAAGACAGAAAGAATGAAGGGAACAGAGTATAGAGAAGAGGAGGAGATAGAAGAAAGAGCAACAGGAGTGGATCAGAATTTTAAATTTTTTGGCACGTGTCGTTATAAGACAGTCACAGCCCACTGCTTCGATGCGTCCATTGCTCCCGGCCCATCCTACAGCTACGATGTCTCTGCGCTTCATCCCCGGAATTATCAGGCATATCAACAATTTTTATGGTGGGGGATCACCCCCAGAGAGAGGGAACTCCTTATAAGGACAATCCTTATAAGGTCTTGTAAAAATATTTCTAAGTTTTAAGTCGCCTCAAGAGAGGTGACACTTAAAAATATTCTTACAAGTTCTGACCTGTAGCTGAAATGAAAGAAGGAGTACACAAATCATACAGGTTACCTTAACAATTTTTATAGAGGGGATCATCCCCTGAGAGAGGGAACTGTTCCTGAAATGATAGAAGGGGTACACACAAAGCATAGGAGGCACAGTAACTTTTAACATTTTTTATTGAAACATGTATACAATGAAACTTGTAAAATATAATAGTACTAAACAATATATGCGCCGCAGTTTTGAATCTAGTTGTAAGAGCAGTATAGCCCCGTACATGAAGACAAGTACCAAGGGTAAAAATAACAAAGAAAAACATATAATACCAACAAATTTTGCATAATTTTCGCGGCAATTACGGAAAACTGTTATACAGAGTGTTCCAAAAACAATATAATAACATTTAAAGAAAAAATGCAAAATTCAAGTAGGGAAATATATATATATATATAAAACCACAGTCAATATAAAATCAAAGGAAATTAATATACAGGGTGATGAAAAAGAGAAAACGACAAAATTTTAAGAAAAATCCTAAGTTTTAGTGAGATGACATATATCTTTTTATTTTTGACAAATTCGCCACGTTAAATTAATGTACAGGGTGATACAAAAAAAAACTACAATATTTTAAAAGAAAACTTTAAGTTTAAATAGGATAACATACATCTTTCGCCTTTTGACACTACGGGAAATTAATATACAAGGTGTTACAAAAACTCTAAGTTTTAAAAGTAAAACGCCCAAACACTAATAAATATGGTCTATTAAATGATGAGGAAAATATATCTACTGGGTGATAGGCAAAGAAAAATTAAGATTTAAGTAGAAAACGGATGGAAACAATTAACAAGGCGACAATAACAAGATAATATAAAAAGAAAGCCATGAGGAATTTAAAAAAATAAAAATTTTTACACCGGAAATCAAAGAAAAGTGAAAAGTAAGAAAACATAAAAATAGAACATTTCAAAAATTGTATTTTCTTTAGATATGAAGGAAAAGTGATCGGTTGGATATAACAAAAATAAAGCATAAAGCAGAATTTTATTTTAAATCATGTAAAACAACCAGCGGCCAGCCCGGAAAACCGCAAGAGGATCAAGCATGCAGCCGACGGCACGCGACTATATTAATCTTTTAATTTGTACATTAAACAAAAACAAAACAAGGTATCAAATACGTAATGCAAATCAACGGTGTTGAAGCAGAAACAAAAATTATTTGTAGGCTTAAAGACCACGCAGTTGAAGTAAAAACAACTAAAGGCAATAATGGATTTGATTTTTAAATGGCTTAAGAAATGCGAGAACATACCTTGATACAAAATTAATTTTTGCGCTTTTGGCCTATCCAATAAATTGTAAGGACTCTAATTATACACATTGTACACATAATGAAATACGCGTATCATACAAAAAGAGTATCCGACGGCCGACGGAACATCACTCACGTTTTACTTCTGCGTATAAACAATTCGCATTTAACGAACGCCACACATCACTCACGCACAATGGAAGGAGCATTTAGAAATATTACGTAATGACGCAAAGAAATTAAGAAACTCAAATTATTGTGAAGAAAATGTGCGCGCAGATCAGCCGACGACAAATATGAGACTGACGTGGTGGGCAAGCAAACCGCGTGGCGAGCGCACAAAAATTGCACGAGATAAGAAAACTTGTTTGTTTGTAAACACTGATACATTCAGTGTAGTAATGCAGAACATGAAAAGAATTACTAGTAACAGACACTAGTAACCAAATTATAGATTAAAGCCCTATTGGCGTGTAAATTATATAAGTTATTACATTAACTTAACAAGAACAAAAATAAAATTTCATATATGTATGTTTTATGTATTATATTTTATGTATAATTGTGACAACCCACTGAGGCCAAATTAACACACACATGGTTTGTAAAGCGTTCTTTACACTTTATAAAACACGTTTATATGTCAACAGGGGCGTAGCTAGTGCCGTATTTGCCGTATCAATTATACGGGGCCCCCGGGCCACGGGGGCCGCCAAAGTGTGTAAGGACAAACCTTTACCTCCATATAAGGGCCTCCAAAAAAAATTTTATACGGGGCCCCGACAAGGCACGCTACGCCGCTGTATGTCAATAAAAATATTTAATTCCTTTTCTATTTTACCCTGTTATAATTGTAACTCTACACCTTTTAAAATGAAAATAAACAATTATATAAATGAATTCATTACCTTAATAACAACGTAAGTAATATTTTAATTATTACATTATTTAGTTTTTAATTTCCACCGCGTGTTTCATAAATTCAGATAAATTGAAAACATTTCAGAATGGTCGTATTGTATAAAATACCTCTCGCTTTATCTTAATTAAAAGTATAATTAAAATCGCACAAACGGTTCCCGAGACACAGACAAATTTCTACCGAGTGTTACAAAACTCACAAAAATTGTTATCAATTGAGAGCGATTTTAAGGTAATTCTAGCGCGATTTCGGGTGGCGGCAATGTCGCATCATATAAAATACCTCTCGTTCTATCCAAATTTTAAAAAATCATTAAAATTGCATAAACGGTTCGCGAAATAAAGCCAAATTTCCATCGAGTGTTTCGAAAATTCTCAAATATCGATAATGTTTGAGAGTAATTTTAAGGTATTTCTGGTGTGATTTCGGGGGGTTACTCGATCACATTGTATAAATAAACTCTCGCGTTATTTAAATTTGAAGGAATCATTCAAATCGCACAAGCGGTTCCCGAGATACAGCCAAATTTCCACCGCGTGTTTCAAAAATTCGCGAAAATCAACAAAGTTTAAGGGCGATTTTAGGGCACTTCTGGTATGATTTTGCGGGACGGAAGAGTCGCACCATATAAATAAACTTTCGCGTTATTTAAATTTGAAGGAATCATTCAAATCGCACAAGCGGTTCTCGAGATACAGCTAAATTTCCACCGGGTGTTGCAAAAATTTGCGAAAATCAACAAAGTTTAAGGGCGATTTTAGGGCACTTCTGGCATGACTTTGCGGGACGGAAGAGTCGCACCGTATAAATAAACTTTCGCGTTATTTAAATTTGAAAGAATCATTCAAATCGCACAAGCGGTTCTGGAGATATAGTTAAATTTCCACCGCGTGTTTCAAAAATTCGCGAAAATCAACAAAGTTTAAGGGCGATTTTAGGGCACTTCTGGCATGATTTTGCGGGACGGAAGAGTCGCACCGTATAAATAAACTTTCGCGATATTTAAATTTGAAAGAATCATTCAAATTGCACAAGCGGTTCTCGAGATACAGCCAAATTTCCACCGCGTGTTTCAAAAATTCCCGAAAATCAACAAAGTTTAAGGGCGATTTTAGGGCACTTCTGGCATGATTTTAGGGGATGGAAGAGTGTTATCTAAATTTGAAAGAATCATTCAAATCGCACAAGCGGTTCTCGAGATACAGCCAAATTTCCACCGGGTGTTGCAAAAATTCGCGAAAATCAACCAAGCTTTGAGAGTAAATTTAAAGCATTTCTGGCGTAATTTTGGGGGGCGGCACGAATACATCGTATAAATAAACTCGCACCTTATCTAAATTTGAAAGAATAATGGAAAGAGCACAAATGGTTCTCGAGATACAGCCAAATTACCACCGAGTGTTTCGAAAATTCTCAAATATTGATAATGTTTGAGGTAATTTTAAGGCATTTAAGGCGTGATTTCCGGGGTGACTCGGTTGCACCGTATTAACAAAATCTCGCGTTATTTAAATTTGAAAGAATCATTCCATTCGCACACACGGTTCCCTAGTTTTCCACAGTATAATATGAAAAATATGAAATATTGCTTAACTTTAGGGGTGGTTTACGTGATTGAAGGTGTGAAATTATTTTGAAATTACAAAGTTGCACATTACATTTACGAGTACGTTTGCTAGCGATATTAGAACTCTGCGACGGTACGAGAATTGTTTACACATTGACACCGATAACCGCAGAGAAGAGGTAACAAAAACAATCCTAAGATTTACGCCGGCAAAATAGGTAATTAATTTTCTGGAACGAACGGAAAATTAAACCACTACAAACGCTTTATTGGATTGTCAAGACTTTATAAAGATATATTTTAAAATACGGAATAAGAGGACAAAGTCAATTAAATACTTACCCGTGGATTGACGCCTGCTGTTAATTGATGTCCAATGTAGTTTGTAGCTGTCGCATGCCCTCCATGGTAGATAGGATGAAATGATTCACCGAATAAAATAAGTCCAATACGATAACTCGGATGATAAACGTTATATTTCATGCACGAACCCGAAAAACGAACTCTCAGAAACATGGCGGCGGATCGGACAAACCGGCGACAACAACCAACACGCACACTCAGCGAACTGCGGACTACTGCGGGCCCAACCTGACTTACCTGACTCGGCTTAAGACCCGCATAGCTGGCGGCGATAGTGCGCTGAGTGTGCGCAAATGTGCAAATGCGCATTACACTAGACACATGAACCACTGCAAAAAAGTTGCACACTCGCACATACGCAGTTTCAATGTAGCATAAACAAAACTTGTAAAACACAATAAAATAAATGTACAGACAGGTAAAGTAATCTTATGATCGTTTCACCAACTGATACAAATGTTATACTATGTATTTGTAACACAAAGTCAACAAGTTTGGATAACATTAGTCATCATGTTCAGCATATATGTCAACCGTTAATTCAATTTTAAAGTGCGTGCATTAAATCGTGCGTGAATTCGTGCGCCGCACACAAGCTCGCACCGTACTTTGTTGCGAAGACATTTAATAAAAATTAAGTTGCTTAACGCTCAGGGCGTCATTTAGATTAAATTGTCCTAGAAGTTGATAGATGCAGATCGCATTAGCTGTAGATCGTATTCACCTGTTGTGTACAACGGATGAACGTTGCCCTTCGGGGCAATTCCTTCAACTTGCCAGCACCCGTATATGTGCACGCGCTACGCAAACCACCAAGGATATCCAATACGGTGCCCTCGACATCACCCTTATAGGGAATTTCGACCGTTTTACCCTCGGAGGAACGATATTCAGCCACTCCACCTGCGTGTTTTTGCATAGCAGTATTGGAAGACATGCCGTAGAAAAGTTTGAACTTCTTTCCGTCCCGTTCGGTGACCTCACCACCGCATTGATCATGGCCGGCGAACATTCCACCCGCCATTACAAAATCCGCTCCTGCACCGAATGCTTTCGCTACATCGCCGGCACAAGTACACCCTCCATCCTAAAAATGATTTTTTTAAATAATTCTATAGTAATCATTAAAATTTAAATATTACCGAAATAATATGTCCCTGAAGGCCATGCGCAGCATCAGCACATTCAATAACAGCCGAAAGTTGAGGATAACCTACACCAGTCTTCAATCGTGTTGTACACACTGATCCTGGACCGATTCCCACTTTGATAATATCCGCACCAGAGAGAATTAATTCCTCTACCATTTCACCAGTCACCACATTACCAGCCTAAAAATAAATATTTATTTTAAATAAATGATTAAATAAAAATCTTAACCAACATACAATTATAGTATGTGTCGGGAACGCCGCCCGAACCTTCCGGACAAAATCAACAAAGTGCTGGGAGTAGCCATTGGCGACATCCAAACAAATAAAGGAAATCTCAGGAATAGCGCGCAGAATTTCGCCCAGTTTATCGAAATCCGCAGGGGTCATACCGGAACTACACGCGAGATTCTTCAGACATTCAGCGTTTCCCTCGGCGAAAGCTTTCCACTCATCTACTGTGTAGTATTTATGTACAGTTGTAAATAATCCATGCTAAAATTAAACCAGGAAATATAATTTTTTCATCACTATGTGGAATAGTTTATTTTATTGTTACTTTTGATAAAGCCTTGACCATTTCGAATGTCCCCACGGTGTCCATATTGGACGCCATGACAGGTATTCCCTCATAGGTCCGTTTGGAGTTGCGGAACGTAATTGACCTGAACAAATTCACCTAAAAAGAATTGGTCAATAAATGTGTGCAATCAATTTTGGCACAAAACACGCCAATCGAGACAAGTAGGCCAATATTGCGTTTTTCATGCAGATATAAATAAATATCGCCGAGTCAATGTCGTAGTGTCGTAATTACGCGTGCTGTCAAGGCAACATAACTCGCCTTCATTCATTCTCGTAATAAGAAATTGAATGAACATGGAATTGAATTGACTCGTGACAGAAATATATCAAATTAATTTACCCCCCGATGTGATTAAATTGTTTGTCTTCTAGTGTAAAAGTAGTGCTATATTTGATTAGTTTTGATTTTTGTCATTAAGATTGTGAGAAGATTTATTGACTTGTGATGTGAATCAATACAATTTGGAATGCGCGTGTTTCCTTAATAAACAAACCAAAAAAGTGTCGTGCCAATCTCGCATCGCTCGCGAAGATAGGTACACACAAAATCAATACTCACATCGTTACGGCTGCGAAGCGTGGAGCGTTTCGGGCGCAAGAGAACATCCTTAAAGTCTAACTTGATTTCGTTGATTATATTCGGCATTTTCCGCTCGGGATTGCGTCAAATTTCCGCGTAACAACTCAGCCGACTGATGATTCTCACTGTTCAAGGTGCAATCATAAAAATGACACCTGACGCTTTATGGTGCGCTCGCAAAGCGATAATTGTTTGTTAATTGTTTATTTTCTAGCGATTAGCGTAGCTAGTGTTGGTGTTAGCTTGTGCAACTAATAATAGCGTTCGCGGGCCGCGGTTCGGACGGTCGACGCGTGTCAACACGTAACGAAGCACTGCGGCCGCTTTTGGAGGCTTTGCGAGCATGCCGCAGCACGCGATTTGTTTCCGTAGGGAGGCGGAGGCGGCGGCGGCGACGGCGTACGTGGCACGAGCGTCGCGACGCTGACGTCACGCGCGGGCGCTGGTCTCACGTGCTCTGTACATAATTGCAATCGCGCGCACGAGACCGTTACAGATTAATACAAACACAATCAAAAACTAATGTATTTATTAAATGAGACATTGGATGACAAACACGCATTTGTCTATTTATTTATTTATTTAGTTTGTTTTTTAATTAAAATGAAAGAGAGAAATTTGGAAAACATTTTTTTATTAAGTAATTTACTAAGAAAGAAAATTCGGTACCAGCTATAACCAAAATCATTGCATCTATAAATTATAAATGTCTGCATGACTCCCGTGTAGACTCATTCACAATAAACAAATAAAATATGAAACTCACCGTTGAAACAACCAATACATTGCAATCCGCATCCTGAGCTCCAGTTCAGTGGACTCACTAACACACACACACACACACACAGAATTAGTTTGTATTAGTTTGTAAATTCTACCTATTTTAAAATTTGAACTCATTATAACGAAACATTTTAACAGTGAACAATAATTTCCTAGAATTTAATAAATTACACTCCATTATTTTATAATATGTTGGTCTTGTTAAAGTAAACAATGGAGAAATATAAATATGCAATACACGTAATTTTAATGCAACGCGTGAAATGCAATTCCGATAAACACGCAGGTATACTGGAGTCGACCAAAACAAGAAACTGATAAGAAAAAATATACCTCTCGAAATCGCGAGACCCCACACACACACCATCAAACAAGTTTCGAGTAAACACACACGATTCTCGTGGTGAAAAATCTCGATTTTAATTTAATGCAAATAAGTGCATACTAGCGCCATCTACACGCAAATCACGAAGTTATATTCAATAATTTAATTCTAAAAAGTGCATCCTAGCGCCATCTCGTGTCGAATGCTCAAACTATACTAACAAGTAGCAAAATGCAGTTTTCTACCCTAACATTTATAGTTACTTGCTATATCACTGTATATTATAACAATACTTAAATGTTGCAGTAATAAAGTGTATATATTTAAAAATGCATAATAAATCTTGTGCTGGTGCACTCCCAACCTACTTAATTAAAATTTCTTTTATAATCCGTAACTTAAAACCCGTTAGTCTATCAAAAATGGGCTGTCTAAAGCCCCCGATCCCGCCGCGACACCAGCCTCGTTCGCAGTGGCAACTTTCGTCCTCAACATGTGCCCAACTTGCTCATTCTCCAAAATATTCGTCTCATCCCTGCGAGAAAAATAAAACAAACCTTATTCAAGCACCATTTCAGCTAATAGCGCAAACATTACCCAATAATAACACCAAAAATCCCTAATTCCGAGACCATATCAACCATTTCCGGTACATCCGGACCTCCAGGTCGAATTATATAACTCCTCGCTATGGGCGGCTCAATACGCTGCATGAGTATCCACCCAGTGCGCTCAGTACCTCTCATACGCGACAATGCAGTATGTATTTCGTGACCGTAGATATTATTACCGCCGCCCTCACGTTGAGGTTTCAATACATAGCGTTCTGGATGATCCAGCGCCATCCTAACATTCTTATTACCCTCATCATCCATATCAAGACTGTATAAACCTGTGAATATCGAGCGAACAGCTTCGACTTCATTCGGATCATCAAGGAAACGCTCCAGGCATCCAGGACTAGCCAACTCCTGCTGAACCTTCTTGGTACCAGCAAGATGGTATTGAATTGAAGGACATTTGATTGCCAACGAACGTTCAATCATCAATCGAGCGTCCCACTCACCCTGCGTTACATAATGATCTGGTTCATATCCGGAACGGAAATAAACCACCGCAACTTCAAAATCATCGCTAAAATAAACTTTGGAATAAAATAAAATAATTTTTTAAGGAAATACTTACACAATCAACTCCTTTTATCTCCCAGACGTCCATCAACGGCAATATCTGTCAAGGTGCGTCGTTTCACACGCACACGAGGATTCAGCCGAGCGATTTCAAACTCATGAAAGCGTTGATCGCAAATATTGTACGTCGTATCCTCGACAAGAAACAGAATCACTGCATTGGGAACACCATAGTGGCGATGCGCGGTCAACATGCCACTGCAAATGCCTTCCAACGCATGATTCTCCGGCATCTTTAAAATAAATCATCAAAAATATTAATAAAACCTATATAAATTAACAAATAAAGTACTTACATTGGCAAGTTTATCAGCTTGATGCAGTTCAGCCAATATAAAACTAAAATTTGAGTAAATATTAAAGAAAAACATGATTTATGATGAAACACACAATGAATAATTAGTTATGCACAAACAAAGAAATGAAACACATACAAGTCCATGCAGACAAATGCTTGTTAGCTCTGATTCGGTGCCACAAAACATGCAGATTTATGCAATTTACCTATTCAATTGTAGCAAGAGCGAGCTGATACCGGCGAAGCTGCACGCAATCGTGTTGACTTCAACCTGTTTCAGCCGGTTGTTATCCAAAGAGTGTGACATGTAATCGGAGCGCAGAATCGCCAAAGATGTCCGCTGCAAAACTCATACAATCATGCATACAAAACTATTCTCATGCTTCTCAAATTCGTAATAATTGGCACATGCATGTGTTTCACCTTTGAATCGCCCGCGACGCCTCGCCCAGCCACCCGAAGCCGGACGCAATCGTATTGATCTCCACCTGCTTCCAGCAGCATTCCGTGCTCGCACCTTGCGCCTCCAGCATCATGTCGGAACGCAGCAGACCGAAGGAGATCGGCTGGAAACAACCCGCGTTGAGTGTGTGAATTGCTGCTGGAAGCAGGCGCAGCCGGCGTTTACGCAACAAAATTACCTGTGTGATGCCTTCCTCAGTGACAATGTTATAGATGTTGAATAAATTCTTGGTGAATTCATCCACTTTGATTGTTTCCTTCAGACAATCAACAAGAAACTCACGATTGTGAGCCACTGCATGCACCAGTTTATTGATTACACATTGTAGATCAACAGCTCTTTGGAATTCTTTCCGGGGCACTGCTGATGGCGTCAGAACAAAGGGAGCAAAGTTGAGTGAGTCTGCTGAGAATGATGTTTTTGAACGCATTGCTGCGCCGTGCATAAGCGCCCAATCTTTGGCTTTTGGTATGAGTTCCCTGAGCACTTCATCACTGAGTGGTAATGGGATGGCTGTTGGCATTTCATTAGACATCTTGTGGATGTTATGTGACTGAAAGTTGATGAAATCAATTATGTTTGTAGTTTGTAGTGTAGTACTACATGTGGCCTAAATAATTTAAATATTGATAATTCTTATCATTGTTAGCTTACTTGCAAAGGTTACTTGAATGTGTACACTGGAAATTTGTTGAAAACGATTGATGAAAAACGAAGCGGGTTACGAATGTGTTTCGTTGACAGTATCTGCTGTCATATGACAAACTTGTTGCTATATTTACATTGTTGAAATGGTTTTTCAACCATTAAGTGTAAACAAATAGTCGGTATTTATCCAATCAAGGCCATTGAGCGTATTTTAGTTCTTGCAGCCACCGTTGGAGCGCTGTTAAGTTTTGTGTTTCCCACGATTTTATACAAAATGTAATTTGTACAAATTGACTCCTGTAGATAATAAAATATACATAAGGGCTAAGCATATAGAGCAATTTTTGTATACCAGATGATGTTTTTGTCTTTAAATTTGTGTGAGCTAGGGAAATATTATCTTTTGCAGAGAGTAAAATGTACGCAGGTACAAACAACTCTTTTATTTGTATCGTAGCTAGTTTTGTCGATTAGAAATAAAATTATTAAAGATGAGTGAAACAATATTATTGTGTACACCCGAAGAAGTTCTATGGAAACTCACAGATCAAAAAATATTCATTCAATTGCGAGATATATTCAAAAGTGCCGAAAATGATGGCGGTGTGGATAAAGAAGCATTCATCCACATGATCACAACAGTATGGAGTACGTACTCAACGAAAAAATCAATAACAATGAAACAAAAACTCGATAAAAAGTCAAAATTTGTACAACTTGGTTGATTTATATTAATTTCCTTTGAGTAACGACGAAAATATATTAATTTCTATCAATTATGACAAAAAATATTTGAGTTTATATCCAAAATATTTCAGATGATGAAACAAATATTACCGAAGCCCAAATCTTAGACTTATTCAACAAAATAAATATTCATGAAGCGCCAAAAATCACATGGGACAATTTCCTAGACTTTAATCTAAAAGCTCTGCAGCCAAAATCCGAAAATCCCCTTCAACTAGGCGAGATAACCTACAGACAACCGAAAGAATTAAAAGTAAACTTAATCCATAACTGCATTAATAAATATCCTGTTGATTTTCTATACTTTTACAGCGTGACGCAATCGTGAAAATAGTCCTACTCGAAACAGATTTGTACTTTTCCTACGCACTGCTCGTCAAGTATGGGAAAATTCTCCTACTGGACGCTGAATTTAAACACTTGACGTCTTACCAAGTGATTATGACCCGCGAGGATCAATTTCGAAGCGCGCAGGACGCCCGGAAGCGTTACCGGTGGTTAACCGATGCTGTTTTCCTTGCGGATGTTAATATGTTTATCGTTGTTAATTCCACGCGTAGTATGACTATATACGACGCATCCGGGTTGAAACACGTGCCATTATGGCACATTTCAGGATTTCCAAACATAATTCAAGTAAATATCAACGCCGAAATGTATGATTGTAATCCCGGTTGCCTAAGTTATGTTTCAAATTTTAGGTTATATTATACAATGATAGAAAAAAATCGTTATTATTAGGCATGGATAATGGTGAAATTGCTATGTTGACGTTTTTTAACGCCAAGGATGATTTACTACCGAAGAAACACCAGGATAAAATGTCGTTTTATTATTTTCTGGTAATTTTAACCTCAAAATCACGTTGAATGTCATTTTTAATATGATTTTATAGGAATTGGGTGCATTTAAAGATTATATTCAATATAAATCTATAGGAATATTCCATTCAAGTGCTGTGGTTGCAATGCAACTGTTAGAAGACCGGAAATCGTTGATTACATGCAGCAGAGACGATCGAAAATCTCTGATTATCTTAAATTTAGATTATTTAAAAGTCACACATAGTGTCGCAACCAAACGCGTAAGTTTTTCAACTTTAAAACTTATTTTTGTTTATATTATTCCGATTCAGGGAATAAATTGCTTCGTCGCGAGTTGTAACAAGAAACTGTTCATCACCGGAAGTGACGATGGCTTAGTACGAATATGGCCGCTGCATAAGAAGTTGCCTATACTACACGACATGAAAAATCAAAATCTGCAAATTATTTTAACCTCAACAAACCGCTAGAAACAATCCGCGCTGGAAAAACAGGCATAGTTGATATTGTTATATTCGAAACTCTTGAAATGTTCATTTGCTGTTCGAGAGACGCCGTAATTATAAAATTATCACCGATAACAATGAATTGCAATTGATAGTTTTAGGAATTACGATTTTATGATCTTACAGAATACAAAAATCTGCAAAACGTGAAATTAAACTTCGAATGTTTCGACATTTTTAAGATCCGCACACCTGAATGGGGTGTAAAATGCATATTTCCCGGCCCGAAACGCGCAAATATGACGCAAACATGGGAAAGAAATTGTTTACTCATTACGTGTTGCAATGCATACGCAAAACTGGATTTATTTTACATGGATGGCCGCGAAAGACATTTGCACGATGACTTTTTACCTTCGCAACCATTACAGAACTCTGTATTAATTCCGCAAGACTGGGAAACTTGCAATGACAACAAAACTGTTAATTATGATGATTTATCAATGAGAAATCACCGGAATGAAAGTTTTGAAACACTTTGGGATAGTTTATTGAAGATGGATTTCAGCGCGAAGGAAAAATCTGATGTGCATTCGAAGATTGCGTTGTTAGAAGAAAGAAAAGCAAAGGTACTTACATAAACTGATGATGATGACGATGCATTTTCATGTTTGACATTTTTGAGGTTAGATGAAATGGGCAGTGGAACATGGCGCCCCCTTCCTGGCCCTGCCGTTGTATGAAGTTAAAGAAGTACAACTGCCAACGCGTCTGCCAATAGTTGATAATAAAAAGACAAAAACTATTGTTGATAAGACACAGAAATTATTAAGCGATGCTGTATCGCATACAATTGTTTTTTCAGATATTTCTAGCTCGCGAACGTCGCGGAGTTCATCGAAATGTTCGAAAAGTTCAAGTAACTCAAAAATTTCCAGTAATCTAGGACGTTTGAGTCGTACTTCATCACGCACTAGTATTTTTGAGTTCGAATAGTATAAAAATATTAATTTATAAACTTACGAATGTGAATTTGTGTGCGTTAATAAAAAAAAAGTAAAACGAATTGAATTTTAGGTTAGACGCGTCGGTTAGTAATTTGAATTCCCTAGGGGATTTTTTGCTCGTGTTGGTGACATTGCATCACCAGGATGACTTACATTCTCACTGCTGCCGCCTCCACCGCCCCCGCTTGTCATTTGTTTATGTCGTTTTCGTCGATTCGTAGTAAACATTCGTTGGTTTGCAATTCGGTGAGGAAGAACACCGCCGCCCCGCCGGTGGCATCGTCTCGCACGAAGACCCGCATCCGAGTGATGGTCGCCGGATGGTGCGCAAGGCGCAGAACGGTAAATCGCCAAAGAAATCGCGCAAGAGCGACACGGACGGTCACCTAATGTTCGGTCGCGCGTCCACCTCAGCCGCCGACACGTCGGTGCACAAACGCAACCTATGTATCGTATCATTTCCGATCGTTTTTCTCTTCAACCTGTTCCGCGCGCTGCTCTATCAGATTTTCGTTATTTTTCGTTTCGTTTATTGTAGTTCCTCTTACTATTTGGTCCGCAAGCGTAGGCACGACCAGCCGCAGCTGGAGGACGCCTCCACGGTAGTCATCGAGGAGATTCACGACATGCAGCAGGGACATCGCAATTCAGGGCCTGGCCCCGGTGATCCGTTGCTAGCCAAGCAGAAACATCATCATCGTCGTGCGTTTGAGAATATCTCCAAAGCGCTTAAAATCGACGAAGAAAACGAAGGTAATAAAAACATAAAAAATTAAAATCATATCATCTTATGTCTAAAATAATTACAGGACAAAAAGAGCAAGCAATTGAATTGTACAAGAAAGGCATCAATGAATTGGAACTGGGTATCGCAGTGCAGTGCTGGGGTGGCAGAGGAGAAGTCTGGGAGAGAGCACAGAGATTGCATGAGAAAATGAAGACCAACTTGGCTATGGCAAAAGACCGACTGCAATTTTTAGGTGAGAGGCTGGTTTTATGCTTTTGTTTTGCACACACTTTGTTAGCTGTCATTAATTATAATCACACACTCATTGGAAACACACAACACACAAAAGCTCACCAAAATAATGTTGAATAAAAGTAAAATCCCAATTTTGAGTAAGTGTTTTGATTTTTTTTAATTTACGTTTTGGATTGTATCATTTTCTTTTTTTTTTGTTTATCAGAATGCACAAACAATGTAGAAGCATTAAATCTGAGTACAACTGCCACCGGTAGCAACAATAATGCATTAAAACCAAAGTCTAGTCAATTAAATGCAGGTAAAAACATTATTAGTGAATAAAATCAATGTTTTTTTAATAGAATTTAAGTTGTTTGTGTGTGCATTCATTTAATACGGATATTTTTACAGCGTCCGGTAAGAAATTAACCATCGCAGCGAAAAGACCAGCTAATGCTTCACTGTCGAAGAGTTTAACGCTTCCAAGGAGTATGGGATCACGCAATGCACCGATACAACCAGTGCGGCCATTCAATAAGATGTCATCGACACCTCCCGCTATTAAGAAACAACTATCTATTCCGGGATCAAGTTCTCCAGCAAGGAAAACACCTTCGTTAGGTAATTTTTGCATTTTATAAATTTACTAGGTTAATTTTTGATTTTGAGCGCCATCTGTTGTTCTTTTGGGGTATTTGTCAAAATATTATACTAACTTATTCCTATCAAATAGGTTCAGGAACAAATAAAGCCTCAACAAGTCGAAAATCAATGAATCTCCGCGGAGTAGATCCGAAACTAGCTCAGAGTATACTCGACGAGATTGTAGAAGGCGGCCAGTCGGTGCAATGGGACGATATAGTCGGCCAAGACACCGCTAAGCAAGCCCTGCAGGAAATGGTAATATTACCATCGCTGCGACCCGAGTTATTCACTGGTCTTCGCTCTCCCGCGCGCGGATTACTCCTATTCGGCCCGCCCGGCAATGGAAAAACACTATTAGCACGCGCAGTTGCAACCGAATGTCAAGCGACGTTCTTTTCGATCAGTGCCGCTAGTCTCACATCGAAATTCGTCGGCGATGGCGAAAAACTAGTACGCGCTTTGTTTTCTGTCGCTAGGGAACTGCAACCGTCGATTATATTCATCGACGAGGTTGATTCACTGCTCTCAGAGCGTTCTAATAACGAACACGAGTGCAGCAGACGCTTGAAGACGGAATTCTTGGTGGAATTTGATGGATTACCGTCTAATCCAGAAAGTGAAAGAGTAATAAACTTAAATATTAAAAATTTAGATTTTTTATATTAAATATGTTGATATTTTCTAGGTGGTTGTTATGGCCGCGACAAATCGTCCGCAAGAATTAGACGAAGCCGCATTGCGTCGTTTCCCGAAACGTGTATACGTAACACTTCCGCAAGTAAGCACGCGTTCTGACCTTTTACGCAAATTACTCTCAAAACAAGGCTGTTCGTTAAACGACGCCGAATTAAAACGTCTCGCGACACTTACCGATGGCTACTCGGCGAGTGACCTCACCGCGCTTGCCAAGGACGCAGCCCTGGGTCCAATCCGTGAGTTGCAACCCGAGCAGGTGAAGCTGATGGATCCCGGCGCGGTGCGTTCGATCACGCTAAACGATTTCCTCGACTCGCTCAAGCGTATCAGGCGCAGTGTTTCGCCGCAAAGTCTCGTCGCGTACGAGAAATGGTCGCTGCAATATGGCGACGTCTCGCTGTAAAGTTATGTTGCATTCCGAGCATTTGAGTTGTGAGTTAAGCATACACATCGATTGTTCCTTTACATTTAACATATGTTTACACTGTTTGATTAATGATAAATAACCGCTCTCTAGTGATTAACTAGTGGATAGTGTGTATGACCAGTGCAATTGTTACTTTTGTTATAATTCTGTTAAAATTTGACAGTTGATGAGTTTTTGTTCAATCAATACTCGAGCCATTTGTAAATCTATAGACGTAGTGATAGCGATTGTATCAATAGTGAATATTTGGTTTATTTTTCTAACGTACTCTGTAGGGTAGTCCGGTTTTGATTGAGTTGATTAATGTGACATGGACGTACTAATTGTGATTATAGTTCTTACAACATAAGATAAAAGAAAAACAACTATGAAAACTTCACTCACGGTGCTTTTGCACATGTCGATCCGCTTTCCGTTCGTTTTGTATCTTAAGCACTAAACGATTATTTAAATAAACACTTTAAATACGTAAATATCGAATTTTCCTCTGAAATTTTCACGGTTTTAGTTTATAAAATTCAGTAAAGTTTGGTGTATGTTTGGTTGCCTACATTGAATTAGATCAATAGGTATTAAGTAACGTGATTATTACCTACTCGCATGCTCTACAAGTAAAACATTTCTACGCGTGAAAATGTTGCGTTTCAAACTTGATTCCACCTTCGCCGCCTTCGATAAATACGTGTCCTGCATTCGGCACCACTATGGAGGGGTGACATCGCCGAATTTCGCGCTGCTGCACCGGCAAAGCACCCACAATCTGCGGGAAAGCGAAACTAACCTCAACAATTCCAGTCATGTGCACCGTGTGCCATCATCAAATTCAAATTTGAATCTCGCCTACCATCGAACAATGCCAAAGAACCGCGTGAGATATGTTACCACTGGTCAGGTATGGTCTTTCCACGACCTTTTAGGACAACTAGCACAAGATCACAACCTGGCAAATAATGAAACAGTACAATTCGTTGAAGTTCAAAAGTTCTTCGCAGTGCAAAGAAGAAGAAAGAAAAAAGAAAATTTCATCAAACAATGGCACAGCTTTCATGACAAGTAAAGTCCTAACACAACAACAAATTGCTCAATATTCTACAATAAGTAATAAACCAGCAGAAGGAGTAAATTCAGTCCTAACTGAGACAATATTATCAGAAACTCAGCTGAGAGGCAGAAATTCACCAGCGAAAGATGATAAAAACATACTGAAAATATTCCCACAACCAAAATACTCCATGAATCACGTGTACATCACACTGGCGAAACATTTCGCTGATAATTCCTATCAAGTTAGCCCAAAATTCAAATCAATCAAACAAAAATCACCGCAAAATCTCTGGGAGTGTACTTATTCAGTAAAATGGCCGACGTCTTTGCAATTTACCGCAATTGCATCCACAAAACAAGATGCCTCACACAAAGCATGCATGGAAGGATTAAAATACCTCTACAGTAACAAACATATCACAAATAAAAACCTGCCTATTATTCCCGGTCAGGAGGAAGAGGCGAAAAGAGAACGCGCACGAATAGATCCTTTGGTTTTAAAACGCGAAGTTATTGATGCAATGCAGGGGATTGTGCAAGATTATGAAGAGAAAATGTTGCAACACTTGCAAGTTGAGAGTAGTACTGATGCAGAGACAAGCCGGGAAGCACTGGAGACTTCCGAGGAAGTGTGGCCGGTTTATCAAGAGCAGAGGACACCGAAATTTCGCGGGTTGGAGTTTTATACGTGTAGGGAAGGCAAAATTTTACCTATTAGTGAATTTAAGTAAGTTTAAAAGGGTAGAAGTTGTTGAAAACCCGCAAAATGTGGTGGGGGTTGAGTCATTTCCTCCACTTTGCTTCCCCCACTACTTTTTTCAGGTCATCCTAACAAAATTAATGCTAAATTTCGAATTTTCCAGAGAACACATAATAAAAACAATAAACTCCAACCGTGTGGTAATAATCAAAGGTGAACCAGGTTGCGGCAAGTCCACACGTGTCCCACAATACATCCTCGAAGGCTGGGCGCGCGATTTCCACGCCGGAAACACCAACACCAACAAAAACTGCCGAATCATCGTAACACAACCACGCCGTATAGCCGCCATCTCCCTAGCGGAAAGAGTCGCCTCCGAGCGGGCGGAACTCTCCGGCGGGACAATCGGCTACCAAGTGCGTTTAAAATCAAACTTCAACCGAAACACCGGAAAGGTTCTCTACTGCACCACGGGCATCCTACTGCGACGCCTACAGACTGATCCAAGTTTATCAGACTGCACACATGTAGTCCTCGACGAAGCACATGAACGCGACGTCAATACCGACCTACTACTAAACCTACTCAAAGGCGCAATGGAAAAAACCCTAATTTGAAACTACTAGTCATGAGCGCGACGATAGACGCCGAAGTCTTCCAGGAATACTACAGCTCAAACGAAGAAAACGATAAAACATTCAATGCTGAAGTTATACACGTGCCTGGCTTCACATTCCCAGTGAAAACTCACTTTTTAGATGGACATGAATTGAAACAAAGTGGTTTATCACTCGAGAATACTCTAGAAATGTCCAAAGGTGAAGGACCTACTGTAGTCTACGAAGACGTGGTGAAACTACTTAAATATATACATAAAAACCGCCCGGAGGGTGCAATACTTGTCTTCCTCCCCGGCTGGGATGATATTCTACGCGTAAAGAAACTCCTACCTGAATCCAGCAGCCATGTTGAAGTCCTCTGTCTGCACTCACGCATGCCCGATAGCGAACAGAAGATGATCTTCCATAAATTCCCTCCTGGCGTGCGGAAAATCATCCTGGCGACCAACATTGCTGAAACATCAGTGACAATCGATGATATAGGTTATGTTGTTGACTGTGGCATACAAAAAGAGAATAGATTTGATGTGGAGAAAGGTATTAGCATCATAGACAATCATTGGATATCGAAAGCAAGCATGGCGCAGCGTAAAGGACGCGCTGGTCGTGTCCAAGCAGGCGAAGCTTTTCTTTTATACCCGGAAACAAAGTTTAAAGATTTCCACGATTACTCTCTACCTGAAATTCAACGCACTTCTCTTACAAAAATTGTTCTGGATAGTAAAGTTTACAGCAACAATATGAAAGCGGCTGAGTTCTTAGGACAATTAATAACACCACCTGAGGAAACCGCCATTGATTGCGCAGTTGATGAATTAGTCGAGTTGGAATTATTAGACGAAGCTGAAAATTTAACTCCTTTAGGAAGAGTTATAAGTGATTTTCAGCTAGAACCGAAATTGGCGAAGGCGTTGGTCAATTCGGTGATTTATAAATGTGTCACACCGATTGTGGATATTGTTACGTTGTTCTCCGCAGAGATGGAGGTCTTTGGCGGTGGATTAATGGAACGCGAGAAAGTTAACAAATGCAAACGCGATTTTTCTTCGTCCAGTGATCATCTATCAATGATGCGACTGTTTGAGCAATGGTTGGACTACGTGGAGAATGATAATCAGTATCAGGCGGAATCATTCTGTAGAAGGCATAATATTCTGGATTATAAACTGCGCACATTACAACGTAAGCCAAAACAAAATTATTTTTTATAAATTTTGATGATTTTAACTGATTTTTGTTTGTTTTAGAATTGCGTAATATTCACTTTGACTATTTGCACAAAGGATTACACGATTGCCTGCCACTGTCTGATGATTTTTCCGACAGTGATGAACTAGTGAAAGCTGTGCTTCTGTCCGGAGTAGGCACAATCCTTCAACATCGTGATCATGACTTTGTCAAAGGCAAACTCAAGAAAAAACATGTCTTACTCACGAGGTGCGTTCATATTATCCGCCATTTTGTGCACATCACTAAAATATGATGTTTTCAGGCATAATCATAAAGCTACGATATCCTCGGACAGTGTAAACACAAGACGCGGTGTTTTCCCGACCAATTATTTGCTGTACATCAACGAAACACGCTCGAATGTTCGACGGATGACTGTCATCCGAGAAACTAGTCTCATCACACCTCTAACTGTTCTGTTGTTTAAAAATCACGATATTATAATTGAACCCGTACGTATTTTTAATACAAAAACATTCAAACTAGTCTAATATTATTAATTTGTTTATAGATCAGAGATGCTCTCGATGGAAACCAGGAAAACATGGCGGATCCTGTGATTGTGCGCCTCGAAGGTACAAAGTTTTCGTTTCTAACCGAACGCGAACACGCTGTGTTGTTACAAAAGTGCAAATCGGCTGTTACTGCAGGTGTTGATTACTATGTTTATCAGTTAACGAAAGGCGCCGAGTACGATCGCGAGGTTAACCGCATTTGGGACGGTATGCTAAGCAAACTCAACTCTTGTTTGAAAATGGAAGCACTGCGCATTGCTTTCTAACCTGTTCCAATATTTCTAGTTCATTATTAGTTTATTTTTTTCCGCGTAAGTGCAAATCATTGTGATATTTAAGTTTTCGTTGTCCAAATGGAAGATAATTTATTTTGTGAATATTTTGTGAATATCACTTTGATAAAAAGAGAAAATGAAGGTTTTTTGTATTTAACATAAAATAGAATTCATTTCGTTACACGTACATTCACAATTGTTTCTACCTTCGATTCGTTGTCTTCGTTGACTGACCATTATTGTGTTAAACTAATAAACTTTCTACACTTGAGATGCTGTTGTGTGACAAGATCGTTGCGTGTTGCAGTTGCACCAAATGTCGACTGAGTTAAATTCTAGATTACAGCTATAAAAATATACAAAAAGAACCCGGGCGCGCATGCGTACTATAAAGTAAAACAAATGTACAACAAAACATAAACATAAATGCCGCAAACTAAACGTGTGTACAACTTTGAATAACGTAATAGTTAAAATTCGTTGTGATATAAATAATTCAATCAATTGCACGGGCCGGAACTTAAAATGTAAAACTTAAGAGGAAGTATTGCAAGTCGCATGCGACAGATGACGTTAAAGTAGTGCGTGTGCGCAAAGCAACAAAATATACAAAATCGGCGCTTGATGTTGTTTACTGCGTTTCGTTCAGTGATTATCGTGAATTTTATTAATCAATTGTTAACAACAAAGAAACAAATTCGCATGAAGATGCATAGAAAAACCACAAATCATACACGTTCATATATACCCTGCGCGCAGGCGTAGCCGCCATCTTACTCTGCACAACACATTTACATGTATATATAAAAATCGTGTAAAACAACATTTACTTGAATGATTCGAATCGATTTGAAGAGTTGAGATGATTTTCCAAGTTCAAATATACAATATTTATATATTATAGTCGTAATAATTTTCTGCGCATGCGCACACCTTGCATTCGTACCACACGCACATCATTTCTGTTTATATATAATCATCATCATAATAAAACTCTCAGTTCTTACATATATATATTTGACTTTGTTAAACGTTTTTCTCATTTTCTTTGTTTGTGTGTAATGCAGAAACATCGAAAAATCGTCAACTAAACGCGGGATATAAACTCTAAATATACAACAATGTGTCACAAGTTGCCTACATGCATAGAATAGCTCAATGAATCAAAAACACAACGAAAAACAAGATTAACCATTTGATTTATCTCTATGTTTGATTCTCCCATCATCTTTGAATGAATAAAGTGTGTTTGGGGATGTTTGATACTGATCGCTAACAAGTTGCTTATTTAGTGAAGTTTCTCTTGCCCTACAGTTATACTTAACCTAGCAATTTGTTTATAAACGGTTATATTACGATACGAATGACTGCATTCTGGCCACATGCGTGGCTTGCTTTTAGATTTAAACGTTTACAATTGGTATTTTGTTTGCTTTTTGTGTGTTTGCTCGTTTCGCCTGCAAGTTCAATACAATTTTTATTTCGGTTTAAAATCACTCTTTGCCTCTCTTGATTTCATCGTCTTTTGAACTCGTCTCCACATTTCCGAAGCGTTTTAATTTTTCTTTTTATACATGTATAATGTATATGTAAATGTCGATCAGTCTTTTATTACAATTAATCGCGCGGCGCATCGTGTGCGCAGCTGCATTTTATTGGTTGTTTGTTAATTGTTTGCTTAGTTTCGTTAATTTCTCCTAGCGATTTTCGTTTCACGTTAATATGTTAGTTCCTCTTTGATTTTCTCGTAGCTTTCATTTAGTTAGGTTATGAATAGGCATATTAATTTGTTGAATATTTCTACATCTTACGATCTATCAACACTAGAGCTTAAACTGATTAAATGTTTATGTAAATTTCTGCCTTTGGTTTTGCGCCTCATTTCACTGCTTTATAGGTTATGTGTGTGTGTGTGTGTTGTGAATAGTTCATGCACTCTCAGTCATGCTGCTCAAATGTTAAGAGATATTAATTCATTACTCACTAGGAAGTGACTTAAGTCTTAATTAAGTAAGAGCTCGAGTGGTAGCGATACTTTTTGATTCATTTTTTAGATTCTTTGAGATGAGAAAGAGAGGAAATGACAAATGTTGTTGTTGCTTAGCGAAAGTGATCGTAGTACAAATAGAAATTCATCAATTTGCTAGAGCTTCTTCAATCCTAGACAAGAGTAAGAAAAATGTAAATTTAAAAATTGGCCGCAATTTCATCGCATTCCTATCAAATACACCTAACCTCATTTCAAAGCCCTATAACCCAACATTTGTTTGCATTTTATGCGCACACCTCTTCTATTGCAGAGTGTGTTTAACGTCAATCTGTTGCCGCGTCGTCTTTTATCTGTTCATACACCACCAGACATCGATTCGTTTTTGTTTCTTTTGTTTGCGTTTGCGTGTTTTGCGCTTTCCTACCTACTTTGCTTGATTTCTTTAATTAAAGTTCTAATTCTAAGTGTAATTGTTCGTCGGAACAATCGCTCGGCCCGTCTAGAAGATCCAGACAGTCGAGCGTCCCCTGAAAAGCCACAAAATCACATAAAACACATAAAAAACAGGCGTAACAACCTGTTTACCATATGTTACGAACGATGATCCAGCCGAAAGTGATCCTCGACGCTGTCGGGTATCAGATTGATGCCGCTTTCCGACAGAATCTGCAGGCTATCCTGATCTAGCGGCTCCAGGCAGTCATCGTTACCAAACAGCTCGTTTTCCAGCTGCTTTGTAAGTGATACTTCCTGCTGCGAGAGATCATCAGTTGCAGAAAAATCTAAAAACACAAAAAGTCTGTTAGTAAACATGTAGGCAACCAACAATACACCAAACCTGTCAATATAATGGTGGGAGTATTTGGTGTTGTGTGTAGGCTTGGAGGCGCCGTGTGATAGACGACTTGCGATGGTGATGTACTGTAATATCCGGCATCACCGCCATTTTCCTGCATGCCGCCCCGGATTGCTGCTGCTGCCCGTCCGTCTTGTAATGCACGTTGTTCGTTTGCGGCGACATGTACGAATTCACCGGCGTGTCCATCTACAAACACATCAGAAATCAATCGAAATACTCATTTGGTACCTACAAGCAGACAAACACATTCAAAACAAAAAAAAAACGCTACATCTACCAAATAAAAACCACACTAAAACTACGAGATTGTTAGTAATCATTTAGTCCAAACTATGGAGAACTACGTTAAAACTACAATTTCTAAACGGAAAATAAAATGAAAAATGACAAGCGCATGCTCGGTATTACTTCGGGGTCTCGATGGAGGACTAAACTACTTGCAACAGGAACAAATTCGCTTATTCGCCATAAGAGAATCGTTGCAGAGAGAAAAACAGAGAGAGATTTGAAAGAATATGAGAGGGCGGGAGGAGAGTAAACGCATTCCGTGAAGTCGTGACCGTCCGCAAACAAGTTTTCACCTCGACCTGCGCGCTCCATGTGCATCCGGACTCGACGAGCGTGGCCACCAGCTGCGCCCAGTCCTGCGGTGACGACGCGCACAAGGAGAAGAGGTGGGTGGACAACATTTGTGAGTTTTGTGTGTTCGATTTTTAACAGACAACAGAGAAGAAAAAACACTAGCGTTATTGTCAAACATATTCCGTCGGGCGCATCATATACATATATATGTACTATGTAAATATTTCGCTAACAAAACACACGCTGATGATGACGATGATGATGATCACACACACAGAGAATATGATGAAAGGAAAAGGAAACACTTACCACTCCCTGAACGCAATTCGTGTGTTGATGAATTTGTTAGTGACGCGTGCGCAAAGCAAAAGATTATCGTTATCAACACAGGTTAGTTGTTAAGTGTTAACTTTAGAGGTTAGAATCAAAGGTTATGGTAACGAGATGCGATTGGGATGATGTGTTTACCATTGATATTTGCTCGAAGTGCTGCTGCAGCTGCGCCGCCTGGTGTTGATTGTACAATTGGTAGTCGTTGGGCAGTGGGCTGAGCGGGCTGGGCGCGCCCGGGCTGCACGGCGCCGAATGTCGCCCGCCCAGCGACGGCGACGACTGCGGCGATGGACGGGGACTACGGTAACCTGCCACTTGTTGTAACTAAACCAGCATAACACAGGATTAACACACAATGGGGGTTTGGGTTGAGGTTAAAAATCATCTTACCGTTGGCGATGGTGACGTGGGCGGAACTTGTTGCTGCTGCTGCTGCTGATATATTCGATTCATGTTCGTCATCTGCGTGAAGTCCTGATGACCGTCGATCTGCGTCATCGATCCGTTGTCTATCGTCACTCCCTGTATATACAAAACAATTTTATATTAAATGTTAACATTTATAACCAATAAACACGAAATTAATATGAAAGAAGCAAAAAAAAATGTTTCAACCAAACAAACCTTGTTGTGATGAAGGTACCTAGAGTTAACTGGAACTGACAAATGTGTCTGTAACAAAAAAAGGGTGCGACGACCATGCAAAATCATAAAAAAACACGCCAAAAAAAATCGCACGAGAAAATAAAAATCAAACCGTGTTAGTTGGGTTGCATACCTGGTGCGTCGACACCGGTGGCGGCGTGTTAAACTGAAAACGCCCGCCTTGCGTCCGCACGCCCGGCGGTACGCTCGTCGGCGACAAGGTCGATGGGCTCGTATTTACAGGACTCTACAACAAAACAAAATAAAAACATTAGTATAAGTAAAATTATGTTAGGTTATGTTTAGCACTTACAGAGCTATAGGGTGAACTGCCCTGATGCTCCTGGTCGGGATCCAGCGGTGTGTGCAATGGCGACGGGTACGAATGTACGCTGGTGAGATCGGGCAGTGAGCCGGTGTTATTACCAATGGGAATCGGTACAGTACCCGGCTCATATTCAGTGTGAAATATACTATAAAACATAATGTGTATAATAGTAAATTTATGAAATTCAAAATGGCCGATGCACTTACTTGATTCCTGGCACTCGTGGCCCATCGCAGCTGGACCGCGGCCGCCGATTCGGGTCGTGCTGGTCGTGGTGATGCAGCGACGGACCGTTCATATTCTGCATCCATCGGTTTTGGTCAGTTCTTTCGTTGCCCATTCCCTAGAATAACAAAATAAAATATAAAACGCCATCTATGCAGTACTTTAAACTAAACTAACCTGCATCGCACTCTGGTGTAAAGCAGAATCACTGTTTGTCCTCCGCCAGGATGTGTCCGGCGGCGGGCTGAGGAACGGCCCGCTCGAGTACGGCGACGTATCATGCTTGCGATCCTGCGGACGTCGTATTGGCCCACCTTGTGAACGCGCTCGACTCTCGCGGAAATGCGTCGGGGTCGCATTGTGCGCTTGCGCGTGATGCGGCGAGTGCGGTGAATGCGGCGACATATTCGCTTGGGGTGCACTATCCTCAGGCTAAACACCAAACAGAAAAAAAAACAAAATCTGTTATTTCTATTAGTCATACAATATTAACACTCGCATACAATACAATCTCTAACATTCACTACTCCCCGTTGCACTACGTTTGTTAGGTTGCCTAGCAACGCATCACGTCGCATAGCAACGATGAAGAACTCAACTCATATTTGTGCAGTTTGAAATAAAAAAAGGAAAAACAGTGCGAAGAGAATATTACTATTACGCCACACCGCACACACGAAAGACGTCGTACGCCAAATCGCCGTGTTGTCGTTCTATTAATAACCGCGGCCAGTACAATTGCGGCCGGCCTGTGTTTACAAACGTCCCGAATTAAACCACCACCCGCCGCCATCTTGCGGCCGTTATCTATTATTATCGTCAATATGTGCGTTTTTAGGTCTTCCAGTCGCTAAAAATACATTCAACATCACGGCCAAACGCAATCAATTAGTATTAGATAATCGACGCACTGCAGCAGCCATTTTGGAAACATTCGTAAGTAGAACCAAAACTAATCGGCGTAATAACAACGCGGAAACGAATTTCAAACAAAAACAAACCGCAGACAAGGAAGAAGTGAACATTAATTCCATCTAGGCGAACATAACTTTTACGAACGTTAATTATATAGGCGTAGAGTTTTATAGGCTTAATTTTTATTCAATCATAATCATAATAAAATCAGATTTCCGACAAGATGTGAAAAATGAAGAAGAAAAAAAATAAGATTAAAATGTCATGCCGCGGTGATTGTTTATGTTCTCACGTGGTGGCGCGTTTTTCGTGCGTTTTCGGTTGTCTTTGTTTATTGGCATTGAAACGCGTTGTGTTTTTTCCTTGTTCGAGGTCAACTTTAAGCATTTCGAGCGCTTCGGGACGGTTTAATTACTTTCAAAATTTATTAATAATTTTAGTCGGAAAAAATCATTAATTATTTGTGTAATAATATAACTAGTGTCAACTGGTGAGTAAATTTGAGATTTAAGTAAATAAACTTGTTTTTTGCAATAAATCAGATATTTTATGTGTAATAAATGTAATTATTTAAATAATTAATTAGTTTTTAAATTATTTGTTGAGTTAATTCAATTTAAAATGAAATAACAATAAAAAACACTCGAAAATGTAAGATTGGTTGCCTACTTTTTGTCATCTGTCAAACAATGACATAACCTATGTCGATAAAGAAGATTTCTTTTCTATTTTGAAGTTTTTGACGTTTTAATCGTTATTCTGCGGTCTAATCAGTTATAAATCAAACAAATTATTAAATTTCTTAATTTTTAACCATTTTTGACAATTTTTAATGAAAATTTTAAAAAAATGTAAAATCTTTGATTTTCACGTGTATATCATCTATTTATGGATATTTATGTCATAGTGGTCGTTGTACCCCTACAAACAATCCAAATATACTCAGATATATTTAGAATAAACATAAAATCGATGAATGCAAGACTAATTATTACGTATTACGCTGCGTACGCGAAGAATAAATTAACTTGATTCACGTCCGGTGTTACTATTACACAAATATTCCATCACCGTGCGAACGTCCTGATGTTTGTTACACTTTCACGCAAAAACTACTTAACCGATCATCATGAAAATTTGTACACATATTCTTAGTGGTCCCCGAATGGTTATAGGCTACTTTTTATTTAATAAAAAAATTATTTTTTAAATAAAATAAAGAAATAGTTTAGCCAATAATACCTCTGCATCTGGCTATTTGACTACTTTAACGCCATCTAGCATTCCAGCAATGAAGCTCAAACCTAAGTACTATAGTACCATCACACTGTATTATCACACTGTATTACCGACAGCTACGTCAACATCAAATCCAATTGACTACACTATGGAGACTGTACACTATACTTCCATAGACTATACTTTCAGCCATTTTAAACTTCCCGCCATTCTACTTCATTGTTACTTCATCTGTGACTACAGACGCGTACGCAACTTCATTATTTTAGATATTCGCGAGCGAAGCCGCGGGTTAAAGCTAGTACTTTAATAAGTAAAGTAATACTCACTCAACTAGGATTATCGAAAATGCAACGTTTTTTCAACAAATTGTAAACAAAACGACATGCGGTCTGGTCGGCGGCTCTTCAGCGAATATTTAAACAATAATAAACGCTGTTGATGCCAAGCAAACACACGACCAATGTAAAAACATGCAAAAACCTATTATTCCATCAAATTTAAACAAATCCAACGAATAAATATTCCCATATTCTCCTAATGTTTATTTTTAATTTTTTTTTAATAAAAATTAAAACCGCCTAAATTCAGAATTATCAGAGAGCAAACAGCCTCAATGTAAAACAAAACGTAATTAATTTACACATTAATTCCAGCGATAATGCTGGAACTGTTTGCATAATATTAACAATCACGCAGATAATGGACATTGATAACACAATAACATTCAACATACAACATTCGCACGTCATAAAATGGCGGACTGTCAACTACTGGCTATTCGGAGCATTTGGAGGGGGGGCTAGCGCTAGCGCATGCGCACTACATAATAATAAACGATTAAGAAGAGATAGATAGGAGCAACGAGTGCACAACACCTTGATGATCGGGGCGTTGCACTCCGGCGCCGAGACATTCGGCAGCGAGCCGCCGCGGAACGCGCCAAGCGCGCCGCCCGCCGCCAGCTGATTGTGATTTTTGACGCCCGCCTCCGGCGAGGCAGCCGCTGTCACCGACGCGGCCGGCTTGTCCGCTGCGTGCACCTGAAACGCGCGCAACCCAACATACACACTAAACACATTCAAAAATATATACCGCAACCAGTTATACACACACATATTACTTAATAAGTAATATTATTAATTTCTCCATTATCATCAAATGGAAAAAAACTGCACAGTATATACAGGGTGTTTGTGAGTGTTTTGGCGCGGTGATGACGCACGCCGCGCGTTGTTTTTGTCACTTTTTTTTCGGCGTGCGTTTTGTTCAATGACTTCAATAACCGCGTTTCGACATGTGATAACGCGGCGTGATAACGCCGAAAACCAAAGCGTGCGCGCGTAAATACCAAACAAACAACACAACACATTTTCCGCCGAATCAAACACATCAAACAATTCAATTCTCAATCGATACCAACCCGTAATTAAATAATTAATTAATTTTACTGTTAAAGAATGAAGATATTACACATTGTGTGAATGAATAAGTGTTGGTTTGTTATTGTTGTAAATATCAACGAAAATATTCGCAAGGTTAGTGTTTGGAAACACGTTGTTGTGTGTGCGTAGCGAGATTGCGACAAGTTATGCGCGGAAAGTCGGTGTTATCAGCGTTTAATCACCGATCGGCCCGTGGGCCGCAACAGGCGCGAAAATGTATAATTATTTGTATTTACGAGCGCAGTTTATGGCCAACCGAATTACTCTACGAATGCAAAATGCACCAGAGTTTTAAACACTTTAAAGTTTTGATAAGAAATTTATGTTTTTTTTGTGTTTGATTTCAATAACAAATTGAGTGCTACACAAGATATTACTGGGCAAAAATTAATTTTCGAGTAGTTTTTGATAATATCTTAAGAAATTTCATTGATTTAAATGAAAAACATTGAAAAACACGCAAAAATGCCAAATTTAGTGAAATTCAAAGAAATGACATGTGTAATATTGGTTGCCTACTTTATATCTGCTGTCAAACGATGAGTATTTGTAGTAGAGTCACGCGCAACATCCAAGAACATAACCAATGTCGATAAAGAAGATTTCTTTCCTATTTTGACGTTTTTTTGACATTTTAAGAGTTATTCTACGTTCTAATCAGTTATAAATTACTTAAAAGTAGCAAAACACCAAAATTCTCACAAAAAATACAAAAAACGCGTAAAATATTATTATTACAAGAATAAAATGTAAAAAAAATTGTTTTTTCTCATTTTTCTTGGGTTAATTACACAAATATCAACTTATTGCGCCTAAAACTTTCTCCCATATAATAAAAAACACGTAAATTATGCATAAATATCTATACTTTTCGATTAATCAATTCAATAAGCAAACAAAACAAAGAATTTTATCAATTCCAACGCCTACAACTGAAATTTAAGGTTATAAAAGCAGTCCGCATGAAATAAATAATATACAACTGCAATAAATGCAAATCTACCGCTAAAAAACTATTGATTAGAATGAATTTTCACGCTTTTACCTTGTGTATCGTGTCAAAACGCCGTTTCACTGGAAAACTCGCAGAAAATTTATGCGAATTTAATTATCTTATGCATGACACGCGAAAAAAGTAAACTAAAACGAAGTTAAAGCCGCGAACGCATTAGGAATATTGTCCTTTTACGACCCGCCTAGCGAAGACGTTAAATTTTACGCGTAAACAAATGAAAAATACGTGAAACAAAAAAAAATGCTATGCAAATCAACTAATTATGTGTAATTTTGCGTATTTCACTGCGCATTGGCTGGTAAACAAGTGTGTAAACAACTTTTGTTTCTAGTGTCTAAAAAGTAACCAAATCTGGTGACTTATTGATTCGATTGGTATCGATATCTTTTGTTTGTTTGTTTGTTTGATTCTTTGATGCACGCCACTTGAGCGATGATTTTGTAAATTTTGTAATCGTTTTGTAAACGAGTTTCTTACGCGACGGAACAAGTTAGTTGTTTTTGTAAATGACGGTAGTGTATAAACCTAAACTAGTGGTAGCCATGTTTTGTTTTTGTTTTGTTTTGTAAAATGAGTATAAAATTGTATATGCTAACCCTAGCGGTGGCGACGGACACCTCCTTCATGATCTGCTCGAAGCGCGCCGTCTCCTCGGCCTGCCGGTGCATGTGCAGCGAGATCTTCTCGCTGAACTTGCGCGGGTTCGCCATGTCGGCGGCGGCGCGCGCGCGTGTCTCGGCTTGGCGCGCTGACTCTGGCTGGGCACACACACGGGTTTATGCAACGACGACGCAGCGAGGGGGGGCTGGGGGGCAACTGCTCGCTGGCGCTCTCACTGCACCTGCACTCGCGGGCGCAAAACTGGCACACGGCGGCGGCCGAGACGCATGACGACGCCACCAGCCGCGACCACCGCGACGACGGCGAAGAGGGCGATGCAACACAATGCACACACAACTCACTCCTCACTGCGGTGACACGCGCGAAACCAACACGCAGCACACTTCAACGCTGCGTAAGTTAGTTGCAGCTCGACACTGTTGCTATACTAGTCCTGCTGCGACATCAACACCGTTGTGAGATGCTGCCACTTTCTGGCGCTTCTTGCTTTTGGTGAACCGAACACGCGCGACGTGCTGATGTGTGTACTGTGGTGTGTGTGGGTCACACTGCCCTGCTGCTTGTGCTCCTGCTGGCGCGCTGGCCTGCTGGCGGGCCGCGTGCGCGCGCATCAAGCAAACACAACACGAGACGCTTATCGCGCCCGCTCTCGGTGGTGTGCACTTATCAAAAAGGTCATGATGATGCAAAATGTGCACAAAATCGCATCCGAGCGTTTGCTTTCATTAACTACCAACTACTTTAACAACCGATTGCGAATGCATAAACAAGCGATTGCACTTTGATTGCAAAACATTATGACAAACAACAGAAACTTGGAAACTTCACCGCTAGATGGCGCAATGTGTACCAATATGTCAAAAATAACAAAATCATTTTCAATGAAAAAAACACTTAAAACTACTAAAAACTACTAAAAACAATCTAAAATTAACTAATATTTAACTAATTTTACTCTTAAACCAGCAATTTTAATTATTATTGCTTTCAAAACAAAACTAATAGATTCTTATACAAATAATTCTTCTTTCAAACATTTTTCACAAAGTGTACACAACTTGTACGAACTTTTATAACATTTGTATGAAATTAAGCAAATCAGTCATTCTCCGGAAACGAATCGGTAGGCCGGAAGTGGTTCAGCAAGTTGATAGTCCACTCGCCTTCCACACCCTTGGTGTACTCACGAATGAAGCGATAATTACAGATGGAGATACGTTTCTGGTACTCAGGCAACATTCCCATGTTTAATGGCGGCTCTTCACCACGTGCTCGCATCTGCGCAAGTCCACGCAGTGTGTGGAACACCATTGTTATCTCAACGAAACGTTTTTGATCATCGCCTTCATCGTCATCGTTGAACATTATCCCAATCTGAAAATATTAGAAAAAAATTACATTTTGAAGGAATTTATGCTAAAAAACATAAATTTTTGTTGAATTTATGCTGTTTATTGAGTTTAAAAGTGAAAAACTTGCCTGGTATGGAAAAGAAAAATAAATATCTTCTTTATTAATAGCAATAAGTTCCCTCTGCATCATGGACATGAGAGAAATCGAGTTTGCCAGTTTGGGAATAACATCACCTTCCACCAAACCTTCAAGTCCTTTAGTGTCACCTTGAGACAATCGACTAGAAACAACCTATAAACAACCTTATAAATCCACAATTCACCTAAAACCAACAAAAACTTACTTACTTCCAAAGCATGTTTCGCCCCGCCGACGAAATCCGGCAGATTGAAGTCTCTATCAAGGTAGGGACGGACAATAAACGTCGCAAGAATGAAATTCCTGATTGATTTTATCAGTGAAGGCCAAACTATTTCAGGAAACTGCATGAGTGCGGGCAGTTTCACGGCGGGTGGACCACTGCGATTGCCATCATCGCTTTGATTACTACAATATCTTCGTTGGGTCACATTGAATTTCGCTATTTGTGATGTGTATTTGTCGAAATTTCGATGGTGTTCTGGTTGCGTGGTTGAGGTTAGAAGTTGATTGGCGCAAGGGGCGCAGGCGTTACGAGCGTGCAGGATGTGCAGGTTTCTCGTCGTGGCACGCAGCGTATTCATCTTGGACGCATGAGAAAATTATGTAAACAATGATCGGAAAACTTTGGATTTTGTGAGGTTGTAAATTTTCACATTGCTTTCAAAATAAAATCGTATGCAGGACAAATTTCAAGGTCAACACATCAGATCATATAGATTACATTTAATAGGCAACCCGTGATACGATCCTGCAGGGTTTTGCATTTTGATTGTTATTTTCTGCATTTAATTTTTAATTTTTTTAAAACAAAATTTATTATTATTTTAATTAGCGCTATTGCTTTAATATGATTAAATGTATTTATTTTGTGTAGTTTTGTAAAAAATTATGTTATATGTTTAGTTTTAAGTTAGGCAACCCAAAATACATGCTTTGTTTTGCATTTTACTACGCTTCAAACAACTCAAACAAAAACATTTGTCAGTGATCGTCATTCGCCTGACCGCACGCCGTTCGAAGAAGCTCCCCAGCGTACACAAGGTTGATAATCAACGCATTCGTCCGTGTTGCGGCATAAAAATAGCGCTCATCGCAATAGTGTGCGTGTCTATTGCCGAACAGTGGGAGAGCGCTCTGCGGGCTTTACACGGCGCACTCGAAACTGCGCCGCTGTCGGCAGAGTTGGGCGAGCAAGCAAGCAGGACGAACCTAGGGCCCCTAGCGCAGCACAGCGTCGTGTATTCTCGTCAGATTGTGCGGATCGAAAAAGAACGCATTTAACGCGTACCGCGCGCGCGACGTAACGTGCAATGGCGTCACGTTCGTAGTCACTCGTCTCCTCGGCTGAGGTCTCACCTTTCCAGAAGCCACACGACGCGTAATCGCTTCCTCGTTCGCAGTGAATCAGCAGACACAGACATCAGTGCTCGAACAAAGGACAAAGAAATATCTTGCATCGCGAACAACCACACAGGATAATATTTCGTGTTTGTTTGCTGTGTGTTGATTCAAAAACAAAAGACACTCACGGATTACACCACTCTGAAGATGGCGTCGAGAGGCAACAGTAGTGCGCTGCGTGCGCTCGCCGTTGAGTATAAATCACTGCAAGAGGAACCCGTCGAAGGTTTCTGCGTGAAACTCGTGAATGATGAGAACCTCTTCGAGTGGGAAGTCGCTATCTTCGGCCCTCCGGACACACTTTACATGGGTGGCTGCTTCAAGGTAAAATTCACAATAACAGCTGATTTGTCGAAACGCGCTGCAGGGGCATTGACTGCCCGGACGCCATTTGCAAAACCACAAAGAAATAACAAAAATTTTTTGTTTGTTTTTGTTACTAACCGCAGTATAAGTGGGTGTTTAGCTTGCAACTTGATTCAATCTATAAATAATTAACTCCAGCAAGAATATTTTATGTTATTTTAAGTTATGCGCGTGTTGTGAGTCAGTTATTCCTAGTCTTTTGTTTAATTACACTCGAAACTAGTTGGGATTGTTTACAAAATGGCCGCTTGCGTATGTTTTGTAGAGTTGAGTGTAAAACGTGTTTTGTTTTATTTATAGCTGCGATTTTCGGTGCGTTTCATTGACTTTATTTGCGTTTCTAGGTTAAGTGCAGTCTGCACAACGTGTCGCGAGTTCAACCGTTATTTTCGACTTTCTTTGTCGCATCAAACAATGGCTGAGCGTTGTTTTGTGATGTGTTTATACTTGTTTTTCGCGGATTTTGTTTATTTACAGATTCACGCAGCATCTTGGTTGGATTTCGGCTAGGCGTTCGTTGGTTTTTCTAATTTGCGTATATTTTTAGGTTTTGCGCGGTGCGCTGCGCGCTGCTTTCGAAAAGTTTCCAGAAGTCGAACGCACGAGCGATAGTTGTATATAATTATGAACGAAGTTCAATCAACGGGAAATCTAATGATTCACTAGGTTTTGCTGTTTTTGCTGTATTTTGGTAGTAAAACTTATTTTACCTGCGAAAAATTAATGAAAAAATTAAATTTTGTTGATTTCTTGAAAAGTTTCAGTAGATTTTGTACAAAAAGTTAAATTTACATAAGAAAATGATGTTTTTCTTTGTATTTTATGCATTTTCTAGTCAAAATTCATTAAAATCCTTTCAAAAATGCAAAATTTTATGGAAAAATAGATGAAATTACAAGAAATAACCGTAATAAACACATGTTTAACAAATTATATGTGAAATATTATTAATTTATTGCATTTTTCCCTTTAAAAGTAGCCTATTTCTTTCTCCAAAGTCTAAAATGTTTCTATACAAAAATTTATCAAAATCGGTTGAATGGTTTTTGTGTAAAAGAGTAACAAACATACATTCATTCGAATTTTTAACATTACTCAGGCGTGCTTAGTTTATTTCTCGTAAATTTTACGTTATTGTGTTATAAAGAGGCTAAAATGTTCATTTTATTAACATTTTTTGTCTTTTCTAAGATTTTAATTAAAATTTTCGTCAATAAATAAAGAATAAATTAATATCCGCCATTTTTAAAGGTTATTCTACTTTTATTCGGCTTTAATTGTCCATAAACGTGGACGAAATTAAATTTCAACGGGAAGCCTTATGATTCAACGTAAATATTTGTATAATCAAACATTCTGTTATCAACTTGTCGATGTTTTCGGATGATTGCGATAAGAACACGTTGAACCAATTGCCCAATCCACGTGTTTGTCTCTTGTACGCAACATCCCTACTAATATTATAAATGCGAAAGTTCTGATGTTTGTTACACTTTCACGCAAAAACTACTTAACCGATCATCGAGAAAATTTGTACACATATTCTTGGTGGTCCCCGAATGGTTATAGGCTACTTTTTATTTAATAAAAACAATTATTTTTGAAATAAAATAAAGAAATTGTTTAGCCAATAATACCTCTGCATCTGGCTATTTGACAACTTTAACGCCATCTAGCATTCCAGCAATGAAGCTCAAACCTAAGTACTATAGTACCATCACACTGTATTACCGACAGCTACGTCAACATCAAATCCAATTGACTACACTATGGAGACTGTACACTATACTTCCATAGACTATACTTTCAGCCATTTTAAACTTCCCGCCATTCTACTTCATTGTTACTTCTTCTGTGACTACAGACGCGTACGGAAGCAACTTCATTATTTTAGATAATTTCGACCTTGGTCTGCATGATTTATATTTATTTTCGATTAATTCATCTAATTTCGCAAAATATTTGAAATTGTTGCAGGCTCGCATGAAATTCCCACAGGATTATCCCTACTCGCCGCCGACGATTCGATTCCTCACCAAAGTCTGGCATCCGAACGTCTATGAGGTGAGTACTGCGTGTTTAATAATAGTTTTATTGGTGATTTGGTAAAGAAACGTGACCGTGAGTGGCGGTGGTTGGTGGTCACATGCAAGGACACTTCTTGTCGCCGCGCGCGGTTGTGAATTATTTCTGAAATTATTCAGAATTCGTATCGATTTGTAATCAACGAATCATATCGGAGGAACACGCACACTGCACGCTGTACGCTGTCGTCCCCCCTGACGACTCCGACTGTTATTATTTTAGTGACGCATGAATCTCTAATTTGCTTCGACGGCATAATAAATCAACTTTGTGTAAATAGCGCAATCATAATCATTGCAGTCGGAGAGTTTCTCGCAGTATTAGGATGGGTATTCATCTGCTTCTTCAGGAAAACATGTTATGTGACTTAAATCAGCGTTGATTTTAGTATTTTCTTGGTTTTTACGATGAATTATGTGCAAAAATATTTTTAATTTTGATTTATAGAAGTTAGAAATGATAATAATGTACTTTTACGCCATCTATATTTGATTTATGTAATTATAACTACGATTTAATCTCAAAAACAACTTTGATTGTTTATTTAACACCCTGTATGGTACTTTTTTGGTACAAAATGTAGTCTATGTTATTCTTTAAGATCTAAACTATCTCTATATAAAAATTTATCAAAATTACTCGAATAGTTTTTCTGTTAAAGAGTAACAAACATACTTTAATTAGAATTTATATAAATTCGCAGGTTTGTACGTTTAATTATCGTATATTTTATACATTTTACGTTCAATTTGAGTCATCAAAGGTAAAATGAAGCAGTTGGGTTGTGTTCCAGTCGAATGAATGGAGTGTGATTACACGATCGGTGGCGGCGCGTGTTCGCGAAGGCGGTTCACGTGTTTCGGTGGAGTTTTGAGGCGGTTGCTGTCAAGTTCACCCGGGTGACTTGGGTGTACGCACGGGGCAAGGTCACCTTTATAATACTTTGATATTAAAACGAGTCAACTATTCTAACCATTCAAACAATTTATTAATTACTGTAATCGATTTATCAATTATGAAATTTTAGAAAAATATACTCGCGTGATATTTGTTTGTGGTAATAGTGACACGCGTCAATTGAAGTTGTGTCAAAGGACACAGGTACTTCATGATAAGATTAGTTGCAGTATTGTTTAATTAATTTTCTAGTGCATACTTATAGTTGTTAATTATTGATTATGATTTTCGCGCACACCTCAACAAGATAAGCCATAAGATTTTTTGAACTGACCTTGACAATGTCATTGATAGTTCTATATAATGGTACTCATCAATATGTTTGTATCAATAAAATATTAGGTAATATGAATAGAAAAACAAAAATCAATAACAAATTATAAACCTACTAGCTCTAACCCGCGGCTTCGTTCGCGAATATCTAAAATATTGCAGTTGCTTCCGTACGTGTCTGTAGTCACAGAAGAAGTAACAATGAAGTAGAATGGCGGGAAGTTTAAAATGGCTGAAAGTATAGTCTATGGAAGTATAGTGTACAGTCTCCATAGTGTAGTCAATTGGATTTGATGTTGACGTAGCTGTCGGTAATACAGTGTGATAATACAGTGTGATGGTACTATAGTACTTAGGTTTGAGCTTCATTGCTGGAATGCTAGATGGCGTTAAAGTAGTCAAATAGCCAGATGCAGAGGTATTATTGGCTAAGCAATTTCTTTATTTTATTTCAAAAATAATTTTTTTTATTAAATAAAAAGTAGCCTATAACCATTCGGGGACCACTAAGAATATGTGTACAAATTTTCATGATGATCGGTTAAGTAGTTTTTGCGTGAAAGTGTAACAAACATCAGGACATACGCATTTATAATATTAGTAAGGATGAAAATATGTTACTGCACTGTGTCTGTGAAGTGAATTGTGTAATTATAGCATTGAAGTTAATGTAATTGACTTTTTATGCGGACTATTTTGCAATTAGTAACAATGTGACTGGTTTTTATCATCACCTGCATTGTCGTTGGAAAACACATGCGCGTAGTAATTATCTAGAAGAAATGCGCGGCTTTCTTTCCATGTATAAATTCCCTCAATGCCATTTGCAATGTCACTTAGGCAATTTATTCTTTTCAAATACAAATACTGATTGCAATTACTAGTAGATATTTAAATTATTGTTGTTTTTGTTTGCTGCTGATGCATTGGTTTCTCTTTCGCGTGTATGTATTTTGTATCTAGGTATCTACGGGAGCAAAGACAATGATTAACAAAAGACGTGCGTTATTGTGCTCACGACAATATTGTGTGTATTGTCTGTGTAGTTGCGAAATTGCTTTCAATAGTTGCGCCAGTTGTGTGCTGGTCGGAGCGACAAAACGCTGTTAATTAGAAGTAGAACACTCGCAACGAAACAAAACACAACACAAATCGAACTCAATTTAGTGTAAATAGGAATGAAGACATTTAAATAAAAGCAGCATGCATTTTATCAGGTTATACAGGGTGTTCTTACATCTAAGAACAAGAAAATAACCAAATATCTGTTTAATTTTTGTTGCGCTGGTTATAAACTCAATTACTTTTGTAAATATGCCAGTAAATATTTCCTGAAGTCTAAATATGAATTCCGCGTCGCTTATTTGTATTCACTTGTGTTATGTTTAAATAATTTTGTTGTAACTGCATGTGAACCCCAAGAAATTAGCTGAAAAATCGTGCTTAAGTTATAGAATTTAGCATTGCAATTTGTAGGAATGTTGTGATCATAATTACAACAATATTTCAAATGTTACCATCGATGCCATGTCTTTGAAAAAATATTCTAGCTCATAATTGCTCGAAATTAAAATATTTTTCATTGTTACACAGAATCTATATATATATAAAAATGAATTGCTGTTCGTTAGTCTCGCTAAAACTCGAGAACGGCTGAACGGATTTATCTTATCTTGGTCTTGAATTATCCGTGGAGGTCTAGGGAAGGTTTAAATTGTGAGAAAAATTCGAATAATTGCCGGGAAAATCCTCAAAACAGCTCTTTTCTATAGAATAAAATTTGACATTGAGATTCAATCATAGTTATAGTTAAATAGTGGAATTCGAGATGGCGCGCTGAAGTGCATTATTGACAAAACTTTATATGCATAATTTCTTTAAATTAAAATTGCTAATCTTATTGATAGAATTGACTCTTACTACGAGTATGTCTAGAACAAGAGAGTAAAAACGAATTACATTTTTATTAAACACAGCCGGAACGAAGTCGCGGGCAACAGCTAGTATTTTAATATAAATCAACAAAATAGTTCAAATTTCAACATTTTATTAAGTTTCCTCCTTTAATAAAAGCTAAAATGTACTCAAAACTTAAACCATTGCAATGAAACGTTCCTTACATGACTAATTCCCGATTGTTTGCATTGAGAAAGTGTCAAAAATGCAATTAATCTGTGTAAAATTGTAATGTCGGGCTTTTGTTTCGGAGTTTATGCGGAATTCCATGTCGAAAACGTATCGGTCTATTGTAATGCAAACAATAGGCGAATGTGAGGCGTAAAATTTGGATTCGGTTCAATTTGGGACAGCCACAGTCGAAAGTTAGTATTAAAGATGCAGCAACAATGCGAGACAATCAAACCCACACAATAAGTTTATATCTGGAATAATATTGTAAGTTAAATGTATGCAGAATGTGGTTTTACGTAATTAATGTGCTGATTATTTAATATTCCATTGTCGGCGCGTTGGATAAAAAGTAAAAGTTATGGAAACACAAACTTTGACAATGAAATAAACATTTTATAATTATAGAAATAAATGTTTAAGTAAAGTTTTAAAAGATATAATATTTTTTATGTTTATGTTTTGAAATTGCCGAATAATATTTAATATTTACACATTTTTTAAATTTTTCATAAAATGTTTGAATTATTGGTTGAAATTTTAACTTTTTAAAGAAAAAAAAAAGGAATTAACAGTATTTTGAGCAAGAGAAATATTTTCAAGTAAAATAATTAACGTAACGATAACTTGAGTGGAAAAATCAATTATTTTCTCATTTGTTACACGAAATTAAAGGTAATTACTGAAGGAAGCAATTTGTTTTTAATATTTTTCAATTTTCTGCTCAAAATTAACAATATTTTACGTTTAACATATTTGTTTAAAATTTAATACCTCATTTATTTCATAATAACTCGTAAATAATGCCTAACTTTCTACAGATTCCTTATTTTATTGATTTTGATCATTTTTTAAGTAGATTTTAATGATAAATTTAAAAAACAATCAAAAATGATTATTTTTTATCATGTAAAGATGAAGTTGTCTCACCTACATAATATATTATCTTATTCCTCTGATTAAATCCAATTTAAATGTAGTAATGGATTTTTTCTACTTTTTTAAAATTATTTATTGCATTACGTTGTATGCTTTATGCTTTGTTATTGTTATTATTACGTATTGGAACTAAAACCGATACAAATACACAAAGAATGAGTAAAGTGTGGAAACTGTTGAAGTTTATAACAAGTTGAAGTATATAATAAAGACCAACAAGAAACACGAAGTTCATGCTTTGTGCACCTCGGCGCTCATGGAGCTCAAAGGCAGCTTGAAAGAGATTCAAGAAATTCGAGTTGAACCGAGAGAAGTGAAGAATAAGAATAAGAATAGGAAAAGCAACAGCAAAAAACACGCTTTCTAAATAGTGAAATCGTACGATATCCCACCGCCACACGCTAGGAAACTGAAGTTGAAACCTAACTTTAAACGGTTCAAATGTTTCGATTTAGTAAGAAATTCTATGATTTGGAAATATAGATGGCGCTCTTATTTAAATTTCAATTTAAATGAAATCAATAGTTAAGCGTTTAATATGACTTTCTATAAGGAAGCTTAAGGCGATTAATTTCGAAGGATTAAATATAAAAACTAATTAATTAATTAATGCGGATTGCTGCGAAGTGAAGTGAATTTCGATTTCGTTCGGTTTGCAGAACCAGAAACGTCTCGATTCACTGAATTGGCGTCATGCAATCATAATAAAATATAATAATATAAATGCGTTTGTTTGTGACGCTGTAACTCAAAAACCACTCAACCAATTTTGATAAATTTTGGTTTTGATATAATTTAAACCTTGTAGAATAACATAGGCTACTTTTTATTGCCAAAATATAACTTGAAGGGTGTGGAAATTAGTTTGCAAGTTTATGCAATGAAAAAAATTGAAAATAATTACAAAACAGCGCATAAAACTAATGTATTGCTGTAGTAATAGAATGTAATTGTATGAATGTACATATCATACGTACAAGGAAGGCAAAGAAGGCAAAGACCACGAAGGAAGTAGTCTTAAGCCTTGCAACGTGCCGTGTTGTTGAACGAGTTTGTCGATACATAGCGCGGCTTCACAAAGCACAAAGCAGACCAACCGCACCGAGAGTTCGAGCGCTGCGGCCTGGTCCCAAGGTTGTTCCGTCTTTTTCGAAATGTATAGCGCTATACACACGTGTTTTACGTAAGTAAGTACCTGGGAGTACGTTGTGTACTTGCAGGTATTTACACTTGTTAGTTCTTACTTTTTAATAAAATTATAGTAGGTGTCAATGACTGCTAAAATATAAATTTTGATTTTAATAAATGTTTTGGTAATCTGCAAGTTTGCATCTATCGATGTGCTAGCAGGGCGCAGGTCCAGGCGACGCTTGCAAGGGAAGTTTTGTCCTCGTCCCGTTGACCTGATTTTCACGCAGAGGAAATTTCGCTTTCCGCGTTCCAAGGGCCTTTAAACTTATACAGCGCTAGAAATTTACCAATATTTTATATAATAATGCAGAATATGGTTTGGTATGCGATTGTTTTTAAGTATTTTTACAAGAAAACACCAAAAATGATCACAAACACATGAAAACGCATAGAAAAACGTTTTTATCACTCTGTATACTCGAAAATATATACAATACCGATGAAGTATATTATTCTCATACTCATATTCTCGTTGGTAAATTTAGAATCGAGTAGAAAGTCCAAAAACACCGTGTGACTATGACTCGAGTGATGTAAGCACCCATTTTTAATTAATTGCACAATTTATCGCAATTTTTAATGAATCGCTGTGGTATTTTGTGTAAATTAGGGCAGTGAAACCTTAAAATGTCACCAAATAACCTTTTCTTACTCTTACCCACCAGGATAGTGATTTTTGTGTTTTAATTTTTAGAATGGCGACTTGTGTATCAGCATTCTCCATCCGCCCGTCGACGATCCCCAAAGCGGCGAACTGCCCTGCGAGCGATGGAATCCCACGCAGAACGTGCGCACCATCCTGCTCAGCGTCATCTCGCTGCTCAATGAGCCGAACACCTTCTCACCGGCGAACGTTGATGCCTCCGTCATGTATCGCCGCTGGCGGGAGTCGAAGGGCAGCGATAAGGAATATGAAAACATTATTAGGTGCGCATAATATTATAAAACATTATTTTTTCAATTTCCACTGTTTTCCACGCTTTTGTAGTGCGCGAACAAATTTCGAAATTTTAGAAAGAAAAAGTTGAAATACAAAAACAAAACGTGGATATAAAGTGGAAGTAGAAAAATAAACGTTGTTAAAGTGCCACTTAGTGCACTAGAGCATTAATATACTGATAATTTTTAAATTTTAGGAAACAAGCAACTGCCGCACGAGCCGAAGCCGAGCGAGATGGTATACAAGTCCCGCTGACACTTGAAGACTACTGTATCAAGACGCAGGTGAAGCCAAACACGTCCGATTCACAAGTTGAAATGACAGATTTTTATGACGACGACTACGATGAGGAATACGATGACCCATCGGACGGGTCCGACTACGAAGAAGATGACAACGACAGCGGTAACGGCGAGTCATGATCGAGCTAAGACGCCTTTTTGTCGCCATCGTCACCGCCACACTCACATGAGACCAGTTGTTGCCACGTTACTTCTTCTGACGTTTTGATTTTCTTCAATTTTTCTGTGTTTTGTTTATTTCTTCTTTGACTTTGAAACTGATGCAAATTTCGATTTACAAAATGGCCGGCGGTGGTCGTGGCTGTCGTTCTTTAAGTTTCGATCGTGTGACGCTACGGATGAGGAAATCTTTACTGAAAACAATTCGTATAAACACTGTGATTATATATATTCTATCTTAACTAATTAATCTGTATCTAGCACATATGGATGCGCGACTACAACCGAAAAACAAACCAAAAATATTTTTCTCACTCTCCTGGACGAACTCTGAGAAGTGTTTCATTTGCGCGCAGCTTGTTTCATGAGTTTTGATGAGGATAAAAATAGCAATCGCGAAACGCTTCACTCTTTTTGGATTTTTTTTTTTTAATGTCGACAGACACACTTGTACATAGTTAACCCCTGTAACGATAGTTTCCTTATTTAATTAATTGATTACATGTGTGCGTACCGCTGCTCTAGGTCGCTATTTGACGATTCGTATTACTTACAATTTGTATGCCCAGCTGCGTACGTGTGTTGTGTTTTGGATGTGATCGGTTCTTAATCGATGTTGCCTGCCACAACTGGCCGGCCGCGATGCATATTCGATAATCGATAAACGTGTTGATTACACTCTAGGTGCAGAACTGTAGTGATACATTGCGAATTGACATTTGCGGACGTGGACGTCGAGCAAAACTGGTGCAAACAATTTAAGCGTTGTGTGGAGAAATAAAATTATATTAAAAATTACAGACAAATACAGATAATTTTAAGTAGTACTTGCTGGGGCTTTTATTTTACTTATTTAACGTATGTATTACCCATTATACCACCCCCTGAATATTAAAAAAGGCAGAAAATGCATAGATAACAATATGGAAGTTATTATTCTTCTTTAAAAACATTTAATAACTGCAAAACAAAGATTACCTTCAAAAATGCCTCAAAATTGAACCTTCCAGATGCCCCACACTACTTCAGGAATGTTTCTGTTTTCTCAACTATTCGTAACTACATGTTTTTTACGAATAAACTAGAAAAATGTAAAAAATTAAATTCGAATCACCAAAGAGGCAGCCATCTTGTTAGACCTGCGCTGATTGGTTGTTGTCTGCGACTGCAGCGCCACCACCGACGCGTTTTTAAAAACTTAACGGTCCGCAAGTGTGGCAGTTGGCGCCAACAACTTGTCATCTAAAGGTTAAAATTTGCTTATATTTTTTATTCGTACGTGATTTCAAGTGAATTAACAGCAATAATGGTTCGTCCAAAGAAAACAACGCGTGAACGTACACGCATTGTGCATCCGTAAGAAAATATATACTTTATTTAAACCTTCTAATATTTTATTTTGATTTAAATGTGTAATCAGGAATGTACTTATTAACTTGGCAAGAGAAGGTAGACTATCAATCAGTTCAGCGGGTTTGACCTCATCAGACGAAGAAAATACAGTTAAACGCATTAAGAAACAACACAAAAAGACACCGGTTAGTGAGAGTGAGGTATGTTTTATATTACAACGAATAAACAAACTTTAAATCCTTTTTTAATTAATAAAGCCAAAATCTACACCGGAGCAGATTCCACAGATTCCAGCCAGCACACCGTTTCATGCGGTGAGAAAATCACAATTAGAATGGAATATGTCAAATATTGAACCTGAAAATAATGAAATCATTGATAAACCAAAAGAATCAGCTCCAGTTAGGGCAGGATCTGAAATAAAAGTACTTAGTAATATTACAGTGAAGAAACCAGATCAAAACAAACGTAAAAAGTCGTTAAAATCTTCAAAAGCCACAAAAAAATCAGAAAAACAAAGTGCAAATCATGCTAATACTCCAGAAGTTATTAAGAATCCTTTAATTGTGTCTCAATCTAATATAAACACATATAACAGTAATAAATCAAGACATAGAAGAATATCAAATGTGGCCAATGAGAAATCTGAAAAAATCAATGCGAAAATTCCGAAAAAACACCAATAGTTGATGCTGATATTCACGAACGTCTAAAACGTCTAGAAAAAAAGTTGAGTAAAATTGAAAGACAGCCACGTCGCAAATCGAAAGCATCAAGAGCACCAATCGATGATTTTGATGTGTATGATTACCAACCACCTGCGACAGTAGAAATATCAAATACACCACAAGTTATTAATAATATTCATAAACCATTAGACACATCTTGGAATAGAAAAGTGCAATCACTGCTTGGAGACATGGAAGTGGAGGAGGTTGTTACCAATTCAGTGAAGCACAAAATGCCTATAATAGGTTTGTCTGAAAACAAAATGGACGTTGATGTGAATAATAAATCTCCATTGAAAGTTACCACAACTGAAACAAAAGAAAATGAAAAATCTCGGAAGAGTACAGGTCGTGTATTGTTTCCTGTGAATAGTAATACATCTGTATCAGGGAAGAAGCGGGAACCATTGATGTTTTTGCAGGATATTCTCAATCAAGCTGAGAGACCAACTCCTGTGCCTGCACCACGCAAGCTTTTATCCAAAAAGAGTTGTAATATTCTTCAAGTTGAAGATAAAGTGGTTGTTCCTGTGGAAATTGAAGAGGATAGGCAACCAGACTTACATGTGCAGGAAAAACCTGAGGAGATAATTAATAATGAGATTCCTGCATCGCCACGGATACAAGAAGTATCTATTCCTAAAGTTTCTAGTAGAAGAACAAGGAGTACTAGATTATCTAGTGCAAAATCCACTACAGCAAATGTAAAAACTAGAAATTCTGTTAATAAATCTAAACCAGCAGAAAATTTGGATGTAGTAGAGGTGCAGGTGGAAACTATTCTTCAACCTGCTGTTGAATTACAGGATCAAGTTGAAGCTGTTGAAGAACCAGTTGATGATAATAATGTTGAGGCAATTCCCGAGGTTGAAGCAGTTATACCACCAAGCAAACAGAAAAAAAAGCCAAAAGTTGCAAAACAAAATAAAGAAACGAAAAAACCTGTCAAAAGAAAGTCACCTGATGCATCACAATCCGAATCTTCTAAAAAGAAAGCTGAATCCACTAAAAATTCATTTTATATCTCAACAATAACCAATATACAACCAAGTAAGTTAAACTTTTGTACACAAAACATAATTTCTTATTGTTTATTGCTTATTTTACAGGAGTTGTGGGAACAAGTCGCTATGGCCGAACATTAAAATCTTGTAATCTTGTAATCCCCGAGTTTATAGACTACCAAATACTCAAACCACAAAAGGCAAAGAAAGAGAAGAAAAACGCGAACGAAAAAATAAAATCCCGGAAGAAGAAGCACCTGCAGTAAATAAATCCATAGTAATACCGCCAGTACCATCTGTAAATACACCACAAAAGGAAAATTCATCCGAAATGACCAAACTTTTCTTAGAATTCAGTGATTACGTTGAAGTAGAAAAGAATAACGATTTTTCTCTATCAATCGGAGAACATTTCAACCACGTACACAGCAGCATCCTTCGGATATATCCTGGTGGGAGTTTTATAGAAACAAATAATTATGTTACTCGGGTAAGTATTAATAAATAAATAAATAAATAAATAACTAAATAAAATTGAAATTATGACAGTTGAAGCAATAACTTCGTCTTGAATGCTTATAGATGGCGCTGGTGATTGCTGGCGAAGGTGAATTCACTCAAGAAGACATCACCGTTCCAGTACAGAAAATGGAATCAACTTTTATACTCAAACAAAGTAAACAAACTTTACATTTAATGCAATTAATCTTTTGTTATTACTTTTTATCCAATGATTTCTTTCAGATTGTTTAACAAAACTACGGAATACCCACCACAAAAACAATTTGGAGGTATACCTTGTCCAAGTCCTGGAAACGAACCATTTGCCACGCACGCATGCAAACATTCAGGACACCATTCAATACGTTGCCTTCAATCGATAATCAACCGTCACACGTGCGCGCTCTCAGCCGTTTACCGCTCATTTTGTTTTCTATCACCGATGTATTATTATTATTACTAGTACTTTAAGCGATTGCATGTGGGCAGTACGCGCCTGACAATCTAAGGGTACTGAACGTCTGAAACTATTCACCCCGATTGTTTTATTTGTGTTTAAAGAAATAATTAAAGTTTTATATTCGCGGAGTTTAAAACACAAATGGCGCTGACATAGATCTATGACGTCCGTGGTGGGATGAGATAAGGACGTGCGCCGATTATCGCGTTATCAGCGTCGGTAGCGAACAATGTGATCTTACACGAGTCGACAGATAGACTCTGCGCTTGCATAACGAACGTTGAATTGAATTCGATCGATCGATTTCGCGTGTGTGCATCCAAGATGGTGGCTGGTGGTGAGCGGCGTGTGAGTGCTGCGTGAGTTGTATGCGCGGTGTCTCGTGAGATCTTTGATTTTGTGAACGCGACGTCGGCGCCGCCGCCGCGCTACCGCCGACGGAATACCTGGTCGACGTCGGATCACAACGAGGTGTCGCCGCTCGCGAACTATCACTTGCCGAGGCGTAGTTTGTTCTGTACCAGCGACTTTGATGATTACGATCGATTTGTAAGTGATGCGAAATCTACAATTGATTTTCTTGATTCTGTATTATTTATTCGTCTAATTGTGTTGTATATATGTATTAATGCGTAATTTTTTATCTTTTTTGTTACAAATAATTGTGAAGAGTTATATTTTATTCTGTAAACAATTTTCGAGTAAATTTTTGTAAAGTATTGTGTAGTAAGGTGAATGACTCACAGATGGCGCTGCATGTACGAAAACTAAAATTTAATTCCCCTGTTTGCTCGCAGCAGCAATAATCGAAGCGATGATAATCATATAGGTAGCATATTTGTAAATATTTTTAAGTAGAATTTTGTAGTGAGGTGAATAACTCACAGATGGCGCTGCATGTACGAAAACTAAAATTTAATTCCCTGTTTGCTCGCAGCAGGAGTAAACGAAGCGATTGTAATCATATGGGTAGCGCCGCCGTCACCTGTCAATCCGTGTCATTCGCGTAGGTCAGTCCGTCGCCGATTTTTTTTTGTGTTTTCCGTGCGTTTTACGTGTGCGCCCGCTGATTATGCAGCGCTGATACACTTAATACTCAGCCCTCAGGTTGTGTGCGAATGAGTGTTGCGTATCTTGTGCAGTTTTTTTGCTCGCCGCGCTCGATTTAATTATCGCCAAGTGGGCCACACGGTAATCTCGGGGGCGGTCGAAGCTGCCACCCGTTTGTAAGCAAGAGCAAAGTGTGCACTACCCCACCGGAGGATTCTACATGAGTGGACGTCGATCCTCATCGCCGTCATTCACACCGAGCGCAGCGCAAACCAGCAATAAATGGAAGCGGAAAACATTTACGGATACAATCCGTCGATAGCCTTCGGTTTCGTGAGTTTCAAAAACACATTCATTGCAACTTGTCTCTATCGGTTGTTATTAACTAGTATAAATGTATAAGTTGGATGCGTTTTTCATTTGTTTCACCGGAAACAATCGAATATGGCTGCACAAACGGATTGAAACAAAACACTGTCGTCACGTTTGTTGCGTTCAATGTCATCGGAATTAGCATCATTTGCGTGTCGCGATTATCGCCTTCGAAAAACGCGACGAAAAACCAGCGAAACGCGATCGATTTCGATGCTAACAACAAATGTTAACCTAAAATGGCGACAACCCAACGAAAACAAATGACAAACGCCAAACAAAAGAATATCACGTGGATAGAGGATCAAATCATTCTAGTTTTGTTTTCGTCGATTGTTTTATCGGAAACCGTCGACGAACGTTGAACCTGCAACATTTTCATGCGTTTGCGCAACCAGCTCGACAAATAACACGTTTATCTCGGCGCAGGTCTTGTGTTTTTGTTACACTGACAGGTCAAACCACCTTTGATGTTAAATATTTTGATATTTTGCATGTTATTCGCGTAAATATTATTCATTTTCATCATTATTTCACAGAATGATGAACCCATTAGTAAACTACGACTCAAAGTCATCCGTGGTCAGCAGTTGGCGAAAAAAGATATTTTTGGTGCTAGGTGAGTGAAATTTTGCATTTTTTTTTTTGGTTATTTTACTAATAATTGATTTGTTTTAGTGATCCGTATGTTCGGATTGATTTGAACAATGTTAGCAATGAAACCGTCGACTCGGTGCTCACGAAAACGAAGAAAAAGACGTTGAATCCCAAGTGGAATGAGGAATTTATATTTAGCGTAAGTGTACATAACCTATATTGCGTGTATGTTGGGTTGCCTAACTTGAAAATTATTTTCGGTAGGTAAAACCAACGGAGCATAAGTTATTACTGCAAGTTTTCGACGAGAATCGCCTCACTCGCGATGATTTCCTCGGCATGGTTGAACTCCCACTCTCAACGCTGCCGCAGGAACAGGACGGCAGGACGATCAATCCGGTTAAGTACATCCTACGCCCTCGGAGGTAAGCATTCGCAACGCGTGTTCATGTCATAAGCGCACCCTAGTCACCTAGTCACACCAAACTCGGCATGGCTTTCATTACTTTCGGCTGCGAATGAATAAAAAACACACCACATGTGTGTTGGTGGCACACAAGTTTTTATCTAACAATTATGTTTATGCTTGAAGCGCGATGTGTTTAAACGCTCTTGACGACACTCGCGACGCGGCGTGTTGTGGGAAATGTGGAAAATGTGGAAATTATCGATTTGCGCTCGGCGTCGATCACAACATCACAATAAATAATGAAATATTGCATCGGTGTTTTACGCGTCGCGGGTGGGAAAGGGTAAAGGTAATGTCTTTTAATGTCCACGCGTATTGTTTTAGTCGGTCGTGTGTTTCCGACTCGTACGGTTCGTGAGTTACAAGTACTTTTAGTTTCATTTCTCTAATCACACCTAAAATTATACACATATACACGATACAAACACTCAACTCATCTATGCCACGCATAGCTAACCTCAATCATAACCTAAAACGCACGCCGCCATTTTGTCTATTATATGTGGCTGTGTGTCTCCTGCCTATCTCGATCTCTCACCCCGGAGGATTTTTATAACTTGCGGCAAAGATTCGGTTGAGTGTTGCATGCTTAATGCGTACCATAGCGGTACTGTACGCAGCGGTTACAGCGCCAGGTCGAGGGTGCGCGGCACGCTGGAGATTTACCACGCGTACCTGAAGGACAACCCGCCACCGGTGCAGCCACAAGCGTCGACGGAAAGCGCCGACTCAGCGGCGGGCGCTGCGGGCAGTGGTGAACCCGACTGGGAGATTGTCGACGGCGGAGGCGGCGGTGGTGGTGGAGGGGCTGTAGGCGTGGACGTGGATTCAGGTATTCCATTGCCCGCTGGTTGGGAGGAGCGGCAGGACGCCAACGGGCGCACGTACTATGTGAATCATAATGCGCGCACCACGCATTGGGAACGACCGACCTTCAAGTTAGTAATTTGAGTGTTGCAACGAAATGTTTTAAACTTGGGTATTTTTAGTGGGAATGTTGCCGACAATCAGGAACAGCAGCAGCAGCAGCGCGTAGACGAGACGGCACAGTTTGATCGGCGTTTTCATATTAGCGCCGATGAGGAGCAGCCGAGGCCTACGAGCGATTCTTCAAACAACACCAGTCAGGTACATAATTGAATATTAAGCATCAAATGCGCATGCGCAGACTTCTCCTGTGAGTAAAACAGTATTTTAGTCACAACTTTGGCCACTTTTTGTGGTTTAAAAACTGTGAAAATAGAAAATAGGTTAAAAGTGAGGTTAAAACAAGAGCATTTCTATCAATTCGACTTTCTAGGTTAATATTTTTATCTTTTTCATCAAAGTTTCAACTTGAAACATTTCTGCCTTGTAATTAATTCATTTACCTTGTGCATTATTAATCACAATGCATTACATTGGATATCAAATATCAATCCGCCGGAATCCGAATTAGTATTATCGTTTTCCTATAATCACGATCATTAGGCCTCTGGGTAATTTGATTAAAGCCGGTGTTCTTCATGTGAAAACAATAGGCGCCATTAATTATGCATTAATCATCATTCGTTGTGTCCCACGTGTTTTTGTGTTCTCTGTTGATGTTGTATTGATATTTTAAAGATTTTCGCCTCGGCCATTTGTTTGTTATTGTTACATTTTGTAACGTTTATTTTATTTCGTTTTTTCTATTCCACTCGTTTCATTGATTTCTCATTTGTGTGTGGCTCCCGTGTGTTGTTTGTGGTCTTATCTTCTCGAAATCATAATGTGCGCCGTGAGTGTGAATATTTCATGACCGATGATACTTTGTGCATGATAACGGATTAGCATTATAATTGCCCGTCTTTGTGTCATCAAGGCGACGAGCCCGCGCAACAAGCAGTCGGACTCGGGCGATATTACACCGCACTCGTCCGAAACGCCACCGCCGACCATTTTGGAGTCGACGACCACGCAGGATGAAGACGGACCGAATGGCTCGGATGAGAATCGGAATCAGTCACAAAATGGCGCTGCGGTTGGTTTAGATGTGGTTGGTATAACGAATCGGCTGAGTATTCTATCGCAGCGCTCTGTCGGCGAATCGGAGTACCACGGTTCGAACGAGAGTGAAGACGATCGCAGCTCGCACGACGAAGGCGATTCCGATTACGAGCGACGCCGACAAGTGCGTTGTCTACGCCAAGTGTTTGGGCCATCCGTGGCGCGTGTGGTCGCTGAAGACGAGGAGGCGGCCGACGCCGGCGATGAGGTTGGTGTGTGCGATGCGAGTGTGTGCGGCCTGCAATTGCGCCTCTCCTCCCCGCTCGTCGCTCGACTGGACGCTTTCTGTACATGTACCCGTTGATTCCTCACGTCTTCACCGCCATTTTGTGTGTGTGTTTTGTGTGACGTCATCAACACCACATCTCTATTACATTATCGTATAAAATCATCTTCACGTTTTGTATTTTGTGATTTGTAGGCTTGAGAATTACGCTAGTGTTTCAATAATTTATTAATTTATAACATTTTTTGTTTTATTATAGACGGAAGATACGACCGATACAACATCGTCGTCGAACACGTCGCGGCGCGATTCGACGATATCAACGAGTAGCAACGTAAGCGCTGCGGGCGGCGGCACCGCCGGCGTCAATCTGCAGGCGCTCGGCGAGGGCTTGCCGCCCGGCTGGACCGTCCAGATGGCACCGAATGGCCGTCTCTTCTTTATAGACCACAACGACCGTACTACATCCTGGGTGGATCCACGTACGGGACGTGCTAGTCCCATGCCGAATCAACCCACAGTCCCCGTGGCTAATCGTAAACCTGACGATGATCTTGGACCACTTCCCGAGGGTTGGGAGGAGCGTGTGCACTCTGACGGACGGATATTCTTCATTGATCACAGTAAACCCACCATAACCTAACATTTAAACATTCTAACCTCAAAACTTAAAACTTTAGATACAAGGACAACACAATGGGAAGATCCTCGGTTATCCAATCCGAGCATAGCAGGACCTGCAATTCCCTACTCACGTGACTATAAACGTAAATATGAGTATATGAAAACACAACTTCGGAAACCCACGAATGTCCCCAATAAATTCGAGATTAAAGTACGGCGTTCTTCCATTCTGGAAGACTCTTACCGCGTGATCAGCACCGTATCGAAGATAGACCTGTTGAAAACCAAACTCTGGGTGGAATTTGAGGGTGAGATTGGTTTGGATTATGGTGGATTAGCGCGTGAATGGTTTTTCTTGCTCTCCAAAGAAATGTTCAATCCGTATTACGGATTGTTTGAATATTCCGCAATGTAAGTACTAGAATTAATCCCATATAGAAAAAATAGGTTAATTTTGGGGTTATGTATGCGCAGGGATAATTACACCCTACAAATAAACCCGTTTTCTGGCATGTGCAACGAAGAGCACCTCAATTACTTCAAATTTATCGGTCGGATAGCCGGCATGGCGGTGTATCACGGTAAACTATTAGACGCGTTCTTCATTCGCCCGTTTTACAAAATGATGCTGGCGAAGGCGATTGACTTGAAGGACATGGAATCCGTTGATAGCGAATATTACAAATCGTTGTTATGGATCAAGGAGAATGATCCCTCCGACTTGGATCTGACGTTTTCCGTGGATGAAGACACTTTTGGTACTACTACGGTGCATGAATTGATTGCAGATGGCGCTAATGTGCCGTTAGATAACACAAACAAAGATGAATATATTTCGTAAGTGAAAATTTACAACTTACAAGAATAGAACTTTATAATTGTGTTTTTAGTTGTGTCATCAAATGGAGATTTGTCTACCGTGTCCAAGATCAAATGAACGCCTTCCTGGAGGGTTTCGGTGAGCTTGTACCGCTGAATATAATGAAAATCTTCGACGAACACGAACTGGAACTGCTCATGTGCGGTATACAAAACATTGACGTGAAGGATTGGAAAACAAATACGTTGTACAAAGGCGATTATCACGCCAATCATATTGTTATCCAATGGTTCTGGCGCGTTGTACTCTCGTTTACGAATGAAATGCGCGCGCGTTTATTACAATTCGTCACTGGTACATCGCGAGTACCCATGAATGGGTTCAAAGAGTTGTATGGTAGTAATGGGCCGCAGTTATTCACCATCGAGAAGTGGGGTACACCGCAAAACTATCCTAGGGCTCATACTTGGTAAGTTATAACCTAATTTAACCTATAAAATGATATTGTATTTTGTTGGTTATGTGTGTTGCAGTTTTAATCGCTTAGACCTGCCGCCCTATGACAGTTATCAGCATCTGCGTGAGAAATTAATAAAAGCCATCGAAGGGTCGCAGGGCTTTGCCGGCGTGGACTAAGTGCGCGCGCGCGAATAGATTCTGTCCATTTTTGCGTAGGTATATGCTCTTTTTACATACCGTCTACAATTCGCGCGTGCGCCAAGGCAGGCAAAACGCCACCGTCGTTTCTTGTGATAAAAAACTATATCTGAGGGCTTCTCCGTTAGGATCACTAGAACAGTTCACGCGCTAGAAGGTTTTTCCTCTTTGTTTTTTCTTTCACCGTTTTATCGTACGCGACGTCATAACCTATATTTTATATTATTTAAAAACGGTAGCTTTAAATCAAGTCATTTAAGTGTTTTTTTTGCATCGCCGCTTGGAAAGTGTGTACATACATTGAATACGCGAGTGAGGTTAGGTGAGGTGAGGAGGATTTTCGAACTTCTTGTACATAGATTTTATTTTTACCGACTCTTTACATTAGTGATCTACTAGTGCATTTTATTCAACTTAACTTAATAATTTCGGATCGATACACGCCGGTACACGATGATAATAATTACTCACGCGTGCGAGCGAATGCAAGATGGCGGGGCGGAAACGAAAACGATTGATAAATAAATGCCTTATTATTTATAAGCCATATATTGTTAAGTGATAGGCGTACGTGTAGAGCGTTGTTATTCTAGCTCACGATCGATCTGCATCGCGCGCTGCATTTTGAGATTGTTGCATTCCTATGTCCCTCACGCATCACGATGCCGGCGACACCTACGCGTGTTTTCGAGTATTAATCCTGTGTATTAACAAATCAAAACGTAAACCCGACTGCATCCGAGCGAGCGAGATTGGAGGCAAGTGAAAAAACAAAAACTTTTATTATTCTTATGAAATTATGACATAAACATAGCTAGGATTTACGCTGAATGCATTATATATTGTAAAAATATCTACTTATTACTCGTAAGAATGATTAATTATTGTTAATTATTACATTGTATGATAATGTTGATGCAGCCGCCATTTTGACTTGACTCCCCCTAATACTCGTCTAGTGGTAATTGTTTTAATGCCGAATGGATGATTTTTGTAAGTGCTTCTGCTAGTTTTTCAGCGGAATAAGGCTGATTTAACGGAGGTACGTGTGTGAATAGGATGCGTGTGTTGTCTACGTTCAGAGAGGTGTAGAAAAGATACTCGCAGAGGTATAAACCGGCGTTGGTTGATTCAACAAAGCGTAATGTATCGGTGTCCAGTTCAGCGACGATGTCTTCCACGTTAATTTGAGGAAAATGGACGACTGGTCCTTCATCCTTTGCGCATACTTCTCGTGTGGGGTGGAAAACACCATTGGCGTCCGATTTGCAGTAGAATTTCCGCCGCGCTAAGGATTCTAAGGTTATAGCGGAAGCTTCCGCAGACACACCAACATGGAGGACGAACTAAACACAATAAAAAGGTTAGGTAGACATATTTGTTTTAACTCTTAAATCTGTTAGTGTTATTACTTACCGTCGGGTTGTATTCCTCCCATAAGCGCGCAATATTTCCATCGATATATTCGTAAGTCACTGGAATTTCATGTTTTATCAGTTTATATCCGTCGAAATGCAAATCGTCCAGTAGTTGGACAGCTGCCCAGCTGGCATTTATGTTATGGACTCCGAAAGGTCCGAATCCGGTGACCAGGATTGTTTTATCCAGCATTTTGGTTGAAATTTAAGTTATGTGGAAACGTAGACAGAATTCATTCATACTGCGTGTGGCATTTACCGTAATAGGTAGAAACGAGTTGATTTAGTCTCTCTTATCTTTTATTTTTGTGGGATAATCAGCGCAAATCATAGTAAATAAGATAAAAGTACATGCAAACATTGAGGAGTTATGGTTATGCTTTTGTTTACAACGCAGTTGTACAATTTTATTGTAAGATGGCAGCAAGAGTTCTAGCATAGAATTAAATCAGAATGTTTAAAACTTATTTATAAGAAACAAACATTGAAATGGTTTAATAATGGCGAATAGACGCGGAATTTAGATAGTTGCGACTAGCGGACAACTTAGGAACTACTGACAGTTTAGTTTTTTTTTTTACTTATCGTTATTGTTTTCATTTTCTTCCAATTGTTGCAACGCGGAATGAATAATCATAGTAAGACCACGCGCCAACTCCTCAACAGAATACGGTTCATCAACATTCGGTACATGCGTGAAAAGAATCCGACTGTTATCGATATTCATCGAAGTATAAAAAATATACTCGCATAGATACAACCCCGCCTCAGTTGATTCAATAAATCGTAACTGATCACTGTCGAGTTCCCCAACAATACGCCCAACATCAATTTGTGGAATATGCACCAATGGTCCTTTATCTGCTGGACAAACTTCCTCAGTTGGGTGGAGTGCACCGGAAGCGTCTGCTTTCTGATAGAATTTCCGGCGTGCAAGTGACTCCAATCTCACAACGTTAACTCCTTCAGCGAGACCAACGTGCAAAACAAACTAAAACAGCAAATTTGAATAAATAAAAAGTCACTAGACAATAGTAATATCACTAGGTATCACACTGAAGGTCAGTGATTAGCGAGTGTTTTTTGTCAACAACTTACGATCGGTTTGTGTTCTTCCCACAGTCGCGCGATATTCTTATCAATATAATCGTAAGTCACTGGAACCTCGTGTTTCACCAGTTTGTAGCCAGCAAAATCGGACGCATCTAGCAGTTGAACGGCTTGCCAGCTCGCGTTGATGTCGTGATCGCGGAACGGGCCGAAACCGGTGACCAGAATAGTTTTCTCCAACATTTTCGTCGATTAATGGAGAATTTAGAGACAATGAGTAAGGTAGGATTTTAGACTCATATTTATACTTTATCCTGCATTTGTTATCATGTATAAATGTTTGATTGAAATTGGGCCGATAGGAAACAATGGAATACATTGTCGTGTCAACAAACATCTAGAAAGCAAATGGCGGATTATTTGATGTACAAATTTCACTCACATATTGATTGTACTTACTCGTACATGTCGGTGATTTTTAACAGATATCTTATCGTTCATCATTCAAATATGTAAAAAAGTAAAAAAATAGGTTATGATAAGTTGTAGTTACACATAACCTAACATAATGTCATAGATGGCAGCACTGGATTAGTTAATGACACATTTATGCAATGTGTGTTTTATAACCACTCCTGTAGACATTTTTTGCGATCGATTTCACATTAGTTGATTCGATATTATATATCGGCGTGTGTGTTACGACATAATCACGCCGGCGTGATTTGCAAGCGTTCGGCCTTCGCGCAATTAACTCACTCGCGCGGTGGCGGTGCACGCCGTTTGATTTCTCGACGCGCAAAAAAAAAAACACATTAAAAACCAATCATGATTGCCATATGACACCGATAATTGAATAATAACGCACCAGTTTTAACGGTACACACAAATGCAACGTGATAAACAGGAAACAATTGTGGTTGAACACATGAAATAATCCATAACACTCTGTATATTTGATGTTTTTATTCTTTTAATGTCTATTATCGAAGTTAATCTTCACAAATTTACAACAAAGATACTTGCGATCCATCACACACATACACACACGCGTAAATTAAGTGTCACACATTGAATTAATCCTATAAATTTCATCACAGATGAAAAAATCGTCAAAAATAAAAACACATTGATTACATACAAAACGTGAGAGGAAATACCTAAACGCTAGAATATCGCATAGCACATTTAGAGCACATACACAGTGTTCGAAGTCGAATTAATTAGATACTAGAAACAATTAATTAAACATCGGATATTTAACAACTACTTAAACATTACGTTCTGACAAGTCGTACAATTTGTGTGTGTGTGTGTATATTCTGCATCTTATGGCCGAGTTTGAGGCACTTGATCAATTACAAACTAGTCGCGCACGAGAAATACTTAAATCACATCATTTCTTGTCACGTGTGTCAACAAACAAGCGTGTGCTGTGCGCTGTTTGAGGTTATGTGCAGAGAGAGGGGTTAAAAATCAAACGTGTATAAATGTAAGTCTATGTGTAGTGTGGGAAGTTATAAGTAGAGGGCGCCACCGCGCTTATGGGGATGCTTCGGGTGCTTTTTGTAGACGAGCGCTTGCGGTGGATGTTTGGGCTTTTCCATCATGGAGATATCGGGGTATTCGCGCAGCTCCCATACGAGATTGGTGAGACTTCGAGGTCGGGAGAGTTTCCGCGAGCGTTTTTCCGGTTGTTTCATTCCGGGACCAGAGTCACCCGATGCGCGTCCACCGGAATTACTAGAGTCCAATGTGCCATCTAATTCCATCGCTTGTTGGAGGTTACTGAGGGATTTATACCGTATGTTAAAAATGGGTGAACCACTTTTTGATATGGGGCTTGGAGGGGTCTCCTTCATGGGACTGGCGGATTTCTGCCGGAAGAGCCGGCGTTGACTCTGGGAGTTTTTGACGTAGAGCTTGGGTAGACCCGGTGGGGTCTTCTCGTGAATCTGCTGTGTGAGTTGATGGACTTTGCTGGGATCTCGGATGGAAGATGTGGTTCCTTTGCGGTTTCGTTTCTCGGCGCCTTTCTTCGTAGGTATGGTTTCAATCGGGGGTGGTTCTGGTTTGAGGTCGAGGGATGCAGGCACTGAGTGGGTGTGAGGAGGGTGTTGGGTTTGTGTGGGTTGTGGGGATCAGCGAATGGGGAGCGGATGTTTTTTGGAAGCGGGGCGAAGCCACGTACGTAATCATAGATTTGGTCGATTTCCTCGTAGTCCTTGGGATGGACCGGGATACGGTTCTCGTCACGTTTGTGTTCGATACGTGCCCGGTAGTTGGCTGAATCTGATGAAGCGCTGCGTCGTAATGCGAAGTTTTTATCAGGGGCAGGCGCTGGTGGTGGTTGGTGTCGTTTAGGGTCGCCTAGCTTCCCATCCAGGACCTGGATACGATCGGCGACGTCGGTGACTAGTCTGGCGCAGCGTTCAACAAGCCGTTCGAATTCGGGCATCTGCCGGAGTTGGTCTTCGTTTTTGGTGCGGACCACTTTGAGGGGTGCGGCCAATGGCAACGCTGTCACACCTTGTGCGTCTTTCTGTAGTGGTAGAGCAAAATGTGCTCCTCTTCAAAGATGGACAACAAACGCAGTTCGGGGACAAAATGGCTGGGTGTCTTCAACCCTCTGGGGGCTGTACCATGAACCAATCGAACACTCAACGGCATACGTTTGCTGAGTAGAGTACGCGCGGTATGCACCCCGCTGATGTTATCTTCACGCGCAAGCGCTGAGAATTTCCCACGTTGGTCCATCCCCAACAGGAGTAGGTCACCATCAGCGTTGGTGCATTTGAGGTAGCGGCCTTTGGCGCCCGGGAGCGACGCCTCGCCGCAGGGGACTAGGATTTCGCCGGCGGGCACGGTGCGGCACGTGCCGGCTTCGAGATCAGTCTTGGCCTGAAGAGCGCGTAATGGTTCACGTACCAGGAAACCCTCTTCGGGGCGTCGCCTCGCCAGCTCCGCCACACTCTCGATACACTTTACAGCTCGACCTTCTTCACTCAACAATTCAAAATACCCGGAGTATGAATCCGGGATGGCTAATCGTGGTCCAACACATGCCAACCTACGACCTTCTTTGATTTTCACAGCTTGTGCTTCAATCTTCTGACGTTGACCAAGCGAGACCAGCAGGGCGGTGCTTTGAAGACCTGGACTGGGCAGGGTTGGGACACCCAGGCCACCATATTGACCCTTGATGATTTTGACCACTGCAGGGAGGCGGTGCTTGGCAACAAACTCACGCAGGTAGTTACCCTCGGCGGCCCAGCGTGCCGCCGCCACTGTGATTTGCCCATCCGTCGCTGCCATCGTGCCATTCAGTCCCGCGCGTCCATGCCTGCAACAACAAGAGAAAAGCAGTGTTTAGTAAGTTTAGTTAAGTAAGATGAAGAAAGAAGATGTGAGCGCACGACGAGTGTACTTGAATACAACGACCTTGGATCGCTTGGGTCGCGCGCCGCTGCGCTCGACGCGCGCGCAAGGTCCGGCGGGTGAAAATGTAGCCTTGACTCGTAGCGGGGCCATCTTGAACTCTGCGCGCCTGCCGCGTTACGAAGCTGCTGCATCATCGTACGATTTGTTGCTACATTTCCTAAACATCTCACAGGGTAAATATAATCTAACTAGCTGTTACCCGCGGCTGTGTTTAATAAAAATGTAATTCGTTTTTACTCTCTTGTTCTAGACATACTCGTAGTAAGAGTCAATTCTATCAATAAGATTAGCAATTTTAATTTAAAGAAATTATGCATATAAAGTTTTGTCAATAATGCACTTCAGCGCGCCATCTCGAATTCAACTATTTAACTATAACTATGATTGAATCTCAATGTCAAATTTTATTCTATAGAAAAGAGCTGTTTTGAGGATTTTCCCGGCAATTATTCGAATTTTTCTCACCTTTTAAACCTTCCCTAGACCTCCACGAATAATTCAAGACCAAGATAAGATAAATCCGTTCAGCCGTTCTCGAGTTTTAGCGAGACAAACGAACAGCAATTCATTTTTATATATATAGAAGATTCTACGCGTAAATATTCACATCTACCAGTGAAAAAATGATGATTCATTCTTTCTGCACCTAACCAGTTTTAATCTAGTTAAATATTCATGTAGAAAATTTCTTTCGGCGAATTTTGTCCCGACACAACACCCAATACTGTTTATATTGAGTCTGCGTGTTATGCAAAGCAATTCATGCGAAATGTGTGGCAGGAATGTCTCAGGGATTAATCATCCGAGTTGACGAATCGGACAAATTGGCAAATGCACCGTAATTAAACAGTAAACCGAGTGGAATTGCGCGTGGACGTTTGATAAAGTCAACATCGACGTAAATGGCATACATTGCCGTTATTCTCTCTGCGCATTCTTTCATAAATATCCACGTCGGAATTTTTGCGTTTTTCGTTTTTCGTGTTTGGATAATTTTTTGATTCCAAGGTTGGATTAATAAAAATTTTCGACCCGGATCGAAAGCAAACACGACGCGCCGCACACATTATATTCGCCTCCTCTGCCTCGAATGTCATGTTCGTGAAATTAAACATCATCAACCTGTGCACCGCACCATGCCGGTACCAGCATGAAGAGCACCGGCCCGGCAATAATATTTATTGTTGGCTCCAATGTCGCACATTTGTGCGCGTACGCTCAAGGCGGCGTCTTCGCGGAACAAATACATGCGTAAACTAACAACCGAACGGAGGATTAGCCAAATTCAAATCGTAATTGCATTACACACCGGAAGGACCGTGACAGAAAAAAAGAGACGCTGTTTACAATTTTGAACAATTTTGATCATTTTTGAGGTGCGTCCGTAACGCTACGATGAATTCAAAATTTTAAATATATATTTTTAGTGTTTTTGTATGTTAGTGTCGCTATAACACGGAAACCACTCAACAAATTTTGATAAATTTTGATTAGGAGATAGTTTAGACCTGGGAAAATAACATAGGCTACTTTTTATTGCTAAAATTTAATTTGAAGGGTGTGAAAAATAGTTTTGAAGTTTATGCAACGAAAAAAATAAATGCATCTGACTTATGCGGAAAAATGTAATGAAAATGCCTATTGGAGATGACCGCCGGTATTATACTACCATCCTAGAATAATTTTCTGTTTTGAGCTCTAATTAAGCTATATTTTAATATTAGAAGATTCAATTTGAGGTTAGAATTTTTTTGCACAATGCATCAGCATATTACCTAACAGTACCTGGTACGATAATTGCGCACTTGGGGCCCGATGAGTATTTATTCAAAGGCCGGGAGGAACGTTATCACCTATGACCCGCGCTGCGCGGCGGCACCCATCCGACAAATGAATGGTAGACGTCATCGTCGGCGGCGATGACCCGTGCAATGTTGGTCACAGGTCTCAACCCACGCGATACATAACCACAATCCACGCGGCGCGAAACAGTTAAAAACTAAATAATTCCAAACTAAACTAAACTAAAAAAACACATAACTTATTCTTCTATGACTATAATTGTAATTATTACAGTTGAATAACCGCACCTATCGCGGTTTAATTTGTTTAACGCTCGCATTCAATTCAGTACCTAATGTTTTAATGCGACAAGTGTGTACAAGTGCCCGCATCACTTTGCGGCGTTATTCCTGTTGTTTGCGCGTGTTTTATCTGTTTGGTTTACGTACCGTTGGGTCAAACTTGTCCGGAGTGCGATAAACCTGGCATAGCAATGAACCTGCGCCAAGCGACAAGCGGCTCTGTGTTGAATGTGCTGCGTTTCGATTCGAATTCGTGGTATTTGCATTAAACGGCCAATCTACGGTATATCTTGTAACAATTTCCGGTAATAAACCAACAATATGAGTGCCGACACACCGCCTGGTTCGGTCTCTTATCGCTGGCTTATCCCATTATCGGGGCGGCACGCATTTCCTGTATTTGTCTTCTTTGACATGTCCTAAACTCCAAGCAGGATGTGCCGCGGTAATGCATCTTGCATTTTAACTAGGTATTCAGATAATATTTATCTTTTTTTCTATTTCCAACGGTTTTTAATTTTTAAGGCTAAAAGTGATATTTTAAACACGGATGTGACTAAAGTACTTTAATCACGTGTTTTAGTCACGGGGTGGAGCTTGTAAAGTGTAGAATATCCAAAGAAAAGGTTTATATATTTTGTATTATGAGTAATGATGGTAATTCGTTAATCCGCACGCCGCGCGGCGCGAAATGAATCCGAGCCGTCGAGCGGCGCGCAACAAATTGGATAATTTCATAGGATATACAAGCGCGCGTCCGATTGATTGGTGTTCGACCTAGTTTCATCCCGACGACGCCGACGCGTGCTCGTTAGGCGTCACACACAAAAGCGCATTTTGCATTTCGTGTGAATCGTGCGGACGACATATTGCCAACGAGGCGAGAATTTTTTCTATTTTTTTTGTGCACGTTTCACCATTTTCGCAATTGACCTTTTCGAACGGTACAGAAACCTTGGGACTTGTAAGAAAATACTTAAAATGCACCAAATCAATTGGGAGAATTCAAGAAAAGCGTGTATTTTGGGTTGCATATCAAAAATTTTGAATTTTTTGGGGAAATTTGAAGATTTTTAGTGATTTACGAATAAATAATGATTGAATATAAGACAAATTTAGCTGAGGAAGTAAATATTTATGTTTAAAAATTGTTTTTAGAAGCAGTTTCGGAAATATTAAGTACTAGCTTTAACCCTTGGCTTCGCTCGCGAATTTCTAAAATAATGAAGTTGCTTCCGTACGCGTCTGTAGTCACAGAAGAAGTAACAATGAAGTAGAATGGCGGGAAGTTTAAAATGGCTGAAAGTATAGTCTATGGAAGTATAGTGTACAGTCTCCATAGTGTAGTCAATTGGATTTGATGTTGACGTAGCTGTCGGTAATACAGTGTGATAATACAGTGTGATGGTACTATAGTACTTAGGTTTGAGCTTCATTGCTGGAATGCTAGATGGCGTTAAAGTAGTCAAATAGCCAGATGCAGAGGTATTATTGGCTAAACAATTTCTTTATTTTATTTAAAAAATAATTTTTTTATTAAATAAAAAGTAGCCTATAACCATTCGGGGACCACTAAGAATATGTGTACAAATTTTCATGATGATCGGTTAAGTAGTTTTTGCGTGAAAGTGTAACAAACATCAGGACTTTCGCATTTATAATATTAGTAGGGATTTTTCATAAAATAAAACACAAAACCTGCAATATCTATGAAAATATTGAAATTCTAGAATTTATAAATATACTGTAAGCTGCAGAAATTAATTCTGCAACTTTTGGCAAAAATCCCATTAAAATATTAGCAATATTTTGAAAATGCCAAGCAAAAAACTAATTTCTCAGTATTCAAAGTCAATATTCTTGGAGATTTCAATGATTGTATAGCACAGTAGCAGAATTTAGCTTTTCCTCAAATTTTCCTACCATAAATCGCCGCTTTTAATTGCGTGCATGGTGGTGAACCCGTTGTGACCTTCCTTCGTGTGCATTGTGCGCGGCGGGCCCCGCGCGCGAGTGATGAATATGAAGAGGTGAGCCGGTTCAAAAAGGTGAGCGGCCCGCGCGCGTCCACGACGTCCACGAAGGAATATAACAGCACATCGGACGAATTAGGCGAAACGACTCGCTAGCCCCAAGCGTGAGTATGAGGAATGAGGAGGGACGCAGCAGTGCCGCCGCTAAAAAGCCCAGATCATTAATAATTGAAATTCGTGTGCGCGCGCACCTCGCTCTTAGTAATGGCGTCACCTTTGCACCTCGCCGGACGACGAGTGCCATCTTGGCACAAAGCGCATTAGCATTTTGTTTAACGACGGCGCGGCCGGAGGGTCGTAAACGACACGAGGACATAAATATCACAGAAGGTATAAATTATCATTCAGATTATATATGTAAAAATCGAAGAAAGAAATAGTTTCGCTGTGGAATTGTTTCCGGCGCGCGCTCATGTGTGACGCTTGGGACGTTCAGTTAAACAATAAATTTATTTGCGGAAGAAATCGAGCGTTAAACTGCGATTCTCGGAACGTTTTCACTTTTGTTCAGCGCGCGACCGACCGCAGGATTACGCTGGGCGCGCGTGAAGCGAACATTTATCGGAATCGAATTATTAGCTCGTGAATTATGCCTCGTTGGGCACACAATAACACCAGATTTGCGAGTGTGTCATGTTATATTATTAACCACAATGAGAAATCAAACAAAACAAATTGTAGAGTTAAGTATAAGTAGGTTTATTAAGTCGTCTTTGTCGACGTTGAATTTAATAAATCGACGATTGTCGCTCGATTAACTCGAGCGCGCTAACGAATCGCAAACA